AGGCGGAAATTGTAAACGCTTAGTTCTCGGTTCATAGTGGATCAATTTGAATGAAATTTTCAGCAAATTGCCGTTACATTATCTAGTTTTTAACTATTATAGTGAGAACTGCCAACTTGTTATTGAATCTCCCATAATGTATCTTTAAGGTCTGTTGGATCAGAGAGAGAGAGAGAGAGAGAGAGAGAGAGAGAGAGATAGAGAGAGAGAGGTGGGGGGGGGCTTAAGTCCAGTCCACTCGACACAAAGTCATTTCAGGACTAACATATGGTTCAATTTTATTTCATTAATTTGTAATTTGTAATTTGTAATTTGCTTGTGCAGTGGGAGGTAACTGGAGAAAACCCACGAGATTGGACAGACAACCCAACTTCTTGTCACGAACAACCGGGGAATCGAAACCACGCCAGTCGACTCAATGACAGACAGTACGATACAACGCGCACATGCTAACCATTCAACCATCCAACCCATGCAGTGTTGGATCATTGGGTATGTCATTGAATCAACCGGCATGGTTTTGATTCCCCTTTTGTACGTGACAAGGATTATGGTCGCCAATCCAACCTTGTGGGTTTTCTCTATGTCCCCTGGTTTCCTCCCACAGCTAAAGGCCCCTATACGCAAACGAATTATTGAAATAAAATTGAACCATATTTTAGTCCCAAAATAACCTAGTTTGTGTCTAGTGGACGTTACACCACATTTCTCTCTCTCTCTTAAACTAAGATTTCAAGTCTGTATCTATATTGATGCAGACATCAAATGTTGTGTTAGTCTAACTATTCATCGGTTCCTTGTTTTGTTTCAAGTCTGAATTTAAGGGGTCGTCCCTGATTTCACAGGACATATCCACCATATAGATTTTAAGGCACCTTTCAAGATAGCTTGCCAGTTGGTATTCCATTCCTTTTGTTTGAAGTTTCTGAGCTTAGAGTAAATGTAAAAAGTGTACATAAGATGATGAAGGATGGATGGCCGGGCAAGGAATAGCATCTAGTTGTTCAGATGGGAAAAAAAACATGGACACATATGTAGTAGTTGACGTGTACTTAAAAGAACCCTTGAAGACTGGAATTATAAATAAGAGTATACCCCATTTCATTCCTTTTGTTTGAAGTTTCTGACATTTTAACAGATTTGGTACTGTAAGATACCCACCCATCGTCTTCATCAGCTATCTGGACTCAGACTAGTCATTACTGGTTATAAATAGACAATTTTTCCCTTAATTTTTTCCCCCCTCTTCCTGCATTTTTGGGTTGACTTTTTAGTCTAGATTGGAGAAAAGGGATCAAATTTGTAATTTCATAGCAGTTTTGGGTAATACTGATGATATTACAGCGGAGGGATAGGGGGCGTAAAGTGTCTTTCTGCAGAGCAATCATTGTGTCGGAAGTGAGATTTCCACCCCAGTCAACTTCAAATCCCCGTAGCAAAAAAATCTAAACGGTTAATTCCCTACAAAAGTATGATGAGGAGATTGCCAAATGTGGTCCCCATTGTGCCTATAAAGAGTGGAACCAACGGAATGTTGAGCAAAAAGCTACAGCCTGTGAGGTTACAGCTATTTAACATTGAAGTCAATGGGCAAATAATTGCTAGTCTGAGTCCATTTGACATTTTAACCTAGTTAGTAATGTAAGATACCCACCCATCGCCTTCATCAGCTAAACCCAGTGGTTCTTCATCTTCTTTAGATGACATGGGTGATGATGGTCGACCATGAGCTAGATTAGCTGGAACTGTTTGAGATTCATCTATCCATACTGCTGATTCTTGTAACGGACCTAATAATTATAAAACAAGTACGATCATACTGTAGTATATGAATCTGGAACGGAGCATGTCATCAAAGCAGATATCTTGGGATTGTGACGTCATATCAATAATCGAAGTATGTGAATCGTTGCGTAGTTGTCGAAAGAACAAGACATGCCAAGTTTCATGTCGATCGTACTCGAATTTGGCGTGGTTTCGTTTCCCCGGTTGTACGTGACAAGGAGTAGGGTTTCCTTCCAACCTTGTGGGTTTTCACAAGGGAATTATTGAAATAAAATTGAACCATATGTTAGTCCCAAAATAGCCTAGTTTGTGTAAAACTATGGTAGCCTCGCTTGGCAGGCCTTTCATCACCAGTTTCAGGTAGTGACATCAGCAATTAACGTGGAACACTGTTGGGTTTCTACTATTGCATAGTTTAAAATGGTCTGTTTAGATTAGATAATGAGTGTTGGGTTTATAACTGTTTATTTTCCCAAAAGGTGTTGAGTAATTAACTAACTAATTAATTACTCAAAATAGCACAACTAGATGCTACAATCTATATTCATGATGGGTACGGGATAATTCGTCCCCAGGCAACTTGTCCTCGGACAATTCGTTCCCATGCAACTTGTCCTCGGACAATTTGTCCCATAGGACTATTCATTGGACAATTCGTCCCTGTTTAATTTGTCCCTGGACAATTTGTCCCCTAGGACTATTCAACCCCGGAGCCAATTCATCCTCTGACAATTCGTCCCCTATGTCTATTCATGATACATACCTATTTGTAGAAAATATCCTCTAAATCCAACAGTACAGCTGCCTTTTCCTCCAGATCTGGTGGTAATAATAACATCTCCCTTTCCTTTTCCTGGTCCAGTTCGTGCGATTATTTTACTGGATGATTTCCATTCGGCTGATAATAAACAATCGACACCACATATCTTCAAACCTGAAATATTTATAATACATAAAAAACATAAACAATCCACAACAAACCCGATATATTTATAATACATAGAAAACGTCAGTCATTGGTTTTTAAGGTGAGCGATCGCTCTAAAGCGCCTGCCGCTCACCTGAATGTCAACCAAGGGGAACTTTTTCTCCCTTCCTTAAAACTGAAAATCGCTCTCCTTTACAATTACAAAGTCATTGCGGGTTTATTATCATTTATGAATCCAAGAATGACCCCCTAACAGTTATTGATCTTCAGAACCATTTCTCTCCTTAATTTCTAAATCACTCTTCTTATCTAAACTGGGAGAGCTTTTTTAGGGGATCGATTTTTTTAATTTGTTGATTAAGGGGAGCTTTTTTCGGCTCTCCTCTAAAATACAAACAACAACGACTGAAACATAAACAATCGACACCACAGAGCTTTATTCCTGAAATATGTATAATACATAGAAATCTCTTTCACTATCCAAGTATAGTTAGTAATAATTCCAACGCTATTAGAAAAAATTAATTCAATTGAAATTTTTCTTAGAATATGAGACTTTATTATATTTAGAGACTCAAAACAAGACCCTAACATTGATGAAATAATTGATCATTTGTGTATTTCATTCGAATGGTGTCTAGCTTTAACTGTAAATACCTAATGAACTTTTGTACATATCCTGTTATTTTTCATTGTTATTTTTGTTTCCTTTGACAGTGAACAATTAAGTACGAATAAAGATATTATTATTATTATTATCATTTATTCAAATGCTTTTCAAATATTCAATTGAGTTTAAATGATCAAATTTGATGTCCTATGGTGCATTTTCAGATTTCTAGAAACTATAAATATTTTAAATCAAGATAATTTCCCTGTATCTGTTTGTATATTTTGGGATGAAATGAAATGAAATGGGGTTTAACGTCCTACTGTTCTACTCCGAACTGGGCTAATGAAGACGGGCATAAGACATACATGTACAGTGTGCTACGAGGGAAATTTTGCCCGGACAGCAGCACTACGGCCTACTCTTATATCGAATTCCAACTGTCAATGGATCTTTTACGTGCACGCCAATGTGTACACGGGACCTCTGTCCTGTATCACTGACAAGGGGGAACCACGCCGGAAAATGTGGATGAACTTTCTCGGCCAATGCAGGGATCGAACAGGCTGTGAAGAAATGTTATTATTACCAGAACCAACCTCTTACTGTGAAGAAATATTATTATTCATACCTATCAAATCCCTGGCATCATTTCCCAGATTTTCTCCTCTGACTGTGATCCTGGTACCAGGTGGTCCTTCTTTAGGTGAAATACCCGTAACAAGAGGTGCTCCACTTCCAACATTCATCTTTGGATCAGTTCTAGTCTGGAGAATAATTTCATCTACAGTCACTCACTGATTAGGCTACTGCAAGAAAAATTACGAATAAAGAAGAATATGACAATGTAAATGATACGAAGGCCTATATATTTAGCCTACTTCGGTCAATTTGAGGCAAACATAGGCTATGGTAATTTTCATTCATACGGTTACAATGTACATTATTATATGCAATCTCAGGCCTGGACAGTAATTAAATTCTAATTTTCAAGGCTTCTTTTATGTGCACACTAAGATGTACATGGGACCTCAGTTTTTCAGCCAATCGGAACAACTACTAGCCGCTTTTCGTACTTTTTGAAGAAAGACATTTTGTTTGTTGGCAACTCTTATCATATAAACTACATGTAAAGTCTTACTTTTCGTGTCAGATATCTATGGAGAAAAAGATCGTTGGCATAAAAATATCAACTAAGCAATGACTCAATCTGGAGAATAATTTCAATATCAAGTAAATATAAAATGGGGCAGGGGAGGGGCTTAGCAAGAGTCAGAAAGAAATATGTTGTATGTGCTTCTAATACATTTACAATGATCTTCAGCTATAATAATTACAAGAATAATATTTGAACCATACCAAGACACCCCACAGTGGCGTTGCTTTAATAAAAAATAAAAAAGATTTCACACCTTAAGCCATCAACAAGACTGTTTTCATTTTTCTCAACTTTCACTTAAGGGTTGCGTACAATTTTCAGATGTCGGAGCAATATTTTATGGGCTGCATAATTATTAAATATCTGACTATGATTATGATATCAGTTTCAATTTTAATTCACAAGTTGTGAACTTAGATTATATGTTTACATGCATTTATTTTAAAAATACAATATTTTTCTCCAAAAATTTCGTTTCGAACGAAAACAATCGATCTAAATTTTAATGCAACCATTACTTCCGGCAACAAGGAAGCTTACTGGAGAGCCACGTCAGTTTCAAGAATTAGGATATTCTCAAGGCAAAAATTGGTTAATAGAAGGCGTAATTAAGAAGATATCAACACCATTAAAAATGGCATCAAACGACATAGGAGATTGGTATCGAAGTATACCGCCAATAACTAAATATTGGTTTACAGGATCCATTATTTTGCCACTGGCTGGCAGAATCGGTTTGTTATCACCGATGTGGATGATCCTGCATTTTGAATCATTTATTTACAAATTTCAGGTATATAGAGCAGTTAGATCTTTTTTTATTATTATTTTTGCAGGTGGCGGATGGGTGTGGGGTATATTATGTTCTTGCGTCATAAATAAAAATGAGAAATGAACGTTTGGCCTTATTTCAAACTTAAATTTTTAAAATCCATATTCTCCACCACAGGGTTGTCCAGTTTATTAATTTGTGTTAGCCTATAATTTAATACAGGGCAATAATATTTTGCTTCTGTCTAATGAGCTTAATAGGGTGCCCCACACAGCCAAAGGTTACTCTGTTAAAAGTTGAACACGCCACTGCGAATTTGTAGCTTTAACAGTGACTAGTCCCAAACTGATTTCTGGCTAGGCACACAATGCGAGAACACTCAGCAGTATGGTCAATGAGGCTATAAATAGCTATCGCACATGAAGTATTTTACATGTCTATCAACTATTAAAGCCGTAAAAAATTTATTGTTGCCACTGTCCGGGCAAAATTCCCCTCATAGTCATAGCACACTTTACATGTACCGTATGTCATATGCCTGTGTTCATTAGCCCAGTCGGATTTCATTTTCTGTCTCTGGCGTTGGGATATAGAGTGTGGTTTGGTTTCGTAGTCCCAGACATGAATTCATACATGTGAATAATTACACAGTTTAAAGACATGCTGTGGTGCATGTATTAAACTGGTTATCCGCTATATTATATCAGTAATAATATCAAAGGTTAAATCACCAATTTTGACAATGAATGGCAAAGCCTTTCTAGGAAACAGGATAGCAAATATATGCAAGTACCAAATGTGGAAGTAATAGACCAGAAGCCCAATGCATGTATCAATGAATGTCTAGTTGGGTGTGGGGGGACATGGCATTTTGGGAGTGGAATACCACACCCATCACCAGATACCTGATGGACTTACATTCTGATGATACCACCAGATATATACATGCATTGATACCATATAGGAGAAAACTGGTACACTTTTCAGCTAGGTTGACCCTTCTGGACTCACGCTCTATAAGTCCCCTGTCACATACAATGTAGATTGAGACCTTTTTTTCAGAAAGACTAAATTTTTATACCTTTAATATCTGATACAGATTTTCTTATTTTATTTTACCTGACCTTTTTAAAGGGCTTATGTAGGCATGAGTGGATTAAAGGCGTTGACTGGGCTGCATCTAGGGGGCCCCTAAATTAGTTCTAAAAAAGGTAGTACCATAAAAAAATTTGTCATTTATTAGTTGTTTGTGCAGTCAAATAAATCTACATGTATCTGTCTACCATACGGGACATACACAAACTGTTTGAGTGTGACTAACAATCACCTGAATATGCCCCCTTTAAACTGTTGATACAATGGCCCCTGGTGACAATTATCAGCCAAGGATCCCTGATATTGAAATTGTCTCCTGTAGATGTGTTTCACAGTTCACCTTCTATTTTGTTTCAGTTCTGGAGACCACTAACAGCTGTGTTGTTTTATCCAATTGCTGGTCCTAAAGGATTTCATTACCTCATCAACCTCTATTTCTTGTACTCATACTCAACTAGATTAGAAACAGGTAGGCTGATTAATCTAGACTATATTCATACTCAACTAGATTAGAAAAAGGTAGGCTGATTAATCTAGACTAGATGGAAACATCTAGACTAGATAGAAACAGGAAGTCTGATTAATCTAGACTAGATAGAAACGGGTAGGCAGATTAATCTAGACTACATAGGTACATGTAGGCTGATTAATCTAGACTAGATAGAAACAGGTAGGCTGATTAATCTAGACTATGTTCTTACTCAACTAGATTAGAAATGGGTAGGGGAGCCACAGTGGCTAAGTGAGTAAGACATTGGTTCGCTAGTTTGGATGTCACAGGTTCAATCCCAGTGTTGGCCAAAAAAGTTCATCAGGATTTTCCGGCATGGTTTCTCCTTGTCAGGTGCAGGACGGACGGCCTGACAAGGACAGCTGTCTAGTTGTTTGGATGATATGTGTATACATTGGCGTGCATGTAAAAGATCCCTTGGCAGGTAGAATTCGATATTAGAGTAGGCTTGATAAGAAACAGGTAGGCTGATTAATCTGGACTGTTGTTATTTTATTTGTTGAGAAACAGGTATGTAAACTGATTATTAAACCAGGTAAAATTTGGACGTAGTAATAAATTATACTCTCCTTTTTTTCTGATATTTGAAAGTTCACGAATGCATGTATGGCATAAAATTACACAGGAACTGTTAAAGGTAGCATTTCATTTGAAAACTTGGTAAAAAATTATTTTGCAAAATCATGCAGATAAAAAAAATATACATGTATGGCAATTATCACTTATAACCTATATTTTCTTTTCTTTTATTTTCAGGAATATTTGATGGTCGTCCAGCAGATTATGTTTTCATGCTGGCATTCAACTTAATATGTTTAACTGTATCCTTGTTACTCTTGCTTAACCTGTTAAAGCGAGAATTTCAAATTTTCTAAGAAAGTCAAAATATAATTATATCTATGTCTTTTGCTCAATAGGTTATCAACTCACTATTATACGATCATGGGCATTATTTCCCACCCTTAAAAATCTATGACACAGGAAATAACAACACAATTATCTCCCCTGTTTTGCTATTGACAACACGGGGCAGCCATTTTCCAAAGTTGGAATTTGAAGTCAAAAATGATATTTTTGCCAATTTCTCAACTGGAAATAGCGAATTATAGGATTAATAGGATTATAGTTTAACAAGGTAGGACTGTTTATGGATACCATCTATTTTAAGGCTTTATTTTAATACATTTTAAAAATATAACTTGAAAATTTGAAATTTTCGCTTTATGTGCGTAGGTTGTTATATAACGTCCTGGACAACTGTCACACACTGTGTGTAGGGCGTAATATAACGCCTTGGAGGTATTTTCCCCAACCTATTCTTAGAACATAGTACATTGTTCTTCGTCACTTCGTCAAATTAAGTACACAATAGGGGTTAGTTAACGTTTGAAAAATGTCACGCTTAACGGGTTAATACTAGCTTTTTAACATCCATAATGATAATAATCATTGGCAATTTTATCATTAAATACTACACCAAATAGCTCCATTAAAGATACATTATGTAAGATTTAGGTAAAGAACTGGCCATTCTTACTATAATAATTCATAAATAGATAATGTAAAATTAATTTATTGAAAATTTCATTCAAATTACTTCATTCTGAGCCAAGTTATCGCTGTTTGTAGTTTTGACAAGATGTGTGCATTGTTCAATGCTTAGCCTCGCTTCACCATTTTTAGATTAAATCAAAATATGGCTGAACTGTTCTAATCTACTTAATAGCGGAGGTCCCTTGTACACACTGCATGCACATAAAAGATCCCTTGACAGTTTGAATTCGATATAAGAATAGGTCGTAGTGCCGCTGTCCGGGCTAAATTTCCCTCATAGCACACTGTATAGCGTATGTCCTTCTTTATTAGCCCAGTTCAGAATAGAACAGTAGGACGTTAAACTCTATTTCATTTATTTTATTTATCCTGAACACAGTTTTAGATTTTAGGATTTGTAACAGAATTAATGGTAAGAACGTTTAAGTAAAATAAATTCATATTTTTTGATTCTTATTATTTTTAAACTTCATACATGTATTAAAAATTGGGGGGTTGGATGGCAGAATGGTTAGCATGTGCGGGTTGTATCATCAGGTCTGTCATTGAGGCAACTGTTGTGGTTTTGATTCCCTTGTTGTGCGGGACAAGTAAATTTAGCTGGTGCTGTTCTCTTGTAAATCTGTCCAACCTCGTGGGTTTTCTCCGGGTCCTCCGGTTTCTTCCCACTGCTAAAGGCCCCTATGTGCAAGCAAATTATTGAAATAAAACTGAACTATGTGTTAGTCCAGAAATAACCTAGATTTTGTCGAGTAGACGTTAAACCCCATTTCTCTCTCTCTATTCATTTCTAGTTGTTGATGGATCCTATGATATTAAGTGTTCTATACGTGTGGTGTCAACTGAATAAAGATCAAATTGTCTCCTTCTGGTTTGGAACAAGATTTAAGGTAAATTTAAAAATATAAATTTCAACATTAAGATGGAAGATGGTGTTTGTATTGAAGAAAAACATTAAATTATATTTCAGTAAACTACCGTGTTCATGTATTATCCCACAACAAATGAATTTAAGGGAGAATATTGCAAAGGACTGTGCTTCGGTCCGTCACAGGGTGGGAGAGGGTTGAGTATTCTAATGGTTTAACATGTGCGTGCTAGATCTTAAACTATTTCATTGAGTCAAGTGGAATGGTTTCAATTCCCCAATTGTATGTGACAAGGAGTAAGGTCCTTTTTTTAAATAATATTTTATTCAGGATGACTGAATGGTATTGGAGAACAGGCTTAGCTTGTAAAACCCCTCTCCCTATGGTGTAGGATCGTATGTTCAACATCGTAGGTTTCCTCAGGTCCTCAGGTCTTCTCCCACTGCTAACACTGTAACCCGGGTATCATTTAATCTTGTGTATCTAGCACTAATTTCTTTCACATATGTTTAATATACAATCTTTGTTCAAAAATTTGTAAAAACTGTTTAAAATCACCATAAATCATTTAATTTGTACTTCTGTCCAGTTTAAAGCTGACCATTCAATTTTGATAATGAGTGTCCAATTTATAAGTGTTTAATTTCTCAATCATTGTTAAAAAATAAACAACCCAATTGATTAATGATGTATAATGATTAATTTTTGAACAGTGATCAGGAAATTAAATACTTGTAAATTAGACACTCATTATCAAAATTAATCAGTCAGCTTTAAACTGGACACATGTACAAATTAGATGATTTTTGGTGATTTTAAACAGTTTTTGCAAATTTTTAAACAAAGATTTGATATTAAACGAATGTGAAAGAAATTAGTGCTAGATACACAAGATTAAACGATACCTGGGTTACAGTGTAAATACTCCTACGCGCAAGCAAATTATTGAAATAAAACTGACACTTATGTTAGACCCGGAATGACCAGGTTTTTGTCGAGTGGATGTTAAACCCCATTTCTCTCTCTCTCGGTCTGTCACTATATTGTTTTCTGGGCATATCTCATACAGCACTCTCAACCTATTATTAGAGTAATTGTGCATTTTACTAATTTTAAAAAGATTTCAGGTTTGATGATTTTTGTGTCTCCGCGGAAACACTTTGACGGGTCTCATATAAACCGTTCAAGATATTGTTATGGAATTTTGTACGCACTACAACCTATTAGAGTAGTTATGTCTAATACGAATTTAAAATTTTCGGATATGATAATTTTTGTGTCTCCATGGAAACACATTTCACCTGTAGGATGTTTTTTGACTGTCTTCTTGTTTTATTGCACATTCATTGATTCATCCCATCTTCATTAGCCCAGTCAGCAGAGCAAATCGACATTAAACCCCATTTTATTTCATTTCATTCAATTATTCTGCATTGACTGAGAAAGTTTATCAGGATTTTCTGACGTGCTTTTCCCTTGTCAGTGGTGTAGAAAAGAGGGCCTAACTATATACATGGTCCTGTATATACATTGGTGTGCACATAAAAGATCCCTTGGCAGTTGGAATTCGATATAAGAGTAGGCAATAGTGCCACTGTCCGGGCAAAATTTCCCTCATAGCACACTGTATGGCGTAAGCCCGTTTTCATTATCCCAGTCAGCAGAACAGTAGGATGTTAAACTCCATTTCATTTCATTTCATCTCATTCATTTATATGTTTTATATTATAGGCTATGTATCTACCATGGGTACTTCTGGCTTTCAACATGGTCATAGGACAAGGGTAAGAGTTCTTTTTTCTGTTTAAAATATATATCTTGTGTAACATGCCAACTAAACAATGAATAGAGTGGACTACACCCAGGACTACGTTCTTCCTACATACCCAACATTTCTATTCTTTTTAGTCCTGCACTAAACGAAGTCGAGGGAAGGAGTATTAAAATGAGCTCTGTTCATCCTTCTATCCTAATTTTGTGTCCGGGGTATATCTCATAAACTTTGTTATGGGTGAGAATATTAAAATGAGCTCTGTCCATCCTTCTATCCTAATTTTGTGTCTGGGGTATATCTCATAAACTTTGTTACGGGTGAGAATATTAAAATGAGCTCTGTCCATCCTTCTATCCTAATTTTGTTACCAGGGTATATCTCATAAACTTTGTTACGGGAGAGAGTATTAAAATGAGCTCAGTTAATCCTTCTATCCTAATTTTGTCATAAACTTTGTACGCACCTCAACCTTTAATAGAAACAACTTTGACTTAGTTTTTGGCATACAATAAGAATGAAGGATGTTGATGACTGATTCCAGGTTAATCATGTCAGTCTGTCTATTACATCCTGGAAAATGGATTTACCTCTCTTGGATTGTGTTAATAATTTAATAAGGGGGAGGGGAGGTAATAACTATGGTAATACTGGTCTCCAGTGGCAACCTACTTTGATTCATATTTGGGTGGTGATCTTAAACACGCATTATGCAAGAGCTAAATCTAAATTATTAATTAGACATTAATTAACTTATCCAGACCATAATCAACTCTCGATGTCAAGGCTAGCCTTCGATATCGACTGGATTAGAATCCTATATGCTGCAAACGCTGATTGTTAATTAAATCAAAACAATGGATAATCAAGACTGCTTTTTAATTTTAACGTACTAACTTTAGTAATGATGAACGTGACTAGGCGGAAATTTACAAAGCTGATATCTCGGTTCATAGTGGACCAATTTGACTGAAATTTTCAACAAATTCCCTTTACATTATCTAGTTTTTAACTATTATAGCGAGAACTGTCAGCTCTTTATCTAATCTCCCATAATGTATCTTTAATTAAACTATTGTGTGTCTTCTACATTTTGGGAGCCATAGTGACTAAGTGTGTAAGGATGTTTCCGTGTTCAATCATATGTTATTGAATGAATAAGTTCCTTCCGAATTGCCATCCTTCTTCCCTCTTGTCAGCGATGCAGGACTGGAGGGTCAAGCAAGGAAAAAGCATCTAGTTGGAGTGCACATAAAAGAATTCTTGACAGTTGGAACTCAATGAAGAATATGCAGAAACAACACTGTCCAGATAAAAATACACTCATAGTAATGCTCTCAAGCGTATTCCCTGGTTGGTGTAGACAAGTGGGTCGTTAAACCCGGGCAAAGAAAGAGCATGGTGGGATGAGACAAAAATTGATGTCAACTTCAGTGTGCACTTAAATAACCCTTGAATTTATTGAAAGGTAGCTAATATCCAGGCAAAATTCCTCTCATGCCCATCTTCATTACCCTTCTGTGCACAACAGTTTGTTGTAAAACTCCATTTAAGTGGGTAAGACGCTGGCTCACTAGTCTGGAGGTGCCATTGGTCGATAAAGTCATCAGGATTTTCCATTGTGGTTTCCCCTTGTCAGTGATGCAGTACGGAGGTCCTGATAAGGACAGCTGTCTAGTCGTTCAGATGGGACGAAAAACTGAGGTCCCGTGTACACATTGGAGTACACGTAAAAGATCACTTGGCAGTTGGGATTTAGATGTAAGATTAGGCCATAGTTCCGCTGCATGGGCAAATTTCCCTCATAGCACTCAGTATGGTATATGCCTGTCTTCATTAACCTAGTCGGAGTAGAACAGTAGGACGTTAAACCCCATTTTATTTCATTTCATATGTTTGTATGTTTTCAGAGGATTACAAGAATTATTAGGAATTGTCGTCGGCCATCTTTATTTCTTCCTTATGTTTAAATATCCACAAGATTTTGGTGGAGCCAGACTCATCAATGTTCCTGAATTTTTGTAAGTTATTTTAAATAATACTGTTCTTGGTCTGACGATGGGGGGGGGGGGGGGGGTTGGATGGCTGAATGGTTAGCCATACTAGTTGCAGTTGTTGTTAACGACTAATGCGCCAAAAAGAAGGGGGTTGGATGGCCGAATGGTTAGCACGTTCGCGCTGTATCATAAAGTCTGTCATTGAGTCGACTGGCGTGGTTTCGAATCCCCGGTTGTACGTGGCAAGGAGTAGGGTCGCCTGTCCAACCTCGTGGGTTTTCTCCGGGTCCTCCGGTTTCCTCCCACTGCTAAAGACCCCTACGCGCAAGCGAATTATGTAAATAAAATTAAACCATATGTTAGTCCTGAAATGACCTAGTTTGTGTCGAGTGGACGTAAAACCCCATTTCTCTCTCTCTCTGACGATGGGGATCTGTATCAAAACAATCATATACAAACAGATGTCTGTATTATAATCGGCCACAGTAGTTAGTTAGTTACGTTTTAGGCCTAGGACCATGTTTTTATTAAACATGCATTATGCAAGAGCTAAATCTGTCTATTGCAGGTCTTTCTTTAGGCCTGAAATGTTATCTAAATTATTAATTATACATTAATTAACCTATCCAAACCATAATCAACTCTAGATGGCATCGCTAGCCTGCGATCTTAAGTGGATTGTGAGCCGATTTACTGCATAACTTTCTTTCCCCATTAAACGATTAAATGGATAATCGAGACTATGCTGTTTATCGTACTGACTTTAGTAATGATGACCGAGGCTAGGCAGAAATTTGATTCGCTTAGTTCTCGGTTCATAGTGGATTAATTTGAATGAAATTTTCAGCAAATTGCTTTTACGTTATCTAGTTTTTAATTATTATAGTGAGAACTGCCAACTCGTTATCGAATCTCCCATAATGTATCTTTAAGTATGGAATGAATAAAAACAAGGGAATATACGGATGGACTATTTCTATTTTTCTTGTTTTCTCTTAACTAGTGACATTCAATTCTTTTTATGAAATGTCAGATATCCTTTTACAGTGTCATATTACAAATTTTCGTCTTCAAAGTAATTTGCCCACGTATGTGTTACCGCTCTTTACTTCAGTCAGTTATAAAGAAGGATAACTCTTGTTTTCTATTTTTTGCGTCACTTCCATTTCTTGAAATCTTCGTTACACATCTATCGTAGCAATGATCTCTGTGTTAAAATATATTTGGAATGTGTTTAACCAGTTCTATCATCACATATGTAATAATGACTGACACCAATATTGTCCTTTAACAGACTAAGATCTGTGTACACTAGGTCCTGTGTACAGATTGGCATGCACGTAAAAGAACCCTAGGCAATTTGAATTTGATGTAAGAGTAGGACGTAGTGCCACTGTCAGGGCAAAATTTCCCTCATCTAGCACACTAGATGGTGTATGACTGTTTATCCTAGACAGAGCAGAACGTTAAACCCCATTTCATTTCACTATCACCAAACGTTTACCTTCATGATTATGAATTAACGAATGTTAATTACAATTTAAGAGGAAATATTGATTGTATGATATTGCACAGGAGTTTGACCTTCTATCCGTATATATAAATGCATACACCATGTCCAACCAGACAATATACAATAAAAAAAGAACAGGAATGCAATGCCTGTTGAAGACTCGATTTTACCTGCTCTCGCTTCGGCTCGTATTTTTTCAACAATTCGTAATGTCAGGCAATCAAACCTCTGTCGATTCACTCAGATATGTTTTTTCTTCAATCTAGTCGTTTTCATTTGCATAAATACTCACACAAAACGATATCATAGCCACTTGTTTCCAATATTTACATTACTTTCGTCCGTTTCCATTTTGTCACGGCCGCCATGCGCTGACGTCACACAAAAAGCTAACCAACCTCTGAAGTCTTGTATACTTCCGCCCCAAAATGATGAATATTCACCAATACCTGGCAGAAAATGTATATGCAAACCCTCTTCTTCGATTCTACACCCAAAAGTCAACGAAAATCGCCATAATTAGGGGAAAATGGAAAGGGAGAGAAAAACAAAAAACATCTTTGGCACTTGTTTCAATGGTCTACTCACTGCGGATTGATTTTGTGTGACGTCAGCGCATGGCAGCCGTGACAAAATGGAAACGGACGAAAGTAATGTAAATATTGGAAACAAGTGGCTATGATATCATTTTGTGTGAGTATTTATGCAAATCAATACGACTAGATTGAAGAAAAAACATATCTGAGTGAATCGACAGAGGTTTGATTGCCTGACATTACGAATTGTTGAAAAAATACGAGCCGAAGCGAGAGCAGGTAAAATCGAGTCTTCAACACGCATTGCATTCCTGTTCTTTTTTATTATATATTGTCTGGTTGGACATGGTGTATGCATATATATACGGATAGAAGGTCAGACTCCTGTGGATATTGTAACATGTGGCTACAAGAAGAGAGAGAGAGAGAGACAAATGGGGTTTAATGTCCTCTCTCCTCTGAACACAAACTAGGTCATTTCGGGACTAACATATGGTTCAGTTTTATTTCAATAATTCACTTGCGCGTAGGGGTTTTTTAGCAGTGAGTGGAAACCGGAGGACCCAGAGAAAACCCAAGAGGTTGGATAGACGACCCTACTCCTTGTCACGTACAACTGGGTAATCAAATCTATACCAGATGACTCGGGCATCCAACCTCCTTTGTAGCTTAGGAGGGACTTATGGAAGATTATTATTATTATTACTTTTTTTTGTTTTTCAGATATAAATATTTCCCAAATCGTAGAGGCGGTATGGGTGGATTTGGTACAGCACCATCTAGCAGGCGCCAGCAGGATGGTAACAATGACAACCGGCGCCATGCATGGGGTCAAGGAAACCCCCTGGGAAATGATTAATTTATTGTATATATATATAAAAGAGAAGTGAATGAGTGGGTGAAACATAAGATATATATTTTGTGATTAGTTTGTTTATTTGTTCTTGAAAGGTAAAGCCCGGTTTCCATGTGCACGTTTTTTCACCGGTTTCATGGAAACAGTCCCATTGCACCAACTTTTTCGCAAACGAAAAATGTGCATATGGAGAACGAGCTAAACAACTTCAAATAATTCTTCTTCTCCTTCTTAAATAATTAACTGACTGTGGATATTTTGAAAGATCTCCCTCATGGGCAAGGATATCACAGAATTAATTCTGAGAATAACATCAGGATTCCTGTTTCAGGACGGACATTGAAATAGACCAGTTAGGGAAAATTTCTTGTCAGTCATTTTACAGAATTAAACCCTAAAATACAGTAAATACGATTCAATTTATAATATTCATGTGTAAAAAAGTCCACTATGGCCCTTCGTTTATTTGACGTTGGGCAAAAGAGAGAGAGAGAAATGGGGTTTAAGGTCAACTCTACACAAACTAGGTCATTTCGGGACTAACATATGGTTTAATTTTATTTCAATAATTCACTTGCGTGTAGGGGTCTTTAGCAGTGGGAGGAAACCGGAGGACCCAGAGAAAACCCACGAGGTTGGACAGGCGACCCTAATCCTTGTCACGTACAACCAGGGATTTTGACGTTGGGCAAGAAACATGTCTTGTAATTGTGATCTTATATTGTTAATTTGTTAATGGACGCTGTCATTGTTTTTTTGTTTGGTTATTAGGTCTTTTGGATCGGGGGGGAGGCGGGGAGATTTGACTATCCAGTACATCATTATGTAGCCTACAAACTTTTAAGATTAATAACTTTGTCAACTTCTCATAGGGGATACTTTATTGTATGTTCTGGAATTGTGCACATAAAAGATCCCTTGACAGTTGGAATTCGATTATAAGAGTAGGTCGTAGTGCCGCTGTCCGGGCAAAATTTCCCTCATAACACACTGTATACCGTATGTCCGTTTTATTAGCCCATTCAGACCAGAACAGTGGGACGTTAAACTCTAGTTCATAAAATGTGATAACTACTGTATTAGGTGTAAACCATTTGCTCTAAACATATTGGCGAAATATCATCTTTTCTTCGCATAAAATATTTGGCGTTACGTTTGATAATAAGACAAAGGCCGAGATTAAGTGATAAAATATACTTAGCCCAGTTCGGAGCAAAACAGTAGGATCTTAAACCCCATTTCATTTCATTTATGTTCTTGAATTGGGTTCTCTCAATCCCAAGCTAAGTTACAATCAAGTCAAAATGGGGATTTTTGGCAGCAATGCATGTGCTGGTTGAATAAGAAAATATCTGATATAAATAACTATTTAGTCCCAGTATCAAAACAAAACCATATCACTTACAATTGTTATTGACCTTTGACACCCTGTCATGTTGAATTGTAGAGTTGATCATATTTTGTTATTATTATGAGTATATTCATTGTCAAATAATTCATTGTATATTGTAAATTAATCTGTCATCTTGTATGTCATAATATCATGTTTTTATTTCTGGCTTTTCATATGTTGCTACATGTTTTTCATATGTAGATACATGGTTTTCATAAGTATGTGTTTTTGATGGTTTTCATGTGTTGCAACGTGGTTTTCATGTGGTGCAACTTGTTGCCATATTGTTTTCATATGTTGCTACATGTTTTTCATATGTAGATACATGGTTTTCATAAGTATGTGTTTTTGATGGTTTTCATGTGTTGCAACGTGGTTTTCATGTGGTGCAACTTGTTGCCATATTGTTTTCATATGTAGATGCATGGTTTTCATGTGGTGTAACATGGTTTTCATGTGGTGCAACATGGTTTTCATGTGGTGCAACATGGTTTTTATGCGTTGTCATATGGTTTCCATTTGTGCCATATGGTTTTCATTGTTTTTCTGTGTTGCAACATGGTGTTTCTATGTTGCAACATGGTTTTTCTGTGTTGCAACATGTTTGACATATATAGATATATGGTTGTCATATGTAGATATATGCTTTATTTTAATTCATCATATCTTTGTAAATACTTAATGGAATGGAATCATTTTTTTTGACAAAAAGATTGTAGTTTTCATGGGATTCAAAATCCCTCCTATGACGATCAGAGACGATCAGGTAGGGTAATATTAATGGGACTATTCCCAATCTTATGTAATATCTTGCCAACAGTAATTTTATGTTATACTGTTGAAAGCTTTGTATAGAATCGTGTTAAAATCATTTTGTTGATACAGAATAATCCAATAAATATTATAAATTATCAATGTGGCTTTATTTTCTTACTTCATAATGCTCAAGGAGGGTTGGATGGCCAAATGGTTAGTGTGTGCACGTTGTATCATAAGGTCTGTCATTGAGTCAACTGTCATGGTTTCGATTCCCCAGTTTTAGGTGACAAGGAGTGGGGTCGCCAGTGCAATCACATCGGTTTTATTGAAATAAAATTGAACCATGTTTGTGTCGTGGAGGTTAAGTCAGTGACTAGTTGTTCGGATGGGATGAAAAACCGAGGTCCCGTGTGCACGTAAAAGATCCCTTGACAGTTGGAATTTGATATAAGAGTAGACTGTAGTGTCGCTGTCCGGGCAAAATTTCCCTCATAGCACACTATATGCGTGGTATGTTGATCTTCATTAGCCCAGTTCCAAGCAGAACAGTAGGATGTTAACCCCTCTCTCTCTCTCTCTCTCTCTCTCTCTCTCAAGAGTTGTTGTTCCTCATGCAGATCAGCCATCATCACGCCCCTGGGTGCCCTGTGTAAATCGTTATACTTTATATACAGTCAACCTTGCTGTCTGGTGATTACTCTCTTTCTACCCAACTGCATCACTGGGATCCAATCTTGCCTGTGTTGGATCAGAGATTCGTATCTATTCAGACCCAACCCAGGGGCGGATCTAGGAATTTTGAAAAGGGGGGGCGCCGCAAAATGAGGGCATTGACAGCGGAGACGGGGCACGCTGACGATAAAGGATAAAGCACACGGCCGAGAAACTTTTCTCATAAAAAGTTTTGATTTACAAAAAAAAATTATGTAGCTGAGCAGGGGGGGGGGGTCGCCCCCCCCCCCTCTGGATCCGCCCCTGCCGGCAGCTAAACAACAAAAATTCGTTTGAAAGTGAAAGCATTAATTAGACCAGACTGGTGTGTTTGAGTTGATGGTTTGAGTCATTTGGGATCCCTGCAACGGGTTGGGAACGGACATTTTTGGGTCTGAGAAAAGGCACTTTCAGCAGTAAAAAAGGGCACTGTCGAAAATTAGGGTGCGCGCCCTTCGCCCCCCCCCCCCTTGGATCCGCCTCTGCAACCGTATCATTGAGATCCAATCTTGCCTGTACTGGAACACGGATTCTCCACCCATTTACCGTACCTATTTCTACCCAACCGTATGACTACAATTACCGTACCTCGTATGACGAAGATCCAATCTTGTCATGCGGTGTTTCATGGATTCTTCTAGTTCTTTTTGGACCTTTCTCTGAACGGACGATTACAGTAATTTAGGTTATACCCTGTATCACTTAGACCCGGATACAACCCTTTTGGATGGAATATACTGGGCACGATGGGGGGTTGGATGGCCGAATGGTTAGCACGTGCGCGCTGTATCATAAGGCCTGTCATTGAGTCAACTGGCGTGGTTGCGAATAAATAGGATTGCCTGTCCAACCTCGTGGGTTTTCTCCGGAACCTCCAGTTTCCTCCCACTGCTAAAGACCCCTACGCGCAAGCGATTGATTGAAATAAAATTGAACCATATGTTAGTCCCAAAATGACCTGGTTTGTGTCGGAACTAACATATGGTTCATTTTAATTTCAATAATTCGCTTGCGCGTGGGGGTCGTTAGCAGTGGGAGGAAACCGGAGGACCCAGAGAAAACAGGCGACCCTACTCCATTTCACATACAAGCGGGAAATTGAAACCACACCGGTTGACCCCATGACAGACCTTATGATACAACGCGAAAAGCATTCGGCCATCCCACCCCCCTCCCTCAAACAAAATGTGTGAAAGGAAGACATTTTAAATATGTAAAAACGGAAGAATTAAACAATTTATTCAATTAAATAGAACGCATCATGTACATCAAAAATAACAGCATAATTCATTTTTTTAAAAATTAATTTTTTATTTCACTCTTTAATTGGATGCCACCCCCTCCCCATTCCCCTGAAATGGATATGCCCGGGACAGTACTCTGTATTTTGTTTTGTTCATGTTTCCCAGTCATCAGTACAAAGTTTATTATATAGAGAGTGTATATTCAAGTCGACACGAAACCATTTCCGTTAAAAGGATGCTTGAGTTAAGTGAAACGAGTATGGTTAAACTACTTTAGTCAGGCAGAATCTATAATATTGGTTATAAAATTATCAAGGCCGCCATTGTTGAGAATTTCTCGCTTTCTAAACTATCTCACCGCGCTGTTTTTTGTGCCGATTGTTGGACGGGGGACCGATAAGTTATTTGTTTAACGTCCTACTGTTCTGATATATGACTGGGCTACATGTCCGCTAATGTGTACATGGGACCTCAGTTTTTTCTGTCCCATCTGAACGACTAGACACTGTCCTTGCCCGGCCCGTCATCCTGCACGACTGACAAGGGGGAACCGCGCCAGAAAATCCCAAGAAACTTTCTCGGCCATCACCGGAGCGAACGCGAGACCTGGTTAGCGAGCCAACGTCTTACTCACTGAGTACATGAATATCTGACACTACATGAATTTGTGACCAGTTTTAGTGGAAGGTCGCGTCAGGGGTCATGTGAGCGTCCCATGATTTTGCATGAAGAACAAGATCCCGCCCGGGTCCCCAAAAACAATATCTATATGTGAGTGCGGGGGAGAGGGGAGCCCCTCCCAGTGCTGCCGAGTAATATTGGGCTGTGTGTAACATGCTAGAATCGATTTGTAGAAAATCTGACCCACTGGTTGAGCATTGTGATTATATAATATTGGAACCGCATTGAAACCGTGTGATTTTTTAACATTTGCGAGGGGGCGCAAAAACTGAAGAGGGCGCAAAAACTCAAACCCTGACGCAAAGCTCGTCATTGCGTCCCTCTCACTGAGCTCCTGAGCAAAATTGTGCTCATGGCACACACCATGGCGTTTTCCCATCTTTATTTTCCAGGATGTAGACAAAAAATAAGACGCTAAACCCCATTCCATTTCAAGCCGGAAATTCGTAATTACGGGAAATCACGATGTAGGTCGAATACGCTATATTAGTTTGAGCATCGTTAATTTTAACAGTATTTTTTTAACAGTGTAAAACACAGTCATTATCACTCGATGTACCTTGGACAGAAGTTCAACAAATGAACTGATTGTTGATGTTAGTACCCTGGTTTATTTAACTGATAAATTAAACAAATTAACCTGTCAACACACACAGAGAGAGGGGGAGAGATTATCTATAATATCTATAATAGTACATAGCGTGATGCATCTACTACTATAGAACAAGGTAAGTCGCTGTTCTATTTGTTGGCATTCGAATGAAAAAAGAACCATGAATTGAAATGGGGTTTTAAGACCTACTCTTCTGCTCTGACAGGAAATTCGTTGACGAGTAGGCGGAAATATCGCTGTCCGGGCCAGATTCTCCTCATCGGATATTATATGGCTCGTTCTGAAATGAAATGAAATGGAGTTTAACGTCCTACTGTTCTGCTCCTAACCTGGGCTAATGAAGACGGGCATACGCCATACAGTGTGCTATGAGGGAAATTTTGCCCGGACAGCGGCACTACGGCCTACTCTTATATCGAATTCCAACTGCCAAGGGATCTTTTACGTGCACGCCAATGTGTACACGGGACCTCGGTTTTTCGTCCCATCCGAACGACTAGACAGCTTTCCTTGTCAGCCCCTCCGTCCTGTATCACTGACAAGGGAGAACCACGCCGGAAAATCTGGATGAACTTTCTCGGCCAATGCAGGGATCGAACACCCGACCTCCAGGCTAGCGAGCTAGCGTCTTACCCACTTAGCCACGTGATCCCCATGGCTCGTTCTATTCTCATCTTCATTAGCACGACTGATGAGTAAGGCCTGGGGCTTGTTTCACAAAATTTGAACTAAGATAAAATCCAAATTTTAGGAATTTGATTGGATAATATTAGATTGATTTTAATGCTTAGCCAATCAAAATTAAAGTATCTACATGTACTAAAATTTGGATTTTATCTTTAGTTAAGATTTCGAGAAACAGGGCACAGGACGTTAAACCCCATGGAAGTGTGCACTTCAAATGTTAAAGTGTGTATGGTTATATTCTTTGCGCGCTGTATCATAAGGCGGTTTCACTTCGCCGGAGTTGGGTCGCCTGTTCACCTTTTTTTTTTTCTTTTTTTTTTTTAGTGGCATTAATCAACTTAAGGCTAGTAATTTCAACAAAGACGTAACTGTTGTTTTATTTTGAAAGCTAAACGTTTAATTTACGGTTCAATACTGTTTGTATTCATGGTTCAATACTGTTTGTATTTACGGTTCAATACTGTTTGTATTTACGGTTCAATACTGTTTGTATTTACAGTTCAATACTGTTTGTATCTACGGTTCAGTACTGTTTGTATTTACGGTTCAATACTGTTTGTATTTACGGTTCAATACGGTTTGTATCACGGTTCAATACTGTTTGTAGCTACGGTTCAATACGGTTTGTATCTACGGTTCAACACTGTTTGTATCCACGGTTCGATACTGTTTGTAGCTACGGTTCAACACTGTTTGTATCCACGGTTCGATACTGTTTGTAGCTACGGTTCAATACTGTTTGTATTTACAGTTCAATACGGTTTGTATCTACGGTTCAATACGGTTTGTATCTACGGTTCAATACTGTTTGTATTTTTGAATTACATACACGTACATTGAGTCCTCTTAATGTTGTCATTGCTTAGGACATCTAAAGGACTTGTCGCGCCATCCGAACAACGTCGGCAACGACCTTGTTACAAAGTTCATCGGGGTTTTTTTCCGGCGCCCCACCCGCACAGAGAGCTTGGCAAGGATCCACTCTCCCAAACAGAGTTGTCTTTGCTTGCAGTTCATCGAATGCTGGATAGCGAGACTGGTGTGGAGAATGGCAAGGAACAACGTATAGTCGTTCGGATGGTACGAAAAGCCTAGGTCCAGTATACATATTGGCTGTTGGAATTCGATATAAGAGTAGGCCGTAGTGCCGCTGTCCGGGCAAAATTTACCTAATATCACACTGTATAGCGTATGCCCGTTTTATTAGCCCAGTCGGAGCAGAACAGTGGGACGTTAAACCCTAGTTCATAAAATGTGATAACTACTGTATTAGGTGTAAACCATTTGCTCTATGGTAAAATATTTTGCGTTACGTACGATAATAAGACAATGGCCTAGATTAAGTGATAACATATGCTTATCTAGACCATATTTTATCGGACAACAGTTATTTATCTTAAATATGCATCTCTGATAAATAAAACAATTATTGCATATGATTAATAGACCTATTTTTTAATTTGTGTTTAGATTGTGTTTACTGTATAACACTGACACAAATAATATTTCTACAGCCAGAGTTGAGTTCTCCTTTAAATTTTAATCCTCTCGTTACAAAGTCATCGTCGCTATGACGTTAAAACTCGAAACCGCCTTACCACAGAGCTTTATAGCTCCGTCCTTTGTTTATCTTATAATGAAAGCTCCGTCCTTTGTTAATCTTATAATGTCAGTCATTCTACAAGAACTCTCTGTAATAGACCGTTTCATTGGCTAATCCCTCACTTCAACCAGAACGCCGGTAATATAACAACTCTTCCAGATCCTAGTGTAGTAAAGACAAGTAAAACGAAATTTTGAACTATAAAAAACGAAACGAAACAGGATCTGTGTTTTAATCAGATGGATTGCCCATAATAGTAATTGTTATCCATAAACAGTGCGTTATACTGTTACATTTGATTATGTTCCAATTACTAAATGTCAATTGAAATTATTGTATTTTAGGAATTTTGAGCCAAGAAGAGGGATTGGATGAAGACAGTGACAAGATGTGTACGAAGAGTATTTTATTGTTGTTTACACTTGGTGTGCTATTAATAGCCTACAGGATGTACAACATATTACAGAGACCAATGCCATTAGACCTCGATCAACCAGAAAAACTTAGATTTGTCGACGAACTCGGCAGAATCGCTAGATTCTTGGTAAGGTTTCATGCATCCTCGGTATCCCCAGTGATCTCATTCCGTTCTAGTAGAATGGGATGAGACAATCTGGTTAAAACACAGATCCTATTTCGTTTCGTTATTATAGTTCAAAATTTCGTTTTACTAGTCTTTACTACACTAGGATCTGGAAGAGTTGTTATCATTGACATGTTCTGGATGATGTGAGGGTTTAGCCAATGAAACGGTCTGATACAGCGAGCTGTTGGCATGTGGCACACGAAACTGTGGGTAATCCACTAGTAACATCAATGCTGATTGGTTAATCAAATGTCTGACATCATAGGGTCATAAGTCGGTCTTTTGACCCCTGACGTGGCCTATCGCTATAACTTGTTAGATATTCATGTAGTGTAGGCCATCGAAAGTATAAAAAAACGAAACGAAATATAGATCTGTATCTAAATCAGATTGGGGGTGAGACGACTGGGGATACCGAACGTGAGTTTCATGCAATGGAAAGGAAACTGAAATACGGCGGGTGCGGTTGTGACACTATCCTGTGTCGCGGTACCAAATAAAACCGACCATCAATTAACTAAGTTTATATAATTAAACAAATACAGCAAACTAAAAAGTTATGATAGTACTTTTCGAGTTATTAAATTATCCGCGGTCTGAGTTTAATGTCCTTTCTGACTCAGACCTAACGGCTTAAACGTGGCAAGAATCGCATACTTCTTGATAGTTCTACACAATGTTTGCAGTAGGATGATGTGTTCATCCTAGCCTCTAAGCCGAGGAGGCTATAGGTATAGTGATCTCCCGAGCTCCAAAAGATCGTCTGAGGGTAAATCAAACCCGCTCTATAATATATAGAAAATGTAATGCGTCATCTATTAGGGCGGGACAATTACCATTTTTGGGTAAGTGTTTCATATGGGCACCGTTTAACGTCAACATTACTCTATTTAACTGGACGAATTCATGCACGAGATGACTGGACGATAGCAGCCTACTTTCCAGAAATGGATACTGACATAAATGTGCAGGACTGAGGAGGGCCTGGCAAGGACAGCTTTTTAGTCATTCGGATGAGACGAAAAACCGAGGTCCCGTGTATACATAAGCGTGCACGTAAAAGATCCCTTGGCAGTTGGAATTCGATATAAGAGTAGGTTGAAGTGTCGCTGCCCGGGAAAAATTACCCCCATAGCACACTGTATAGCGTATGCCTGTCTTTATTAGACAAGTCGGAGCAGAAAAGTAGGACGTTAAACCCCATTTCATTTCATTTCAATTTAATCATTATCTTTTATAGTTGTGTTTAATTTAATCTTTATATTTTATAGTTAATCTTTATATTTTATAGTTAATCTTTATATTTTACAGTTAATTAAATCTTTATATTTTATAGCATTCGGCAAACCTCAGCAGATTCCAGTACCCTACATCTAGATGTAGGGCACCGGAATCTGCCTAGATGTAGGGTACCGGAATCTGCCGAGGTTTGCCGAGTGATTTTATAGTTGTGTTCAACTTAACCTTTATCTATTATAGGAAAATGGATTGGAATATCTGGGTATAACACCAGCCTCTCGTCCTTTAAAAGTATTGGTAGATTTAGTTTTATCGTTGTTGACAAACCCAATTATTCGGATACCGGATAACATTAAGGTAAGAACATTCAAGTTAACCCAGTAGGGTCGACTGTCCATCTTCGTGGGTTTTCTCCGGGTCATCCGGTTTCCCCCGAATGCTGAAGGTGAGTTGGATAGCCGAATGGTTAGCAACGTACGCACTGTATCATTAGGTCTGTCATAGAGTCAATTAAGGCCGTCGGCCATAGTCGCCATTTTATTACCAAATCTGTATAACCTTAAAGATGCGTTATATAAGAATTAGATAAATAATTGGTCGTTCTCGCTATACAATTTCAAAAATAGATAATACAAAATAAACATATTGAAAAAATTTCATTCAAATTACATTATTTTGAGCGAAGTTATCAATAGTTGTAGTGCATTGATCGTAACTACCGTACTGGTCATTCGAGTCTTAGCCACATTAAGGCCTGCAAGCATAATGCCCGTTTAACAATCACAGAAATTTAAATCATCATTTTATTTTATTTATTTATATTTTCAGATAACAGAGGAGGTGTTTAACGGGGTCAAAGTTCATGTTTATACTCCAACGGGTGGCAGTAAACCTCTACCAGTATTTGTGTTTTTCCATGGCGGTGGGTGGACGTGGTTCTCTGTTGGTGAGTAGTTAACGGGGTTTTAAGCTAGATTCCCACTTGGTGAGTAGTTATCGGAGTCTTAAGCTAGATTCCCACTATCACGATTCGTGCTACGATTGAATTCGTGGTTTTAATCGTTGAGTAATGATCAGGCCCGTAGCCAGCGGGGGCCAAAGGGGGGCAATGCCTTCCCTATAAAAATGTTTTGAACCCCCCCCCACCCGCCGAAAACAAATTTGGCGACCATAGCTCTGAAATACGTACTGTAGACTGTGCCGGGTGTGCCCCCCCCCCCTTAAAAACTTCACTGCCCCTCCGCAGCCAGGCTACGGACCTGGTAATGGTGATGATCCTGTCAGGTTTTATCAGGCGATCAGCTGTAGAAATTATGTTGATCGTATCGAAACGTATCCGCGGGGTTGCGTGGCCGAATGGTTAGTACGTACGGCTTGTTGTGATATGGGTGGTTGGATGGCCGAATGGTTAGCACGTGCGTGCTGTATCATAAGGCCTGCCATTGAGTCAATTGGCGTGGTTTCGAATCCCCGGTTGTACGTGACAAGGAGTAGGGTCGCCTGTTCAGCCTTGTGGGTTTTCTCCCGGTCCTGCGGTTTTCTCCCACTGCTAAAGACCCCTACGCGCAAGCGAATTATTGAAAGAAAATTAAACCATATGTTAGTCCCGAAATGACCTAGTTTGTGTCGAGTGGACGTTAAACCCCATTTCTCTCTCTCTCTCGAAACGTATCCGAACGTATCTGCACGTACCAGATCGTGGACTCAATAGGGACAATCCTGTTGTAAAGCATCGCACGACAGTGGGAACCTACATTTAAGAATGTCGTATCGTTCGAATTGGACTTATTTCCATTTGGCTACAATTCGTTTAGGATTGTTTAAACTCAGACCTAAATATTGCAATGGCTATCCACCCATCCATTCATCTAGCAAAGTGATTCTCAACCAGTGTGTCGCAAGTTCCTCCTAAGTGTGTCGCGAAATTTTGAACAGCACACTAAGAAAATGCGAAAGACCACGCGAGCCCAATTGAGTATTCACTGGTGTCTACTGATAAGTTCATAGCTGTGTTTTTCTTTATTTAGTTTGAGCCATTCTATGTGTCTATGACTTGTCTCTGTCTACGGTTGTATGCCGTCTATGGATTGCCATGTTTTTATTTCGCAAAAATATTTTTCATATATATTTTGCCAGGTGTGCCGCTATTTTTTCATGTGTTCCAAGGTGTGCCGTTGGCAAAAAAGGTTATTTATTTATTCATTTATTATTTATTTTCTCCAGGGACCTATAATGCAGCACTCAGGAACTTTGCCAATAAAACAAACCACGTGGTTATTGCTGTCGAGTAAGTAAAATATCTTTATATGAAAATTACGCTATCAATTAACACGTGTTGTGTCCTAGAACAGGGTATACTTTAGATGTGTTGTCGTATTTAGTCTATAATCATCATCCATCATAGCCTTAAGTTCGTTTTCCATGTGCGCGTGTTCGCATGGAGACGGTCCCATTACATTTGCATTAGAAGAAATTTTTCGCGCGTAAACGCATACATGGAAAACAGGCCTAAGGATCTTAGCAGTGGTCGCATCCAATGGTGCAGACTATATTCAATGTTCTAAAATAAAGCATCCAGGGTTAACTTCACGCTATCAGTTTAATTAGGCCTAAAGCTTAGCTCACAACCCGCCGTAGGGTTTGGCATGTTCCTGAAGCAACGACTGGACGAACTTATAGCTGTGTTATCTACAGACACGTGAGCAGTAGAGTCCAATCAGAGGTTGTGACATCGCGACCTCCACGGAAACCTTGACATTGAATAAACCTTGAACTTTGCAACTCGATTATCACAGGTAGACATTTTAGCTTGATAGCGCGAGACTTGGTATTCGCGACGATCGGGGAATCTGGACTTGTACCCAATCGAAATTAGTGCCGAAATATGCAGGGTATTACGTGAAGGCCTTGATAAGATGTACGTAGTTAAAGCGAGATCAAGCCTTCTATTGAAGATGAAGGTTTGGTAGCTCGCAGACCAGCTGCAAGAAGACGGCTGAAATCTGCATGACCAAAAGTCTCTACGGCCAATCTGCGATCTTCTACGGTGCCGAACACACACAAGTGACGCCTAAGTCTCATGTGCGGTTTTACTAAAATTCCTGCCGTAGACTGCCCGTATAGTAACACGTATGGCTTTTTGTGATCTGGGGGGTTGGATGGCCGAAAGGTTAGCGTGCGCGCGCTGTACCATAAAGTCTGCCATTGAGACAACTGACGTGGTTTCGATTCTTGACAAAGAAAGCCTCGTGGGCTTTTTCCGGGTTCTCCGGTTTCCCCCACTGCTAAAGACCCCTACGCGCAAGCGAATTATGGAAATGAAATTGAACCATATGTTATTCCCGAAATGACCTTTTTGTGTCGAGTGGACGTTAAACCCTATTGCTCTCTCTCACTCACTTTGTTTTGATCTAGGCCTATAGGCCTAATCTAATCTATCCACTGTTGTATTTTTCAGTTATAGAAAAGCCCCTCAAGATATATTTCCGGCAGCGTACGACGATTGTCTTGCAGTAACGGAACATGTTCTAGAAAACACGCAGACGTTAAATATAAAAAAGGACGCAATTTCATTGGCCGGTGACGGTTCCGGTGGAAATATTGCGGCTGCCGTTGCTATCGCGTTGAAGGAAAAAATAAAAATGCAGCTACTTATAAACCCGGCATTACAAATGGTGAATTTTAAAACCCCGTCTTATCAAGACAATGAGGATGTTTTAGCGGGACTGACATCTCCAGAAAAAGTAGCCGCTGCTTGGTTACGGTATGCAGGAATGCCACTCGATTTAAAATCTACGTTGCTAAGTAACCAACACATTTCATTAGACATTCATAAAAAATATTGGAACCTTTTAAACAGCAAATATCATGTTCCCAAATATCTGAATGTTACAAAGAAAAAAACAGTTTATCCACGCGAGAAAGCGGACAGGATTTCTTTTGTGTTTGATGAACTAATCGCAGATGTGCGTTTTTGTCCGATGTTGACGACTAAGCTCGACAATTTACCAAGTACGTACATTATTACGTCACAGTATGACGTATTGCGTGACGAGGCAATCATGTATTCTCACAGATTACAACAAGCGGGTATCAAGGTGAAATTACGTCACTATAAAAATGGTTTCCATGGATTTTTTCATTTTGCTCATCGGTGTTTACTGCAGTTTAAATCAAGCAAATTGGCGCTGGAACACCTGGTGTCGTTTCTAAACTTTAACAATTTTCACAACTGAAATATTTTCACATGAAAACATAATTGTATCATTTTAGTTTGTCGAAATTAGCCTGTTGAAAGCAACCAAATAATTTATATTGGCCTGTTGGAAAGCCTTGTGCACATGCGCAATAGCTGGTAATTAAAGTCCATGATTCCAATTTAATTAACAGCTGTCACGAATGAAGGCCGTATGATATCATTGCAGGGGGGTGAAATGAGATGGGGTTTAAAGTCCTAAGTACTTTTCTGTACCAACCAGGGTGTAATGGTTCCCGGTGTTCTTGGTATTCATACGCCTGTTTAAGGCATCCCACGATAACTCTTCACTGATTGATTAATGCTTAAAGATACATTATGGGAGATTCGATAACGAGCTGGCAGTTCTCACTTTGATAGCTAAAAACTAGATAATGTAAAGGGAATTTCCTGAAAATTTCAGTGAAATTGATTCACCCTGAACAGATTTTAGCGATTGAATTTTCGACCTAGCCTCGATCATCATTACTAAAGTCGGAACGATAAAAACATAGTTTCGGTTATCCATTTAATGTTTAAATCATGAATGAAAGTTGAGCAGCAAATCGGATCCAAATCCAGTAAATATCAAAGGCTAGCTTTGACATCGAGGGTTGATTATGGTCTGGATAAGTTAATTAATGTCTAATTAATAATTCAGATACTATTTCTGCCACATCCAACTACAATAAAGTATATAATCCTAACCGAAACGGGTAGAAATCATCGTATTTAAAATCGAAGCTTTAAGCCGTTACTAGGACACGCCATTTTAAACGGGAAATGTATGGCTGTGTATGTCGGATAAAAACGACGCTTCATTAATTTAAACGCGAACATTTGGAGTTAGGCGATAGTTGTGCCATTATATGACCTCTGTATGTTTAATTAGTCATAATAGTATAAAATTATCTTATTTTTTAAGATGTTACATGCATTAATAAAGAAATTGAATTTGCCACTTGGAACTAAAGGCACCCAGTCGTACATGTAGCTAAAAGCAAGCACATCGGTATATCACAAAGTTTTTAGCTACAATCGCGTAGCTATGACCTAGGGTGATTGAAATTTTGTTCGTGGCATATGCTTTAAACAGGATTATACATGCAAGTGGAATTTGACGAAATTTAGGAAGGAAATGTCTCGAACTCTTAAAACTAGCCATAGGCCTAAATTCCCGATATGTGAATTATTCGTATTTGAATGACCACCCGACCGACCCGATCCCCCGCCCAACAACAAAACCCAACCAGACGACTCAAGACTTTCCCACAGTTCACATATAACCCCGTTTTCATTAGCCCAGTCGCAGCAGAACAGTAGGCCGTTAAACTTCATTTCATTTCATTTTATAGTACATATAACTTCTAAGTGCAATGTCGGGGGGTTGGATGGCTGAATGGTTAGCGTGCGCGCGCTGTATCATAAAGCCTGTCATTGAGTCAACTGGCGTGGTTTCGAATCCCCAGTTGTACGTGGCAAGGAGTAGGGTCGCCTGTCCAACCTCGTGGGTTTTCTCCGGGTTCTCCGGTTTCCTCCCACTGCTAAAGACCCCTACGCGCAGGCGAATTATTGAAATAAAATTCAAGCATGTGTTAGTCCCGAGATGACCTACTTTGTGTCGAGTGGACGTTAAACCTCATCTCTCTCTCTCTCTCTCTCTGTCTCTCTGATATGACTTTAAGTAGTGATTGTAACGATGGGATTAAATCGAAAGCTCTTTCAATAATATGAAAAACCTTCTTTGACCGGCATTTAGCAATTGACACAAGTAATAAACACAAAAACATAATATGAAACAAAATTACTATTTCAATTAAAGCAACGTTTCGTTGAGGGTTCACTCAACGTTCTCAAGCAAATAATATGAACAACCTCTTCAAAGTTGACAACCACTCGACCTTAATTAATAAGTGTTAACATGGTTTCGTACATCAAAGCGAGTAATTTTACCTATTAAAAACGGATTAGACCCACTTAACGCCTTTCACCTGTCAGTCAATAGTTTTAATTGAAATAAAACTAACGAGTTATCTACCCTTGGCATGGCAATGAGTTTAATAAAGGAACGCCATTCTTGACCAATGTCGGCAAACGGTCCTGATTAATTTACAAACTAATACCCAGGAAAAACGCCTGTGGAATAATTGAATAAAAAGGGGTTAAAGTCCTACTTTTCTGCACTTTCTAGGCTAGTGAAGACGACATGAAATGAAATGGGGTTTAACGCGAGAGAGATAGAGAAAAATGGGGTTTAAACGTCCACTCGACACAGTCTAGGTCATTTTGGGACTAACGTAGGGGTCTTTAGCAGTGGGAGGACCCTGAGAAAACCCACGAGGTTGGACAGGCAACCCTACTCCTTGTCACGTACAACGGGGTATTCGAAACCACGCCAGTTGACTCAATGACAGGCCTCATAATACAGCGCGCACGTGTTAACCATTCGGACATCCAACACCCCCGGGATTCAATGCCCTATCTCGTCTTGGCTAACGAAAACGGCAGTGAAGACGAACATTTGGAATTAAAGATGAATTATCCCTAGCACTACAATTTGACTACGAGTCTCAAAAGGTACGACAGTGCTCTTAAACAACAACTTGGAGGCGTTTTAAACAAATAATTCCTATTCGCTCCTATATTTCTACCCTTAGCTAGACTTGCCTAGCATACACGACTAGCCTTTCCGGCAAGTGTTTAAGGAGACACCCTATCACCATAGCTGAAAAAGAAGGCGAGGACCTTAGTCATGGCCAGTTTGTCTGCGAAACTACCCTTGGTGGAAGCAGATAGTAATCCTCATACTAGTTGCAGTTGTTGTTAACGACTAATGCGCCAAAAAGAAGGGGGTTGGATGGCCGAATGGTTAGCACGTTCGCGCTGTATCATACGGTCTGTCATTGGGTCATGTGGCGGTGGTTCCGATTACACGGTTGTACGTGACAAGGAGTAGGGTCGTCTGTCCAACCTCGTGGGTTTTCTCAGGGTCCTCCGGTTTCTTCCCACTGCTAAAGACCCCTACGCCCAAGCAAATGATTGAAATAAAATTGAACTATGTGTTAGTCCCGAATTGACCTAGTTTGTGTCGAGTGGACGTTAAACCTCATTTATCTCTCGCATAATATATATATATATATATATATATATATATATATGAAATGAAATTTAACGTCCTATAGTTCTGCTCCGAACTGGGCTATTGAAGACGGGCTTACGCCATACAGTGTGCTATGAGGGTAATTTTGCCCGGACAGCGGCACTACGGCTTACTCTTGTATCGAATTCCTACTGTCAAAGGATCTTTAACGTACACGCCAATGTGTACACGAGACTACTTAAAGTTATACCCATGCAATGGTGCCCAGACAGCGGCGATACAATCTGCTCTTATATCGCAACTGACTTTCGTCCTGCAGCACTGACAAGGGGGAATCATTCCGGAAAACCTTCTTGGCCAAACCGGGGGTGACAGGGCCTTTGAGAGGAAAAAATGTGCTGAGGCGAGTCCTTTTTTGCCCCCCCCCCCCCATTCCAACACTAGTAATATCTAGATGATTTAGTTGAACTCTATATGTTCGGGTGACTTGGGACCCATAGAGACTTATGGCGCACCGGTTGCACCCCTGCCCTCCACAACCCGTCTCGTGAGGTCTTGAGGGGCGAACACGGGACCCCCAGACTTGCGAGTCAGCGTCTTACTCAATGCGCTACTGCGCACATTTCTGATGTTTTGTGCGGGCTGGCGGATTCTTTAGTTTGTGTCTTTTAGATTGTTTTATTATTCAAAGAAAGAAAATATCACTGGAGCCATGTTTCATTTTCATTTGAATTAACAAAGATCGCGAGAAAAACCTGATCCTCAATTAATTTGATCTTCTTCTGGGATTATAAACGGTACGTTGAACAATTCTTAACGCTAGAAATTGTAAATTGACCCGACTACGTCACAATTATATCGTCTCAATAGTAACCACAGTCTCAGACAGGCTGATTACTTTTTTAATCCGTGCCGAACCAAGTTAAGTACGCAGTTAAGCATTGGCTCGGGAATTATATTTTGGAGTGGGTTGACATAATTCTAGGGGCGCGGGGGGCGTTTCCCTGCGTCATTGGGGAATTGTTTGATATTGCTGTATCCTGGAGTCATTTTCTAGTATATTCGCGGAAAATATACTTACTAGACACCTTCTTGTAGGGCTGAATAATATGGCAGTATATTAGACTCAAAATTCTAACATGCTATCGTCTAATTTCTAACTTCTATTCATGTAATTTCTAACTTCTATTCATGTAATTTCTAAATTAAGACAATGTATAATCCAACTTCTTTTTTTGTTTAGTGTAAATTTTAATTCTGTTTCGTCTTATTTCTATTATTAAGACGGAAAATGTCTACTTTGTTGTCGCTTTACATGTTAAGCATGAAAGTAAAACAAATTTAGAATTTTGATACTTCTACTTAGCAACTATCATTATGACGTCGTTTGGTGTCGCCACCGTGTGATCGAGACCATTATGTTGATACCAACGACTCGCTCTTCGTCAGGTTGAATGGTTTGGCGGAGTGTTGATATTAAAAACAACATCGAACGTGACAGGGTTTGCAAATTGAAATACTATTTCAAATATAAGCTAAACCGCAAATGTTGTTTAGCTTGTATTTGAAATAGTATTTGCCAACCATATCACGTTCGATATTGTTTTCAATTTCAGCATCGATTGCCCGTTTCGGCGGTTGTACGTGACAAGGAGTAGTGTGGCCTCTCGTTGGTTTTCTCCGGGTCCTCCTGTTTCCTCCCACTGCTAGACCCCTCCTCGCAAGCGAATTATTGAAATAAAATTGAACCATATGTATATGTTAGTAACGAAATGGCCTTGTTTGTGTCGAGTGGTCGTTGAACCCCATCTCTCTCTCTTGGTGGCGACACCAAACGACGTCATAATGATGGATGCTAAGTAGAAGTATCAAAATTCTAAATTTGTTTTACTTTCATGCTTAACATGTAAAGCGACAACAATAATAGAAATAAGATGAAACAGAATTAAAATTTACACTGGACAAAAAAAGAAGTTGGATTATACATTGTCTTAATTTAGAAATTACATGAATAGAAGTTAGAAATTACATGAATAGAAGTTAGAAATTACATGAATAGAAGTTATTACATGAATAGAAGTTAGAAATTAGACGATAGTATGTTAGAATTTTGAGCCTAATATACTGCCATAGAATAATGCACGCTAGCTACATAAAAAAATTTTTTAAAACAACACTTTTATGGGAAAAGTTTCACGGTCGTGTGCTTTATCATTAGATGGTGGGATGGGATGGGCATTCAAAGCGCGAGATAATGATATACACATGTGATATTACAATTAATGCTTTAATGCATCAATAAAATTGAATCACAATGTAATCCTATATTAATTCATAATAACATTTGACGTAAAAAAGGGTGTCGGATTCTCTCTTTAAAAATCTCAGTGTGTATGCATGCCTACGTAATTTGGAGACGATGATGGCATCTGTCAACTGACTGTCAAATGTCCTTAAAGAGGAACCTGGCAAACTTCCTCCTGCAAAAATTCCTGGATCCGCCCCTGGTTCATTGTTGAAGACTGCTCACATAGCTAAACTTTGAAGAACGCAAAATAACCTATTAACAATAACTCAAATATGTGGGTTGGCAAAATAAACCTTCCTGCCGGAAACTCCCGATTAACTTTCTCGACCAACACCGGGATCGAACCCGCGATCTCCAGGCTAGCGAGCCAGCGTCTTACTCGCTTAGTCACCGTGGCTCCCAGAAATCTGAGAAGGAAAGACATTTTAAATAAGTAAAAACAAATTAATTAGGGCACTTTTACAACAAAGTTAACAACGATAATTTCAAATTCAAAAAAATGGTGAAAGTTTGATTGTATGCCCCCCTGAAATGGATGTCATGGGTCGTCTCCGCCGCTGCCCGACCCTCTAACCCCCATTGTCCATGTAAGTCGCCATATTAAATTCATCTTATCAATATTATTGTATCCTATTTGTATATGTTCGGGGGATTAGGAACTGAACGGATTACAGTAATCTGGATATATTATATGAAGTAGAAATTGGCCCATATGCTGTTTCTAGGAAGTTTTTGGCAAGTGATTGTAGTTCGATAGGGTCAGCATATTGACGGCTATTGAACTATTTAGTTTAGCTGAGAACCGGAGACGAATAGACTTAACTCAACATTTCTGTCACATTGAGACTAACATATGGTGAGTTATTGTCATTTCTATGGTTACACGTACAATGTTAAACGTTGGATTCTGCCCTGAATGTGGCGTTTCCACCAGTTCTTCTTAAAGAATTCCATCTGTCAAGGATTCTGTCACTTGTCCTATCAATAGGTATACAGCAAGTGGGAGAGAGAGAGAGAGAGATGGGGTTTAACGTCCACTCGACACAAACTAGGTCATTTCGGGACTAACACATGGTTTAATTTTATTTCAATAATTCGCTTGCGCATAGGGGTCTTTAGCAGTGGGAGGAAACCGGAGGACCCGGAGAAAACCCACGAGGTTGGACAGGCGACCCTACTCCTTGCAACGTACAACCGGGGATTCGAAACCACGCCAGTTGACTCAATGACAGACTTTATGGTACAGCGCGCACGTGCTAACCATTCAGCCACCCAACCCCCCAACAGCAAGTGGGAGTTTTAACTAAAAGACTTTAATGTGTATTAAAGTAGCTAAGTCTTTAGCTCAATATCATCCAAAGTCTTTGACATTGAAAACACGAAGTATTTGTCAATTTAAATGAACAATGATGTTGTGATCTTACCGGGAAAAGATGGGCTTTTGATATCCAATATTTAAGACAAAATAAAAATGTTACCATTGATACACGAATCGTGGACCAGAAATATATTTCAGCGCCATGTGTAACAAGTGCCTCGATGAACGACGTCAAATGGGTTTTTCCACGGTAACAAACTTGAATCGAATTTTGGTGTACAAGGGCGCGTTGACCTCGTTATTAATTTCTCTTTATGACAGAAGTCTGGCCCTTGAATACTGAATACATCTTTCTTCTATTCCTCTCTTTTCTTATACTGTCTCAGCACTATCATATTCACGGTTATAGTGAACTGCCCCGAGAGAGAGAGGGAGAGAGAGAGGGGGGGGGGATTTGACGTCCACTCGACACAAGCTACGTCATTTCGGGACTAACATATGGTTTAAATATATTTCAATAATTCGCTTGCGTGTAGAGGTGTTTAGCAGTGGGATGAGACCGGAGGACCCGGAGAAAAAACCCACGAGGTTGGACAGGCAACCCTATTCCTTGTCACGTGCAACCGGGGATTCGAAACCACGTCGGTTGACTCGATGACAGACCTTGTGTTACAGCGCGCACGTGGTAATCATTCGGCCATCCAACCCCTCTTAATCACAAGAAAAAGATTTATATTTGAAGGTATATATTCAGTTCAAATAAGTGTAAGTCCTGGCTTTATAAGTGAATATAGAGTGCTTTTATTATCTGACAATAAATAACATATATTAACAAGAGGCGAGCGAATATAATATTATAGATTATATCATGATCTTAAAATATTAATCCCGTGGAGAAATTTAAAGAGACTCTATTGCTTAGAACAAGGTCAAGGAGAACTGACTGAATGAAGGAATGAATAGCTAATAAATAAATGAGAGAGAAAGAGAGAGAAATGGGGTTTAACGTCCACTCGACACAAACTAGGTCATTTCGGGACTAACATATGGTTTTTATTTTATTTCAATAATTCGGTTGCGCGTAGGGGTCTTTAGCAGTGGGAGGAAACCGGAGGACTCGGAGAAAACCCAAGAGGTTAGACAGGAGACCCTATACTCCTTGCCACGTACAACCGGGGATTCGAAACCACGGCAGTCGAATCAATGACAGACTTTATGATACAGCGCACGCACGCTAACCATTCAGCCATTCAACCCCCCCTAATAAATTAATAATACGGGGACACATAAAATATGGTTTCGAACAGACCGTAGGTTTGAGATTGTCGAGGAAATTATATTTTTTCTCTGTGTAGATGAAAGGGGTTCACTCTGATCACCGTCGTTATATAAAATACTATAAATATAAGTATCGAAAGAACAACAGCATGACTTACCAATGGTTTTAGACGCTTAGTCAAGGTCAGTGGTCAAGGCCAAGACGTTAAGCTAGGGTGTAGTATGTGTAGAGATCAGGATAATCCTATCCCGCGGACGAGTGACTACCATAGTACAAGATGCGGCAGGGCATAGAAATATAACCAAGGCCAGTCGCCTCGTAGATCTGACTTTCTACAGGGTTTAAGTGAAAATAATACATTTAGTACTTGTATCCAGGGGCAAGGCCTTTGGATGGAGCCTTTATGGTCATAGGTATAGGCGGCCAATAACAATTGCGGGGGCTGAGGCTATTAGCCCGAAAATTGTCTTTGTCACCGAATTTTCAGAATGAATCAGTCATTAACTGAAACAAATTTTCAAGAAAGCTGTGATGGTTGTTTATTTTTAATTAATTACACAATTACACAAAAATATAAATTTACAATATGTTAAGCAAACAACAACTTAATGTTCCCCATTCTCTGATGTTTGTTTCCGAAACACGGAAATATGTTGCCCTAAAAATGGACGGTTCATGTATATGGTCAAGACGAAAACTACCTTGAACACTGTTACTAACTGATAAGGCACTTGTGCCTTCAACTATAACTATGGAAACGGAAGCGATTAGGTCTCTTAATCGCTTACCCGTCTCCAACCAAAGCGAGACAGACCACGTGTTTGACTCCTCTCGCAAGTTTCCCCAGAAAACACTTGTCTGCGATATCACCCTAGGTAGAAGCCGACGTTAAACCCCATAACTGACTGGATTGAATATGAAGTATTTGAATTAAAAACCTTGACCTGCCTCTTTAAGCAATCTATATATTTTTTTTCTCTCAATAGTATTATGTAGTGTGATATAAAAAGTAAAGCCCGGACATTATTACACACACACACAGAGAGACAGACATTGGATATAAAACCCGAGGTTGTTGAAGGAATACGAATCTACGCTAATTAACTATTGACCGAGAAATCGGATTATGTCGAAGCTAAAAACAGCCCATCTCTGGCAGAGTGCTGCCAGACGATCAAGTCAGCTTACTACTACAGTCAAAGATCTTCATTGTGGCAAAATGCTAAAACATAGGACCAGTTTCCAGAATTTAGCTCTTTCTGCAGTGGATAATAAAAGGTAACATTTTTTTTTTATGAATTATGTATTTTAATCGTGATCTTTTCAAATGATTTGCGATGGAAGTGGTAAATGGGGCTTCGGTGTTTTTTAATTCCCATTGTGTTTTGCTCTTGTTTGTTGTGCAAGATATATGTTTGTGTTGTGGGGGGGAGGGGGGCATAGTCTTATGAATTACGTAATTTAAATAAATTTAGCTCTTTCTGCAGTGGATAAAAAAAGGTAAAATTTAACCGTGATCTCTTCAAGTGATTTGCGATGAAAGTTGCTAATGAATCGGGGCTTCGGTGTTTTTTAATTTACAGTGTGTTTTGTTCTTGTTTTGCCGTGCCGGATATAGTTTTTTTGTTTGTTTTTTTAGGGGGGGGGGGGATAGTCTTATCAATTACGTAATTTATCAATTGTTATATTGAGACACAACCCCCGTCAACAGTATAACTCCATAAGTATCTAGTAAAATTTGGATTTTATCTTTAGTTAAAACTTCGTGAAACAGGCCCCTGGCATATTTCGCCGAACATAACTGATTTGAAAACGGAAACGATTGAATTTAAATCAGTTTATATACATATTCATATTACATTATTATATGCGTTGTGACCCATTTGTGTCAATTTCTAGGTCCCAAATATTAGCGATTTAGCTCATTTAATACAAAACATACCCGGTTCATTCTTAGACTAGCATATGGTAATGTGTGGTCTTTTTTTAGACTAGCATACGGTAATGTTGAGTCATTTTTACACTAGATGGTAATGTTGAGTCATTTTTACACTAGATGGTAATGTTGAGTCATTTTTACACTAGTTGGTAATGTTGAGTCATTTTTACACTAGTTGGTAATGTTGAGTCATTTTTACACTAGATGGTAATGTTGGGTTATTTTTAGACTAACATATGGTAATGTTTGGTCAGTTTTTAGATTAGCATAATGGTAATTTTCCCTTCAACGCAATCATCATTAACGCATATTCACCGACAAACTGGACATTATATCCTGTAAAATAAAGATAAAACACAGAATACTCTGTTCATTTTGAAACAAACATTATGGTAGTTTTCGGTCATTTTTAGACTAAAATATGGTAATATTCACTTTACCGCAAACATCTTTAACCCATATTCACCGAAAAACTGGACATTAGATAAAACCCAGAACACTCTGTTCATGTTGAGACTAACATTATGGTAGTTTTTAGACTAAAATATGGTAATTTTCCCTTTTACCGTAATCATCTATAACCCATATTCACCGACAAACTAGATATTATATTTCCCCGTCATGTGACCTATAAAACCCTGTAAATCGATCACCATTATTTTATATCAATCACCCAGCACATATCATACTATTCCAGCCATTAATGGCGATCAATCGATACTTTCCTATATAGGGATTTATTTATTATTATTATTGTATGACAGAATGGTATGTCAAGTTCGTGTAACAGACTATAGAAGTTAACACTAGTTTACCCATTGGTTTGTTTCATCTATTGTATGTTATGAATCGCCAATAGACCTGTTATATATGAAGATATACATATCTATTCATGTCATTTGTCAAGACTTTTCAATATGATAAGAGTGAAATATGTAATGAATGTTATATTATAATCATGTGTTACAATTCGACTCTAGCATATCGCACGTAACCCCTATCTTTTTCGTCTGCTGTACGACCAAAACAGTAAAATATGTAATAAATGTTATATTCGACTCTAGCATATCGCACGTAACCCACAACTTCTCGGTCTGCTGTACGACCAAAACAGTAAAATATTTAATGAATGTTTTATAACAATCGTGTTACAATTCGGCTCCTGCATATTCCACGCAACCCTCAACTTCTCGGTCTGCTGTACGGCCATAACGGTAAAATATGCAATGAATGTTATATATATATATTACAATCCTGTGTTATTATTCGACTCTAGTATATCGTACGCAACCCCTATCTTCTCGGCCTGTTGGGGTGGGGTGGGGCACGTTGGCTGAGTGGCTAAGACGCTGGCTCGCTATCCTGGAGGTCAGGTGTTAGATCCCTGTACTGGCCGAGAAAGTTCATTCAGATTTTCCAGCCTGGTTCCCCCTTGTCAGTGATGCAGGATGGAGGGCCTGACAAGGACAGCTGTCTAGTTGTTCGGATTGGACAAAACCCGAGGTCCCATGTATAAATTATTTTGCGTGTAAAAGATCCCTTGGCAGTTGGAATTCGATATTAGAGTAGGCCATAGTGCCGCTGTCCGGGCAAGTCGGTGTAGAACAGTAGGACGTTAAATCTCATTTCGGTTTATATTACATATTCATACCTATTACTAACTGTTAGTAAAATTTTGCCCAGGCAGCAGTGCTACGACCTATTCTTATAATCAAATTCCAACTGACAAGGGTCTTTTTTACGTGCATACCTATGTTCTGCATTACTGATAAGAGGGCGCGTCGTAAAATCCCGACCAAACTCTCGACCAACACTGGGACTGAACACGATGTCACCTGGTTAGCGAGCCAGTGTCTTTGTCACTGCGCCACCCCGAATTCCAAGTACGTAAAAAAAAAACTTGCAATTTTCATTCATTCGTGCGAATATAGGTCTACGATTGTTTATATTCATTGACCAATAATTGACCATACCTAGAGCAGATGTGATGTATAAAATAAAAGCCATAAACTGATTGTCGTGTCCTGTATAGTGAAGTTATTACTCCCTTGTCTAGATCTTTATACATATATTGGCCTAAATCTAAATAAGGCCAAAAAACAAAATGTGTCTGTTTTCTGTTACTTGCGCCTCAAAAATAGGGTCGGGAGCCACGGTGGCTAAGCAGGTAAGGCACTGGCTCGCTAGCCTGTGGTTCGCTAGTTCGATCCCTCCATTGGCCGAGTTTTCCGACGTGGTTTCTCCTTGTCAGTGGTGTAGGACGGGGGGTCTGACAAGGATAGCTCTCTAGTCGTTCGGGTGAGACGAAAAACCGTGTATACATTATCATGCGCGTAAAAGTTCCCTTGGTTGTTGGAGTTGATATAAGAGTAGGCCTTAGTGCCGCTGCCCAGGCAAAATTTCCCTCATAGCACACTGTATGGCGTATGCCCGTCTTCATTAGCCCTGTTCGGAGCAGAATAGTAGGACATTAAACCACATTTCATTTGATTTCATTTCCAAAATAGAATCGCTCGCATAACCTTTTCTTTCTTTTGTGGGTCAATATTGGATAGAAGTAGATAAATGTTTTAATAACCTACATCGATATGTTGTATTCTATAGTCTTTATGTCATTTAAAACAGTTTATTATTTATTTCCAAGCATTTCTAGCTTAAAGAAGCTAAATCGCTAAATTTGGGACCCAGAAATTGACACATATGGGTCGCAACGCATATGATAATGTAATATGAATGTATATAAACTAATTTACATTCAATCGTTTCTGTTTTTACTGTAATTTCTAATCAGTTATGTTCGGCGAGATTGGCCATCTCTAGCGCCTGGTTATTCCAGTCTACAACGATAGTATTTATTGCGCATGCTCTCCAGATACGAATATGCGTCGCCGTTTGACATGACTTGTGGAATATGTCTAGCCTCGTTCTTTGACTCCTTTTTAAATGGCGCTAAAACGCATTATGGTACACGATTCGTGTACCAATGGTAAAATGTTTAATTGGTCTTATATATTGAATATCAGAAGCCCATCTTTTCCCTGTAAGATCATAGCATCAATGTTGATTTAAATTGACAAATAATTCGTGTTTTCAATATCAAAGACTTTGGATGATGTTGAGTTAGAGACTTAGCTACTTTTAAATAATGTAAACCGTTTGTTATCTATTTAAATAATGTAAACCGTTTTTTATCTATTTAAATAATGTAAACCGTTTGTTATCTATTTAAATAAGGTAAACCGTTTGTTATCTATTTAAATAATGTAAACCGTTTGTTATCTATTTAAATAAGGTAAACCGTTTGTTATCTATTTAAATAATGTAAACCGTTTGTTATCTATTTAAATAATGTAAACCGTTTGTTATCTATTTCCTAATAACTGAGTAAGGTTCTTGAAAATAATACCAATACAGAAACACACACACATCTATATATTGGCCTAAACGAGGTGTGGGTATAGATTTATGATTTTATGGCTAATCCGTTGTCCTTTTCATACGAGGAGTGCATCAAAAGTTTCCACGTATAGTCGTCTTCTATCTTTTATCAAAAGAATTGTCTATTTGTTTGTTCCGTTGGTTTATTACACGTGTTCTTGTGAACTGTGGTGGTCATAAGTAAGATATATTAGGGAGTTTTTCTTTTGAAGTATGGACATTTAGATTAGTGGTCGTGAACTGTGTGGTCAGTCTAATAACATTGGATGACATTATTAGGATATTATAGCAAGGTATTATGTAGAAAATGGCGTTCAGAAACAGGTATATTTTTTAACTGAACGTATTTTTAATTGTGTGTTTTTATCTGCGGTAAATATAGAATATTGTTTTTAACTGACCGTATTTTTAATTTTGTGTATGTATTTATCTACCGTAAATATAGAAGTATTTATACTTTATCTACTATAATATATATATATCTAAAATATTAGGACAACCGTAAAGCTGCACTACTTTGTTTCACGGTAAACGATGATAAGATAAAAGGTATGCCGAGACAAACTGATTTCAACACTGGTTTAATAACATTTTAACGTTTTTAAAGTGCCTTTCGCTCGTCAGTGAAGCTCGTCAGAAATATAGCCTATATTTATGTATGTTTGTATACTTCTACGAGAAAGCGTGTTTTATTCACGAACATATTAATCAGTTCAAGATTTAACTAGTTTGGAATGAAATGGAATGGGGTTTAACGTCCTACTGTTCTGCTCCTATCCCGGGCTAATGAAGACGGGTATACACCATACAGTGTGTTATGAGGGAATTTTGCCCGGGCAGCGGCACTAAGGCCTACTCTTATATCGAATTCCAACTGCCAAGGGATCTTTTACGTGCACGCTAATGTATACACGGGAACTCGTTTTTTTTCGCCCCATCTGAACGATTAGACCGCTGTCCTACACTACTGACAAGGGAAAACCACGTAGAAAATCCCGATTAACTTCCTCGGCCAATGCAGGGATCGAACACACAACCTCCAGGATGATAAGCCAGCGTCTTACCCACTTAGCCACGGTGTCTCCTTAACTATTTTATTTTTTTTTTGTTTTTTTTGTACATTTGTTTTTCTGGATCTTTTCGACATATCACCATCTTCACAACCCACTGATGATGGACGTTTGTAAATTAGGTTATTTTGAACACGGTTGGGAAACTATAGATTTTTAATTTCAAGACTCCATTTGTGGTTTGAAGGTACATGGGCGTTTCAATATTTTGTTATTTTGTGCATGGATGGGACATTATATAATTTTCGATTGTTTATCGTTTGTTTTAAAGGCTCAATACCACTCTTGTAACTGAATAATATGTCCCAATCTTTATTCTAGTCAACAAATTGTACTATTTTACAATATTCCAATTAATTGATGATACAAATTTCATCGTAACACACCTAATTTAAAAAATTGGAAAAATTCAACTAAATGATTTGAAAAGCCTAACGTAAACCTTTTCAAATGTGACTTGGATTTAAAAATATTTTCGAACCCTCTGGACAAGTAAAATAGGATGAATTGATAATTTACACAACAGGTAGGACACTAACACATCTAGTACTTAGATTAAGGCTATCTTTTATTTTCTGGAGTTGTCAAGCCAGCAAGGGTGTTATTGTCCCTTTAAGGTATTTTATTTTTCTTGTTTTGTGGGTTTTTTGGGGGGTGGGACGTTTCTGTGTCTTGTTATTTTGTACCTGAACGGGGGGTGTTTGGGTGTGTGTGTGTTCGGGGGGGGGGGGGGGGTCTTTTTATTTTTTTGGTTTCCGTGGAATTTTTCGACAATTTCACAACAGACTTGGGATGGGCGTTTCAATTTTGTTATTTTGTTTACGGTTGGGAAGCTATCGATGACCTAAATAACAGAACATACCCTTGTTTTATTATCTGTGAACTAATATCTGGTATAACAAACATTTTCTATTTGATTATTATTATTTTCAGAGACAAGGAGTTAAAAGCCAGAACTAGTGAACTAGAAGATATAAAAGCTAAATATAAAACAGAAAATGAAGAAAAAACGGTAAGTTGTGATATCGTGAGGGTCGTGTATTTCCGGCACAATAACATGGAATTGTTCCCAGGTCTACCTAGAAGGGGATGGAGGATAACCGGATCAGGTAAGTGCATCCGGGGTCCAGGTACGCCTAGAAGAAACGTGGTAAAGATCCATACAGCTTTAATATAAAAAATAAAATTCTCGTGGACATTAGAGGTTAAAGTTCTCATCCCATTCATAGGAGCCGCGGTGGTTCAGTGAGTAAGACGTTAGCTCACTAACCTGGAGGTCCCTTTTTTCTTCCCTGTGTGTGCGCGTAAAAGAACCTGGGCAGTTGAAATTCGATATAAAAGTAGGCCGTAGCGCCGCTGTCCTGGGAAACCACGAGGTTGGACAGGCGACCCTACTCCTTGTCACGTACAAGCAGACCTTTAACACCTGGAATCATTTTAATTATTTGTTGAAATTATCTGAATAAGAATAGTCTAAAGGTACGGTAAGTCCCACAAGCGATTGAAGTTCTTAATTAGCTTTGTTGTCTGCCATTTTCTTTGATGTGGATGCGTGTCGACATTCTGAACACAAGAGACACGCTACCTGCAGAGAAGTATTTTAGTATTCAATCGTTATTTACGTACGTCCTGTCGGAATGAAATGAAATGGAATAGGGTTTAACGTCCTACTATTCTGCACCGACTGGGATAATAACGACGTGCATACACCATACAGTGTGTTATAAGGGGAAATTTTGCCCGGACAGCGGCGCTACGACCTACTCATACCGACTTTCACCCTATCGGGAATCTTTTACGTGCTCACCAATGCTTACACGACTTTACCTCTGTTTTGTCCCATGCGAATAACTAGACAACTGTCCCTCTAAAAAAGAAGCGATCGGGTGTTGCGGTCATTTATTTTTTTTTTAATGGTAGTATCGTGTATATTTTTCATTAGCTTATTTGTGGAAACTTTACTATTTATTTGCTACGGATTCGTGTGTGATAGAATCGTGTAGTTTATTTATGGGAAATTTACTATTTATTTGCCGCGGATTCGTGTCTGCTAGAATAGCATTTTCTTTAATTAGTTCTTTTACGGAGAACTTTCTGCTGTAATGACTAACTTCTGTGATGTGGATTCTTCATTCGTGTTAAAGCAAGTATTTTAAATTTTAACGTGTGAACTGATCTAAAAGAAGTAATCAGAATATCGATCTTGTCTTGTAATTATTTGATCAGGTTGATTGATGAGTTTATTGATTTTCATGAAATGGAATTAAAGAGACAATTCACTGAAAAAAATATATTGATTGGATTCCTATAAAGTTTTCTTAATATTTCTAACTTCTTTTTGATTGGATGTCTGTTAACGGTTCGGTGATTTTATTGGCTTCTTGTTAATTTTGAGGTGATTTGATTGGATGTCTATTAATGACACAGTGATTTGTTTTTTTATAGTTCAAAATTTCGTTTTACTTGTTTTTACTACAATGGAATCTGGAAGAGTTGTTATGTAACCCGCGTTCTGGATGATGCGAGGGATTAGCCAATGAAACGGTCCGTTACGGCGAGTTTTTGACGTGAGATGTACAGAACTGTGGGTAACCCACTAGAAACATCAACGCTGATTGGTTAATCGAATGTCTGACGCCATAGGGTCAACAGACTCTCGTATGACCTCTGGCGCGACCTTCCGTTACAACCGGTCATATATTCATGTAACTATTAAAAGCCAGTCAGTGGGCTTCACGTCCGCTTTCACCTGGAGTGATATCGCAGACAATATCAAATGCCGATAAGGAATCTAGCTCTATACTGACAACGATGTAAACAAAAAGCTCGGGTTTAATGTTCGATCACCAGGTCGTTAGAAAGACAATAAAACAAGTCTCGAACAATAGAACACGATAATAACAATAGTCAACTGTCTACTTGAGTTTGAATGGTTAAATTAATGTGGGTTTATTTCATTTATTTATATTGTCGAGTATACAATAAAGATATCGGGGTTGTTACCCACCCATACATCACTTTATTACTGGATAAACATTAGTATTCTATTTAGACAATCTGATTCAAGTACAGATCTATATTTCGTTTCGGTTTTTTATACTTTCGATGGCCTCCACTACATAAAGATCTGACCGGTTGTAGTGAGAGGTCGCGTCAGGGGTTATACGAGCAGCCTCTGACCCTATGACGTCAGATATTTGATTAACCAATCAGCCCTGCTGATTCTAGTGAGATAACTGTCGTTCCGCGATCCATCGTTCGCCAAGAACTCGCTGCAACAGGTCGTTTCATTGGCTATAATACAATCATAGCAATCATTGTAGTACTATAGTAATCATTCTGCCTCTGCTTAATTTGAATAAAATTTCTCTTGTTTTTACATATTTAAAATGTCTTCCTTTCTTATATTTCTGAATACTAGGCCCTATACGGGGCCGGTTGTGGAAAATGCGAGGCCCAGTTAGGGAGGCCCGAAGTTACATGATATGAATACATTGCAGCAGCAGGATATGAAACAATAGCCACACCTGGCAGCTTGTCTGGAAAGTTTTTATGTTGATGAGCTGCGGGGCCAAATTTGGGGGAATTGGTCAAATATGCCAAAAACCGACCCTGGGCCTATACTTGATTCTTGGTAGCATACAATCAAGTAGTTGGCCTCCATTCATTACCAAACCCTTGCACATCGCATATGACGTGGAATTGGTATAACATAATATAAAATCTCGTAGTATATTTTTTTTAAAGGAATTTTTTGAACATTTTAGAAATTACAAGAGAAGTTGGATGGTCTGATCGTAAACCAGACAGAGAGTTCTAGAAAACTCCAATCTTATGTCGAGACAAACGAGAGACTTAAAGTTGAGGTGAGGAGGAAGACAGACGAGGTTGAGAAATTACATAGAAATGTTAATATTCTGGAAGACCGAGTCAGAAATCTTGAAATAAAGGGTAAGAGAAATATTTATCTGAGATTAAGATAACATCTGAAGCATTCAATGAAATGAAATGAAACGAAATGGGGTTTAACGTCCTACTGTTCTGCTCCTAAACTGGGCTAATGAAGACGGGCATACGCCATACAGTGTGCTATGAGGGAAATTTTGCCCGGGCAGCGGCACTACGGCCAACTCTTATATCGAATTCCAACTGTCAATGGATCTTTTACGTGCACGCCAATGCGTACACAGGACCTCGTTTTTTCGTCCCATCCGAACGACTAGACAACTGTACTTGTCAGGCCCTCTGTCCTCCATCACTGACAAGGAACATCTGAAGCAAGCAAAAAGACATACTGGTTTTCTAGAGAGCAATGTTGGCCTAGAAAGTTCCTCGTGATTTTCGCGCGGTTTCCCCCTTGTCGGTCGTGCAAATACAGCCATGGGCGAAGGGGGGGGGGGCAAACTCAGTTGGGGGCGAGGGTCTAAGGCTATTTGCCTGAAAATTTCCTTTTTCAGAATAAATCAATCATTAACTTAAGTATTATATTATTCAAACGTAAACCGCGAGCGATTTTACAATTATATTCCTATGAGATATGGTCTCATTCTCTGGTATTTGTGCCCGAAAAACGGAAATACATTCCCTAAAATGAACGGTTCGCCGAATCTGGACTGGGGGTCCTATGAGGACAGCCTCGCAAGGAAAGACATCTAGGGTTCCGATAGGACGAAAGAGTCCCGGACAGATTAAAATCGAACCTAGCCTCGCTGTCCTGGCAAAATGTCCCTCACTAAACACTGTCTTGCGTTAGGCGTGTACCGGTCTCCATTAGCCCGGTTGGTGCCGAAAAGTAGGACGCTAAACCCCAGTCACACAGTTGAAGAACTTCACCTTTATCCCATAATAAGATCTTGCTGTATTTTACCAACACAAATGTTGCTAAAAATCTGGCTTATCTTTTCTTCGAGGGTTGGATCGCCGAATGGTTAGCACGGGCGCCCTGTATCATAAGGTCTGTCATTGAGTCAACTGGCGTAGTTTCGATTTCCCGGTTGTACGTGACAAGGAGTAGGGTCCCCGTCCAACCTCGTGGGTTTTCTCCGGGTCCTCCGGTTTCCTCCCAGTGCTAAAGATTCCTACGCGCAAGTGAATTATTGAAATAAAATTGAACCATGTGTTAGTCCCGAAATGACCTAGTAGTTTGTGTCGAGTGGACGTTAAGCCCCATTTCTCTTTTCTTCATCCTACAACAACAAAAAATTAATTTGAAGAATTGTTTGTTAAATAATGAATTCGTTCCCGTGTTATTTTCTCTTAAAGTTTGTGGCAAAATGTGTCTATTAAAATTTCAGCATGCGAAGTGGAGAAAGCGGAACTAACATTGGAGTCAACGAAAAAACTTCTAGATAGCAGTCAGTAAGTAAAATATTTATTTTCTTTTGCTGATTACGTTTTGTTTCTTCTTTGTTTTGATGGTGTAGTTATATAAATAAGGGAGCCACGGTGGCTCAGTGAGTAGGACGTTGGTTCGCTAGCCTGGAGGTCCCGTATTCGATACCTGTGTTGGTCGAGAAAGTTCGGGATTTTCTGGAGAGGTTTCCCCTTGTCAGTGGTGTAGGACGGAGGGTCTGACAAGGGCAAGCTATAGTCGTCCCGTGTACACATTGTCATGCATGTAAAAGAACCCTTGACAGTTGGAATTCGATATAAGAGTAGATTGTAGCGCTGCTGTCCAGTCGGAGCAGAGCTGGGGACGTTAAACCCCATTTCATTTCGTTTCATTTCATTTATTATACATGTAGACGAGAAAACTGTCGACTAAGTAACATAACGTGCGCGGAGAAGAAGCCCGTGGGGTTTTCGATCCCGGCTTTTACTTGTCAGGTTTGGTGTGACAATCAACGTTGGATAGACCGAAACACCGAGGCCCAGTCGTGTATATATTTCAGCGCACAAATGGTGAAACTGGGCATTAGTAAGCGGACACGTCGCTTTCCAGACAAATATCTGCATCCTCAGACTGTACACGAAGCCATAGAAATAACAATTAATTTAATGTTTGTCCTAAAATAACTGAAGTACAATTTTGACGCTGGTGTGTGTAGATCATATACCTCCACCACAGCCTGTCAATGGGCACGAATCTTTAAATATTCGTGAATTTGAGACTCTGTTGAAATACAACAAATGAGGTTATTTTATATATTTATAGAAATGATTGGTGTTGTTTTATTAGTTGTAGAAATGATGTGGTTTTTATTTATAGACATAAATGGGGTTATTTTAATATTTATAGAAATGAGGCTATTTTATTATTTATAGAAATGAATGAGGTTATTTTATTATTTATAGAAATGAATGCAGGGTAAAGGAATCAGAAATCAGACGAATGTCATCAAAGTTAGAAGAAACACAGAATGATCTGAAGGTATTTATATCAATCTATGACGTCAGTATGGTGTTGTTTATTACAAGTTAGTGGGGTTGGATGGCCGAATGGTTAGCACGTGCGCGCTGTATCATTAGGCCTGTCATTGAGTCAACTGGCCTGGTTTCGAATCCTCGGTTGTACATGACAAGGAGTAGGGTCGCCTATCCAACCTCGTTGGTTTTCTGTGCGTCCTACGGTTTCCTCCCACTGCTAAAGACCCCTACGCGCAAGCGAATTATTGAAATAAAATTAAACCATATGTTAGTCCCGAAATAACCTAGTTTGTGTCGATTGGACGTTAAACCCTATTAGACTCTCTCTCTCTCTCTCTCTCTGTATTACAAATTTAACGTGCAACACATAATACATGATATTATGGGCAGGTTAGTTTAATTAAAGAAACATTATGGGAGATTAGATAAAGAGCTGGCAGTTCTCACTATAATAGTTACAAACTAGATAATGTAAAGGGAATTTGCTGAAAATTTCAGTCAAATTGATCCACTCTGAATCGAGAATTTAGCGATTGATTTTTAGGCCTGTCCTCGATCATCATTACTAAGGTCGGTGCGACAAAAAAAAAACATAGCCTCGATTATCCTTTTTTTTATTTAACCACGAATGAGCGTTGAGCAGCAGATCGGATTTTAATCCAGTAAATATCGTAGGCTAGCGACGCCATTGAGAGTTGATTATGGTCTGGATAAGTTAATTAATGTCTAATTAATAATTTAGATAACATTTCAGGCCTAGAGAAAGATCTACAATAGGCAGATTTAGCTCTTGCATAATGTATGTTTAAAGTTGTTCACATACGAAATAATGCAACAGGGTAAAACAAAAAAAAGTCATTGTATAAAACTGTCACTTTAAGACTCGGTGTTAAAATTTGCTGTCGCACGAAGTGAGGGCACGTCATCTTCTCTCTTTGTTATAATAAATTGTAGCCCAAAATGGAAATTTCTTGGATTAGATGGGCACGATCGCTACGCGATCTCGGCCTCTAATGATTTACGCGGTATCAAATGGACAATAACAGTCCTCTAAATTCTAAACAGTCTCCTAAATCAAGTTAAAACAGCTGATCCATGTTTGGTATCGTTAATGCGGATAGAAAAAATCGATAGTGGAAAATAAACTGCTTACTTTATGTGGAAAAGCGAAGATCTTACACTACAAATCCGTAGCTGGATTATTTCCAGTTACGTCAGCATGTTTATCTGAAAGTATTTTTATCAATCTGTGACGTCAATATGTTTAACGGAAGCTATTTATATCAATCTGTGACGTCAGTATGTTTAGCTGAATCTATTTACGTCAATCAGTGTGTTTATCTGTGAGCCACGAATTTACGTTGTTTTTGATGAATTGGTGAGACTGCCACACGCCAAATATGTGCACACGCTGCCAACACCATTGTATACTGTAGAAAGCTACAATTACCGCCCCGGACATCCTATCTCCCTTAGAGTGTTGCCACTCATTGGACCACACACAGGGACCACCATCTACAACCTCGTTCATTTAAGATTGACTAGATAACGGTTATATTATCACAATGTGAATACCTTGGCTGAATTTATCCTACTTTGCTTTCAAATATAGCCACCAAAAAATTGATTCATCTTTTTTTCTCCAGTTTGCAACGACAGAGAATAAACATTTAGAAGCTAAACTGGATGATCTGAAAAAACAAGTGCGACAAGAATTGATGAAGAATGAATTGATAGAAAAGGTATCTTATATTTTCTAACACCATGTTGTGAGCGGGCAATTTCGACATCTCACCATTTATTATTAATCTCACCAGAGATCCCAACTAAAGAAGGAAGTGGGGCCATGAATTGTACCCGTGACTCAATCTGATTAAAACACGGACCTTATTTCGTTTCGTTTTTTATAGTTCAAAATTTCGTTTACTAGGATCTGGAAGAGTTGTTATATAACCCACGTTCTGGTTGATGTAAGGGTTAGCCAATGAAACGATTTGTTGCGACGAGTTCTTGGCGGGCTGCGCTGATATGTAAAGCCGCTTGTATGACCCCTGACGCTACTTCCCACTACATCCGGTCAGATCTTCATGTAGTGTAGGCCAGACAGTATAAAAAAACGAAACGGAATATAGATCTGTATTTTAATCATACATTTCCTCGCCCACCGGGCTTATAAAAACGATCATACCCGAGACATCGTCGAATTCCAACTGTCAAGGGTTCTTTTTCGTGATGAAATAAGTACATAGGTTTTACATCCCACCCAAATGACTTTACATACGCTTTCCTTGCAAAGCCCTCCGTCGTGATGCAAGAATTTTTAAATTAACCAGCGTCTTATTCACTGAGTCACCGCAGCCCCATTTGACCCGGTGCCTGGCACCTTAAAGATACATTATGTAAGATTTAGATAAAGAGCTGGCCATTCTTGTTATAATAGCTCAAAAATAGATAATGCAAAATGAAAATATTGAAAATTTCATTCAAATTACTTCATTCTGAGCCAGGTTATCACTGTTTGTTGTTTTGACAGGATGTATGCATTGTGGTAACCAGAAAACTGGGATATTCGAGATATAGCCATTTTTAAATTAAATTTTTAAATGGCGAACCGTTCTAATCTAGTTCTAATCTAGTATCCGATGCCATCGAGAGTTGATTATGGTCTTGTTTTGTCTAATTTATTATTTCAGGCCTAAAGAAAGACCTGCAGATTTAGTTCTTGTATAATGTATTTTTAATTGTTTTAGTAGCACACAGTCATGACATTTTGTTTTTATTTTATATCTGTAGGGTTTGGATACTATACCGCGTCTACAAGAAGAGTTGGGGGAACAAAAGAAACGTTTAGAGGAAACTGAGAAAGAATTAACCGATAAAACAGCTTTATTAACAGCCAGTAGACAGTCTATTAGACATTATATAGATAGAATAAGGGTAAGCAGAAACAGTCTATCATATATAGAAACAGTCTATCATATATAGAAACAGTCTATTATATATTAAAAACAGTCTATGATATATAGAAACAGTCTATTATATATAGAAACAGTCTATCATATATAGAAACAGTCTATTATATATTAAAAACAGTCTATGATATATAGAAACAGTCTATCATATATAGAAACAGTCTATCATATATAGAAACAGTCTATCATATATAGAAACAGTCTATTATATATTAAAAACAGTCTATAATATACAGAAACAGTCTATCATATATAGAAACAGTCTATTATATATTAAAAACAGTCTATGATATATAGAAACAGTCTATTATATACAGGAACGGTCTATTTTATATAGAAGCAGTTTATAATATACAGGAACGGTCTATTATATATATAGAAGCAGTTTATGATTAATATATAGAAACTGTCTATAATATACAGAAACAGTCTATTATATATAGAAACAGTCTATTATATATAGAAACAGTCTATGATATATAGAAACAGTCTATGATATATAGAAACGGTCTATGATATATAGAAACAGTCTATTTTATACAGGAACGGTCTATTATAATAGAAACAGTTTATAATATATATATACATGAACAGTGTATTATATACAGGAACGGTCTATTTTATATAGAAGCAGTTTATAATATACAGGAACGGTCTATTATATATATAGAAGCAGTTTATGATTAATATATAGAAACTGTCTATAATATACAGAAACAGTCTATTATATATAGAAACAGTCTATTATATACAGAAACAGTCTATTATATATAGAAACAGTCTATGATATACATGCAGGAACAATCTATTTGATATCGAAACAGTCTACTTTTTATATAAACAGTCTATTATTATATAGAAACAGTCTATTATTATATAGAAACAGTCTATTATATACAGGAACAGTCTATATAGATAAAACTATGGTAAACATACAATGCCACTAGGGGCCGTGTATCAGCTGTGAAACGGGGGCATATTATGGTATTTATCTGTTACACGTACACAAATTTAGAAGCCTAGTCTACTGAGGAAACTGAATTCAATTGAGTATCATACCATTTTTAGAGTTCCACATCCCACATATATAGGAAGTGTGGTTACATTTCTCATTTATGTTTCGGGAGTTGGTTTTGGTAAAACTTAAGATATTTTTATTTCAGGAAGTTGAGGAGAGGGTGACAGAATCCGAAACATTAAAACAGAATCTGGCTACAGCTCACCATGAGATTCAAACATTAAAACATTTGATGAGAGGCAAAGATGTCGTCATGTTCCAGAAATTACAAGCTATTGAACAGGCTAAGGTAAGATAGAGGGAGAGATGGGGTTTAACGTCCACTCGACACAAAAGACCAACTGGACCCCCAACGAGAAACTTCATCGGGATTCTTCGACGTGGTTTCACCTTGTGTGTGGTTCAGGACAGAGGGCCTGACAATGACAACTGTCTAGTCGTTCGGATGGGATTAACAACCGAGGTCCCGTGTATACATTGGAATGCACGTAAAAGATCCCTTGGCAGTTGCAATTCGATATAAGAGTAGGCCATGGCAGAATTTCCCTCATATTATCACACTGTATATGCCGGTCGTCATTAGCCCAGTCGGAGCAGAACAGTAGGACGTTAAACCCCATTTCATTTCATTTCATTTATTAGACCAGCTAGTACAGCCAAATCATTTTTATGGAAGAATGAAGAGATAAATAATTTGTGTTTCAGTGTGTTTTATCAAGGAATGTGAAGAATGGAGACGTGACACCTGATATCAATCAACTAAAGACTTCCGTCGATAAACTCAGTAAACTCATCCGAGCTGATAGTTGGTAAGAAAAACATTTTAATAGATACAACAGGCTACGAAACCCGGGGTCTGGGCGTGGACCTAGAAGAATCTCTCGATTTGAGCGTGGGCCGAGAAGAGCACCGAGATCCTAGCGTAGACCGAGAAGAACCCCCGAGGTCTTGGCATGGGCCGCGAAGAACCCCCGAGATTCTAGCGTGGGCCGACAAGAACCTTGGAATCCTGGCGTGGATCGGGAAGAACCTCGGGCTTCTGGCGTGCACCGAAAAGAACCTCGGGATCCTGGTGTGCCCCGGGAAGAACCTTTTGATCTTCGCCTGGACCGATAATAACCTCTTGATTTTTTAATCCCAGCTCCCACTTGTCAGGAATAAATTGTCCTTGCCTTGTCATTCGGATGGGTCCAAATAGGCCCATTCGTTTACACAGAGCAGAGGAGTCGGCTTGAACGGCACTGTCTGGGTAAAATTTGCAATCCTAACATTACTAACGTGACTCTTAAAATCTCCATTCTGTTCTTTACAGTCAAGAAATAAGTGAAGATGATAAAACTGGATCGAGTTTTTCACGACAGAAATCAACCTCGTTTAGATCAAGTTTTATAACTAACGGACATGTAAGTAATTACACAACAAATCTGTGACGTGGAGGTCTGGGCTAGTTCCACCATTGTTTTCTTAAAATCGGGACTGATCAAGATAATTGTACTCGGATTTCTCCCATTTTAAGGGAATATAATTACCTTTCGTAAATTACCAATAATTTTTTTTTCTTTTGTGTATCCAAAGGCAAACAGTATAGACGTCAATATAAAACCATTTAGTTCGGATAACCGAAGCAACAAATCTAAAATCCAAGATCACCGACGTCCAGTAACAGCAATAGTATATCCAAGTGTTAGACCAAGTACGTCAACGGCACGAAACAGGACATTTCACACTTCTGAGTTCCATTCTGGAATTAGTTCTGATCGCCACATCTTCTCACGACAGGGTTCGAATCGATTCAAGGAAAGCACAAGTCCGCGGCAGTGTCGGTTTCAGGACTCTAGTTTAGCTTCCAACTCTGTGGACAGTGAAAATGAATCGTGCTTAAGTAGTTCAGGACCAGAAAGGGGTGATAGAATCCAGCATGATTTAAATCGTATAACGGGGAAGGAAAGGGATGAAATTTTGACCGGTTTTATAAACGTTGGAGACAGAATCAAGATAACTGTTCAACCAAAACAACCCAAATATGGCCGCAAAAAATGTAAGTGATTAGATGTGTCTTTCATATTACTTTCCACGAGCGCGTAAATTTGTGAAATGGTCGTTCCTGTCTTTAATCCTAAAATGAAGGGTGTGTAAAGTGGATGGGGAGAGGGGGTGGTGGTGGGGGGTAACCGCCAGTTTTCATACAACTCAACAACACAAAATATACATTTTCCAGCGATGTACATGTATTGTAAAAAAATTCAATATGGAGATTCTAGCAGCCACACACGTTAATGGGTTTGGATTTTTACCTCTTGTTTCTACGTTTCACTGGAAGGCCCGTTTTCATGTACGCGTTTTGTGGGGTTCCCACTCTCGTTTTCACGGGCCAAAAATTCGGTCTAAGGCAATTGTAATGGGTCCGTTTCCATGTAACATGCGAAAGTGCGCGCGGAAACGGGCTTAAGGCTGTTATGGCCTTCGCGGCTTGTTGATTTTCGGTAAATGCCCAGCCGGCAATCCTATCACAGGTCAATTGCTTTTTGTCACACTAGTTCTTCCATTCAAATCTAGGGAACATATAAAGGTTATTGAGTTTTTAGTTGGGTTGTTATGGCGTGGTTTACATATTACCTTTACGGTCGTAGTCAATCGGCGCAGATTACAAACCAACACAAAATCATATTATGTTAATCTTTCGAACGGAGTTCCCCAAGGCTCTATGCTGGGACCAGTGCTATTTGTGATATATACAGTCAGTGTCGCCAATATACTTACAAGACACCAGCTTCAGTACCTCTGTTACGCTGAAGTTACACAAATTGTTGACAGCTGAAATTTAGTAGAATAACAACGGTTTACACAATATATAAAATCTGGGATATGCTCAAATTCAGTGATGACAAAACGGTGATCGTGTTTATTGGTTGGTACCAAACTGCAGCTATCAAATAAATCATACAAATCACTGACTCCAAGATAAATATTTTTGACTTGGTTAAGGATCTGGGTGTCCATCTTGATTCTGAGCTTAGTATTGCAAACCATGTCGATCAGGTGTGTAAGGTCTAGTACTTCACTCTCAGATATATCTGACAAATTCGACATCTTATTACAAAGGTTGCTGTTCACGCCTTAGTCATATCATTAGTGTCCTCACGATTCGGTTAATGTAGGCCTAATAGTCTACTCCGTGGTATCAATCAGAACCTAATAATAAACTTCAGATTGTTCAAAACACTGCAGCAAGGATCGTCAGTAGACCAGAGATAAGCTTCCATATTACACCGATTTTAAAGATACGTACCTGCAGCATCAATTTTAAACGGTTTAAGTGGAACAGCCCCAAAATATCTTGGCTCGATGCTTTCTGAATATATCAGTGGTATAGTGAAATATAAAGGTTGTTTATCTATTGTAGTTAGACCTATAAACTACAGTGGTATAGTGAAATATAAAGGTTATTTATCAGTGGTACAGTATAGTGAAATATAAATGTTATTTATCTATTGTAGTTAGACCTATAAACTACATTGGTATAGTGAAATATAAAGGTTATTTAGATAAAACAACATATGATTCGAGATTAATGGTGGGTGTCAAGCTAGACGATTCTAGTAAGTTGTTTTATAATTATTATGTTTTATGATAAATGTTGATGGATGTAATTCTTGTCGTACTTAAATCAGTGGCCAAGTTTTCTAACGAATGGGCTTTAGATTATATTAGGGGGATGCGATGGTCCAGTGAGTAAGGCTTGAGATCCCGTGTTCGATCCCGGTTTTGGTCGAGAATGTTCATCGGGATTTTAGGTGGTACAGTACGGAGGACCTGACAAGGGACAACGTATAGTCTTTCGGCTGAGACGGAACTTGGAATTCCATATGTGAGTAGGCCATAGCACACTGCATGGTGTATGCCCATCTTCATGAACCGGGTCGGTGCGGAAACGTAGAATGGCAAGCCCCATGTCGATTTAAAATGGTCCACACCATCTAAAAATTTTATTTTAATGTTGTTTTATATTTACAGTAGGTGATGGCAGGGTTAACCATAATGTTGTTTTATATTTTACAGTAGGAGATACAGAAGGCACGGTTAATGGAAAGAGTTTTATGTATACACCGCTAAATCAAGGAAAATATTTTAAAATACAGGATATCTCATCAGTTTTTGATAAAAAGGTAAATCTTGTTTCAAATAATTCACCAAATATAATTATTATTTATTTTAAAACATTTAATTAAGAAAACCACAGGCAGAAATTTAAGACCGGCGTCCTTACCAGCTGTGTCTACGTCTGCACATTTCTATTTTTTGGGGTGTGTGGTAATGCCCAAAATATCCCAATGCCCGCGCTGCACGACAAACGTTTTAGGGCTCGCCAACTGCGCCTCGGTTTGTTGTCCCTTGCCAGGACCGTCCTACATTAATGGCAAGGGCGAACCAAGCCGGAAAATCACGATGAACTTTCCCGGCCAACGCAGGGATCGAACATAGGACCTCAAGGTTAACGACCCAGCGTCCCACCTACTTAGCCACCGTGGCTCCCTACTAAATAATTAGTTATAACTAATTTTGGGGCACCTTTAATATTTGGGGTCTCTGTCTACGAGCCCCCCCCCCCCCCCCGAAAAATTAAATCCAACCCCGAATTTATATCCTACGTATCACTTTAGTGGTTTCAAAGAATGTCTAAGCGCGATCATTAATCTAAATACGATACTGTAGGGTAAACCAGTATTTGAATTTTCAAGTATTAATGTTAATTTGAAAATAATACAGTAATAATTACCGTTTAGTAATAATAAATGAAATGGGGTTTAACGTCCCACATTTTTGCTCCAACATACAGACCACGCAGTATGCAACTGTCAAAGTGTACATGGGACCTCGTTTTTTTTTTGTACCATCAGAAAGACGAAAGGCTGCTCCACTGAAAAGGGTAAACTATGTTTAATAAATAGTAACCGTTTATATATGTTTCAGACTGGTGGTTATATGTGTGGTTATAACTATATAATGAATATGTTTTATATATTTCAGACTGGGAGTTATATATCAACAGAGATATTAATGGTCCAGTTTGCTAATCAATATAAACAACATCAAGATAAACAACAATATGATGATTCCGATGACTCAGACTGTTGACCGTTACACCAAGATAACCAACAATATGATGATTCAGATGACTGTTGATCATTATGTGTGGTTTAATGGTCTCGAGCTTAAGACATTGTGTGATATATTGAAACAACACGAGGGATGTAGTCGCAATGTCTTAAGCTCGAGACCATTAAACAACTTAAAATACAGACACTCGCACGTGCTTTGCAATGAAATATGTCGCACAGGTCAAAAATTTCAACTAGTATAAAATAATGTACGCTTGGCACAATGTCCGTACCATTATTTGAAATAGTGGTACGCCAACATCAAAGGATGACGTCGCATCTGTATTTTAAATTTTAAATTTTACTAGAAACCGCTGATCGTAATGTCAAACTACAAGAAATATCAGTACAAAAATTATTTAATTCTATTCAGTATTTAAAAAGCTATGATGGATTGAAACGTTCGGATTAGTGCTCAACCTGGGTTTCATTTCTCCCTGCCAGATTTTAATTTAAATTTCATAACATATATTTTTTCCGCCAATAAAATAAAAATGTCCGAACCTCGGATTATTCCCCTTTTTGTCTACCAAGGCATATTATAATGTATATTTCTGTAAGGCAATCCCTCCAACTCTACTCAAAATTCATATAATTGTGTACATTGTTCAGATATGAGCTAGGTTTATAACGTAACTTGAACTATTTACAAAATTTTATTTTAGGTTACTTATATTGTTAAATTATTATATATTATTTACCCAATGAACTATCTGTGATATTTTTGTATTTATAAAACATAATTTTGTTTTAGACCAACTGTTTTCCCCCATACTGACAATTTTTTATGTATAAGAATAAGGCCTGTCACACCCTGTAAATTATATGCAGTTATATACAGAAAGCATCTGGCCAACTGCTCTAATTTGATAACAAATTTGATTTTGTGCATTATCTTGGTGATTCTTACATATGAATCCCTTTTTGGGATTTTCCGACGTGGTTTCCCCTGTGTCAGTGGTGTAAAACTGAGGGCCTGGCAAGGACAGCTGTCTAGTCCTTAGGATGGGACGAAACATCCTAGTCGTGTGTATACTTTGGTGTGCATGTAAAAGATCCCTTAGCAGTTTGAATTCGATATAAGAGTAGGCCATAGTGCCGCTGCCCGGGAAAAATTCCCCTCATAGCACAATGTATGGCAGATACCCATCTTCATTAGTCCAGTATAGGACCAGAACAGTAGGACGTTAAACCCCATTTCAGTTCATTCTCCTTTTTTTACGGACACTTAGTATTTTAAATTTTGTCTTGTTTTAATGTTGATCTACTAAACTTACAGGGGGGTTGGGTGGCCGAATGGTTAGCACGTGCGCGCTGTGTCATACGGTCTGTCATTGAGTCAACTGCCGGGGTTTCGATTCCCCGGTTGTACGTGACAAGGAGTAGGGTCATATACATACTTGCAGGCCGTTCACCATGCTTCATGTTCCTATTTGAAATAAATTGACATATTATATTAACAAAAAATATAAATTTGTTAATGTGTTTTGGTAAACTCTGGCTGTTACCTTGTCCCTTCAATATTCAATAACAATTGGAAGCTGGTGCAAACCTACACATCCCCTGGAAGCCTCGGCAAACCAACCTATCCTTCAGCAAACATCCCCATCGATCCTCTGAAAGCCTCTGCAAATCAAAATCCACCCATGGTCTGAAAGCCTCAACATACCTACCCATTTTCTGTAAACCTCAGCAAACCTACCCATCCCCTGGAAGCCCCAGCAAATTTATCCACCCCCTGGAAGAAGCCCCAGCAAACCTATCCATCCCCTGGAAGCCCCATCAAACCTATCCATCCCCTGGAAGCCCCAGCAAACCTGACCATCACCTGGAAACCCCAGCAAACCTACCCATCACCTGGAAACCTCAGCAAACCTAGCCACCAGCTGGAAACCTCAGCAAACATAGCCATCCTCTGGAAACCTCAGCAAGTCTCAGCAACCCTACCCATCCCCTGGAAGCCTCAGCAAATCTATCCATCACCTGGAAGCCTCAGCAAATCTATCCATCCTCGGGAAACCTCCGCAAACCTACCCACCCACTGGAAACCTCAGCAAACCTACATCCTCTGGAAGCCTCGGCAAACCAATCTATCCTTTAGCAAACATCCCCATCGATCCTCTGGAAGCCTCTGCAAATCCAAATCCATCGTCTGGAAGCCTCAACATACCTACCTACCCCCTGGAAGCCCCAGCAAACCTACCTATCCCCTGGAAGCCTCAGCAAATCTATCCATCCCCTGCAAGCCTCAGAAATCCTATACATCCTCTGGAAGCCTCGGCAAACCAACCTATCCTTCAGCAAACATCCCCATCGATCCTCTGGAAGCCTCTGCAAATCCAAATCCACCCGTCGTCTGGAAGCCTCAACAAACCTACCTACCCCCTGGAAGCCCCAGCAAACCTACCTATCCCCTGGAAGCCTCAGCAAATCTATCCATCCCCTGCAAGCTTCAGAAAACCTATACATCCTCTGGAAACCTCAGCAAACCTACCCAGCCTCTGGAAACCTCAGCAAACCTACCCATCCTCTGAAACCTCAGCAAACCTACCCATCTGCTGTAAGCTTCAGTCAACCTACCCACTCATTCTCTGGAAGCTTCAGTACAGCAAACCTGCCCATTCATTCTCTGGAAGCTTCAGCAAACCTGCCCACTCATTCTCTAAAAGCCTCTGAAACCACCGCAAACCTACCCATCTGCTGAAAGCTTCAGTAAACCTACCAACTCATTCTCTGGAAGCTTCAGTACAGCAAACCTGCCCACTCATTCTCTGGAAGCTTCAGCAAACCTGCCCACTCATTCTCTGAAAGCCAAAGCAAACCTACCCATCCTTTGGAAGCTTTAGCAAACCCACCAGCCCTAAGTCAAGTTTATGCCATCTTAAAACGGTAGCAGTATTGTGTTTTATCCAAAAATACATCAGGTAGAAAGGAAATGAGGGGTTTAACTTTTGCAAACGAGATACAAAGGACTTTGATTTTCCATCCAAATGACTGATCCCTCCCTGTTCCTTGCCAAGCCCTCCATTCTGCACCACTGACTCCGTCCAAGTGAATTTTCTGAGCAATCACCGGGCTTGTATTGGTACCTACTTGTCAGAGAGTCACACGCTAAATTTTTCATAAAATCTATTAGATATAAACCAATTTTACAAACTATTTAGCACTACATGTCTTGATGATACAAAAACAATCTGACTATACATTCAAGCCTGGACATAGGGCACCTGTCATAGACAAATTATCAGATGTATAATTATCAAAAAGGAAATGAAATGGAATGGTGTTTAACATCCTACTCCGAACTGAGCTAATGAAGATGAGCATACAGTGTGCTATGAGGGAAATTTTGCCAGGACAGTGGCACTACAGCCTACTCTCAGATCGAATTCCAACTGTCAAGGGATCTTTTACGTGCATGCCAATGTGTACGCGGGGCCTCAGTTTTTCTTCCCATCTGAATGACTAGACAGCTGTCCCTGACAAGGGGGAACCATGCTGGTAAATCTGGATGAACTTTCTCTGCCAATGCAGGGATTGAACAACTGACCTCTGGGCTAGCAAGCCGGTGTCTTAACCCCAGTATAATTATCAGACAAGGTATATATAACGTCTGATAATTTGTCTGTGGTACTTTACGTCCAGGCTTCTATATATACATGTATGTAAGGGGGTTGGATGGCCAAATAATTAGCCTTTGGGTTATCATAAGGTCTGTCATTGAGTCAACTGGCGTGGCTTTGATTCCTCAGTTGTACATGGCAAGGAGTAGGGTCGCCTGTCCAACCTTGTGGGTTTTCTATGGGTCCATCGGTTTCCTCCCACTGCAAAAGACCCCTACACGCAAGCGAAATGACCTAGTTTGTATTGAGTGGACGTTTAACCCCAGTTCTCTCTCTATATATATATATATATACGTTTATATATGCTGTGTGATAATTTGTGTCTGACTATGTCTGTAACAGGTGCTTTATGTCGGCTTGTATACATTAATGTTTGACTCAACAATATAATACACCTGGCCCCAAGTTCCCAAAGCATTCTCAGACTTAAGTTAACAATTTACTCAAAATTGTTCGCCTTATTTTAACTCAAACATAGCACTTTATAAAACTTTTGGTTTTTTAATGTTTCAAATACATCAATAAGAAACTATGTACAAAGTTTTGTGTTTCTGGATTAAAAATATTATTATCATAAACTGTGATTGGAAGTAGAGTAAATTCTTAACTTAAGTCTAAGAATGTTTTGTGAAATCGGGGGCCAGAACCGGTTAATATGATTCCGGTCCATAAACTTGGGCCACATCAATTTAAATTTTTGTTCTTTCTGAACACTGTGTTTCATCTTTTTTTATGAAAGTCCTTTGTGCACTTCTCAAAAACTTTTACTTCTTAATCTTAAAGTTTTGTCATATGACTTAGGTGGCTATTCTTTTTAAATCTGTCGTATCATCTGGAGTTGAGTTCGGCATATTCAAGGCAACAAGAAGGCATACAGTTGATGCTTCTGTGCCGTAGTACAAAATAAAATTGTGCGACAAGCACCTGGTTTCGTGGGAACAGGTCACATTTGTACTTTGTCTTCAAATCTATAAAAAACATCCACGATTCCTGACCCTTCAACAATGTTCACTGATATTGTCTTTTTCAAAAGTCAACACACAAACACATTCTCACTTCTTTTCTGCAGCAAATTTCACGGATTCCTCCGTAAACTGAAACAAGTCTTTATCAAAATATTCCTCTTCTATAGGTTCTGTAGCATCCTCCGGGTACCATGTAGGCATCGGAGGTGGATTCTCAGGTGCTGGTTTACGTAGAGGTAATTTTGTGTCCATCACTCGAACGAATCCATGTGTATTTCCTGGAACGTTTTGTCCAGTCACGTATAAAACATTATATTTCGTATTCACCCTCCAAATCTGAATAAAAAGCAAATGATATTAAATTGAAATCAAATGAGTTTTAAGGTCCTACTTTTCTCAGAGATACAGAGAGAGAGAGAGAGAGAGAGAGATGTGGTTTTAACCTCCACTTGACACAAGACTAGGTCATTTCGGGACTAACATATGGTTAATTTTATTTCACTATTTCGCTTGCACATAGAGGTCTTTAGCAGTGGGAGGAAACCGGAAGACCCAGAGAAATCCCACGAGATTGGACAGGAGATCTTACTCCTTGTGACACACAAACGGGGAATTGAAACCAGGCCAGTTGATTCAATGACAGAACTTAAGATGCAGCGCGCACACGCTAACCATTTGGCCTTCCAATCTCCCAATTTTGATCATTAAAACAGTACTGTGCCAGAAGGTCAATATAATAAGAGTAATGAGGACAGCCATACGACATGGCAGTGTGCTACGATTTCAACTTTTCCGAGACAGAGACATTTCAGTTTGTTCTTAATGAATGTGGACATGGGACCTTGTTTTTTAATCCCATCCAAAAGGCTAGACAATTTTTTTTTCTTGCCTCACCAGAGGATTTAGAATAGGATGGTAAAAGTAAAACTGTCTGATAAAATAAAACTGACCTTTAACCCTCTTGCTGTTCGCCATCTATTACCCATCAATCCAGGCATTTTCTTGCCCTTCCATATACCTCCCTTGAACTAAAATAACAGAGTTAAATATGCATTATGGGAGATTAGATAAAGAGCTGGTAGTTCTCACTATAATAGTTAAAAACTAGATAATGTAAAGGCAATTTGCTGAAAATTTCAGTCAAATTGATCCACTATGAACCAAGATTTTAGCGATTGAATTTTCGGCCTAGCCTCGATCATCATTACTAAAGTCGATCATCATTACTAAAGTCGGTATCATAAAAAACAGTCTCGATTATCCATTTCATGATTCAATTATGAATGAAAATTGAGCAGCAAATGGGATCCTAATCCAGTAAATATCGATGGCTAGCGATGACATCGAGAGTTGATTAAGGTCTGGATAAGTTAATTAATGTCTAATTAATAATTCAGATAACATTTCGGGCCTGTAATAAGCAGATTTAGCTCCTGCATAATGTATGTTTAATAAACATAGAGCAGTGTTTGTCGGGGAAGGTCCTGATTAGAGAGGAGGAAGGCTGCAGCCAATCGGCCCCCAAATATTAAATAGCCACCTAATTAATTCTTAAACAATTTGGTACCATAAATAAGTATGTCATAGCGCCATACACGTGGGAGGGGTTCATTGTCAAACTTGACACTTCAAGGAAGGGTTGATGAAAACTGCCGATTGCTGGTTTATCCTATCCTTGTTTGCTTTCCTATCGGTTCTTGCATAAGATTTACTGTTTAGCATACCTTTGCTTTAGTGGGTTATGTTTAATTTGACGTCAACGTCAACCGAGAATACTGCAAGAACTGGCCGTGGCACTGCAAGGGGAGTGGGTCAGATTGCCCCAAATCATGATTGGACGGTTGATTAGGAGCATGTCACGACGAATGGCTGAATGTCTGAGGATTGGTGGAGCAATTACTAATTATTAAGACAAAAATCAAAAACGTCTATTTTCACTTGACAGTGCATCTATTTGCGAGTGAAATGGGGCCGTCAGATAAGCCGCCCATATGAACTGTTTATGTTCATGTGTAGGCAATTGGCCTGTTATTAACATACACTGGTTACCTCTAATAAAAACAGCAGTGCATTTCCACAGTCTTGTATTGTTTCTGAAAATCCCCTACTTTTTTTGAAGAGTATATAATATTGTATGTTAGTGCCAAATAAATCTATCCATCTGCCATACTGACACACAAATGCAATTTGTGACGGATAATGGCCAGACCATGCCCCCTTTTCACTGTTGACGTAAGGGCCCCGTGACATTTTCAGACAGGGGCCCCATGAAAGCTTCTGTAGAATGTTCAAAAAATTTCAGAAATTGAAATGAAATGACTGTTCTGCTCCAACTGGACTAATTAGGACGAGCATACACCATACAGTGTGCTATGAGCAAAATTTTGCCTGGACAACAGCACTACCGCCTACTCTTATATCAAATTCCAATTGCTAAGGAATCTTTTAAGGGCACGCCAATGTGAACACATTTTTTTTTTCGTCCATAAAAGACTTGGTTATTTGTGCCCAAAATAGATTAAATTGTCCAGTCACCTGTGTCCAGATTAATCCATGTCCTGAAGAAAATAAACCTGAAAGAAAGATACATTACCTTTCCTCCTGCTGTCGTACCCATTCTACGATGTGTTTTCGTGACTCCGTGAGATTTTGGCATACCCTTCATACCCCATCTTTTAACAACACCTTGAAAACCGTGGTCAATTCTACAAAATAAACATTTACACCTTGAAAACCGTGGTCTTTTCTACAAAATAAACATTTACACCTGGAAAACCATAGTCTTTTCTACAAAATAAACATTTACACCTTAAAAACCGTAGTCTTTTCTACAAAATTAACATTAACATGATTCACAAAAGATTTACACATGCGTAAATGTTTCTTGGTATTTTGGGGGGGGGTCACCAATTCATATCATCTGCACTTTTTACAAAAATACCATATTTCCTCTGCTTAATCCATGCTAAAATGTACTCAATTATAATATTTGCAACTGACATTCGTATTCAAAACAGCCTCAGGCTCAGCATATGATTGAAAATCTGACTTAGATGAAAGCATCGTTCACAAGTGTTTGTTGAACTCTTTTAAAAAACACTATAAATAAACTGATATCAATTCTTAAAACAATTAACTATAACACATACTTATGGAAAAACAGCTACTTATTTATTTGGGCAACATTTCGAAGAGTATTCAAGCTAATACAGTAATACAATACTGATAACGTTGAGAGAATACTCTTCGAAACCTCGCCCAAATGAATAAGTAGCTGTTTTTCCATAGTTTAATGCTCTATCTAGTTATTAAATGCCTCTCAAAGATTACAATTCATAAAAGTCGGATTTTTGGCAGATCAGCTTCAAATTCTGCATAGCCAGAGTTTGTATAACTAGCGTAAAATGTAACTTACGTTTTGGCTGAACAATCTACGACATCACCAACTCGGTAGTGCATTACATTTAACGGTGTTCCTGAAACAAATAAATAATAATTTGCTTGTGTGTAGGGGTCTTTAGTAGTGGGAGGAAACCAGAGGTCCTGGAGAAAACCCACAAGGTTGGACAGACAACCCTACTCCTTGTCACATACAACTGAGGAATCAAAACCACGCTTCTTGACTCTCCTCATATATTATCTGAGGGTACAATAGTTCTTGTGGGTAGCCATAGTTATTGACATGATTCAAGTGGTTTAGGGCTCCAGTTTCTATCAATCCAAGTGCTAAAGTGTTAAAATAAAGTTTTGTTAAAAAGGGGAATAACTCTCGACAGTTACAGTAAGAAATCATTGAAGATTAATAGAATTCTTCCTCTGATATAGGTAGAAAAACGAAAAAAGGTTTAGAAACTATAGACTGTCGAATTAAATGATTTACCTGGCTGTACAGCTGCATTTTCTGTGATTAAAAATCGGGTTAATTTTTTTTTGGGTGGGACACCAGATTCCATAAATAAATTATTATATTCCTTCGTATACTGTAAATATAGAATCATGTTTAAAATTATGTCATCTTCAATGTTTATATATTTTATTCTTAAGAAATGAAATGAAATGAAGTGATATTTAATGTACTATTTTTCCGTAACAAGAATGGCAGATCTCCTGATCTCTGGAATACTATGGACACCAATAAACCAAAACAATCATTCTGAAGCAATACATATGCCAAGTTTGACAATATACACTGTATGGGTTTACTGGAGGCTAATACTGTGATTACAATTTCACCATTAGGGGACTAATAAGTCATTATTTAAAAAGCATTTAATGAAAGCAATAAATGGACAACATCGCTAGGTTTATTAACTGCAACAGTTCAATGGGGATACTCTCACCATTATCAAGCAAGGATAAAATCATACAGAAGGCTATATACAAACCAGCAACAATAAAACTACATGTAATTAATGTAAATTAATAGACTTATAAGCCATTCAAAAACACCATCATATGGTGTTAAAGATTAGTCAGAAACAAAATTCTGAAACCTCAAGGTTGTGTTTGTTCATGAAGCTAAACCGCCCATATCATTAGAGTAAATTCAAAAGACCAAAAACAAAGCTCAAGCCGATACAGGAGAAATAAAGAAACTGTAGAGATATTTAGTTTTAAACACATCCGTGAGTACTAAACAACAACAACAACCAAAAACACAAACAGGGGTGACTATTGTTAGTAATTTTCACTATTGCGATAGTATTGCTATTGGGTAAACAGCTATTGCAATACCATTACTATTGGGGATTAAATATTGCGATACTATTGGACTATTGCGATAGTTTGATTTGTTTATTAGTTTAGGTTTAAAACAAACTGTCGGGTATACATTTATTATAACATTTAATCAAACTAAAATCAATGAAACACTAGAAAGTTCTAGGCAATGTTAGTTAATATAATGACTACTAGTTTAAGTACTAGTAGTAACGGAAAACATAACAGTGGCTCTGGTATATTGATGGATACCGACTTTTAATCTCTAATAAAAACACAATCTCGAACACGTATTTTGGAAGTAAATATTCGACAAATACGAGAGAATTATTTAGGAATTTGTGCTATTTAACTTTCCCTATTACAAACTATCGAAACAATCGATAATTTGGTTGACTATCGCAATTTTTATCGATAGTTTCATTTTACTATCGATACAGACTATCGGCAGTCAAACTATTGCGATGCATCGATTGTTCGATGTATCGTTACACCCCTAAACACAAACAACAACAGCAACAAGCACAACCACAATAAACAACAAACAAACAAACAACAACAACAAACTCCTTTAAGTTTTTGACGGTCATCTGTTTAACCAGTGAAAGTGAAACAGACATTCCAGATAGATAACAACAATAATAGTAAAAAGTTTACTCACTATTCGAGGATTTGTACTCAGAGCTCCAACAACAGCAACACCGTATTTATTTCCCCACCAAGGTTTCCAACCAGCTGATTTCATAAATTTTTCTGGTGGTGTATATCTAATTACATGATTGTCTATAATCTACAAACATTAAAACGTTCAAATAGTAAACAAAAAGTCTCACAGTTTAATACATGCTAAATATGAACTCACATTGATTATTTAACATTTAATCCAGCAATTAAATACGCCATACAGTGTGCTATGAGGGAAATTTTGCCCAGGCAGCGGCACTATGGCCTACTCTTATATCGAATTCCAACTGCCAAGGGATCATTTACGTGCACACCAATGAATAAATGGGGACTCGGTTTTTTGTCCCATCTGAACAACTAGACAGCTGTCCTTGTCCTGCACCACTGAAAAGGAAAAACCACATCAGAAAATCCTGATGAACTTTCTCGGCTAATGCAGGGATTGAACACGCGACCTCCATGCTAGCGGGCCAGCGTCTTATCCACTTAGCCACCATGGCTCACTTTTAATTAAGAAAACAAAATCTAAATATCAATGATATATAATATTCCGGTTTGGATTCAATCAGATTTATACAAGCCTTTCAGGTTTCTCCACTACCAATAATAGATGGCAGCGTCTTGTTTAGCTCCTGTGCTTTAAGAAACGTTTGGTATCCAAGGACCTTTTTATTTTGTGTTTTTAACAATTTTCAAGTGTAAATAATTTAATTAAATCAACCTGTCCATAATATCATATTTATTGTATTGGACGTTAAATCTTTAATAAACAACAACAACATGTTTAGCTCCAGAATAGATCGATAAAATTTCAATTTATCATAACTTTGTAAATACTGAATAGAATTGAACCATTTTTGAACTGATATTCATATTAGAAATTAAACTTTCAAGTTTGCAAGGGTGTGTACATTGTATTTCTGGATATCTTCTGGATATAAAAACAAACTGAATGACTTACTTGTAGCATTGTAGTTGTGAATCTTTTACCCTCTTTCGTCCATTGAGGAACAACTCCAATTTTTATGGCTAATACTCCCGTTCTACGAGTACTGGAACAAAAATAATTATATATTACACAGGAAGGATTGTCTGAGAACCACAATATTTTTTTTGTATGACCTAAATACCCAGACAGCCTGTAAAATATTATTAGACGCAACTCAGTTACATCGACAAATTATAAGCTTTAAAGATGCATTATGTAAGAGCTAAATCTCCTACTGACGGTCTTTTTTATGGCTTCAAATGTTGTATAAATCATTAATTAGATATTTATTCACATGACAAGCCCATAATCAACTCTCTAGGCTATCGGATGGATCTGATTTTAAGTAGATTAGAACACTGTCGGCATTCAAAAAGATAATCAAGACATAAACATGATTGTCAATTATTGGGGCTGCGATAATAAACTCAATTTAAACTCCCTTGTGAAGCACTGGGGCTGCAATAATAGACAATCTAAGCTACATTTTGTCAAAACTTTGACATTTATTAATATTTCATTATCTATATTTCAACTATTATAGCAAGAACGCCCAGCTCAGCTGTTTATCTGAATCTTACATAATGCATCTTTAATTTAACTAACAAACTGAAAATCTGAGCTGTAAAAATTATCAAATGATTGATACTGTGACATAATAAACAGATTCAAATATGTGCTGCCCAGGCACAATCCCTCAAATAGTTGTCTTTTTGTTCGGCAATATGAGTATTTTCAGACACTCATGGCAGAGCCTATAGAAATGAAATGAAATGAAATGGGGTTTAACATCCTACTATTCTGTCAGAGCAGAGAGAGAGAGAGAGAGAGAGAGAGAGAGAGAGAGAGAGGGGGGTAACTGACTGCATGCAAACTAGGTCATTTCGGGAGTAGAAACCAGAGAACCCAGAGAAAACCCACAATGTTGGACAGGGGACCTTACTCCTTGTCCCGTACAAGCATAGAATCGAAACCACGCCACTTGATGGATGCAATGTGCATATGATAACAATTCGGCCACACAACCCCGCTCAGACTATAGACTGGATTACCAAGACCAGAGACTTACTATTTGTTGTAGTCATTTCTTTTCCATGGACCATCTTCTAAAGGGCTAAAGACTCGATCAAGTCTCTTCTTATAAACATCTTTCATCACATCATCTAAAAATTCTTCATTTTCTTTCGTCAGATTTTCGTCCAAATCTGTAGTTTTTTGTTTAACATACCAGGCAGCAGGAGGAAAAGCTTGTCTATGTCGAATTTGTTGAAGACACGTCCACGATCTGAAACAATGGTAGGAGAAGAGAAGAAAATATTAATACCATTTTTCAAAAAAAATTTGGAAATTAAATCAAAATTTTCACATTCTATCATTATTGACAACAAACTTAAAATTTACAAATTAAATTAATATTTCACGTCTTTTATTTATTAAACTTTTTCATTATTCAACTTTAACAACCTTATTTCTGTTGCAAGCAAGCTACCAAGACAGGCACAGTGTAAGATGAAGGAAATTTTTCCCTAACTACGGAGCATCAACCTACTCTTATCTCGATTTCCAAATGTTAGGGTTTCTTCAAAACCCTGCCAATGGTACATGTATATGTAGTAGTGTATATTTGGTTGTCAATTGTTATATATTTAGTATTAAGAAGTAGCCTCTTTCATCCTGTGTATGGTTTTAGTTTATTTAGTCAGTTAACTCAGTTCTTTAATAGTCTTGTTCAACTAGACACTTCATATAGCTTGTAGTCTTGCTTTTCTATGTCATCTGTAGTTTCCACCTTATTTGGAGTGAGTAGTAATCGGTAACTTAGATACTGTTCTAACATCCTGTTTCACCTTTGGTGACTTTTTCTTACATCTCCATCTTGGATACATCATTTTCTTCCACAGCAGCGAATTTACTAACTCAGTGTTTCGCTCTTTTGTACATGTATATATGGTTTTCATGATTAGCTCTATAATTCTTCATTTCTTAAAGGTGCTCTTGTCTTCTACTTCTTTCTGTAAATAATTGGCTGTTTTGTTCCTGTGTATTGTAAATAAACTGTATAGCCGTGTTCCTGTCTTGTCTCTTTTGGTTCGTGGATAGTCCGTCGTCCATCGATCCTGCTACATATACATGGGCTTTGGTTTCTTCTTGCAATTTCAGACTAGAAGCTACATGTATTCCATACCGGGTCTTCCATTCTGCATACCAGAGAGTCTGATCCTTAGGATTTTCCTCTGCCAGGACTCAAAAGTCGTTAGACTGAGTTAGAACCGTCATTTGACATTTTGTGTCGAGTCTGAAAGGTTGCGATTCCCCAGTTGTACATGGCAAAGTAGTAGGGTCGCCTGTCCAACCTCGTGGGTTTACTCCGGTTTCCTCCGGCCCACTGCTAAAGACCCCTATACGTGCAAGTGAATTGTTGAAATAAAACTGAACCATGTGTTAGTCCCGAAATGACCTAGTTTGTGTCAAGTGGACGTTAAACCCCATTTGTCTCTTTCTCTCTCTGAAAGGTCGAAGGACTAAAACGTTGTGCTACAGTACCTAATAAACTTTACAGGGCGCCGAGTTTCTGGCCCTCTCGTGACTGATATCTGTCAGATAAACGTTCCTGGTGAATGCGTGTGTCGGATAATTCAGATTAGTCCTTTTCTGATATGATAGTTACGAAAAATCTTGACACTTTGACCTTTATTTTAATCACTTTCTGTCAGAAAATTTTAAGTCTGGAGTTTAATGATTGTCAACTTTCTGCGTTCTGTCACACCATTTTGATATGGAAGATAAATTTTCTAAACTCTGCGTATTGATTTTACCTGCTGTTATTAATCTTTTCTAGAAGGACGGACGTGAAATTACAGTTACTTATTCTGCACAACACATTTCCTATCCTGGGGGCTGCCATCTTTAATTTTGATATCGCTTACATCATGATCAATCGATCATATTTTTATCGGGTTTTTACAATGGGTTGATTAATTTGTGCAATATTTCAAATCCTTTAAAACCTAAAATAAATATATGAAATGGAAAAACGCCTATAGTTTTCTGTAATTAATTTCATTAATACAAAAAATTCGTTAACGATGTAAGCAGTTCAATGCGAATTTCTTATATCAAGGGAGACAAATCCAAAAACCATAAAAAGGAGTTATCTCCCCTATACTACAATCTTGAAGATTTATTCTCTTTTTTTTTTTATTGAATATAGAAGGTGACATTTAAGAGAAAGAATAAAAGTGTGAGATCAATTATTCCACATTTTTTTTCATAACCTGAAACCAATAATGATAAAAAAAAAATTATCAAATGAATGGGATTTATTTTTACATCTGCACTAAGTGCTTTCAAAATCAAATTTAACCAATTTATTAAAGGGCCAATGCCGATAATATTTTGGAGAATAAAACTGCCTAATTTTGTGTTAAAATCCCTTAAAATCCTCTACCTTAGGGCCGAGCAACTAACTCAACATATGTGATACGTTTTCAAACAACTTAAACCCGTCAGTCTTCATCTGGAAATGGAGACCGGTGCCCCAAGTATGCGGTGTTTGGATAAATGAAATGAAATGAAATGGGGTTTAACGTCCTACTGTTCTGCTCCTAACATGGGCTAATGAAGACGGGCATACGCCATACAGTGTGCTATGAGGGAAATTTTGCCCGGACAGCGGCACTACGGCCTACTCTTATCTTTTACGTGCACGCCAATGTGTACACGGGACCTCGGTTTTTCGTCCCATCCGAACGACTAGACAGCTTTCCTTGTCAGCCCCTCCGTCCTGCATCACTGACAAGGGAGAACCACGCCGGAAAATCTGGATGAACTTTCTCGGCCAATGCAGGGATCGAACACCCGACCTCCAGGCTAGCGACGTGATCCCTGTGTTTGGATAAAACCATACTTTTATTTTATAAAAATAATGTGTCGGTGGTGAAATTTACCTCTCGTTATCTAGTATAGCACATGGGTCATTCACTGTATAAACCTCAAAAGGAACGGGAATCGATTATCAGGTCACCCATCGACAAAATTGACTCGAAATCTTAAAAGGGTTACGTGTCCGGATAAGCAGTTTTGATTTTCACGTCCAAACGACTCAATATTTTGAGCTAATATTTTGAGACAGGATAAATACACCATTCCTCTATATTTTGGCGTTCAAATTTCATACATACTCGGAATTTTATTTTTAAGACTCTGTTCAAATCAGGATAGTCACTTTAAGCATTGATAGAGGATAGTTTATCAATTTATTAAGGTTCGCCAATAAGAGAAACTTTGCTCAAAATGTTCAGGGTTCTTTTATGTGAACGTCAGTACATACACAGGACCTCAGTTTTTTGTTCCATCCTAACGACTAGACACTATTCTTTGCCAGGCCTTTGGTCCTGCAACATTGACAGGTTGAAACCACCCAGAGAAAAACAACAAGGTTGGACAGGCGACCCTAGCCCATGTCACTTACAAGCGATGAATCGAAACCAAACCACTTGATACAATGACAGACCTTATGACAAAACTTGCACCACATCCCCTTTTCAGTCGTCACTTGTCACAAGCTAACTAATAAAAGGGAGAGAACATGTGATTGTCTAGTAAAGATATCTAAGTATATGAGCTGCAGGAAATGTAAGGTAGTAGATAAATAACTTTGCATCGGAACAACGGAACCACATACTACCAATCAGCACCATTCCCCCCATAAAGTGAGTCTGAAGGTGGGAGCAGTGTGAGGTTGCCTATCCAGAAATTGATTGAATTGTCTCCCTCTAGCCTATATGATGAGTATTCATGATCCTTCAGCCCTCTAAATAGCCATAGAATAATAGAGAGGGAATCCAACATTTCAGAGTGATCCACAGAGAGAGAGTGTGCGGGGAGGGGTGAATATTAACACCCATCTTGCTCCTAATGAAATGTTTTAAATTCCAACTCTTATGATTTTTATTATGGCCAAAAAACAAACAAGATATTTGAGATAATATTTTGGTACAAAAATAATTTATTTGGTTCAAAAAGAAAAAAAAAATGATTAAAAGTATCATATACCTGTAAAAAAGAAAATGTTGGGACTTTTTTTTTTACAAACTTTATGTAGAGGTCTCTTTATAGGCTGCCCATTAAAATTAACGTGTTACCTAATAATAATACCAGTATTAAAGGGAAATTATGGCAGTTCTCACTATAATAGTTACAAACTAGATAATGTAAAGGGAATATGCTGAAAATTTCAGTCAAATTGCTCCCCTCTTAACCAAGATATTAGCGATTGAATTTTAGGCCTAGCCTCGATCACCATTACTAAAGTCGGTACGATAAAAAAAAAAATAGTCTTGATTATCCATTTTTGCATTTAATCATCAATGAGCGTTGAGCAGCAGATGGGATTCAAAGCCAGTGAAAATCGAACACAAGATGGCATCGAGAGTTTATTAAGCTCTTTTCATATTAATAAATGTCTAATTAATAATTAAGATAACATTTCAGGCCTAAATAAAGACTTGCAATAGGTAGATTTAGCCTATTCAGCCTTACTTTATGTATGTTTAAATAATAATATTTTCTAGAGGAAACGTAGTGGTTCAGTGTGTACATCAGACTTAAGGAATTGAAATGAAATGAAATGGGGTTTATCGTCCTACTGTTCTGCTCCGACTGAGCTAATGCAACGTGCTATGAAGGAAATTTTGCCCAGGCAGTGGCACTATGGTCTACTCTTATATCAAATTACAACTGCCAAGGGATCTTTTACGTGTACTCCAATGTATACACGGGACCTCAGTTTTTCATCCCATCCGAACGACTAGACAGCTGTCCTTGCAGGCCCTCCCCCCTGCACCACTGACAAGGGAAACCACATCGGAAAATCCTGATGAATTTCGTGGCCAATGCAGGGATCCAGACTTTAAGAAGCTAAAATTAATTGATTTATTTAGGTCCCCAAAAAATTTTGAATGTTTTTTTTTATTGTTATTTGTTAGTTCTTTACGATTATATTGGAAAGATTAAGTGGAAATCAGCTTGTTTGCTATGTTACTATGTAAGATTAATTTTAAAGTAACACTGTTTTTATCGTAAGATATTGTTAGACAATATCTGACGATAAAAACAGTGTTATAGTCTCTTTTGTTTATCTACTTTAATATTTATTTAGTTAAGAACACTTCCGTATTCTTGTTGGATGCGGATTCTACACAAGTTTAAGATTAATCTGGGCTTACTGGTGTTAACACTGGAACGTAAAATCAGTTATATCTCAACAAAGACTTTATGAATAGACGTAGAGTTTTCAAGCAAGATAGACTGATATCCCACCCAAACAAATCATAACGTAAAATTAAATGAAATTGACACTTTTATTTTTGCCCCAAATCAAAGGGGTCTTGCCGTTTTAATAATTCATACATGATCAAAAATACTATATAAATAATGTGATTTACATTTTAGAAAGACAATGTGGCATGATGAACAAAACGTTTAGTCACAATCAACCAGACCCCAAATATAACCATAGAAAGTTTAATATATGTAACTTGTGAACCAGGTGCTTCCCCTCTCCCCTTATCATTCTTTGTTTAGGTGGGATTTAGTAACTGGATGAGAATAACACATGACACAATCATATGTAATACAAGTTATTTCAGCGACGTTTCCAAATGATTATCTCTGGTTATAGATGTTTGTCTTTGTTCCAGGTTTTGTATATATATATATCTTCATTGCACGATGGTTGTCATTCTTTGCTTGATTATGACGTGAGAACCCTCATCGAATCGTCGCTGAAATAAACTCTTCAACTTGTATTCCATATAATTGTGTCATGTGTTACTTATCATTCTGTTTTTATGAAACATGTAACATTGATCATTTTGTCTGTTGGGATGAGGTAGCTGATAAAATTAAACATTATAAACAGGTATGCATTAAAAATCACCACTGACACTTCCTAGAACCACCCCCAGCCCCACCCCTATAACCAAATATCCCTAGAAACCCCCTCCTCATTAAACAAATATCATGCATACGCCACCGTTCAATAATTTCTTAATGGTGGAACAAACTCCCTCCATATATGTATATTTTGTTGTGAGGATAAAGGGAGGGTGTTCAAATGATTGCCCCACCCCACCCATATAGTATTCTCAATTGGGTCATATTTACTCGTCTCGACAGAATGTTAAAAATGAACAAAATTATTTATATTGGGGAAATCATTGCTAAAACCAAAATAATTAAGTCTCATAAACAATTTTGGAAAACAGCTCTCAAGGTCCATTGTTAATTTAAACATGTATATTTTTTTGAACATGGAAAACAGCTCTTACTGTTAATTTTTAGTCCTTTAGAGCTCTTGATAATAAATAGCAACTCAATTCTTTGCAAAACAGTTCTCAGTGTCCATTGTTAATTTGAACATGTATATTTATGGGAAACAGTTCTCTGGTTCCATTGTTAATTTGAACATGTATATTTATGGGAAACAGTTCTCAGGGTCTCTTGTTAATTTGAACATGTATATTTCTGGGAAACAGTTCTCGGGAACCATTGTTAATTAAAACGTATATTTCTGGGAAACAGTTCTCGGGTTCCATTGTTAATTTGAACATGTATATTTATGGGAAACAGTTCTCAGGGTCTCTTGTTAATTTGAACATGCATATTTCTGGGAAACAGTTCTTGGGGAACATTGTTAATTTCAACATGTATATTTTGAAGTATCTGCTTTGGTTCCATGAATATCTTTCTGTATAGCTTGACATAAAGTCAAACCAGTAATAAACGCCCCTAATGTTATAAACGCGAACGAAAAATATATCAAAAACTTGATTCGTTTCGAGTTGGGTTGGAATTCTGGACCTGCAGCTTGTTTATCTAACATCGATTTCAACAAACACATACCTTTAAAAAATAAATAAAAATAAAATTTAATTAAATATTTTGACAAATATCATTAGTGTTGAATAAATGATTATTATACAAACTTTTTTGATAAACAGGATTTTAACGAGCTATGTATGAGTCAAATGTCAGGTTTTCAGCTGATTTTATGCCAATTATTTAATAATTCATAGATCTGTAGTTCTATAATAAACTTGTGGGATGAGTAATAAATGAAATGGGGTTTAACGTCCCACTGTTCTACTCCTATACTGGGCTAATGAAGACGGGAGGGATGAGTAATAGCTATAACACCCAGAACAGTTAAATAATTTTGGAAATTTGAATATTATTCACCACATCCTGATGTCCGATTGGACATATTCCTGCACAGACGTTTGTAAAATAGGTTAGGACATGATTGTCTGGCATATACGGGCGAAATAGCATCCATGGAGTAAACTTAAAGGAGCTAATATTTGGGATCTAGAAATTGAAACAAATGGGTCGCAACACATATGATAATGTAATATGAATGTATATAAACTGATTTACATTCAATCATTTCTGTTTTGCTGTAATTTCTAATCAGTTATGTTCGGCGAAATAAGCCAGAAGTCTCAATTGAATGACAATCTTTAGCATCTGGTTAAACCGATGGTATTTATTGCGCATGCTCTCCAGATAAGTATATAGCGTCACCATTTGACATGACTTGTGGAATATGTCTAGCCTCGTTCTTTGAGTCCCTTGTTCCAAATGGTGCTGAAACGCATTGTGGTATACGATTCGTGCACCAATGGTAAAATGTTTATTTTGTCTTAAATATTGGATATCAGAAGCCCATCTTTTCCCTGTAAGATCACAAGACCAATGTTGATTTGAATTGACAAATAATTCGTGTTTCAAATGTCGAAGACTGTGGATGATATTGAGTTAGAGACTTAGCTACTTTAAGTCATTGAAGGGAAGAGTATAGTATTTTTTAATGCTCACTCACTTACCTGGGAATAAAAATATAAATAAGGCAGCAAAGGCTCCAAGAAGTTGAATGACTACGCCTATATTTGGTATAAATATTGCTAATGCCACGGTGATCGTAAACCATATTAACGTTACGACAATCCGCATCTTTCTTTCTCGTTGTTCAATAATCTCTGGTGTTAATTTTAAAGCGCTATTCCACACAGAATCAAAAGCAGCTCTGAAAAAAAAAAGAGAAATGTCTTAAAAGAAATGAAAAGTGGTTTAACATCCGTCTTTTCTGCACCAACCAACTGGACTAAAGAAAGAGGGAGACAAATAGGGTTTAACGTCCACTCGACACAAACCAGGTCATTTCGGAACTATCATATGGTTCAATTTTATTTCAATAACTGGCTTGCGTGCAGGGGTCTTTAGCAGTGGGAGCAGCCATCAAAAGCTATAAACACTTTATTGAGAACGAGACGACTTAACATGTAGTTGTAATTTCAAACACGAAGAAAACACAACAAATAGGCCAGTATTACTACAAGGACTCGACAACTTACCTCCCACAAAATAATAAAATCGGATATGTTGTATATGTTTTTACTGCTATTAATACTACGGCTATAATGACTGTGACATCGGGGTCAAAGGATATGAGAATATCACTAGCTATTCCGTGTCCAAACTGTAAATATCCTAGAGTAGCTGTCACAGTATAACATAAAACACACAACACCATCGCTAGAGACACAGTTTTAGAAAACTCTTTTAAATTTCTTTTTTCCATACAGGAATAAATAGGAATAATGCTCACGTGGCACTGAAATTCAAACAAACATCAAATATTAGTTTTTTACTTTTTAATTTCTCATTAAAAGAGCCTTACCTGTCAGCACCAACCAGGCGAAAGAAGACGGGCAATAAATCAAATGAAATGGGGTTTAATGTCCTACTGTTGTGCGCCGACTGGGCTAATGAAGACAGGCAATAAATGAAATGAAATGGAGTTTAACGTCCTACTGTTCTGCTCAGATTGGACTAATGAAGACGAGCATACGCCATAGAGTGTGCTATGAGGGAAATTTTGCCTGGGCAGTGGCACTAAGGCCAACTCTTATATCGAATTCCATCTGCCAAGAGATCTCTACGTGCACGCCAATATGTACAAGGGACCTCGTTTTTTTTGTCCCATCCGAATGACTAGATAGCTGTCCTTGTCAGGCCCTCCATCCTGCACCACTGATAAGGGGAAACCACGTCGGAAGATCCCTATAAACTTTCTTGGATCGAACAATAAGTCATGCAGTGTGCTGTGAGGGAAGTTTTGCCCCGAAACAGCATCTCTGTCGACACTTCATTGAATTCCAACTGAAATGAGATCTTTTACATGCACTGAAACATACTGTATATTATACAAGAGCTAAATCTGCCTATTGCAGGTTTTTCTTTAGGCCTGAAATGTTAATTAGACATTAATTAACTTATCCAGATCATAATCAACTCTCGATGTCAACGGATATCTCTGATATTAAGTAGATTAGAATGGTTCAGCCATATTTTGATTTAATTTAAAAAATGGAGAAACGAGGCTTAGCTTTGAACAACCAGTACAGTGGTTGCAATTAATGCAAACCTTCAAAGGCTAATATCTTCGCTCGCAATACAGTAATTTGAATGAAATTTTCAATATATTCATTTTGCATTATCTATTTTCGAACTATTATAGCAAGAATGGCAAACCAACCTGATAAGCAAAACATATATCTGGTACTACTAGAAATATATCCATCCAAGAATCTGGTCTGAAAATAAAATAATCTATGAATCTTTAAATTGTTTAACTGGCATTTAGTAATTGAAATGTAAGTAGAGAGAGAGAAATGGGGTTTAATGTCCACTTGACACAAACTAGGTCATATCGGGACTAACATATGGTTCAATTCTATTTCAATAATTCGCTTGCGAGGAAACCGGGGGACCCGGAGAAAACCCATACCCCTTGTGAAATACAAGTAGGGAATCGAAACAACGCCACTTGACTCAATGACAGACCTTACATGTATGAGGTCCTGTGTATTCATTGGCGTGCACTTAAAAGATCCCTTGGCAGTTGGAATTCAATATAAGAGTAGGCCACAGTGCCGCTGCCTGGGCAAAATTTCACTGTATGGCATGTGCATGTCTTCATTAGCCCAGTCAGAGCAGAACAGTAAGACGTTAAACCCCATTTCTATAAAGTAAATTACTCTGAACAAAGTAAATTACTCTGAACAAAGTAAATTACTCTGAACAAAGTAAATTACTCTGAACAAAGGTAACTAATTTAAGAATAGGAGTTTTCAAACATTGTATTTGAGAAGTGTGAGAGTTTGTAAGATTCAATAAGTAGATGAATATGATATGGTATTTTTAACTCCATACCAAGACTGAATGTGGTTGGTTCTTTAGATTAAAAATAATATTACTACTTTCACATAACTCGGATCTTGTGTAAAACATATTACTTTGTTTTAACCTAACTTTCATTGAGTCAACTGGCGTGGTTTCGATTCCCCGGTTGTACGTGACCAGGAGTAGGGTCACCTGTCTAACCTCGTGGGTTTTCTCCGGGTGCTCCGGTTTCCTCCCACTGCCAAAACCCATACGTGCAAATTGAACCATATTTTAGTTCCGAAATGACCTAGTTTGTATAAAATACCTTACTTTGTTTTAACATAAGTTGGTTTACCACTTGGATCTTATTTTGTTTTAACATAAGTTAGTTTAACACTATTTTGTATAAAATACCTTACTTTGTTTTAACATAAGTTGGTTTATCACTTGGATCTTGTATAAAATACTTGACAGCCACCATAACCATTACATATAAAATACCAGCCACGCCTACAAAACTGAAACAAAAATAGGACAACTATTTAAAACATTCAGGGTCCTCTGTAGACGATATAAATATAGATTCAGATTTTTATATGGCCGTCATGATCAATCTAAGGTTGTTTTAACTAAAATTTAAGTCCATTTTGACCAAAGTTTTGAGCCGTTTCAGTTTAAGGGCTTTTTGTCTGTAACCCATATAAATAAGTCATGTTCATGTTCCTGAAGCAACGATCGCGAGTTTTACAACATCTAACCGTTGCTTCAATACTGGGCAATTCCCAAACTTTTGCACTCGTTGTGTTTACATGTGACTAATTAGCATTGTCCAATCAGAGGTCGTCACACATAACACAGTGTAAACAAATATGGCGGACTCCTTTGAAACTCTTTGTTTATCACATATATCTATGGTTGATCAGGTATGATTTCCAGCAACCTTGACATTGATCGAACCTTGAACTTTGCAACTCGATTGTCACATGTAGACATTTTAGCTATAAGCGCGAGATTTGATAATCATAACAATATTTTTAATGAAGGAATCTGATAGGATCACAAGCTGGGCTTGTAGCCAATCGAAAGTTGTGCCAAAATATGTGGGGTATTACGTAAAGGGCTTGATAAGATGTACGTAGTTAAGGCGAGATTAAGCCTTCTATTGAAGATGCTATAAGTTTAGCTAGAATCCATGATAAACATACATTATATAAGAGATAAATCTACCCATTGCAGGGAGGTTGGATGGCCGAATGGTTAGCCGAATGGTTAGCACGTGCGCGTTGTATCATAAGGTCTGTCATTGAGTCAACTGGCGTGGTTTCGATTCCCCGGATGTACATGACAAGGGGTTGGGTCGCCTGTCCAACCGCATGGGTTTTCTCTGGGTCCTCCGGTTTCCCCCCACTGCTAAAGACCCCACGCGCAAGCGAATTATTGAAATAAAATTGAATCATATGTTAGTCCTGAAATGACCTAGTTTGAGTCGAGTTGACGTTAAACCCCATTTCTCCCTCTCCCTCTACCCATTGCAGATCTTTTTCTGGCTTCAAATGTTATATAAATTATCATTAACTTGACAGGCCTATACTCAACTCTCTAGATCATCAGATGGCTGAGATATTGAATGGTTTAGAACACTAGCACCATATAACAGTTTAACCTTAAATGACAAGCCCATAATCAACTCTCTAGACCACTGGATGGCTGAGATATTGAATGGTTTAGAACACTAGCACCATATAACAGTTTAACCTTAAATGACAAGCCCATAATCAACTCTCTAGACCACTGGATGGCTGAGATATTGAATGGATTACAACACTCTCACCATTTAATAATCTAAAAATAAAACAAATAACCAAGACTTTGATTTATTATCTTGGCAATGGTTCTAATCTAACAATTAAGACCATATTGTCCAAACTTCCAACACTTATAACTCTGCTCAGAAATTTTCAAAATGGAAACAGGAAAAGGGTACGGCAACACTCCCTTAGAGAGTAATTAAATCTGGACAGGCTGATACATCTGCGAGGAGACTGGATCAAAAGATGATACTGGCGGGGCGGAGTAGTAAAATAAAATTAAAGAATCCCATGCGGGGCGGAGTAGTAAAATAAAATTAAAGAATCCCCGCTCAACAGAATACACAACAGACTTGTAGAAGTAAAAGATCGTTTAATGGGTCAACGTTTCGGGTGAAATATCTTGATAAAGGGTATTTCACCCAAAACATCGACCCATTAAACGAACGATCTTTTACTTCTACAAGTCTGTTGTGTATTATGTTGAGCGGGGATTCTTTAATTTTATTAAATTTTCAATATATTCATTTCTCATTATCTATTTTTGAAGTATTATAGTAAAAATGGCCAATTTGTTTTATCTAAATCTTACATAATCAATCTAATTAAAACACAGATGCTATTTCGTTTCATTTTTTTTAAAGTTCAAAATTTTGTTTTACTTGGGTTCATTACAGTAGTGTAGGGCATTGAAAGTATAAAAAAGATGAAATGAAATATAGATTTATATTTTAATCCGATTGATAATCAGATATAATAAATGTTATAAAATAATTACCTGGCATATTTTAAAAAATCAATTCTTTTAGGAAAACAGAGTGGTAAAATAAATAGGAGTGAAGTGACGGCTATGATAAAACTTCTATCCATATAAACTGGGGTGTCATGACAATAAGTTTCTTTACTTACAAACAAAAAAACTGAAATAACAAGATTCACTAATATTACATTTTCATAAAATTAGCAAAAGTTGTTCAGTTAATAAAAAGAAACTCCATGTATTTTTGAAATCATAGATGGCAGCACACTTCTTCATTCTATGCAGTGCAATTCGGTAAATAATACATAAATAGACAAGAACAGCTGTCTAACCATTCAGATGGGACAAAAAACTGAGGTCCCATGTATACAATGGCGTGCACATAAAATATCCCTTGGCAGTTGGAATTCGATATAAGAGTAGGCCATAGTGCCGCTGCCTGGGCAAAATTTCCCTCATAGCACACTGTACGCTTGTCTTCATTAGTCCAGATGGAGCAGAATAGTTGGACGTTAATCCCCATTTCATTTCATTTCATTTTTGTAGATATTTACAAAAACTTACATTCCTCCCACTGGTCACCAATAATAATCAGAAAGGTTATACACGTCCCAAAACAATACAAAAGAAGGCAAATGGCCGCCCCAGTCTGAGCCTTCTTTCCACAAACTGATAAAACTACATCTTGATATGTTGACGCTTGTTTTAAATCAGAACAGTAGGCCAATATCATGATGGCCGCCACGATGAACACAAGAAATATCTGAAAAATAATAAAATACAGAATAGGTATTAATGTCTTGTCATTAAATTACTCGCTTTGAAGATCTATATGTTGTTTTTTGAAGCCAACTGAGGATTTTAAGATTAACTGGTTTATTGCCTATACTAGGGATTATGTTAGGATAACTCCCTATAACACTATTGTTTTATGCCTCAAAAACTGAATTCGCTAATCACTATGAGGAGTCAGTATTGAGCTCTGTTTTTCAGAAATTGGGTCGTTTTTGCTCCTTTCCCGTTCATAATTGCGCCAGGAGTCATGGTGGCTCAGTGAGAAAGACTTGGCTCGCTAGCCTGGAGGTTCCGTGTTCAATCCCTGTGTTGACTGAGAAAGTTCATCAGAATCTTTCCGGCGAGGTTCCCCCTTTTCAGACGTGCAGGACAGAGGGCATGGCAATAGATAATATATAGTCGTTTCGATGGGATAAAAACAAAGGTGCTATGTACACATTGGCATGCACGTAAAAGAACCCTTGACAGTTGAAATTTGATATAAGAGTAGGCTTTTGTGCCACTGTTCATGCAAAATTTCCCTCATAGCACACGTATTCCCGTCTTCATTAGCCCAGTCGGCGCAGAAAAGTAGGACGTTAAATCCCATTTTATGTCATTTCATAACTGCGCCATTCATTGAATAAACCAAACAAGGGATCTCGATTATTTCAAATCATCCCAAATCATCTAATTTGTACTTGTGTCCAGTCTAAAGTTGGCTGATTAATTTTGATAATGAGTGTTCAATTTAGGTTTTACTTCCAGTTCCACCTAAGGTGAAATCGCAGATTAAAATATGGTGCAATATAAAAGTTACAATTGACAATTAGAAACATTTAGCAAACAAAACAATAACTACAGGGAACTAGCAAGATGAAAGATGCAATATATAAATAACAATTAGAAACCATTTAGCAGACAAAACAATAACTACAGGGAACTAACAAGATGAAAGATACAATATATAAATAACAATTAGAAACCATTTAGCAGACAAAACAATAACTACAGGGAACTAACAAGATGAAAGATACAATATATAAATAACAATTAGAAACCATTTAGCAAATAAAACAATAACTACAGGGAATTAACAAGATGAAAGATACAATATATAAATAACAATTGGAAACCATTTAGCAAACAAAACAATAACTACAGGGAATTAACAAGATGAATAAGACTAACAACATAAAGGTAAGAATTTGAAAGGGTGGTATATTTAATTAACACCAAGGAAAGATACTATAACCCCTATTACCCCTGTGTATAGTATTATGTATTACAGCATACTGTGTATTGATAGATAATCAAAAGTGTGATATAAGCACTTATACCACCCCCTAGTGAGTTGTGTATCCTGTGAATCAAACACCTTCAATACACAAGTAATTAAGAAGGTGATATATACACTGTATATACACCTACATGTACAATATACTAACTGTGTTACATGTGTGTATTATAAATAATAACCTATGTGATCTGGTATACAAGTTATTAAGGTGATATTTGTAAAAAACACAGGTTGTCAAGTTAGTCCCCCATCCTGTCATACATACGGCATGCTTTGTATTTATTACTTATACATAAATTATGCAAGGGCTAAATCTGTCTATTGTAGGTCTTTCTTTATTAATTAGACATTAATTCACTTAAACCGATCATAATTATTTTGAAAATTAATTAAACGTAATAATGGATAAACAAGACTTTATTTTTTATTGTACGGACTTTAGTAATGATGATTGAGGCTAGCCTAAAATTAAAAAGCCAATATATAAATAACAATTAGAAAACATTTAGCAAATAAAACAATAACTACAGGGAATTAATAAGATGAAAGATCAGAGTGGAGCAATTTGACTGAAATTTTCAGCATATTCTAACGTTATTTATTTTTTCAATATTATAGTGAGAACTGCCAGCTCTTTATCTAATCTAATCTCCCATAATGTATCTTTAATTAGATGTGTCATACATAGTGGGCTGTTACATGTATGTATTCTAATTAATACTAGAACTGCGATGCAGTAATGACGGGTTTCACCGGTGCCACGTTACCCTAAACATGTCACTTCCGGTACCAATTAAACCATTAAACAGGTTTCCACATAAGCATTGCACACATCAAATAAAATGGACGCCGAATCAACCAAATCCAGCAATATCAATTCATTTTATACATTTGTTACATGTAAGTGTACAGTACTTCCGGTGATAATGAAAATGTTCAATTAGTTTTATGAAATCAGAAATGGCATAAGGCATCACATGGTGAAAATTTTATGTAAATCGAATAATAATTGCCACTTTTATAGACCAAAAACCTTGAAAAGTGACTTGTAGAAAATCGTCTATTTCTCTGCAACCGTACAAGTTAGAAACCATTTTCTGGTATCTGTATGATCGTATGGGTTCAATCTATTTGCTGATTGGAATCAAATATCATAATTTTAAAAACATTACAAATCAGACTCATTTGAATAAAATATCTGTTTTGAAGGCTAAAAATACAGTTTTTGCCAAAATGACGTTACTTCCGGTGATAATGAAAATCTTAAATTACTTGTATGAAATCGTAAATGGCATTAGGTATCACACAGTGAAAATTTCATGAAAATTGAATAATAATTGACACTTTTATGGACAAAAAACCTTGAAAAGTGACCTGTTGAAAATTGCCCATTTCTCCGCCACTGAACAAGTTAGAAACCATTTTGTGATATCTATATGATCGTATGGGTTCATTCTTTTAGTTGATTAGAATCAAATATCAAAATCTTAAACAAACAACAAATACGACTCATTTGAATAAATTATTTGTTTCGAAGGCTATAAATACAGTTTTTGTCCAAATTTCGTCATTTCCCGTGACATTGAAAATGTTAAATTGAGTTGAACTAGTCACAATTGACATTATGCATCAAATGGTTTCACTTCTATGAAAATCCGAAAATAATTGACTCTTTTACAGGCACAATAGTGTAAAGAGTGACTCATGCAAAATTGACCATTTCTCGGCAACTGCGCATATTACTAATTAATTTTCACATACATTCTCTCCGTATAGATTATTGCTACAAGTTTATGAAAGTTACGAAGTAATATTTTAAAATATGAAAACGCTGGATGGGTTGTAAATAGCTTAATTTTACACCTCTTTTCACCTTTTAATCGAAATAGCCTGAAAACGGAATCGAAATTAAAAAAACTGGGCCCAACATTTTGTGTGCTTTAAAGGGCGCACCCATTCAGTTATACCAGATTTGAAAAAAATAATATTTGCTTTCGAAAAGTGGTACATAACTGTCAAAATTGTAGTTTTTGGTAAAATTAAGCCACTTCCAGTGCCGACAGATAACTCTATCGGTAACAAAACAAATGGCAATTGAGACAACGGAGCATATGAACTTTGTTTTATACAAATCGAACAATAAATAATTAGTCTAGGACTGAAAAACTGAATTAGCCAATGGCGGCAAAGCAAAATTACTGAGACAAAAAAAAATCAGATTTTTGCGCAAGTCAGATGACTCCTCAATTTTGTGTAAAACACAACTAAAAAATATTCATAAATAAAAAAGTTTTTTGTAAAAATTTAAATTTTCTAAATTTGGCGCCTAATATCTGCGAAGATTTGCAGAAAATCAATAATCAAAAGTAGCGTAGCTATGTGCCCTGTCTCCGGCTATGCCAAAATGTATCGAAAGTTAAAATCCAATGATTATTGTTAAAATTACTGCAATATTTCTAAAAACGATAGCTTTGGTGATTTCGGACATTTCGCATTGTCGCAGAACGTTCAAAATAGCTTTATCCTCTAAGTCACACCCACTTTCCCAGAAAAACCGAAGAAATCGTAACGATTCGACAAGCAGTTGCTGAGATCTACTCAAAACAAAAGAAGAATAATAATAAGAAGAATAATAATTTTAACAAAAACAATAGTGTTTCACACAAGCTACATAGTGTGAAACCCTAATAAGGGGCGCCTGTCCAATCTCGTGGGTTTTCTCCAGGTCCCCAGGTTTCCTCCCACAGCTAAAGACCCCTACGTGCAAGCGAATTATTGAAATAAAACTAAACCCTATGTTAGACCCAAAATGACATAGTTTGTGTCAAGCGGACATTAAACTCCATTTCTCTATCTCTCTCTAAATAATATAATTGAATTATTACACAACAATACTGTTCTGTGAATTGTGGTTAGCCCTCTTTGACTGAAAAAAGGAGTCTGGGTGACTTTCATTCAATCAGTTTGAATAATTGAATTATTGATATCATACACAAAAACGTGGCCAAAACTTTCAAACCGGAAAAATGGAGTCTGGGTGAATGTTTCTTGCACTCAATTTCAACAAAAATGTTATGTAAGCAATCCACTGCAATACCCAGCCCCGAGTTCACAAAGCATTCTAAGACTTACAGATACATTATGAGAGATTAGATAAAGAGCTGACAGTTCTCGTTATAATAGTTAAAAACTAGATAATGTAAAGGTAATTTGTTCAGTCAAATTGGTCCACTATGAACCGAGATATCAGCTTTGTAAATTTCCGCCTAGCCTCGTTCATCATTACTAAAGTTAGTACGTTAAAAAGCATAGTCTCGATTATCCATTGTTTTGATTTAATTATCAATGAGCGTTTGCAGCATATAGGATTCTAATCCAGTCGATATCGAAGGCTAGCCTTGACATCGAGGGTTGATTATGGTCTGGATAAGTTAATTAATGTCTAATTAATAATTTAGATAAGATTTCAGGCCTAAAGAAAGACCTGCGATAGGCAGATTTAGCTCTTGCATAATGCATGTTTAAGTTAAGAAATTACTCAATCATTGTTTATGAGAAATATCTTTGATCCAGAAACACAAAACTTTGTGCATATTTTCTTATTAATGTATTGGATACATTAAAACAACAATTATTTTATGAAGGGCTATATTATTTGAGTTAAAATAAGATGAACAATTTTAAGTAAATTCCCACCTTAAGTTTGAGCATGCTTTGTAAACTCCAGGCCCTGACAAAGCATTCTCAGACTTAAGTTAAGAATTTACTCAACTTTCAATGAGAAATATCTTTGATCCAGAAACACCAAACTTTGCACATAGTTTCTTATTGATGTATTTGATACATTAAAACAACGATCATTTTATAAAGGGCTATATTTTGGTTAAAATAAGGTGAACAATTTTAAGTAAATTATTAACTTAAGTCTGAGAATGTTTTGTGAACTCGGGGCCAGGAAGCAGATGTTAATTGCCAGTTAGTCAGTCCGCGATCCATAGTCTATTAAACAGATTCACATAATGATCCCATCTCCTCTCTTCAGCCATCGCATCCCTTATCGTCATGACTGGGAGATTAACGAAAGCTATCACAATATCACAGACAAGATCTAAGAGAAGCAGAAACTTGCTCCTGTATATCTCATTCCCCCTGAGCAATATTTTTATTATAAAAGTTATAAACTTACAGATTGTATGCTTACGGCGACCACCACGCCTCCAGCTTGATCATAAGCAGCTGGAAAATTGAGCAATCCAGCACCAAGAGCTGCATTTACCACCAGAAACGCTGAACTGAACCATGATGAACCTAAATATATATTAAATGTTCAATAATAGACAATGGTGCTGAATTATCAAACTAAACACCAACAGAAAACATCTGACAGCACCCAAAATAAGATTTGGTAAATACTAGAATTGGGGGGGGGGGGGGGCACAGCTGAACATTTGTGTAGCCAAGATTTCTTTTATTGGCATGCATGCCAATGTGTAGGCTACACAGTACCATACTTTGTTAAATCCAACGTCTTACTTAGTGAGCCACCACGGTTCCCAGCATCCGATGATCTAGAGAGATGATTAGGGGCTTGTAAGTGATGACTAAATATTACTGTTATGGTACATGTATGTAAAAAAATTTGTTCCTGGTTTTATGTATTCTTGATGTTTTAAAAGAGCCTAATGTAAAAGATTATCGTTATTATTTTATTATATTCATTACTTTATTTTAAAATAAATTTCACAATCTACATGGAGGATTAGAGAGAGAGAGAGAGGAATGGGGTTTAATGTTCACTTGACACAAACTAGGTCATTTTGGGACTAACATATGGTTCATTTTTATTTTATTAATTCGCTTGCGCATAGGGGTCTTTAGTAGTGGGAGGAAATTTGGAGAACCCGGAGAATACAAATGAGGTTGGACAGGCGCCCCTACTCCTTGTCACGTACAACCGTGGAATCAAAACCACACCAGTTGACTCAATGACAGACCTTATGATATAATGCGCTAACCATTCGGCCATCCAACCCCCTTGGAGGATTAGATTATTTATTAAATCTAATAGACCACACGAAGACATTCTAAAATTTGTTGTCAGTTATCATCAAACTTTCAATCAATTCCTGAATCAGCGAGCCACAGTGGCTAAGTGTGTAAGATGCTGGCTCGCTAGCCTGGAGGTCGAGTGTTTGATATCTAAATTTCATCAAGATTTTCCGACGTGGTTTCCCCTTGTCAGTGGTGCAGGACAGAGGGCCTGACAAGAACAGCTGTCTGGTCATTCAGATGATACAAAATACAGAGGTCTCATGTATACATTGGCGTGCACGTAAAAGATCCCTTGGCAGTTGGAATTCGATATGAAAGTAGGTCATAGTGTTGCTGCCCGCGCAAAATTTCCCTCATCGCACACATGGCGTATACCTGTCTTCATTAGCCCAGTCCGAGCAGAACAGTAGGGCGTTAAACCCCATTTTTTCATTTCATTTTTAATTCCAAAATGCTGAAGGACTGTCTGAATTATTTGTTATACCTGCTGTTTGTTGAACTGGTTGTTTGTCTCTACCTAAAACTTCAACAAGTTTCACCTGTTTTGGCAAAAGTGGATCATTTTCTGACGAAGAATTGGTAACTTGCCACTCGTAATCTGGATTCTGAACGGCCATTATCACGTAAAATAAATAATTAGACAAGGCGGCTGTAACTAGCCATTTAACGTGCAAGAATGAAAATTCAGGCTAAACGTAAAAAAATCAAAACAAAGTCATGGCCGCCATTTTGTGATCATGTGATCTCACCAATTAAATCGATAAATTTTGACCGAATTATTCCTAGTTTTTACTTTAAGTCCAACTTTGACAACACTTCAAAAATGTTTAAAAAATCGAATTATAACATATTTACATGCTAATTTTCATCTAAAATACTAATATTAATAAACATTCCGAACAATACGGTCATATCATTTATCGGTTAGTATTTTGAAAAGTTATTTTTAACCCAGTCAGATGGCATAATACGTCACATTTGTATTGGTTCCCTGACGCAAAAACATAAGGAAAGGAAAAATGGCGGATGGTGTTGTTGTAATAATGTTTCTTAAAAGATAGTAAAATGTCATTTACAAACGAATTGTGCGTCCTTGGAGTGGACTAATTTTCTTGACAATAAAACGAACATTGTAATCACCATGGGATTAAAATTAAGCACAAACAATTCGCCGAGACTGAGGACTTACTCTGGCAGCAGCCCAAGTGGCACAAATGGTGGAAATACAGGAATCGCAGTCCGGGCAGGTGGCTCGGGTGCTCGGGCACGTGCAAGAAGTTTTGGTAGTTTCCAAACTTCGGGACATTCTTCATCTTTGAGTATTCCTGCTAACGTAGTTAGCCACAGGGGGAATTCTCCTGATTCTGACTCAAGTTCCCCAGAAGATGGGTCTGCCTTTGGAAGAACATTTACACATTCTCTCCCAGTTCATCTCTTTGCTTTACAAGGTCCGTTTGTTTTTAAATTGTCATTCCATATGATTTATTCAATTATGAAATGTTCGTCTTTGTCTATTTAGTGACGGAAAGCAGTACATGTGTACTAACTAGAAAATATGGTGGATATTGGATAAGTTAATTCAATTTATTTTATGATCAGTAGTGGAATGAACGAACTTTGTGCCTGACAATGTCCAAGCTTGTATGGTACATGGTTGTGTCTCTTGTCTTATATACTAGGTTTTAATTATGGGTGGGGAGGTCCAGTGTGATGGTCACTTCCGTTTATATTGCCAGGTATTTATGTAAAATGTAAGCGCTTGTTTAGGGACATGTGTCTTTAGCCACATCTGTCAGTCATGGTTCGTCCACATCGATCTCCCCAATAGTACTGATAGGGACAAGATCTCAATATTAAATTTTTTTCTTCTGCAAATTAAATTGTAAAACAATCTGAATGGTCTAACGTGTACTCTTTATATTATAAGGTCTGTGAGTGTCATGTAGTGGTGTTGTTTCATGTAGGATTGCTGCCTAACCTTGTTGGTTTTGACCAGGTGCTTGTTTTGTCCCCCCCCCCCCCCAATTTCACAACTGCTAAAGGCCCCTATGCGAAAGAGAAATAGTGAAAAAAGATTGTACCATACATCTGGTGGTTAAACCCTCTCTCTCCCAACCAGTAGGCTTATACATGTACATGCACATGTTCTGAATTTGATACTATTTAGACCTAAAGCATATTTTTGTAAACTCATACCGTACCCAATAATTACTGGATATAATAATTGATTTGATCTGTGCTCTCTGAAATTTGATATGAGTAAATGGAGGCTGTAGTCAAAAAAAGAGAATTCTTTTTACAATAAAATAGTTGAGCACTAGTTATTGAACTGTGAATAATTGATTAGATTTTAAATAGATACATGTATAAGTTAACTTACAATTACATGTTATCCATATTTTATTCATTTATTTTGTAGAAAAATGATTGTTTATTGATATATTTTTTGTCGACCAAATATGTAATTTTTAGGCTAATTTAGCATTACCCGGTTTTATTGATGTAGAAAAAGCCCTTTTCCAATCAAAATTTAAATGTATGAGAAGGAGCGCATACATGTACATGTACACCATACAGTTTACCTTAATGAAATATTGTTGGGGCCTACTTTTATTTCGATTTTCTAATTTTGTGTTTTTTAAAATAAACGTGTGGACCTCGGTCATTTAAACCATCAGAATGACTAGACAAAAATTCAGGCGTTGTCAGAGATAATCCCTTTGGTGACTGACATGACTGTCATTATATCCAGCGTAGATTTGTCAGGGTTTTTCAGTGCCTTTATTGATATTATTATTTAATACATGTCTTGGACAAAGTATAAAATTATGTTTGTTAAAGAAGGCAAGTCTCTAAATCAATATCATCCACAGTCTTCGATTGGGCAAACACGAATTATTGGTCAATTTAAATCAACAATGATGTTGTTATCTTACCATGAAAAGTTCGGCTTCTGATATCTAATATTTAAGACAAAATGAAAATTTTAAAGTTGGCATACGATGTTTGAGTGTTTGTTCTTTAGTTAGTGCTTCTGGGGGATGGCCGAAGGGTTAGCGTGTGCACGTTTATCATAAGGTCTGTCATTGAGTCAACTGACAAGGAGTAGGGTCGCCTGTCCAACCTCGTGGGTTTTCTATGGATCCCCCAGTTTCTGCCCACTGCTAAAGACCCTTACACGCAAGTGAATTATTGAAATAAAATTGAACCATGTGTTAGTCCCGAAATGACCTAATTTGTGTCAAGTGGTCGTTAAACACCATTTCTCTCTCTTTCTTAATAAAATATTTAATAATAATATTGATTACATATTAGCATGGATTAAGCCATAAGAAATTTGTTATTTTAGCGAAAAATTCAACTGCTGCGTGCTACTTTATTTTGATATGATTCTTTATACTTTGTTTGATTATGTAAGTATTTGATATTGTAAGAGGTTCAGTAACACAGTATTACATGTGCGTATTACAATATGTAAATGACCTTCTTCTCTATTGAAGTTATTGAATATAAGCTTATATTACTGTATAGAAGTACTGACTTGTTAAAGACTTCAACAATCTTTTGTCATTTAATGACTGTATAACAAAACAAAATGCATAAACTTAGAAATGTTTCCCTGTAAACCATTGTTAGCAGACAGTGAAGTTACAAAAAATCAATGAAAATATTGTTTGATAATAAGATTTTGTAATGGTGTATTTTGTTTTTGTTTTGATGGTGTTTTTTTTTTGTTTTCAATAGAGAGAGTGGCGTAGCGAAATATTGTAGTATGTATTTTTCTTTTCTTGATTCAGTTTTTTGGAGGGGTTGGATGGCCGAATGGTTAGCACATACGCGCTGTACATGTATCATAAGGTCTGTCGTTGCGTCAACTGGCGTGGCTTCGATTCCCCGGTTGTACGTGACAAGGAGTAGGGTCACCTGTCCAACCTCGTGGATTTTCTCCGGGTCCTACGGTTTTCTCCCACTTCTAAAGACCCCTACACGCAAGTGAATTATTGAAATAAAACTGAACCATATGTTAGTCCCGAAATGACTTAGTTTGTGTCGAATGGACGTTAAACCTCATTACTCTCTCTCTCTGATTCAGTTTTAAAAACTTAAAGGGACATTAGATAAGATTAGATAAAGAGCTGACAGTTCTCGTTAAAATGGTTAAAGATAATGGAAACAAAATGGGCTGAAAATTCACTCTGATCCGAGAAATTTGTGATTCAATTTTAGTCTGGTCTCCATCTTCATTACTAACGTTGGTATGATAATAATGCATGCTTGTTTGATCGTAAGGTCTGTCATTGAGTCAAGTGGCGTGGTTTCGAATCCCCTCTTGTACGTTTGCAGGAGTGGGGTCGCCTATCCAACCTCGTGGGTTTTTTCAGGGTCCTCCAGTTTCTCCCACTGCTAAAGACCCTACGCGCAAGTGAATTATTGAAATAAATTTGAGCCATATGTTAGTTTCGAAATGACCTGATAGTTTGTGTTTATTGGACATTGAACTCTCTCTCTCTCTCTCTCTTAATGTAATGTAATTGCGTGTTATGGTATTACAACATTCTGAAGTTTACAGGGGTTTTTGTCAATAGATCTATTATAAGTATGATGATTGTTGTCAACTCCTTTCAGTTGTCGAGTTTTTGATAATAGTTCAGTCAGCTGTAGTTAAATGTATTGCCATCGTTATTGTGTTAATTTTAACGCTGTCATCCGCAATTGTCATGCATCAACGACCGCAACTATTAACCTATAAAAAGACATACATTATTTTCAACCTGTGATGTTTTATGGATTGGGCCTTTTACTAAAAGTTTTAGTACTGAACGGTAAAGATCAAATATCACAAACATGTACGTTTGACCCATTCCCCCAAAAAATGAAAAAAATTTTAACCTTAAGGCTATGTATGTACATGTATTGGCAGTGTTTTAGCTAGAGTGGAAGATATTTTATTGTTCATTGGGTTTAAATGATAAACATGGTGATCCATAAGATCAAAGAGGTCAAAGTTCATTATGTAAACTGTAAACACACTTAAAATACTTAGATAAGATTACTTAAAATATCAATGACTATTGACTTGACCCATTACTCTATTAATTTGAGTCATTGTCATTTATATAACAACGCTTCACACCATTCTTAAAGGGGAAGGCCCAGCGATATTTTAGTTAACAAAATTTAGGGTGAATGACTTTTACAAATAATTATTCTAGTCCTGTGTCCTTTTAAATCTAAGGGGAGAAAAGGGGATAGAGAAATAGGGTTTAACATGCATTTGACACAGACTAGGTCATTTTGTGATTAACAGATGATAGATCTTTATCTTAGTAATGCGCTTGCACATAGGGGTCTTTAGCAGAGGGGGGATCTGGGGAACACAGAGAAAACTCTCAGACTCGAGCAGGCGATAAATTAAAAGTGAATTTAGTCATTTTCGGTGACCCATTTTAAAATGCATTATGTAAGAGCTAAATCTTTCTATTTGCAGGTCTTTTTCTAGCTTCAAAAATTATATGAATTATTATTTAGACACCTCTAGGTCATCAGATGGCTTAGAAATTTAATGTATTAGAACCTTTTCACCATTTAATAATTCAATCATGAAATGGATAATTGAGACTTTTGTTATATATTGTAGCAGCGGTACTTGACAATCAAGACTACCTTATCTAAACTTCAAACATGCATAACTTTGTTCAGAATAAAGTAATTTGACAGAATTTTTCAATATAGTCTGATGAATAGATGTCTGATTAATGATTTATTTGATGTTAAACGAAAGATATGCAATAGCAAGCGCTGAAATAAGCGTCCGGACACGGACAATGTCCGGGCGAATTGACCCCTTTTGACAAGCCAAATTGCCTTTCGTCCGGACATAATTGTCCGACCGTGTTTTTGTAAAACATTAAGTCAAAAATATTCGAGTCGATCGCTATTTATTATTAGACTCGAAAGTCCAGAACCAAAAATATCAATGACCCGAGACATAGTGAAAATGTTACTATTTATATCTCGGCCGCGTGCAGATAAAATCTTCAATAATTTTTAGAATCGACTCTTTTATGCTGGTTATATCAACGACCCGAGTCATAGTAAAAATATTACTATTTATACATGTATCTCTCTCGGCCACGTGAAGAAAAAATAATGAATAATATTGAGAATCGGCTCTTTTACACTGGTTATTCGAGTCTCGTAGCTAGCTTTGCGTTACTTTCGTATATGATTAGCTCTAAATCACACCTAACATGACATGTAATTATATAAATTATTAGTAATAAAAGTAATAATATTTTAAAATTAGTTTACAAGAAAATGTCCAAGTTGACTATGGATGTAATTAGGGACAGACTTTTTATACGAAAATATCTCACTTTGTTGGACACTTCCGATGAGAATGTAAATAGAAGAGCCGTGAAAACATGTCGAATAAAATAACTTCTTACTTTTCCCAACCCTCGGACACGGATATCCCGGCTAGTGGGACCGTTCCAGAAAATTCAAAGACTGGTACTGTGTCTTAATCTTATGTCTCTCATAAAGACACTTCTAAACGGGGGCCGTCGCCGTCACCAGTTCGAAAGTTACAAACACGAACCGTAGAAAAGTGGATCAAAAATGACTTGGCAGATTCTGAACCATTAAGGATAACTCAAGATGTCTATTCTTTAGTTAAATTTGAATCTTAATCAGAGTTTTTAGGATTTAGTCCCCAGCCCCACCAAAGAGATTAATGACATTATTATATGAACTATAAAGTTGTATTCCATATACATATAAAAACTTAAAACTCCAGGTTGTATGTGAGTCATCAATTTATTTTATTAATAAATGTATGTATAATAATATATATAAACATAGTAAATTTCAACAGTTTTTTGGTTTAATATACTTTATAAAGTATTTGTCAGGTTGAAAATCTGAAATGTCCGGCCGAAAATCAGTTCAGTAGGAAGATGTAGCTCTTACATACATGTACATGTAATGAGTATTTAGAATTTAATTTAATACTTGTCAGAAAAAGAATTAAATTGTAAAAACATAAAATGGTTAGTTTCTCCATCGCATATAGTTTTTCAACATATAAATCTTGAAATGTGTCGTGAATAGCTCTATATGGTCATGTGACATCGTCGTTCATGACGTCATTATGTTTTAAGACATTTTAATGGGTATTTCTGAAATGTCATAATTTATGCTCTGGTATAAAAAAAAGATACATGTTCAACAGTAGATCATTTGTCAGAAGGCTCAGTATTAAAATAGCTACTATCGCACATTAGATCAAAATGATGTTTAACCTGAAATCCCTTGCAATACCGGTATACAAAGGGGTGTTGGATGGCCAAAGGGTTAACACATGCACGCAGTATCATAAGGTCTGTCATTGAGTCAACTGGCGTGGTTTCGATTCCCCGGTTGTACGTGACAAGGAGTAGGGTCGCCTGTCTAACCTTCTGGGTCCTCCATTTTCCTACGGTTTTCTCCCATTACGTAAGACCCCTACGCTCGAGCAAATTATTGAAATAAAATTGAAACGTGTTAGTATCGAAATGACCTAGTTTGTGTAGAGTGGACCTTAAACCCTCTCTCTCTCTCTCTCTCTCTCAGTCTTAATGTGTCTTTAATAATAACAGATAAATTGTATTGTAATTACTAAAGCTGAACTTTACTTGACAAATACTCTTACTGTACACAGTTAAATGATACTTGATATACTGTTGGAAATTAAAGATGTCCTGATATTACATACTTATATTACAGTGTCAAATATTTTAATAATCAAATGTCTATGGTTACAAAAGTGTACATGTATTTAGATAGATTAAAGATGACTTCCCACGTTCAAACATTTGATTTGATGATATATTTGGACTAAAAACATATTCAAACTAATAATAGGTTGTATTAAAGATACCTTCCCACATTCAATGATGTGATTTGATGATATATTTAGACTAAAAACATATTCAAACTAATTTATCTATCAAAAGTTTGCATAAAATCCCTCTCGAAACATTTAAATCCAAAGAAAACTACCCCATGCCAAGAGAATCTATTTTTATCAGCAATGTTCACCACACAACATAATTGAGGGAATCCATTATCGACCTGTATTTGTTTTTACAATGTAGTTGTTGTTCATTTACCATAAGTATCGAAGTCTAAGTAAATCCTGTAGGTGTTTTTGGGGGAATCCAGTACTTCTCTATTGGAATACTTTTGTGAATGTATCTTTAAGTTTGGTTTCAACCTAGATTAATCCAAATTAAAATGGGGGGGTTGGATGGCTGAATGGTTAGCGTGCGCGCGCGCTGTATCATAAAGTCTGTCATTGAGTCGACTGGCGTGGTTTCGATTCCCCGGTTGTACGTGACAAGGAGTAGGGTCGCCTGTCTAACCTTCTGGGTCCTCCATTTTCCTACGGTTTTCTCCCATTACTAAAGACCCCTACGCGCAAGCGAATTATTGAAATAAAATTAAACCATATGTTAGTCCCGAAATGACCTAGTTTGTGTCGAGTGGAAGTTAAACCCCATTTCTCTCTCTCTCCCCAAATTAAAATAAATTGATTCACAGTGTAGTTGGCATGATTCTTTTGTTCCCAGATAATAATTTGCCATGTAAACAGACATTTTTTTATTTGATACTTATAACTTATTCATTTGTTTTTGTTTTCAGTCATTTTGTGATATTGTCATGAATCATTCTGTTCGAATTCCAGATCTAACTTGCGTTTAGTTTTTTATGTTTTCCATAAAATATATGGGGTTTTAACGTCCTACTATTCTGCTCTGACTTGGTTAACGAAGACATGCATACATGTGGGTCATACATTGTGCTACGAGGGAGATTTTCTCCGACAGTGGTGCTATGACCTATTCTTATATCAAATTCCAACTGCCCAAGGATCTTTTACATGTACACAGGACATCAGTTTTTTGTCCCCAACCGAACGACTACATGTATACGGTGTCCCTTGCCAGGTCGTCTGTCCTGCATCTCCAACCTCGTGGGTTTTCTCCGGGTCCTCCGGTTTCCGCCCACTGCTAAAGACCCCTACGCGCAAGCGAATTATGTAAATAAAATTAAACCATATGTTAGTCCCGAAATGACCTAGTTTGTGTCGAGTGGACGTTAAACCCCATTTCTCTCTCTCTCTCTCTCTGTCCTGCATCTCTGATAAGGAGGAACCACACTGGAAAATCCTGATGAACTTATGTAACCTAGTGGGTTACTTCCATAAAACGGGAACAAGGGTATAATCTGGATATGAATTTATTCAAGTAGTAACAACATTAAAATTGACTAACAACTAAAAAGGAATGAACAATATGATGTTCATTCTTTTGATAATTAAAATATGTTTTTATAATGAACTTGAGTGTAATTTATATGACTTTGTTGTCAAGAAACTAATCTCTAATAGTTTTAAGTTCAATTTGTTGTGCAATAAACAATTATAAAATGTTGCCACTAGTGACTTAAATTAAATAGTTAATTAAATGGTAAGCCTACTTAATGATATTCAACAACTATACAATAATACTTATGTTGATAAATGATCAAGATTAAAACAATGAATACCTTTATTTATATTGTAGGGGATTATAGCCGTTACAAACTATAATATTGGGTTCTTAGAATTATTTCTGAATAAACAATATAATAAAAATATGTCTGCCAAGCATCATATTGAAATGCTTGGTTATACATGTAGGGCACCTTTCACAGACATTGTCAAGTACAAATTATCACACAACCTTATATATTATAATCAAAATGTTGTATGATAATTTGTCTGATAAAGTCTGTGACTTGTTCGGCACACAAAGAGTTATCTACTTTGAGAATAAATCTTTGCCCTGAATGACCACCATATTGAAAACTAACTGCTCTGTTTTGTTATGTGCTTCTAGTCCGTTTTACATCCTTCATACACACAAAGATTAAATAAACATTTTCAATTTCATTAATATGAAAATGGAAGCCAAACAAATTCTTCTCAAAATTTTAGAAGCACATCTATTCTTGGTGTTTTGGGGTAGAATTGTCAAGACAGCTGCTGTTCAGGGGTAATCCTACGCTTTGCTCAACTATCTTATTTATTTCAGGGATCAGATATATTGTAATTTATCCAAGTCAATATTTGTAATATTTCAGGCATCAAATACAAATGTATATGTATCCTGTTTGTTCCAATTCTATATTCTATACATTTCAGGAATCAAATACGTGTATCCTGTTTAGGAAGATCCAACCTCATGGGTTTTCTCCGGGTCCTCCGGTTTCCGCCCACTGCTAAAGACCCCTACGCGCAAGCGAATTATTGAAATAAAAATTAAACCATATGTTAGTTCCGAAATGACCTAGTTTGTGCCGAGTGGACGTTAAACCTCATTTTTCTTTCTCTGTCTGTTTGGGAAGAGGGATTTTAAATAGGCTAAGCCTGTTCCCCAATCCCCAAACCTGAAGAAGATATTGTTAATAATAAAAAAAAATCCTATTTGTTCCAATTCTATATTTTATATATTTCAGGCATCAAATGTCCTGTTTGTTCCAAATTTATATCAGCTGAAGATATTGAATGTCACCTGGTAATGTGTTTAACGAAGCCTAGAATAAGTTACAATGGTATGTAAAAATATACCAAACTCCTTATAAGGCAGTTAATTACAAATTTAATTTTGAATATATGAATATTTTAGATAAATGAATAAATTTAGTGTATAAGTTTGACATCAGTAAAAAAAAGCTATTCATAAAATATAAATCTTTAAACAGCTAAATCTGCTTATTGCAGGTCTTTCTTTGTGCCTGAAATTTTATATAAACTATTAATTAGATATTTATTAACATGAAAAGACCTTAATTAACTCTCAATGTCATCTTATGTGTCGGATTTTCACTGGATTTGAATCCGATTTGCTGCTCAACTCTCATTGATGATTTAATCCAAAAATGGATAATCAATACTATGTTTTTTATCGTACCATTTTTAGCATTGATGATCGAGGCTAGGCCTAAAATTCCAACGCTAATATATCAGTTCAGAATGTAGCAATTTGAGTTGAACTGAAATTTTCAAAACATTCTCTTTACATTATCTAGTTTTTGACTGTTTTTAATAAGATGTGTGTTTAAATTTATCAACACTCAAAACAACATCCATGATTTTAAAATGCTTGAAGTATTTTTTTTATAGTTTATTTTTGCTGATGTCATACCTCAAACTTATTCATGGCTCCCAATTTCAATAGGTTCCACCTCCTAATCTATAAAGAGGGTGCTATTCAACCCATAAATATTGTTTCAATGGCATTTAGTAATTGAACTAGAGTATACAGGTCACAATTCTATGGAATACAATTACTGAGCGACGTTTCTTTTTTTTTATAAACAATATTTTATTCAGTTTGTCTGAATGAGATTGGGGAACAGGCTTAGCCTATGTAAAACCCCTCTCTCTAGATAATATACATGCATAATATTAAAACAAAGGAACAAAATGGGTGTGTATACACAGTTAAAATGGCAAACACATACATAAATATATGTAAATACATATATCATGAGACGGATGGCAATGTGCAATATATATATTCGACTAGGCTTCTCTAGTCATTATCAAGCAATTGTTTGTAATTTTATCGAAGGGTGTTTTATTAGAGCATGTTATATGTTTTGTTTGTAATTTTAGAGGATGTTTTATCAGAAGATAAAGGTGAATGTGTAATATGTTTTGAAGATTTAGTACAAGGTGATACAATTGCTAGATTACCTTGTCTATGTATATACCACAAGGGGTGAGTTATACTCTATATTTCATCTTTATCTCTTAAAACTGCATATCATTTGCATTCTTAAATAGTAGGATATTATACACCTTCCTCTCTGGGGGGTTGGATGGCTGAATGTGAAGCACGTGCGCGCTGTACAATAAAGTCTGTCATTGAGCCAACTGGCGTGGTTTCGAATCCCGAGTTGTACATGGCAAGGAGTATGGTCGCCTGTCTAACCTTGTGGGTTTTCTCCGGGTCCTCTGGTTTTCTCCCACTGCTAAAGACCCCTACGCGCAAGCGAATTATTGAAATAAAGTTGAACCATATGTTTATCCCGAAATGATCTAGTTTGTGTCGAGTGGACGTTAAACCCCATTTCTCTCTCTCTCTCTCTCACCTTCCTCTCTTTTTATCACTTGCCTTCTTCCTCTTGTCTCTTTTCTCTTATCTTCTCTCCCTTCTCTAACCTCCCCATTCTCCCTTCCCTCTCTTCTCTTATCGCCCTTCTCTCAACTCCCTTAGCCTATGCACATTGTATCATAAGGTCTGTCATTGAGTCAACTGGCATGTTTTTCGATTCCCCGGTTGTATGTGACAAGGAGTATGGTTGCATATCTAACCTCGTGGGTTTTCTATGGGTCCTCCGGGTTTTCTCCCACTGCTAAAGACCCCTACGCGCAAGCGAATTATTGAAATGAATTTGAACCATATTATATGTTAGTCCTGAAATGACCTAGTTTGTGTTGAGTGGATGTTAAACCCCATCTTTCTCTCTCTTTCTCTCTCTCTCTTTCACTCTCTCTCTAATATGGCAGTGACCTAACCAACCAGCCTGATCTCCCCCAGTGAGCCTATTAATAAACCACACCGTTTTTCTGTCCCATTTCAGAAAATATGAAAGGCAGGAAACAATCAGCTGTGATTGCTTATGTTATATCATCTTTTGATCTTAAAAGATTAGAAATTTTATTTTGAAATCAGAATGTAATTGGTCTAGAAATGATTTAAAACAACAAAAAAAACGAACAAAAAAAAAAAAAGCTGTTCATCCGATGAGTTGAGATATTATGTAAAGCAATATAAGTCATTGATCTGATAATGCTTGATGATTTTGTTTGATGTTTTGATGTTAATAAGTATTTCATCATTCATAGTCGATAAATACCAAGGTTTATGTTTTCCTGTAGATGATTTAATGACGTAGTTCAAAGCTAAGTCAATATTTAAAATAACCATGCTTGATTTGAATTTTTTGTAAAATATCAAATGTTCTCAGATTGATTATTTAAAGCGATAATTTCATATTTTCTAAGAAAGTCAAAACATAATTATTTTTATGTCTTTTGCTCAATAGGTTGTCAACTCACTATTATACGATCATAGGTATAATTCTCACACTTTAAAACCATTCACCCCGGAAATAATAAAGGATTGACAGTTCTTGCTATAATAGTTAAATAACGTAAACAGAATATGTTGAAAATTTCTGTCAAATTGCTCCACCGTGAACCGAGATATTATTTATTGAATTTTAGGCTAATCTCGATCATCATTACTAACGTCGGTTCTGATTAAAAACAATGTGTCGATTATCCATTTTTATGTTTAATTCTTTTTCAAAAAAGGTATTTCAATACCCTAAATATGGCAGACAAGCGTAGGTCTGGAGTTGATTATGGTCTGGATAAGTTAATTAATGTCTAATTAATAATACTTACGATAACATTTCAGGCCTAAAGAAAGAACTGCAATCGGCAGATTTAGCTCTTGCATAATGTATGTTTAAAGATACATTACATAAGAAATGAAATGAAATTTGGTATAACATTCTGTTGTTCTGCTCCAACTGTGCTAATGAAGAGTATAGAAAATTAAGACCTGGCTGTTTTTGCTAAAAAAAAAAAATATATAATGCAAAATCAAAATGTCCGTTATAATCTATTTAATATCGGAGAAATCCAATGCCATCGATAGTTGATTATGGCCTGGACCAGTTAATTAATGTCTAATTAATTTAGAAAACATTTCAGGCCTAAAGAAAGAACTGCAATAGGCAGATTTATCTCTTGCATAATGTATGTTTAATGAACTTGTTTGTATTCTTCTTTTATAGATGCATTGATAAATGGTTTGAAGTTAATAGGTCATGTCCAGAGCACCCCTCGGATTAAGAAATCAACTCTCTGAATCTGTTACATAGAAGATTCCAATATTATGGAAAAGGGGGTATATAAGAGACTATTTAAGATATTGTGATATGTTGAATGTGGATTATTTTGTGATTTTATGTTTTAATTTTTTTTTAAAATTGAAAACTACTTTTCATAATACTGTATACACTGCGATTATACAGTGGACCATTTTACATGAATTTGCATAAAAAAATATGTGTGAATATTCATAATATTATAATAAGACGACGGCTCTTTTTGTGAGATGTCATGGTTACGACTGAAACAGAAACAACATTTATGTTTAATAACAATTGGCTGATTTGTTTTGACGGTTTGGATCAGAAGAAGTGCAACACCATTGTTTCTACTGTTAAATGCCATGTGTATGGAGAGAAAGATAGAATTAGTTTAGAATTTGACATATTTACAAGTTCTTTCTCTCGACTTTGTTGGAAATTTATGAAGGTTACAGCAGAATAATAAATACCGGTATTTGCAATTTCAATAGCAGCTTCTATGAATAGAAGGGCCTACTTTCAATAGCAGCTTCTATGAAGAGAAAGGCCTATTTCTACAAGAAAAGACAAAAACAGTTCACGTTTTTACAAGTTTTTCAGCTGGATTATATGAATGTCAAGCAAGAATTCCATCTGTGATTTCTAGTAAACTTTTCTCTGAGGAGGTTTTAGAAATGACCTATTTTCTACTGAAGAAATTAACGCAGACTAATTCCTCAGTTGATTGGTGTCCATTCAACATGCAGAAGACCAAGAAGAATTCATATTTTTTTCCTATCTATACTTTGGGATGTCACCTGGGCGCTTTATTCATGAAAACTTAACATGAAAAATGTTACGGATGCAGCCATTTTATTGGTTGAGGTTCAAAATCCTAGTTTAAATTTTGTGCTCTTAGCGAATGAAAAGGCTGCATTCTTAAAATGTTTCAGCTTAAATTTTCATGAATAAATCCTCACAATCTCTATTATGGTTCACTGTAACTTGACAGATATCAGTAGGTCTGCTGCAATAAAATAATTTATAGCGAGCAAGTAATTATTGTGTTGAATGAGAGATCTAGAGATTAAAATTGAAATATTTAAAGGATGCAGCCGTTTCATTGGTTGAGATAGTACAAATTAGTTTTTTGGCCAATGAAAGGGCTGAATTTTTAAGTAAGGTTAAGATGAAGATATAGTATTCTGTTAAAACAAACCGGCTAAATGAATTTCTATTTATAAAAATATGTGACAAAGTGATATTTTGGTTGACATGGATACAAGAAAGATAACTCTTATGATACATGACTATGACTATAAGTGCCAATTCCTATCCCATTCCTCTAGATACTACAGTAGTCAAGATGCTCATATATAAGTTGTATTGTTAACTAGTTCACTGTTGTATTTATAATGGTTGTTATTGGCAACAGATGCTTGTTGTTATTGGTAACTGGTGTGTGCTGATAGTTATTTTAGTCACCGATTTTGGTTGTCATTGGCAACTGATGCATGATCGATGCATGCCGATAGTGACTGCTGCAAGTTGTTATTGAAAGAAATCTGTCTTATATACCTAAACCTTTATAAATCTGCAATCTGGAGGGATGGCAAGGGGACGGCAATTTTTTAAATTAGGTTAAATTAAAGTCTTTACTTTTTTGGGGTATTTGGCTATCTCTGTCTTATTTCAAGATAAAATTTTAACATTTTGTATCAACACATATGTATTGCTGATGTCACATAGTTACCATGTCACCATAGTTACAGCGATGTTGCATAGTTACCATGTAGGCCTAAAGCTTGTCAAGATAAGCATGTAGAATATTTTATAAATACTTGCAATAGTTAATCTATGAACGTATAAGCTAATGTTTTACACAGCTGCAGGCCCTAGTCTAAATGTTCAACTAAAAAAAATACATGTTTTGCTTTTGTAAACATCAACTTAATATTGTAAGAAATATTGGCTTGTAATTACATTCAACTTATAAATCATTAGAAAAATCAATTCTCACAATTCTCACTTGCAAGAGCAAAAATAAATTTTAGAAGAATTCATTGGCGAGTACCAAAAAATACCGTTCATGGTCTTCACAATGTCAAATATTACGATAGACATTACAGTATTCTATGATCAGATGTATATATTTAATTACGATAGGCATAACAAACATTTATGGACTTGAATATTCTTTTTAAAGATTTGTGATACATGAAAGAAGAGTAATAAGATAAAATACATTTGGTTATGTCTTTACGTTTCTCAAAATGAGAGGGGTGGATGGCCGAATGGTTAGCATGTGTGAGCTGTATCATAAGGTCTGTCATTGAGTCAACTGGCATGGTTTTGATTCCCCGGTTGTACGTGACAAGGGGTATCGCCTGTCCAATCTCGTGGGTTTTCTCTGGGTCCTCCGGTTTGCTCCCACTGTTAAAGACCCCTACACACCAACGAATTATTGAAATGAAATTGAACCATATGTTAGTCCTGAAATGACCTAGTTCATGTCAAGCTACATTATACCCCATCTCTCTCTCTCTCAAAATGATCAAGATGATATTGTGTTCCTGAGGCACTGCCGGATCCCTTCACTAATGAGCAGTTTGGCTACTCATCAATGACGCTCTCCGTTGCACAGATGGAACATGCGCTGTGATTGGTGTAATGAGTGAGTTTCTGATGTCATTAACAAGCTGCTTTCAGTCTGTATCTGTAACACAAGTAGTGACATGTATTGTGCTCGAGACCATGGGTTCCATGTCGGCCATATATGCCGGTCGGGACCGAGGACTTTGGAGAATGACCGATACTGGATTAGACCCGTAGGTCATTTTGCATGCCGGAAAAATAGCATATTTTATGCAAAATCATAAAATCCCGGGATACGACGAAACTCTGTACATGTTGTGATGTAAACTGTCTCGAGATAGTGTGTTTACATTTTCTAGAACACCTTACTATACCTCTCCTCATACCACTACTCATTTGCGGAAGTGCTTGGGACAGAGTGTGCTTCCTCTTTCTAGAGGGGGGTTGGATGCTGTATGGTTAGCATGTGCGCGCTGTATCATAAAGTCTGTCATTGAGTCAACTGGCGTGGTTTTGAATCCCCAGTTGTACGTGACAAGGAGTAGGGTCTCCTGTCCAACCTTGTGGGTTTTCTCCGGGTCCTCCGGTTTTCTCCCACTGCTAAAGACCCCTACGCGCAAGCGAATTATGGAAATAAAATTGAACCGTATTTTAGTCCCGAAATGACCTAGTTTGTGTCGAGTGGACGTTAAACCCCATTTCTCTCTCTCTCTCCTCTTTCTAGAACACCAGATATCACTTATCTTTTGAGGAATTCACATAGTCTGTCGTGATATTTTTGTATAGTTCAAATTCTGTTGATCAGGGAGGATGGGTTGTTTGCCGTGAGATCATGTGATCCGGTGTCGTAAAACCTTGACATTGTGTAGATAATGACTGATTAGGAACGCGCAAGATTGGAAACGGTCCTGCACATATGACGGCATATGTGGATTGTGCTTTAGAGTAAGGGTTAGGCTTGGTCCAGGGTTAGGGTTAGTGCTAGCCCTGTTTACATCTCGAGACGAAATCTGCAGGTCCTGACCCTTACCCTAACCCTAACCCACAATCCACATATGACGCCATGTGCATGACCATCTCTGATCTAGTGTTCTCTGACTGATTATAGATCTGGCTTTGTGCTGCATGCTGAGGTCAATAAAACTTGCAATCTGATTAAAATGCAAATCTATATTCTGTTTCGTTTTGGTTTTTTTTTTTACTACTTTATGATGGCCAACACTACATGAAAATCTGACAAGTTGTACTCGAAGGTCGTGTCAGGGGTCGTACAAGCAGCTTTTGAACCCTATGACTTCAGACATTGATTAATCAATCAGCATTGACGTTTCCAGTGGTTTACCCAAGAAGTCTCTGTAACAGACTGTTTCATTGGCTTATCCCTCACCTTAACCAAAACGCTGGTAATATAACAACTTTTCCAGATCCTAGTGTAGTGAAGACAAGTAAAACGAAATTTTGAACTATAAAAAACGAAACGAAATAGGATCTGTGTTTTAAGCAGATTGTAAAACTTGAAATTTGTGTAAATTATGTGTTTATATTGTAATAAACCACACATGTATATGTTCATGTAAATAGATCAAATATATATATAATATTATTAATCTTATATGCTCATCATGATTTTTTTTAGATTTCATAATCGTTGATTTTAATTTCAGTTGTATTAGGTTACTATGGTTACTGGATAACTGTACATAGTGCTTCTATGGTTACTGGATAACTGTACCAAGTGCTGTTATGGTTACTGGATAACTGTAATGTAGTGCTGCTCTGGTAACTGGATAACTGTACCAAGTGCTGCTATGGTTACTGGATAACTATACCATGTGCTGCTATGGTTACTGGATAACTATCCCATGTGCTGTTATGGTTACTGGATAACTGTACCAAGTGCTGCTATGGTTACTGGATAACTGTAATGTAGTGCTGCTATGGTAACTGGATAACTGTACCAAGTGCTGCTATGGTTACTGGATAACTGTACATAGTGCTGCTATGGTTACTGGATAACTGTACCAAGTGCTGCTATGGTTGCTGGATAACTGTACGTAGTGCTGCTGTGAGAGAAGTCAGTTTGTTGTCCATATTTGAAAACTTGAAAACTGGGTCCTGTTCTTCTTATTGCCTGCAGCAATTTATTGAAAGTCTTTCCTCAAAGTCCAACCTCGTGGGTTTTCTCTGGTTTCCTCCCACTGCTAAAGACCCCTATGCGCAAGCGGATTATTGAAATAAAATTAAACCATATGTTAGTCCCGAAATGACCTAATCTGTGTCGAGTGGACATTAAACTCTCTCTCTCTCTCTCTCTCTCTCTCTCTCTCTCCTTAAAGGGGTGGTTTGGTTGTCTCACTTTAGATCATCAAGTCTGTCATTGAGTAGGGTGACATAGTATCAATCCCAAGCAGCTTAGCTTGTATGTGAAAAGAGTCGAGGGGACGTTAAACCCAATTTCTCGCTCCCCCATTCTCAAAACTAGGATACAGGAGACCGTGGAAGTCACCAAGCATGGTTCTTGAAGAATCTCAGGACTTTTTAATCTTGGATCCCAACTATCACTGGTACATTTGTAGTTAATTGGAGGACTTGGAGTTTTACCACTCAAACAGATTTGACTTCCCATGTAACGGAACCCATCTTGTAGACAATTAATGATTTCTCTCATGTGCTTGACTTAATTTGTATGCTTTAAAGCTTTTGTATTTTGTTGCTTCATCATTCATAGAGTTGGCCATTGTTAAATATTGCCACCTCCTGATATCTCCATTCATTCACAGGCTATGTACCATGGCAACCACTTTTCAGCAGTCAGCTCAGATACATTGGCTAGGAGTATGAAGACCATCTGGTCTACAGAGAAACAGAAAACTTTGTGTGTCAGAAATCGTTCTGAAAATGATAGGTGATTTGCTGTTAATGGACTAATGGTCGAAGCTGGAGTGAATGGATAGGATTGAGGTGGAGATATATTTGACGATGTGTGAGTTATGAATATCCATTCAATCCAACAATGTTCGGTCAGCATTTCTGCATTTGGTCAATTTTAATATCATTTTCTCCCTGAAACAACTGTTAACAATAATTATTATTGGAAGATGAGTATTTTAATGTATTTTTGTATAATAGATATTAAAGTATGCATTCTCGGTCCAGGATCAGAAAATCAATTTATTTTTTCCCCCTCAACTCAGGTTTAACTAAATTACCACTACATCATGTGGTGTGTCATTGAGTCAACTAGCGTGGTTTCAATTCCCCGGTTGTAGTGACAAGGAGTAGGGTTGCTTGTCCAACTTCGTGGGTTTTCTCTGGGTCCTCTGGTTTCCTCCCACTATGTTTATAAATAGGTCAAATACCTATAATTACAAAATATAAAATATAATTATGTACAGCAGTTAGCGTGTGCGCATTGTTTCATAAGGTCTTGTCATTGAGTCAACTGGCGTGGTTTTGATTCCCCTCTTGTACGTGACAAGGAGTAGGGTCGCGTGTCCAACCTTGTGGGTTTTCTCAGGGTCTTCCCGTTTCCTCCCACTGTTAAAGACCCCTACGTGCAAGCAAATTATTGAAATAAAATTGAACCATATGTTAGTCCCAAAATGGCCTAGTTTGTGCCAAGTGTGACCCTCCCCTCTCTCTCTCTCTCTCTCTCTCTGTCATCCAGTTCATAAAGAATGCTGAAACTGAAAATGTTAAGCATAGTAAGGGTAATTTGAGTTATTTTGTTGTTGCGTTAAAAAAAAAAGAAAAAAAAAGCTTGTTTTGTGACCCTGGACCATGGTTTTAATTTAAAATAAACTTGCTTGTAGATCGAGTCATTTTTACCTCATTTTAATCATGATTTTAAATTTCAAATTTTTGCAAGTGCTTTCTTTTTTAAAGATTGTATTTAGTATATTTTAAAAACAGTCATTTATACATGTGGCACAACCCAAGGTGATGTTGTTGGGGGGTGGGGGGTCTTCAGCTCTCCCTGCATCTCCCCTTCAAGTCGTAAAACAAAACAAAGATGCCTCACTTTCTAGAAAGTATTGAATTCAGAAAGTGAGTGATTAAGTTCGTTGGCCAAGACACTGCCTTGGTAGAATCTTGGCTATGTCACTGCATGTAGGGTAATTGACCATTTCATAGTACCTGAATTTGTCAGAGGTGGGGACACTCTAATGACATGTGAACAGCGTTTTATGCAAGTCAATGTTTATTTTAGCCGATTTTTTGTTGTTGAAGAACTGTGGCTCATTGATGCATCAGTAGCCTATGATGGTTACTTACAGATACATGGAAACAACATTGACAAGATGACGTTAATGATAACCATTTCAATTTCATTTCAAAGCTGCGTTCCTCTGATTTTCATTTGTGGATTAGATAGGAACATGTGAATACAACATGTGAATACTACATGTAAACACATGGATACAATGTGAATACAAATTAAGTCTTAGAATTCTGTAAAATCAGCCTATTTCTTAAAACTGTTTTCTACAAAATAGAATTTATAATTTTAGTTTCTCAAAAACCATTGCTCCAGCAAGTTATATGTGCTGTTACACAGGGAAGAGTATGTTTGCTCTTTCTAGAACATCTGATTCCACTTCTTATAAGATGTGTTTACAGAGTTAAATGTAATACAAAATATTTGGACTTTAGTAATTAAAATATACATGTCACAATTCTATGGAATACATTTACTGCTTATTACGGAACGACGTTTCGACTAGGCTTCTCTAATCATTATCAAACAATGATAAAATACGAAATTATAACAATACAATATTTTATCATGGCTTGATAATGACTAGAGAAGCCTAGTCGAAATGTTGCAGTATTAAGCAGTGTTCCATAGAATTGTGACCTGTATATTCCATGCCCCAAGTTCATAAAGCATTCTCAGACTTAAGTTAAGAATTTACTTAACTTTCAATCACTGTTTATGAGAAATATTTTTGATCCAGAAACACAAAACTTTGCACATAGTTTCTTATTGATGTATTTAATACATTAAACGACAAAAGTTTTATAAAGGGCTATATTTTAGTTAAAATAAGGCAAATAATTTTGAGTAAATTCTCAACTTTAGTCTGAGAATGCAATTGAAACAATTTATTAATTAGTATTTAAGTTATTTTAAAGATTCTTAGGGACATTATTTATGAAAATCAACTTTTAGGGATTTAGCCTTTTCATTGGTTGGAAGTTAAAATATTTGTAAAGATTTTAACGCTTAACCAATGGACAGAATCCATTCTAAAAATGTTAACATTTTACAAATTGTCACCCATGGCCCTTATTCACGAAAACTTAAACTAAGATACAATCAAAATTTTAAGAAATACTGCAATTCGATTGGCTGACCAGTAAAATCAATTTGCATATATCCAATGAAGTTGCAGTATTTCTTAAAATTTCGATTTTATCTTAATTTAAGTTTTCGTGAAAACAGGCCCAGGCTATTAATCATTAAGTTTCCTAAGTCATCCTGGAGCTTGCCTATAATTTGATTAAGATTTGTTATACTGAGATTATGATAAGATTTTAGTTTTAAAAAAGATATAAAGTATATAACTATTCATGTATTCCAGCCTGGAGTTTTATCTGGACGAAATCAACTTGTTTGGTCGACAGGCCTGGAAATGACGGTTATATTTTTCACCTGACAAAATGTCAGACACTATAGAATATAGAACTAGCTAGTACCCGACATTTTGCGCTTTGTGCTGGACAGGTATTATAAATATCACGAAAAATAGACCAATCTGTGTGCCAGACAAATGGACAGGCCTGTATGCCAGACAAATGGACCGGCCTGTGTGCCAGACAAATGGACAGGTCTGTATGCCAGACAAATGGACAGGCCTATGTTCATGACAAATGGACAGGCTGTGTGTCAGACAACTGGACAGGCCTGTGTGTCAGACAACTGGACAGGCCTGTGTGCATGATAAAGGGTCGAAGGCTCAGTTTATGTCGGATAATATCTATGACCGGTGTCTTATTACCATTCCAGGCTTGACGTTCAAATGACAAATGGAAATGTCTGTCCACTTGAAATTCAGACTTGTTTTGATTATTATAAATTAAAAGGCCATAAACAATCGAAGGTGTAGTCTTTTATATACATAAAATAAAATGTTTCGTTATGTGTAAAAATGAAATAAAGAAATAAAAAATATAATATTTTGTTTGTTCTGGAATGCGAAGTCGAGGCTGCTCAGTGAGTAAAACGTTGGCTCGCTAACCTAGAGGTTAGCAAGGGACAATGGTAGGTTATTCAGATGGGATAAAAAAACGAGGTCCTATGCATATAAAAGAACACTTGTCAGTTGGAATTTGATATAAGAGTAGGCTGTAGTGCTCATAGTACAGTGGGTAAAACGTTGGCTCGTTAACCTAGAGGTTCTGTGATTAATCCCCATGTTGGCCTGGCAAGGGACAACGATAGGTTATTCAGATAGGATGAAAAACCGAGATCCCATGCACATAAGAAAATCGCTGTATCATAAGACCTGTCATTGCGTCAACTGGCATGGTTTCTAATCTCCGGTTGTTCGTGACAAGGAGTAGGGTCGCCTGTCCAACCTCATGGGTTTTCTCTGGGTCTTCCGGTTTCCTCCCACTGCTAAAGACCCCTAAGCACAAGCGAATTATTTAAATAAAATTAAACAATGTTAGTCCCGAAATGATCTAGTTTGTGTCGAGTGGACATTAAACCCCATTTCCCCTCCCGACATAAGAGAATGCTTGACAGTTGGAATTCGATATAAGAGTAGACCCTAGTGCTGCTGCCTGGGAAAAATTTCCCTCATAGTACACTGTACGACCTACAGTATGCCAGTCTTCTTTAGACCAATTGGAGCAGAAAAGTAGGGCGTTAAAACTCCATTTCATTGCATTTGGTTTTTCAATGTGATTTGAATGAAACATTGCTCCGATTTTGTTTTGTTTTGGAAGTCTGGATGGCTCAGTAAGTAAAGCACTGGCTCGCTAACCAAGGGATCACAGGTTTAATCTCGGTGTTGGCAGAGATAATTTTGCTTGATTAACCAAGGGATCACACGTTTAAAGCGAGAATTTCAAATTTTCTAAGAAAGTCAAAACATAATTATTTCTATGTCTTTTGCTCAATAGGTTATCAAATCACTATTATACGATCATGGGCATTATTTCCCACCCTTAAAAATCTATGACACAGGAAATAACAACACAATTACCTCCCGTGTTTTGCTATTGACAACATGGGGCAGTCATTTTTCAACATTGGAATTTGAAGTTAAAAATGATATTTTTGCCAATTTCTCAGCTGGCAATAGCGAATTATAGGATTAATAGGATTATTCTTTAACAAGGTAGGACTGTTTATGGATACCATCTATTTTAAGGCTTTATTTTAATACATTTTAGAAATATAACTTGAAAATTTGCAATTTCCGCTTTAATCTCGGTGTTGGCAGAGAAATGAAATGAAATGAAATGGGGTTTAACGTCATACTATTCTGCTCCGAACTGGGCTAATGAAGACGGGCATGCGCCATACAGTGTGCTGTGAGGGAAATTTTGCCCAGACAGCGGCACTACGGCCTACTCTTATATTGAATTCCAACTGACAAGGGATCTTTTACGTGCATGCCAATGTGTACACGGGACCTCAGTTTTTCGTCCCATCCAAACGACTAGACAGCTCTCCTTGTCAGGCCCTCTGTCCTGCATCACTGACAAGGGGAAACCAAGCCGGAAAATCTGGATGGACTTTCTCGGCCAATGCAGGGATCGAACACCTGACCTCCAGGCTAGTGAGCCAGCGTCTTACCCACGTGATCCCCTGTGTTGGCAGAGATAATTCTGCTTGATTTTCCAACGTGCTTCTCTTTTGAAATCCTGATGTTGGGCGAGAAAGTTCTCATGAGTTAAGTGGTGCCGGATGGAGGTCCTGGCAAGAAAGAGCGTCTTGTTGTTCATATGAGACGAGGTTTGGCGTGCACGTAAAAAGATCCTGTGACTGTTTGAGTTCTTAATAAATGTAGGCCATAGCGGACTCTATTTTATTTTAATTTTATTTGTAAGTCAAAGGTCACCTACATGACACCCTGACCATATTTTAGTCTCAAAGTAATCAAAATATTGGGTTTTTTATGGGGGTGGGGGGGGATCAGGTAGGGGAAGCCACGCTGAACGACATCTGATCGAAGTAAGTACAAGACCTCCTAGTTATGAAGCCAGTGTTTTATTCACTCATCCACTGCGGCTGCCTTAAAAACAAAGCCTTTGAAGCAAAAATTATCTGTTTTTATTAAATTCGACTATTAAAATAAATATTATAATAATAACAAGTCCATTTATATCACACTAATTCCACATATAGTCGTGCTCAAAGTCAATAACTAAAATAACAAAAAAATACTCATCAGTAAAAATATATCATACAGAGCACAACATGTGGCGAACTATTAATAAAACAAAATCTGGCTTTGATATAAAAACTAGGGAATGTACAAAGTAAGGGCAGGTATATATAAAACCTTGAGAATGTACAAAGTAAGGGCCGATATACAAAGTAATGGTTGGTATAAAATCTTGAGAATATACAAAGTAGTTGTTTATATAAAATCCTTGAGAATGTACAAAGTAGTAGTTTATATAAAATCCTTGAGAATGTACAAAGTAGTAGTTTATATAAAATCCTTGAGAATGTACAAAGTAATGGTTAATATAAAACTTTGAGAATATACAAAGCAAGAGTTGGTATGAAACTTTGAGAATAGACAAAGTAATGGTTAATATAAAACCTAGAGCATGTACACTGCAATAAGCAATAAAAGAATATTGATAAACATCTAAAGGTCTCTTCTTTGATTGGCATTTGATTGGTAATTGAACATATTAACACAAGGTACAATTAATTTTATCAAGCAAATGATACATTATATGTGAATAGTAAACAAATATATACAACTCCTTTAATTCTAATGATTTAAAGGATATCTAAATAATAGATGATAGGAATAGATCGACCAGCTCCTTTAATTACAATGTTTAAAAGGATCTCCCTTAATAATAGATTATAGGAATGGATCCAAGGGCCAGCTGTAATCGTCCATTGTGCTGTACAGTTCCAGACCTTTAATAATACAGGCTTCACTTAAAGGGCCAATCCCGATAATATTTTGGAGAATAAAAGTGCTTAATTTTGTGTTAAAATCCTTTAAAATCCCCTACCTTAGAGCCGAGCAACTAACTCAATATGTGTGATACGTTTTCAAACAATTTAAACCCGTCAGTGTCCCAAGCTGTATTATACGGTATCTGGATAAAACCAGACTTTTTTTATAAAAATAATGTGTAAGTGAAATGAACCTTTCGTTAACAAGTACAGCACATGGGTCATTCATTGTATAGACCTCTAAAGGAACGGGAATCGAATATTAGGTCACCAAACGAACAAATTGACCCGAAATCTTAAAAGGGTTATGTGTCCGGATAAGCAGTTTTGACGTTCACGTCCGAACGACTCAATATTTTGAGCTGAGATTTTAAGACAAGGTAAATACGCCATTCCTCTATATTTTGGCGCTTAACTTTCATACGTACTCAGACTTTTATTTTTTAGACGCTGTTCAAATTGGGATAGTCCCTTTAAAATGAAAAAAAAATAATGATTTACAAGAAAGACTAATCTGATTCAAATACAGATTTATTTTTCGTTTCGTTTTTTTTTTTTATACTTTTGATGGCCTACACTACATGAAGATCTGACTAGTTGTAGTGGAAGGTTGCGTCCGAAGTCATACAAGTGGCTTTTGACCCTATGATGTCAGACATTTGATTAACCAATCGGCGTTGATGTTTCTAGTGGGTTACCCACAGTTCCGTGCACCTCACGCCAAAAACTAGCCGTAACAGACCCATTTCATTGGCTAATCCCTCACATCATCCAGAACGTGGGTTATATAACAAATCTTCCAGATCCTAATATAGTAAAGACAAGCAAGACGCAATTTTGAACTATAAAAAACGAAATAAAATAGGATCTGTGTTTTAATCCGATTGAAGAAAGATGTGATGCGACTGGTCTATGTTGTTTATAGAATAAAACATGGATGGACACTGTATACTCCTTATTTATATCTTCATTCATTAGACGGGATTTCATGAACTGCAGCTAAAAAACAAAAACAATAACAATTTAAAGGGAATTTCATGAACTACAGCTAAAAAAACCCAAAACAATTACGGTTTAAAGGGGATTTCATGAACTGCAGCTAAAAAACAAAAACAATAACAATTTAAAGGGAATTTCATGAACTACAGCTAAAAAAACCCAAAACAATTACGGTTTAAAGGGGATTTCATGAACTGCAGCTAAAAAACAAAAACAATAACAATTTAAAGGGAATTTCATGAACTACAGCTAAAAAAACCCAAAACAATTACGGTTTAAAGGGGATTTCATGAACTGCAGCTAAAAAACAAAAACAATAACAATTTAAAGGGAATTTCATGTACTACAGCTAAAAAATGTCCAAAGCAATTATAGTTTAGAGGTGATTTCATGAACTGTAGCTAAAAAACAAAAACAATAACAGTTTACAGGGAATTTCATGTACTACAGCTAAAAAAAACAAAAACAATTACGGTTTAAAGGGGATTTCATGAACTGCAGCTAAAAACAATAACAATTTAAAGGGGACTTCATGAACGACAGCTAAAAAACCCAAAACAATTATAATTTAAAGGGGATTTCATGAACTGTAGCTAAAAAAACGAACAGAATTACAGTTTAAAGGGGAACTCATGAACTGCAGCTAAAAAAACCAAAGCAATTAAGTTTAAATGGGGTTTCATGAACTACAGCTAAAAAAACTCAAATTAAAGGGAATTCATGAACTGCATGCTAACATGTACACAGGCGATTATTCTATTTCTGGGGACATCTAGGTTGTTCTGTCCTGTGCTATGTGTCTCAAGTTTAAACGGCGGTGGTTGGATGGTCAAATGGTTAGCATGTGCACGTTTGTTTGTCTTGAGTGGACAATAAACTCATATAGGCGGAAGTAGCTAATTGTGGGTTTCTCAGGTTGCTTGAGTTTCCCCTTACTGCTAAATATCCCTATGCATAAACAAATTATTGAAGTAAAGCTGGCTCCATATGTTAGTCCAAAAGTAACCCAGTTTTTTATAGTGAACAATTAAACTCTATTTCTCCCATCACCTCTCTCTCTCTCTCTCTCTCTCTCTCTCTCCTGACAGGAACAACCTGGGACACCTGTTACACATACCTGGAGGTCCCACGTTCGACCCAGGTGTTGCTAGAGAAAGTACCTCGGGGTTTCCCTTTGTTAATAGGGCAGGACAAAAGGTTTGGCAAGTAACAGCATCTGTTCATTCCAATGGGTGCAACTAGGGTGTTAATCAGGGTTTCCACTTCAAAATGTTCATTGTCATTCATTTTTTATAATGCACTAAAACTTTGCAAATTAAATTCATATGTCATGTTTTTTTACTTATAGTAGAGTATTTGATTTTTATTTCACATAGCTTATAATTGTATCGTAGAGAGAGAGAAATGGGGTTTAACGTCCACTTGACACAAACTAGGTCATTTTGGGACTAACACATAGTTCAATTTTATTTCAATAATTCACTTGCATGTAGGGGTCTTTAGCAGTGGAAGGAAACTGTCCACGAGGTTGGACAGGCAACCGGTACTCCTCCGGACATCCAACCCACCTCATAATTGTTTTGTAACTTTAGATCAGAATACAGTACTATACTTACTAATATAGCCACCAGATGGAGCACAATCGTTTAATTCCATATATGTATTTGGAGTATTGGACGAGACATCAGTAGGATAATTATAAGTTCCGATTTCACGCACTGGTGTTATATAAGGAGTTGTTCCATTCATATCTGAAAATTAATTGAAATAAAAATAATTCTTCTTTATACGCTTCAAATAGGCCTAAACAATTCCAGCCAAAAATCCCAAATAAGGGAATTTACAAGATTTCATTGACAACCAGCGGCTGCCAGGCAGGATACGCCCACATTTTCGAGAGATGGATAGAGAACAAGCTAACAAGAAAGTGATTTTTCCTACTATCAAGGGCCTTAATTCAGGAAATTACAATTCAATATGCGCAAATATCGAAAGGAACTGAGAATTTTGTGTTATAAACTTACATTTCAAGTTTTAACAAAATCGGATAAAAATTGTGACCTCTATAGGGTCCACAACCTTGATATACCATATTTTTACGCTATTTGAGAACGAACGGCGGCCATTTTGTCTGTCAATTTTGGGCCGATTTTCACGAAATTCGAACTCAACCTTCCTTTGGGTGTAACGGTTATATAATAATACGGTTTTTCAAATCGAATAAAAATTATGACCTCTATAGGGTCCACAAGCTAAAAACGCGATTTTTCGTACAATCAGGGGCCATAATTCAGGAAGTTACGGTATGATATGTGCAAATATCGAAAGGAACCGAGATCTTTGGGTTATAAACTTACATTTCAAGTTTCAAATAAATCGGATAAAAATTGTGACCTCTATAGGGTCCACAAGCTAAAAACGTGACTTTTCGTACAATCAGGGGCCATAATCCATGAACTTTCAATCCGATACATGCCAATATCGAAAGCAGCCGAGATCTTTTGGGGATAAACCTATATTTCAAGTTTCGTCAAAATCGGATAAGAATTGTGACCTGTAGTCGACAAACAATTGTGGACGGACGGACGGACGAACGGACGTCCGGACGGACAGGGGCGACGGCATAATACGTCCACATGAAAATGTGGGCGTATAAAAATTCAGCAAAAATTGTACAGCATTATCATGTAGTCAAGGGGAATAACTCTATTAAACAAATTTGTTGAATGACGTACACAATCAATATTCTGTTCTTGACTTTCAATTAAATTTACTTTGCTTTAAAATGGTTACTGTCCTACTTAGGCAATATTCTGGTGCTTAGATAGTCCTTAATAAAAATCTGATAATGGAGAGAGATTTTTATTTTTGTGTTTTTATTTTGTCAAAGGCTTTGATTAAAACACAGATCCTATTTCGTTTTGTTTTCTATAGTTCAAAATCTTGTTTTACTTATCTTTACTACTCTAGGATCTGGAAGAGTTGTTATATAACCCGCGTTCTGGATGATGTGAGGGATTAGCCAATGAAACTTTCTGTTACAGTGAATTTTTGGCATGAGTTGCACGGAACGGTGGGAAAAGCACTAGAAACGTCAACACTGATGGGTTAATAAAATGTCGGACGTTAAAGGGTCAAGAATCGCTTGTATGACCTCTGATGTGACTGGTCAGATTTTTATGTAGTGGAAACCATTGAAAGTATACAAAAAAACGAAACAAAACATAGATCTTTTCAAAATGCTGCAGGATTATCCGAGGATTAGTATTTTATTTATATATGGCCTTACAAGGTTTCGAAATAAAATGAAATGGGGTTTAACGTCCTACTGTTCTTCTCCGAACTGGTCTAATGAAGACGGGCATAGGGCATACACCATACAATGTGCTATGAGGGAAATTTTCCCCGGACAGCGGCACTACGGCCTACTCTTATATCAAATTCCAACTGTCAAGGGATCTTTTACGTGCACGCCAATGTGTACACGGGGACTCAGTTTTTTGTCCCATCCAAACGACTAGACAGCTGTCCTTGTCAGGCCCTCCGTCCTGTATCACTGACAAGGGAAAACCACGCCAGAAAATCTGGATGAACTTTCTCGGCCAATGTAGGGATCGAACACCCGACCTCCACAAGGTTTCGATGAGACAGCCAATAATTTCAGGAACAATAAATCTACTACCCGAGAAGAGAGAGAGAGAGAGAAATGGGGTTTAACGTCCACTCGACACAAACCAGGTCATTTCGGGACTAACACATGGTTCAATTTTATTTCAATAACTCGCTTACGCGACCCTACTCCTTGTCACGAATCGAAACCCCGCCAGTTGACTCAATGACAGACCGTATGATACAGCGCAGCGCGCATGTGCTAACCATTCGGTCATCCCCCCCCCCCCCCTACCCAAAAAGGGAACAACGGTGGCTCAGTGAGTAAGACCGTGACTCACTAAGTAGGAGGCCTCGGGTTTGTTACCGATGTTGGCCAAGAAAGTTCCTCAGGATTTCCCAGGACGGTCACGCCTTGTCAGTTTCTAGTCATTCGGATGGGACAAAAACAGAATCCTTGAAATAACAATAGGCAGTTGTGTCGCAGCCTAGGCAAAATTTCCCTCGTACCACATGTACGCCATATACCAAACTTCATTATCTCAGTCAGTGCGCCCGGTTGTACGTGACAAGGAGTAGGATCGCCTGTCCAACCTCGTGGGTTTTCCCCGGGTCCTCCGGTTTCCTCCCACTGCTAAAGACCCCTACGCGCAAGCGAATTATTGAAATAAAAATTAAACCATATGTTAGTCCCGAAATGACCTAGTTTGTGTCGAGTGGACGTTAAACATTTTTATATGGCATATGTCCATCTTCAATAGCCCAGTCAATAGCCCAAAAGTAGGATGTTAAACCCCATTTCATTCGTACCCCAGAAACCGTGTGCTTCCACTGAACATGACATTAGAAAAGATTGACAACATCGATTGACAACATCGACTGACGAAATAGATTGACGACATAGATTGCTAAAAAAATAATTAAAAGCAGGGAATACTGACCACGAGTTCTTAACATGTGTTGTATTTTATTAACTATAATAACAGCTTGATCAGATGAAAATCGGTAAACACCAGTTCCTGTTTCAGCAGACCTTGAAAAATACAAAATTCATCAATAACAATTACCCTTTGACTAGAACCACCTGTGACTAAGACCGATCGCTTGTGACTTAGACCATCTGTGACTAGGGTTCCTTTGACTAGAGCCACCTGTGACTAAGAAGACCACCTGTGATAAGGACCACCTGTGACTAGGGTTCCTTTGACTAGAGCCACCTGTGACTAGAACCGATTGCCTGTGACTAGAACCACCTGTGGCTAGGGCTGTTTGTGACTAGAATCACCTGTGACTAGGACTGATCTTTTATGACTTGGACCATCTGTGACTAGAACCACCTGTGACTAGGTCAATCTGTAACTAGGACCAACTGTGACTAGGACCAACTGTGACTAGGGGGTCCTTTGACTAGGTCAATCTGTGACTAGGACCAACTGTGACTAGGACCATCTGTGACTAGGACCACCTGTGACTATGGGTCCTTTGACTAGAGCCACCTGTTACTAAGACCACCTGTTACCTAGACCACCTGTGAATAGGGGTCCTTTGACTAGAGCCACCTGTGACTAGGACCACCTGTGGTCATTTGACTAGAACCACCTGTGACTAGGAACATGTGTGACTGACCAATCACCGGTGACTTGGATCGTCTGTAACTAGGGCCACCTGTGACTTGGACCATCCGCAACTAGGGTACCTGTGACTAGAACCACCTATGACTAGGACCGCCTGTGACTACAGCCACCTATGACCTTGACCGCCTGTGATTAGGACCGCCCAAACCACGTGAGTAACATGAATTAAGTTTTGGACACAAGTTATATTGTACAACTATCTGATTAAAACATAGATCCTATTCCGTTTCGTTTTTATAGTTCAAAATATTGTTTTACTTGTCTTTACTACACTAGGATGTGGAAGAGTTGTTATATAACCTGTGTCCTGTATGATGTGAGGGATTAGCCAATGAAACAGTCTGTTTTTGGTGTGAGCTGCACGGAACTGTGGGTAACCTACTAGAAACATCAACACTGATTGGTTAATCAAATGTCATAGGATCAAAAGCCGCTCGTATGACCTCTGACGCGACCTCCCACTACAACTGGTCAGATCTTCATGTAGTGTAGGCCATTGAAAGTATAAAAAAACGAAACGTAATATAGATCTGTCTTTTAATAACCAGGTTGGTCTTACTCACTGTTAAACCCTATTTCATTTAATTTCTGGAAGTCACGGTCGCTAAGTGGGTAAGACGATTGCTCACTAGCCTGGAGGTCACATGTTCGATCCCTGCATTGGCCGTTCATCAGGATTTTCCAACATGGTTTCCCCTTGTGTAGTTGTTCAATGTGTATACATTATGTAAAAGATCCCTGTATTTGAAATTCGGTAAAAGAGTAGGCCATAGTGCCTCTGTCCGGGCAAAATTTCCCTCATAGCACACTGCATGACGTATGCCCGACTTCATTAGCCCAGTCGAAGCAGAACAGATGAAAGTTAAACCCCATTTCATTTTATTTCATTTCCTAGGAAATTGAGTCTCACCTTCCTACTTCTATCGATACTTTGTCAGTGGTGCAGAGTGGAGCAGAGTGAAGGGTCTGACAAGGGCTGCTGTCTAGATGTTTGGATGGGATGAGAAACCGAGGACCCATGCATACATTAGCATGCACGTAAAAGATCCCTTGGCATTTGGAATTCGATATATTTCATTTCATATTTCCTAGAAAATGTATTCTCACCTTCCTACTTCTATTGATACTGTACTGGTGTCATCATTCTGGTAGGTTTTTATTACTTCATAAGGCCAACGAAAATACCGTTGGTTGTCATTTAAACTTGTCATAGATACTCCATCCCTGTCTACGATTAGTTTCGTTTCTATACGTTTACCCTCTGTCACATTACACGGAAATGCTGTTACCATAAAAGTGGAGCCTTAAAAGAAAAAAAAAATGCATCTGGTACCATTTTATTTTACCATATCTGATAGGTGGGGTTTTTAGGTGTGCAGATTAGACCTAATCCCGCTCAAACACTGCCGTAATGAAGGCAAAATTCTGTTCCAAATTATGACTGGTCAATAGTCTGATTAACAACCAATAGCTAACTGCGTAACAAGATCATTCAGGATTAAACAGACCTCCAAATATGTTTATATAACGTTATGTCCTAAACATTATTATACCCACTTAACCAGTGCATAGCAGAATATTGCAGAAAAACTAATTGCGTGACAAACGAGGCTATCAAAAATGGCTACAATGTAAACAATACTGTTTGGAGACCAACAATACTTTCACAATTTTTAAACGAAGGGCTGTCCTGTTGTTGTACTAAGGAGAGATTTGATTAAACGGGAAGAACAGACACACTCCTGCAAAAACTCAAGTACCAGAAGTCAATCCAGCAATGGCCAGAGAGGGATTTCTCAGGCTATCGTTTCAGGAATATGGTTGGGGAGGGTTGGGGAGGGTTGATATGGCATGATTATTTAAATCATTACAATGGTACCTATTTAATTTTTTCTCCGCCACTAAAAAGCATGGGGGGTTAGATGGCTGAATGATTAGCACGTGCGTACTGCATCATAAGATCTGTCATTGAGTCACCTTGCATGGTTTTAATTCCTTGGTTGTACGTGACAAGGAGTAGGGTAGCCTGTTCAACCTCATGGGTTTTCTCCAGGTCCTCCAGTTTCCTCCCACTGCTAAAGTCTACGCCCAAGCGAATTGTTGAAATAAAATTGAACCATATGTTAGTCCCAAAATGACCTAGTTTGTGTTGAGTTAACATTAAACCCCATCTCTCTCTCTCTATTTGAGTGAGAGCTATGAAACTTGGTGTATTGTTTCATTACCTCAAAAACCATGATGTAACTATAGCAAATTTATAGATTAAGTTGTTAAAAGAAGAAATAAAAATGTTACCACTGTTTCTTCTCACGGAGTCCAACAGAGATCCTGTAGAGTATATCCAACTGTCCGCTTCAACAGCTGAAAATATATGTGTTCGAAAATTGACAGAGATTCTGATAGTTTGGGGAAGGTTGAGGGACCGAATGGTCTAAGATTTGTGCTTCAGATCATAAGGTCTGTTAAGAAGCGTCTCGCGATTTGAAAGAGCTTAGAACATGAGTTGTGGCGAAGGGGCATAACACCTTACGCCGACTTGAACAGGACTCAGGTTTTGTGAAGACTTGGGACTCGACTCGGTACTAAAGTCAGCAACTTGGGACTCGACCCACTACTAAAGTCAGCGACTTAAGACCCGACTTGGACTTGGGACTCAACTTGGACTCACAGTCCCACGAATTGTTGCCACCTCTGACAGTCGCCTGCCTACTCCTCGTGCATATTCTATTAATCCTCCAGTTTCGCCCACTGCTACAGACCCCTAAGCTCAATTGATTTATTGAAATAACATAATATCATATTATAATTAATATGATTTAAATTGTATCAAGTCGAGTTAAATACTATTTATAATTATCTTTCTCTCTTAAACCGTGGAAATACAAATACTCTAAAAAATATTCAACAAGGAATTTCATTCTGACCTAGTTTCTGTAGCCTTAAACCCCATCTCTCTCTCTCTCTCTCTCTCTCTCTCTCACTCTCTTTGACTCTCTCTCTCTCCCAACTCACCTGTTTTGCATTTAAACTCTAATCTAGAATTATCATAAAGAACTAACACAACACCGCATCTATTATCAATCTTTCCTCGTATAACGTTTATACTTTCTAAAGGATATATATTCTCAATTTTATTCCCTTCAAAAGCTTTCTTTGAGGAATATCTTGCAAAGCATGCGGGTCCGAATTGTGAATCTCTACATAGTATTAAATATCTGCTAGTCCATATCTGTAATGTTAAAAAAAAACAGTATTAACCCTTTAGCTGCACCACCTAAAACTAGTGCTCCTTAGAGAACACTTAAACGCCCAAGTGACATCAATAATTGTGGTTCCCCCAAGAACTAATTCTCGTTATAGAACCCCTAACTGCCCATGTGACATCAGTAGTTGTGGTTCTAACAAGAACTTATAGAACCTTAACCACCCAAGTGACAAGCATAGTCGTGTAGCCCCACAGAACAAGTGCTCCTTAGAGAACCACAAAACGCCCAAGTGACAAGCATGGTCGTGTAGCCCCACAGAACTAGTGCTCCTTATAGAACCCTAAACCGCCCAAGTGACATCAATAGCTGTGGCACGCCCAGGAACAAGTGCTCCTTAGAGAACCCCAAACCACCCAAGTGACATCAATAGTCATGTAGCCCCACAGAACTGGTACTCCTTATAGAACCCCATACTGCCTAAGTGACATGCATAGTTGTGGTGCCCACCAGAACTAGCGCTCCTTATAGAACCCTAAACCTCCCAAGTGACAAGAATAATAGTGATGCCTCCAAGAACGGCCCTTACAGACCCCCAAACTGCCCATGTGACATGAATAACTGTGGTGCCCCCAAGAATAGAGTTTTTGAAACAACCACAAACCGCCCAAGTGATATGAATAGTTGTGGTGCCCCCAATAACTAAATACCCTTAGACAACCCCAAAACGCCCAAGTGATACAAATAAAATGGGGTTTAACGTCCTTCCATTCTGCTCTAAACTGGGCTAATAAAGACGGGCATACGCCATACAGTGTGCTATGAGGGAAATTTTGCCCGGACAGAGGCACTACAGCCTACTCTTATATCGAATTCCAACTGTCAAGGGATCTTTTACGTGCACAGCAATGTGTACACAGGACCTCTGTTTTTCATTCCATCCAAACGACTAGACAGCTGTCCTTGTTAGGCCCTCAATCCTGCATCACTGACAAGGGGCAACCATACCGGAAAATCTGGATGAACTTTCTAAGCCAATGCAGGGATCGAACACGTGACCTCCAGGCTAGCGAGCCAACGTCTTACCCACATAGCCACCGTGACCCCCCCCCCACCCCCAAGTGATAAAAATGGTTGTGGTGCCCACAAGAACTAGTAAACAGTCAAGTGAGCAGGAGATTCTGAATGTTTCAGGCTGTCGAGGGATAGACAGGTATTGAATACATCAATTTTTTCAAGGAAACAGAGTAGTCAATATGTATACCAAATGCTGAATGGCAGAAAAAGGGTTAAAGGGGAAATCCCAGAAATATTTTAGTGAGTCAAATTGATTAAATCCGAGTGAAATCCCGAGAGAAACCTTTATCCTGTTTCCACTTTCTACATGTGGTTGGTGGCATGGGGGTCCGACCCCCCCAATTGTTTTTCGGGGGGGGGGGAGGGGGGTCTGAATATACTTGGACCCCCCCAAAATTTCCATAGTAGGCCCTAACTCGTATTTATTTACAACAATTATTAGGATTAATTAAGATTCTATCTGTATAAAACATGTACATATCCCAATATGGTTTACATTGCTAAAACAAAACACAGAGAGAATCATCCTGGTAACATGTGTCAAGTGAAAAGTAACTGTGGTCCATAAAATTGTGTCTAGTTAGCCTGTCAGTAATATTTTGCTAATTTTTTTCTGCCATGATAATCGCATGTAGGTACCCAAAAACATTATCGCCTAAGCCAAATATTTATCGCCCGCGCAGCCAGCCACGTAACCATAATGCTTTGTTTATAGTTTTTAGGGGTTTTAAAAAAGGGTTAGGGTTAGGGGTTAGGGTTGCGGACCCCCCCCAATATATATTTCACGGCTACGCCTTTGGTTGGTGGTAAGTCCCTGATAAGTTATAGTGGGTAATGCATCATTGTCTAATGGTTGCCCCGGCCCCCCGATAAGTATAGTGGGTAACAGATCATTGTCTAATCGTAGCCGTGTCTGAGTTGTACAGTTACTAAACTCTGTATTTATACATTTGTAGAATTACTCCTCCTTTTTATCTACCGAGGGCAATTATGTCAAAAGGTGACACCATATTCTTAACTGGAGAGCTTGCACAATAAATACTATCGCTGTAGACTGGAATAACCAGACGCTAGAGGTTGCCATTCGATTGCGACTTAACTTGCGTATTTAGCTGAACATAACTGATTTGAAATCAGAGTAAAGACAGAAACGAATGAATGTAAATCATATTACATTATTATATGCCTTTCAACCCATTTGTGTCAATTTCTAGGTCCCAAATATTAGCGATTTAGCTCCTTTAACTTAGACTCACTCGGTAGAGTTTTATGAATCCATGACTGGGGTCGCATGTTTTCATTTCTGACTGGGACAGACTGTCATATACCATCATAGTGGGGTAATGATGAAAGAACTGAAGTCTAATATTCAATAATATTTAACTTACTTTTAAAACTTTACTTTTCATTTTGACAGTTCCATATTTATTGATGACTTGAGAATTCCTGGCGTAATCTGGGGATGATGATGGTTTACTCATCTTGATTCTGTTATCGCGTACCAACCTATCCCATCATTCAATAGTTAAATTTTAGCCATACAAGTATATATGATACTTTTTTCCACTGATGTCTTAAGTTAAACTCCGCTTGTAATTAATAATACACACAAAAAACTTATATAGGTCTACTATCTCCACGTTTTCTTCCAACACTCAGTCGAGTTAAATGATCCTACTCCTAATATATATTATCTTGTATCTGTTAAAATATATTGTTACAATATCTTGTATCTGTTAAAATATCTTGTACCGGTATCTGTTAAAATATCTTGTATCGATGAATTAAAACTGTAAGACAAAGAACATCGTACATGAATGGGTCATTAATATCTACGGACGTGATTTCAGTTAGGAGTGAAAGGGATGGCGCTGATTACGCAGTGTACTGTCGTGGTTACCGGTACACCATTTTCTAACAGCCAAAAATTGTTTCAAGATTTGATTGGAGTTATTGTTCTTAAACAATAACTCCAATCAAATCTTGTAACAATATTGCAGACATGATAATGTGGCATGAAGGTGGAAAATCAGAAAAAAAGTCCCTAGGGCGATTACTAGGTTGGTTGCAGTTAATTGGGAAATGACATTTCAGACACCTAAGTTACAAAAATTGTGGGGTGAGGGCAGTGCCGGACTGGGCCCACCTGTCCACCTGTCCGTGACAGGTGGGCCTAAGCTCATTAAAAAAAGTGGGCTTAAGCCTATAAAGAAAAAAGGAAAAGAGAAAGAAAGAAGAGGGGAAGGAAAGAAAAGAAAGAAAGAAGGAAGGAGAGGACAGGACACAGGACAGGAGAAAGTCATTATTGCCATCGCCAAAAACTTGCCAGTTTTGAGTTTTTCGCGAAAAATTAATCTCTTAGGTCATTCTGTTATCTAATTGTGTCAGGAAATCAAAAATTTGCCTTCTTCTGCTTTGGTCTGAAATGCTTGGGAAATGGGTTCACGGTTGTCAATTTTCAAAATTTTCCTAGTGTGAGAACCCCCATCGGACACTTGCGTGCCTTCGGCGCGTACTTGTGTGGGCCTTGGTCAATGACCTGACAGGTGGGCCTTTGACCCACCAGTCCAGCACTGGGTGAGGGGAGGGGGCACATGCCTTGTTGAGTACAGTTTCCAATGGCTACACAATGCCCATAGGGGCGGGGTGACCCAACATGTGTTAAATGGTTTACCACAAAACCGTGCTATTTCAGGACTAACAGCACAGGTTGAAAGTAGTATAACTCTGAAACCAGAAGCAGTAGGCCAACGCCTCCTATCCCATGTTTCCAAATTTCAACCTCGGGACAGTCCTAGTGTAGCCTCCAACCCTGAACAGACAGACAAACAAACGACAGAAGTGAAATGAAATGAAATAGGGTTTAACGTCCTACTGTTTTAATTCGAACTAGGCTTATAAAGATGGGCATACACCATACAGCGTGCTTTGAGGGAAATTTTGCCCGGACAACGGCACTACGGCCTACTCATATATCCAACTGTCAAGGGATCTTTTACATGCACGCCAATGTGTACACAGGACCTAGGTTTTCTGTCCCTTCCGAACGACTAGACAGCTGTCCTTGTCAGACCCTCCAACCTCCACCACTGACAAGGGGAACCACGTCGGAAAATCTGGATGAACTTTCTCGGCCAATGCAGGGATCGAACACCCAAACCCAACAAATGACAGTCACAAATATTAGTACTGTATAGATATTTTACTTCAGTGCACTCTCACAGATGGTGGAAACTGGAGAATGTGGAGTGAACTCACAAGCAGAGCCCTAACTAGCTCAGAGCAGTGAGGGGGGCGGGAAGTGTTCTCAGGGGTGCTAAACAGCTGACAGACCATAAGATTTACACTGTAGGGATCAGACTACTTAAACAACCACCTTGAAGACAAGGGAGAGAGAGAGAGAGAGGAATTTAATGGGGTTGAATGTCCACTCGACACAAACTAGGTTATTTCGGGACTAACATATGGTTCAATTGTATTTCATTACTTCGCTTGCGCGTAGGGGTCTTTAGTAGTGGGAGGAAACTTGAGAACCCGGAGAAAACCCACGAGGTTGGACAGGCGACCTACTCCTTGTCACATACAAGTGGGGAGTCGAAACCATACCACTTGACTCAATGACCGGCCTTATGATGCAATGCGCACGTATTAACCAATCGGCCACCCAACCCACCTTGAAGACGTATATACCATTCAGTGTGCTGTCAGTGAAATTTGGCCTGACAATGGCATACTTTACTCTTATTTCAAATTCCAACTGTCAAGTTATCTTTAACATGTTGACAATGAGATACACAAGACCTTAGTTTTCTATTCCATCTGAAGGACTAGACACTTTTCCTTGCTAGGTCTTCCATCTTATATCACTGACAAGAGCGGAACTTTCTCCAACATCCCAATCGTACTTGGGGCATTCCGGTCAGTGAGTCAGGACCATATTCACTGTTTTTTGGCCCCAAGTGACCCCTCCTCCCCACCATCTGGGTAACCCTTTCAAAATGTATTCCATCATTTCTTTATTTTTAGGGGAGTTGGATGGGCGAATGGTTAGCATGTGCATGCTGTATCATAAGGTCTGTCATTGAGTCAACTGGTGTGGTTTAGAATTCCCGGTTGTACGTGACAAGGGGTAGGGTCGCCTGTCCAACCTCGTGGGTTTTCTCCAGGTCCTCCGGCTTCCTCCCACTCCTCTATACCCACTGCTTTATTTATGAAAATAAAATTCAGTCATATATTAGTCCCAAAATGACCTAGTTTGTGTCAAGTGGTGTTAAACCCCATCTCTACCTCTCTCTCTCTCTCAAGTGGTGTTAAACCCCATCTCTCTCTCTCTCTCTCTCTCAATTTCTCTTTTTAGCACTGATTTATACAGTGTTATAAGAGTTATCTCCTAAGGATTACGCCCTTTCATTCTTTACAAATCTGTGATCCTTCATTCATCTAAATACTGCTGATCCTTTAATACAATTTCAGTAATCCCTTGTCACACTGATAACCTACAGTTACTCAGCTATTTTATTGTGAAAATTAACCTCCACAAGTTAGCTATAGCTGAATCTCATTAAATCAATTAAAAAAAGATAGAAAGTTTACAACAAAACTGTTTAATATTTACCGTAAGATTTAAACTCAAATTTAACCATGCGTAAATGCTTCTGGAACTTCGTGTCTCACTTCTGTCAAAGTTTTTTTTTTTTTCAAATATACCGAGTGTTGAACGCGGAAGGTAAATCATAATATATTAGCCTGTACACAATAGCCTTGTATTAATAGCGAGCCCACCCCGGGAATTTTCTTTTATTAAGATCAAGTTATATAGACACAGTCATATCAGTTTTATGTTGTCCTATACAATCATATATGCACAGGCGTTACACAATGCAACACTGTCACGTGACACTGATCTTTTTGTGAGGTTCTCATTTTGTGAGCAGGTTCTTTCACTTGTGCTCTCGCTCAAAGCTGGCGATCAGAGGCGTAGGGAAAAACAAAAGAATCTGGAAATGGTTCATAAGGGCATGGACCTTATAAGGTCCATGATAAGGGTCGAATACGATGCGATTTCCTCTCAGAGAATAGGGTGTGGGTGGCTATGTGCCCTCTCTTCTGAAAGTGCCCTTGAATTTCGAAAGAGTTACCTCAAATACCCAAGGAAATGTCAATGTGGTAACCAATGTTCTCTAATTTTCGATTGAAAACATGTATAATCACAATTCCGAATTTAGCACCGTATTAATACTGTCAGGGCGGAGTGGGTATAGCACTTGCTGGGCCCCGGCCGCGGACCAACTGGTTTTGTTGGGGCCCCATCGCGGTGAAGAATTAGTGAAATGATAAGAAAACGAAACTATTTGATTCACCATTCCTGCACCTCACTCAGATCATTGGTCGGGGGGCGGGATTTCATTGATGCCCTCGTAACAGCTGGTTTCGTTGGGGCCTCATCGACTGAGTGTGACTGGTATCCAATTTGGGCCCCTATCACGGCGAGGCATACGTGACATGATGAGAAAATGAAACTAGTTTGATTCACTATCTCTGCACCTCACTCATAGATCATTTTTCTCCTCGACCGTTACAGATTTCAATAAAATCAATGATGAATTTTAGTTATTTTGAAAAACAATGTATGTCAATTTATGTTTTTCCAAGCCTGGCCAACTGAGGTCCAGGCCCAGCCCCCCCCCCCCCCGTGCACCCCTCACACTGTACTTGTCTATTATTACAGCAACTTGCCCTAAAGGAAAAAAATGTCGGAGTAGGGCCTACAAGTTCCTGAAGAAAACGAAGCGGGCTAATATTTTAATAAGTTTTTATTTTATTTCGGGATCCAACATCCAATATATTTTCCTGCGGTTGAGGGAACCGAATTAGGAGGAAAATAATTTCTCTCCATATGCGTAGTAATATAAGGGGTATGAAGTACTATTTGCAAGTAAATAGTCTTACGAAGTCATTCAGGTCGAAGTCGCCAGATGCAACAGACGTTTTTACAACTTAACACTGATTTGTTTTCACTACGTGTACGTCCGACAGATAGGTGTTTATCTACGACAACATAATGGATCAACACGAAAACATTCAGTCTGCTGTATCTTTAGCTGACATTTTGAATGAAGTAAAACATCAGAGAATTGAAACAGAAAAGAAGTTCGATTTGTTACGAGCAGAATTACATGGGACTGTGCAGAAGTTTTCATCTGACGTGAAGAAGATCAAGACAGATCAAGATCATGTTTGGAAATTTAAAGGCAATAAGATTCAGTTTGGTTTCAACGTAGAACTGGGAGATAAGATCCAACATATAAGACATGCAGTTCATAATGATGACAGAGAGGGTTTAGATGGCTTAATAGATGATGTTATGACCAAACTAACTGAAAGAAATAAATTGATTAAAATAGCAGATTCATCGGTAGGTGGCTGGGAGACTGTCAACCAGTATGTATCTAATCCCTTGGCCAGTGATTCTGAAGATGAAAAGAGAATTATCAGAGCTGAACAGAGAGCATTGAAGAAAAGGAAGGAGTCTAAAGGTAGATCTTCCGTTTCTAAGAGAAGAAGATTATATAATAGTAATGGCAGTTCGGTGACAGCAAGTTCGTCTAATTTGGTTTCCTGTGTTCCTGCAAGCAGTGGCGGGGGCAGGAACTATTCATTTCGTCCCCAACAAAACAGAGGTTCCTGCTACAACTGTGGAGAGTTCAGTCATTACAGAAGAGATTGTCCCCACACCAACTCTTACAACAACACAACAACCGTTAAATCAACATAGTGACGAGATTTCAACCTGTATAAAAGATGAGTATTTTCATGATTTTAATGATTGTAATGTAGATCAGTCGGCCGTAGAGAGGTTCACGCATGATTATTTCGAATATGAGGAAGGTCAAGCTAACATTTTAGTTAAAGGTCGATTACGCAAAAATGTAAAATTCTGGAAAGAAATTAACTGTAATTCGTATATATTAGATGTTATTGAAAATGGTTACAAGATTCCTTTTAATGATGTTCCAGATTCTAAGTTTTTAAGAAATAATAGATCTGCTTTAGATAATTCAGAATTTGTAGAAGGGGCTATTAAAGATTTAGAGGTAAGGGGCTTGGTGAGTAGATGTCAAGTTCCTCCAAGAGTTGTTAATCCGCTCTCAGTATCTATTCAGAGTAGTGGTAAGAAAAGGTTAATTTTAGATTTGAGAGAAGTTAATAAATTTGTCGGTAAGCAGACGGTTAAATATGAGGATATTCGTACAGCATTGTTATATGTAAAGGAAAAGTCCTGGATGTTCAAGTATGATATACATGCTGCTTATCATCATGTCGAGATTTGTGATGCACACACACAGTTTCTAGGTTTTTCATGGGTCACGAATGGAGTCGCAACCTATTATAAGTTCTTGGTGCTACCATTTGGTCTAAGTACAGCACCTTTTTTATTTACTAAATTATGCAGAGTTTTGGTCAAAAAATGGAGAAGTGAAGGTAAATATATTGTTATGTACATCGATGATGGTTTTGGTGTTCATGATGATTATAATATGGCACATAAGCTTAGTCAAGATGTTAAGAAAGATCTTTTAGCTAGTGGGTTTGTTCCTAAAAATGAGAAGTCAACTTGGGAGCCTGTACAAGAGTTAATATGGTTAGGAGTGGTGATAAATTCTGAAAATGCAAATTTGAGAATTCCACAGAGATGATTAGATAAAGTCTTACGATCTATAGTTCAAATTCAGCGTGATTGTATATCGAATAAGGCAGTAGCTGTGAAAAAGGTAGCGAGTGTTGTCGGCCAGATTATATCTATGTCTATTGTTGTCGGAAGTATTTCCCAAATCATGACACGATCATTGTCTATTGATATTTTAAATGGGTTTAGTTGGGATTCTAAAGTACGTATTTCTGAACAGAGTATTCAACAGTTATTTTTTTTTGGAAGGAAAATATAAGTAAAATTAATTATAAAGTTTTAAATTTTCAGCCTGGCTGTGAACGAATAGTGTATTCAGATGCTAGTAATGAAGGGTATGGGGGGTATTGTGTACAAGCCTATCGTGATGTTGTTCATGGTTTTTGGAGTGCTGAGGAAGCGATCAAGAGTTCTACTTGGAGAGAACTTGAAGCTGTTCGTTGTATTCTTAAATCTATAGTACATATTTTAAAAAATAAAAGGTTGAAATGGTTTTCAGATAATCAGAGTGTGATTTCTATTGTTCAGAAAGGTAGTATGAAGGCAGAATTGCAATGTATTGCATTTGAGATATTTAGCATTTGCTTAGAAAATGGAATTATTCTAGAGATAGAATGGATACCTAGAGCTGGGAATGTTAGAGCAGATTGTTTAAGCAGAATTGTTGATTATGATGATTGGGCAGTTGGAGATGGAATTTTTAAATATATTAGTAATATATGGGGACCATACGAAATTGATATATTTGCATCAGAACATAATCATAAGTGTGATGTATTTTATTCCAGATATTGGAGTCCAAATTCTTCAGGAATAGATGCCTTTTCTTTACCATGGCAGGGTAGAAACTGTTTTATTGTACCACCTGTGTGTCTGATATCACGTGTCATGAAATATGTGGTTGAATGTAAAGCTTATGGCACAGTAATTATTCCGTTATGGAAGTCAGCAAGTTTTTGGCCGTTGATTTGTCCGAATGGTTACAAGTTTATATCTGTTATTAAAGATTGGGTTGATTTACCACGTGGAAAGGAGTTTTATAAGTCCTCGTTGCATTATGAGAGTATATTTGGCACGAAAGATTTAACGTTTAGGATGTTGGCATTAAGAATTGATTGCCGTAGTTAGATACGACAATTTGAGCTTGAGAAGGCTGGTGATAAGTCGAGGTGACTTCGGATTAGTTGAGATAACTAATGATTGATTAAATGATGTGATGTTTGTAGTATAACTGAGAGATTTTTGTTTATCGGTGTGGTCTATAATGTAATTTTAATGTCAATCATATATAATAATATGGTAATTTGTGTTTCGTTATTATCATGTTATAACTATTTTTTAATGTTGTCTTCTAAATATTTTTAGAACTGCTTATGGGACAGAGTTAGACGAGTTACCAGTAAGTTTATCATCATCTGTGAATGTATTACCCGAGTTATTAACCGATGTTAAGGCGAAATCTACAACTGTGAAATATTATCGGGGTTATTTAGCCTGGAAGAAATGGTTTCGATGTAATAATGTGCAAGGGAATGTGTTACCTGCTAATCCTTTACATGTTGCGTTATATTTAACATCTCTGATACAAGAAAAGAACAGTATAAGTCCGGTGATTCATGCTTTCTACAGTTTGAAGTGGGTTCATTCGTTAGCTAATTTGGCTTGTCCTACAAATTCTCAATTGGTGATTAATGTGTTACAGGCTGGAAAACGACGTTTAGCGAAACCTGTAAATAAAAAGCTTCCTGTTACCGCAGAACATTTAGAATGTATGTATGATAAAACGTTTGTTAACAGATGTGCTTATAAACAAAGAATAATTTGTGCTTGTTTGTTGGCGTACAGTGGCTTTCTTAGAAGTGCCGAATTATTAAATATATCTACTTCGGATTTAAGTTTTGACGACACCCATTTGTCTATTTTTGTTGAGAAAAGTAAGACTGATATCTATAGAGACGGTGCATGGGTTGTAATAGCACGAACGGGCAACAAATTGTGTCCTGTTAAGAATTTAGAGCATTATTTGGATTGGGCTGGGCTAAATAAAGATGAAGATATGTTTTTATTTCAGGCTTTGAGTAAGTGTTCAACGGGATATTGTATTAAGGGTATTAACAAAGCACTTAGTTATACTAGATTAGTAGAATTGTTTAAAGAAGCGTTTCAAGGTATAATAGATTGTTCAAAATATGGGTTACATAGTTTGCGTGCGGGAGGTGCGACAGCGTGTGCAAATAGGGGTATCCCTGATCGTTTGTTTAAGCGCCATGGGAGATGGAAATCAGAAAATGCCAAAGATGGTTATGTCAAGGACGATTTGAGACAACGTCTTAGCGTGTCTTTGAGTTTGGGTCTATAAGGCGAATCTAATTTAAATGGTGATTTATGATACTAGTTCTTTCTTTGATATTCAGGCGGTTCGACGCTGCATACCACTAGAAGTGTTATGGGTTTTGATATGGAGCAGGGGAGGAAGAGAAATCCATTTCCACCAGGCCTGGATTAAGCGGGGTGCTGATCGGGTGAAGGTCAAGGGAAGGGGTCCCCAAATTATAGTTCCATGGACCTTACATGATAGTTTTAATGTGCCAAATAAATCTGTCAACCATATACTGACATACAATTTGTGTTTGTGTGTGACGGATAATGACCAGAATATGTCCGTTTTTCACTGTTATTGCAAGGGTCCCATGCAAGCTCAATCCGGCCCTAATTTCCACGGATGACTTCCGGATTAGCTTTCACAGCCTGAATGAATTAATATGTGTTTTAGTTTTATTTATTTAGCTAAATAATAAAACGTAAATTTTTGATTATTTGTATCAAATACAGAAACTTTATTAAACTGTGACGAATAAAAGGTCAGTACTGCGCCCATCTGAGCTATGTGCACTAAGTTAAGTTCTATTTTCGCGGGAAATTTTCTACGAACACGTGGTCGGAGAAAAGTCTTGACAATCAAGACTCTGAAAAGATCTACCAATCGAGACTATAGTTCTACTTTCGTTTTATTCACGCGTGAAAACTCGCGAATGGCCTTCACCTTATAATGAAAGCAGACAACACATCACAAACTGACATCATCTAATGTAATAAATCTACGACTTTAGCTAAAAAGGGACAACAAAATGAGCAAGATAAACGATACAAAATACAATGAAGGGATGCAGCACGTGAAACAAGCTGAAAAATAGTATGATTTTGTTTATTTCTTGTATTAAAAAAGAAAATTGTCTGGGGAAAATGAATCATGTCTCAAGTCAAGTGAAGTCTGTGGTTGCGAACATCACTGAAAGATAATAATTATGATAGATGGCTCGTCGCGATTCATTTATAAACTAGTTGTCTCTATATTATCAGTCGTTTTTTTGTATTTTAGAGGAGAACCGAAAAAAGCTCCCCTCAATCAACAAATTGAATAAATCACTCCCCCAAAAAAGCTCTCCCACTCAGTAGATAAGTTAGCTAGGCTAGAGTGATTTAGAAATTAAGGAGAGTGATTTGATAGTAAAGTAAGGAGAGTGATTAGTTGTGTGCATGAAGATCAATAAATGCATGTATGATGTTAGCGGGGTCATTCCTGGTTTCATAAATGATAATAAAACCCCCCATGATTTTGTAAAGGAGAGCAATTTTTCAGTTTTAAGGAGAGGGAGAAAAACCTCTCGTCGGTCGACATTCAGGTCAGCGACAGGCACTTGAGAACAATCGCTCACCTTAAAAAACAATGACTGTATTATCACTTTCTATTTATGTTATCAATATTGAGACCTTGTATACATTGTATGTTTAAATATTGGTAATAATTTTTGTTACATGACATGTCTAATGTCAGAGTGACTCAGAGGTAGCAATTAAGGTGGGCTGAACGGGAAAGCTGTGGTTTTGGTGGTAGTGCAGCCGGAATGATATGAAGTCAACATAGACTCACAAAGAACATCATCCACTCAGAATTCCAAGCATGGTGGCAAAATACAAGTGGCAGAACTGTACTGAACGGCTGTAAAAAATAGAAAAGAATTCCAGAGTGTACCATGTAACTATATGGCATATATGCATACTATCGTGTGTACACTCCCATACTAATACACCTATTGGATATCTGTGACTGGCGGTAATTGCAGGGCAACAGTTAGAACAGACTCCATCCATTGTCTTCTCTTGCAAGAAATCAGGTTCGACTCCTGTTCAATAAATAACGTGTAACATATTCACCATCATTGACACTAGAGCCTTTTATTGAATCCTGGTTATACAGGCCTATATCTACTGTTATTTTTTATAATTGCAGTATGAAGACATCTCTATTTAAATGGCAGCCAGACCGAGATAGTGCAATATCTGAATATCAGAAAGCAGGTAATAAAATAAGAATAAACTAGATGTTCTATAGGCCTACTGTAGGCCTACGTAATGATGATAATAACTTTATTTAAAGATGGGTTCCAGGAAAAGTATTTATCGGGTGGTTATTTCCAATAAAAGTATGGCAATTTTGGTATATATGGAAAGTAGAGAAATCCAATCTTACTAGAAATTACTGGATTTCCCGAAAAACACTCATGGAGCGTATACAGGACAAAAATGTAAGGGTTCCCCTGATTGACAGCCCGACGATTAGTAATTTCTGCACGCGTGATGTCAAAGGTCACACGCGAACATTGAGCGCTTGATGTAAAAGTTGATTATCTAGTGGATAATCCGATAATTTAATTAGGATTCGATATTTGTAATAAATAGTAAGCGATTAAAGACAACATCGTCTTATGTATGCAATGAATTCTCCTCTGACTTCCATGAGAGGTGAGCCACGTGACATAAACATGACCTGGTTTGATCGAATTTTTATAGCAGGGCATTCCTTGGCAATTACAATGTTTGGGAAGGATTTGAAGCAAATTTATGACAAATTAATTAGTTTGAATATGTTTTTAGTCCATATATACCATTAAATCACCAAGTTTGTATGCGGGAATGTATCTTTAAAATTGGTTGAAAATTAAATCAAGAGCCTTGCTTACATTTTGCCCTATAATTGGAATTTACATAAAACACGAAAACCAAATATACATAAGGCTTATAACGAGATCGATATGCAAATGACATGTATAAAAATGATAGTATAATTTCTAAAAGTGTGATATAAGCTTATAGATCTTTATTTTATAGCAAGACTTGCATATTGCAAGGTATATTGGAATATATTATAAGTGCAAAAATTTTGTGTTTGTCAGTGAAGTTAAGTCTTTTGCTTGTCGGTCCAGTCGGAGCAGAACAGTTGGGCGTTAAACCCCATTTCATTTCATTTCATTGCTTGTAGGTCTTTCTAAGACACTGCATCAACAAAGTGAAATAAACTACCTTCAAACCTAAATATATCTGTTTCTGTTATCAGGCCTCAAAATGTTTTAAAAAAGCTACCTGTCGCAAGCGATTCGAAGATTCATACAATTCTATCATCCGTATCCACATGAATTCGGCCAAGTATCATGGTACTGAACTTGCGTAGTAAATCGAATACTTCGCTCTTGAGGTGTAGAATTCAGATTTAAAAATACCCATAATAAATTGAATATCAAAACACGAATCACACCTGTACATGGCACTGTATTTACATGTACTGTGTGCGGAGGACAGGTAACGCCCCCTGGAATTCTTTCTCACATATTCTGTCGGCAACAAGATATAGACAGGCAAACATTTCGAGCCATGGTTATAGTATAGTATTATTAGGTGTCATTAGTTAGTTTTGTTAATTGAGCACTTTATAAATGGAGAGATTATTATCAATGTGTTAGTAATGGGTTGGTTTGTGTTGTTCTATATATGTGCTACCAGTATATTTAAACCCAAATCTTGTATTTTATTTCAGTCCGGGCTAGGGTGGGGTGTGGTTGAATGCGCATTAGATCACACACATCGTCAAGTTTCTCGCGAACCGACGAATCTGATATATTTAAAGTATTGAGAATATGTGTTTGAAATTTGCGTTCTTTTGTTATCTCTGTAGCCATCAAATAATAACATTCATGTAAATTGCATTCCATGTCTTGATGTATATGTATGAAATATTAAATCACAAATGAATGTTATTATTTGATGGCTACAGAGATAACAACATAACGCAAATTTCAAACACATAATTCTCAATACTTTAAATATATCAGATTTGTCGGTTCGCGAGAAACGTGACGACATGTCGTAGTTACAATCACAGACAAGTAAGTGACAAGGAGTATATATAGTCACCTGCCTAACCACAGGGGTTTTCTACACGTCCTCCTGTTTCCTTCTACTAAAGACCCCTACGTACTAGCGACTTATTGAAATAAAACAGTTTCATATGTTAGTCCCGAAATGACCTCATGGCCTAATTTCTCTCTTTTTTTCAGCCACAGATTTTCGAAATGCCAAGGCTATTGATAAAGCCAAAGATACTTATATTCATGTAGCTGAATTACAACAACAGATGAATTCGTATCCTTTACAATATATGAAAATATGTAAATGTCAAGTCTCCAAAATAAAAGTGAGGAATCAAACCCAAGACCCGAGGCATGGAATTTGCGTCCTCGCTGAAAGAATTCGCATCAAGGGTCGCTAGTAAAAACTTGGTTTTACGTGTCCTTATCTGTATTTCAACGTATCGGGATTAAAATCCATTTCAACGACAACAAATAACGTTTGTCACCACACCAGAACATAATGAATGCACAGGAAAACAATGCTGTAAGGTAAACAATGAGGTCACGTGGGACCACCTCCTCTATGGAGTCACCTATGAATTATGCCCCCTTATCTATAGCGAGGACGCCTATTGATACACCTCTATGGGGTGAGGGAAAGGGAATTTCCCCATGACGACCTGGTCAGGAGGAAGTATATTGAAACCCGAGAGAGCATATGGTACATGACAAATCAATCTAGATGTCTCCCAGATATACAAACAATCACACATTGTACCACATATTTACATCTCTTGTTACACAAGCCAAAAACTAAAATGTAGAGAGATGCCCCAAGATATTGAGATGTTCGAAAATGATTGATATATTTGGTTAAACATACATTATGCTAACGCTAAATCTGCCTATTGCATGTCTTCCTTTAGTCCTTAAATGTTATATTAACTACTAATTAGAAATTTATTAACTTATCTAGACCATAATCAACTCTCGATCCCATCGTTAGCATGTGATATTTAGTGGAATTGAATACATTTTTTGATGGATAATTTAATGGAAAAATGGGTAATCAAGTCTTTGTTTATTATTGTACCAACATTAGTAATCACGATCAAGGCTAGCCTAAAATTAAATCACTAATATCTCTATTCAGAGTGAAGCAATTTTCAGCATATTCTGTTTTCATTATCTATTTTTTAACCATTATAGAGAGAGAGAACTGTCAGCTCTTTATCTAATCTTACCTAATGCCCCTTTAACAGAGCTATGTAAATCCTTTAAAGAATGACTTAGACAAGTATATAGACATGGTTACTTAGGCACTTATGATTAGCACAGACTTAAGGAACTTGCAACTATGTAAGGAAACTGATTAATTGTAATTCTGAGGTAAAGTACAATTGAGCATTGAACACTACTCCTTTAAATATATCTGAGATCTGGGACTATTCCTATAAATATTTCTGGGATCTGGGACTACTCCTTTAAATATATCTGGGAATACTCCTGGAACTACTCCTATAAATATATCTGGGATCTGGGACTATTCCTATGAATATATCTGGGATCTGGGACTATTCCTATAAATATATCTGAGATCTGGGACTATTCCTATAAATATTTCTGGGATCTGGGACTATTCCTATAAATATATCTGGGATCTGGGACTATTCCTATAAATATATCTGAGATCTGGGACTATTCCTATAAATATTTCTGGGATCTGGGACTATTCCTATAAATATTTCTGGGACCTGGGACTACTCCTATAAATATATCTGGGATTTGGGACTATTCCTATGAATATCGTGACTTTACTGATCACTGAACTCTTTTAGAGTTTTTCTTAACTAGTGTAATTAGAACATTCCATGCAGCTAAGTAAGTAAATATTTTAATGATATTCATATTTGTGAATAGATTAAATTTAAATGGTAAATAAGACCGATCAATCATTGTGTAATGTTGTAGACACTATCTTTTTATTACAGTTTGGTAGTTTGTTTGCTGCTGTCTGTTGTTTTCGAGTTGGGGGGGGGGGGGGGCAGTGATCTAGCAGTAAGGGAACTGGTCTCTCGACATGATTGCACCAAAGTTCGAATTGCAATTGTGAGCTTTCGACAGGGGTAGCATGTGCAGAGCTGACGAGTAAAAGAATCATTAAAATTTTGGCCAAGTTTGTGGCTGACAAAGTCTGTGACACAGGTCTTTTTTCTAGGAAGTATTATGTTGACATGAGGTTAACTCTACTCTATTACTTCAATGTTCATATGTCTGTGAAATTATTTGTATATTTGTATTGAAGATCATATGAACAAGCTGGTTTATTTGTATATTTGTATTAAAGATCGTACGAACAAGCTGGTTTATTGTGTAAAGAGAATAAAGATTGGGATGAAGCCTGTCACCTGATGACGATGGCTGCCCAGATGTTTCAGGAACATGGAACTCCAGATACTGCTGCATTGACACTTGATAAAGCTGGAAAGTAAATAACTTTTTTATTTTCTTCTATAGAAAAAAATTAGACTAAATTTATTCACTAGGACTTGATCGCTATCGCAGTGAATGTAGAGGTTAGCTGACAATAACCGTGTTCCAGCAAGACTTTTATGTTATTTTTGTCATTTCTTTATTCACTTGGCAAACCTCAGCAGATTCCAGTACCCTACATCTAGCCTCGGCTGTATGACGAAGTTTGCCATTGGAACTACTTTCAAGTTCCCGGATTACTATACAAATATTTCAAAGTCTGAAGCTGTTTTCTTTCAAGTTTATCCGATTTTATTCAAACACGCTTAGAACGACGCAATTTTGATAACTTCTTTCTAAAAGCGGCAGTTTCCCTAATAAGTAAACCGGAGCCGCAGCGCATTTCAGCCTAGCCTAGATGTAGAGTAACGGAATCTGCCAAGGTTTGCCGAGTGTCCTTTATCATACCACGGTAAAGACTCTACAGTGGTGGATTTAATCATTTAGAATTATTCTATTGCTTATTGTCCCCCGCCTTTCGAAGAAAGCAGGGGACTATTAAAATGGTTGATGCTTTGGGACGCGATAACTTTAGTTCTAATTAAGTGAGATTGATGAAACTTGGTGTATAGTTTCATTACAGTAATACCTTGACTAAGTTTGATAATGAGCATTTTCTGCTCAGGGTAAGCAGAGCGATACGCAATTTGATTGGTCGAGACTTTGGAAAACAATAACTCTCCTACTTTGATTGTCGAGACTTTGGAAAACAATAACTCTCCTACTTTGATTGTCCCCCGCCTTTCGAAGAAAGCAGGGAACTATTAAAATGGGTTCGTCCGTCTGTCTGTTTGTCTGTCTGTCCGTTCCGCTTATGGTAAGCAGAGATAAACAATTTGATTGGTTGATCTTCGAATTGAGTAAATGTTCATGCTTATTGTCCCCCGCCTTTCGAAGAAAGCAGGGAACTATTAAAATGGGTTCGTCCGTCTGTCTGTTTGTCTGTCCGTTCCGCTTAGGGTAAGCAGAGATAAACAATTTGATTGGTTGATGCTTTGGGACACTATAACTTTAGTTCTAATTAAGTAGATAAACAATTTGATTGGTTGATGCTTTGGGACACTATAACTTTAGTTCTAATTAAGTGAGAGTGATGAAACTTGGTGTATAGTTTCATTACAGTAATACCTTGACTAAGATCGATAATGAGCATTTTCTGCTCAGATTAAGCAGAGCGATAAGCAATTTGATTTGCTGAGACTTTGGAACACAATAACTCTCCTTCGAATTGAGTTAAAATGTTCATTTTATCCTATTTTGATGAAACTTGAAATATATGTTTATGTCCCGGTACCTTTCGATATTGGCATTTATCGGATAAATATTTCATGGATTATGCCCCCTGATTGTACAAAAGATTATTTTTAGCTAGTGGGCCCTCTCAAGGTCACAATTTTTATACGCCCACGTATAAATGTGGAGGTATATTGTCCACGATTTCTTGTACATGCCCCAACGCCAAAAGTTATGATCCAATTGTTTTGAAATTGATATATGTTTACATTAGTAAGATGAAGGAGTCCAATTAATTTTAATAATTTCCGTTTATTACGTCAAGGGTTACGGCCCTTGTTTCATTTTGTTGAACGCCAAAAGTTATCATCCAATCTTTGTGAAATTTATATGCATTATTTAAATTAGTGAAATGAAGAAGCCCTTTGAATTTCTGTTTATTACGTCTAGAGTTAGAGTTATGGCCCTCTTTTCACTTTATTGTCCCCCGCCTTTCGAAGAAAGCAGGGGACTATTAAAATGGGTTCGTCCGTCTGTCTGTCTGTCACACTTTTTGGGACACAATAACTCTTTCTAATTTACCTAGAATGGTCAAACTTGGTGCAGGTGTTTATTAGGTCAGTGTCTTGATGGAATTCGAAGATGAGCATTTTCTGCTTAGGGGAAGCAATTTGATTGGTTGATGCTTTGGGGCACGATAACTTTAGTTCTAATTAAGTGAGAGTGATGAAACTTGACTAAGTTCGATTATGAGCATTTTCTGCTCAGGGTAAGCAGAGTGATAAGCAATTTGATTGGTTGAGACTTTGGAACACAATAACTCTCCTAATTGAGGTAGAATGTTTAAACTTGGCGTAGGTGAATGTTTAAACTTGATGTAGATGTTCATTAGGAGAATGTTTAAACTTGATGTAGATGTTCATTAGGTGAATGTCTTGACTGAGTTCAATGATAAACATTTCGAGCTGACGCTAGCTAAGCAGAGCTAATTGATTTCATTTGTCGATGGTTTGGGACAAGATAATCTTGATTCTGTCTGGTAGAGAATGATGAAACTTAATGTATGGTTTAAATGCTTGATACTTTTGAAAAAAATAAATGTGCGATTAATTAATATGTGTCATCTTTTTATTTCGGTATTTCGGCGGGGGACATCAGCCTCACTGTTGGCTTGTTTTATATAATTTACGGAGTGGGTTACTCATTCCAGACACACACGCCCCCACCCCAGCCATCCTAAAGAAATCAGATCAAATTTCTATAGTATAGTATATAGCAGTGATGTGATTTTGCCCGTATATTCCGGACTTGTCCGAATCTCTTTTCCAAACGCCCAAAATTGTCTGACCGTGAATATGCCCAATTGGACATCAAGACATGGTGAATAATATTCAAAATTCCGAAATTAATATAGTTTACTGAGTGTGTAACTACCACTCAACCCAATTATCGTTGATAATAAGCTGGATTGATTAGGTAATTAAGTGATCAACGTATTTATCGTGTTATACCATCTACATGTATACACCTGCCTTGATTAACTACTTAATCTGCTCTGATTGACTGACTTAATCCTTTGTCAGAGAATTCATCAATCTAATCATAAACAGAAGTCATTGCTTCACCTTTGTCGGACTATACATCAATCCAATCTAATGATACTATATACTATATAGTATCATTAGTATTCCCATAGACAGGAGGTCAGTGTATTCCGTGCATTATAGTACCGTTACCTCTAAAAGGTGTTGACTGTTTTTCTATTACGTCAGTCTGCAATATACTAACGTTATCATAAGATAATTTTATGACGAAGAATCTTCTATGTACCTTTATAAATGTCTTTATAAATATCTTTATCACGGTTCTTTTGTAAACATACCATTTTGAATGCCCCTTTGTAATATATCTTTGTAAATGTACCTTTGTAAATATATCTTTTTAAATGTACCTTGTAAATATATCTTTTTAATTGCCCCTTTGTAATTACATCTTTGTAAATGTACATTTGTAAATATATCTTTTTTAAGTGTGTAAAATAATATTTAAGTGTTTTATTGTAGGATGATGGAGCAGGTAAAACCGGGTCGTGCTATAGATTTATATATAAGAGCTTGCGATGTAGCTGAAGTAAGTAAAGACTCTGTTTTCAAGTCTAATACTCACACTTTCGATCATATGGTCAATCATTGAGTCAAGCGGTGTCAACGAGTAGGTTCTTCCACCCAATCTAAGGGGTTTTCTCTGTGTCCTCCGTTTTCCTCCCACTGCTACAGATCCTGACGTGCAAGCAAATTATTTGAAATAAAATTGTACCATTTGTTATTCCTGAATGACCTAATTTGTGACCAATGGAATGAAATGTGGTTTAACGTCCTACTCTTCTGCTCTGACTGGGCTATTGAAGATGGGCATTCGCCATATAATGTGCTATGAGGGAAATTTTGCCCAGACAGCGACGCTACCAACTACTATATTGAATTTCAACTGCCAAGCTGTGTTAAATGGTCATTTAACCCTGTACCCTCACTCTCTTGAACTATGGAAAAATAAATGTTCTAAAACCGTTTAAGGAATTCATCCAAACGTTAAACTCCATTTCACTTCATTTCATGTATTTTAAAGATGATATTAGGTATATGAAATTAATTATTTTGTACACTATATTGACAGTTCATACAAATATAAAAGCAAAGAGGGGAATACTTTATCATTAAAATAATAAAATTTCCGCAACTATTACTATTTGGTATGACATGGACCGTATATACACGGTCCATGGTATGATGCTAGCAACTCAAGCCGACCAGAGACTAGAGTTTACAATTCACATAACTTTGAAAATCTCAAGTCGCCACCAAGACATGATACGGTGACACAGGGCGATCGAGAAGTCGCCGTGGTCAAGCTTCAAGCATCCAGACGCAAGTTTTTCCTTGAATTCACCTGTATCGCCCCCTCGCTTGAGCCCTAATAGATAAAAGCAAAAGTCCAAGTGCCTGTTTAATGTCACGATGCTGATAGAGGTTGGAATTTCAATACAAAATGGAAAGTTTGAATTCACTTTAAACATTGAAACTTCAACTGGCATTCGGAACTCGATCTATGAGTAGGCTGTAGTGCCGCTGTCCAGGCAAAATTTGCCACATGGCATTCTGTATGGCATATTCCTGTCTTCATTAGACTGAATGGAGGAGAACAGTAGGACGTTAAAACCCCATTTGATTTACTATTCACTGTTTTATCTTGTAGATTGAAGATAGACCAATAAATTGTGCCGAGTTTATAGGTAAAGCAGCTCGTCTTCTAATAAATAGTCAACGGTGAGTCTTTAATTTATTGAGAAAATAATTTATAGCTCAATTATAGAGAAAAGTTTGTAGAAATTAATAGTGTTATACTGTCTTAGTTTGCTTTTGGGGAGAAAAAAACTATAGGTAGCATAAAATGAAATGAAATGAAATGGGGTTTAAAATCTTACTGCTCTGCTCCAACTGGGCTAATGAAGACGGGCATACACCATACAGTGTGCTAAGAGAGAAATTTTGACTGGGCAGTGGCACTATGGCCTACTCTTGTATCGAATTCCAACTACCAGGGGATCTTTTACATACCTACCAATGTATACACAGGACCTCGGTTTTTTGTCCCATCTGAATTACTAGACAGCTGTCCTTGTCAGGTGCTTCTTCCTGCACCACTGACAAGGGGAAACCACATCAGAAAATTCCTGATGAACTTTCTCAGCCAATGCAGGGATCGAACACCCGACCTCCAGGCTAGCGAGCCAACGTCTTACCCACTTAGCCACCGTGGCTCTAGGTAGCATAAAGGTGGTTGGAAATGGATATAAGAGGAGACTGTTGCACAATTGTCAGGACAAAATTTTGCTCATAGTAAACTTTATCCCATATGCTGATTATTATTAGCTTGGTTGGGGTAGAAGACTAGGACATTAAACCCCAGTTCATTTCGTCCCCTACCTAAAGGGGCTGTCCTCTGGAGCATAAAAATTAAATAAAGATTTGCCTTATATGTTGGACCGAATTGACCTAGTTGTATCTAGGGCAACGAAAATGACCTGGTTGTATCTGGGGCTACCAAAGGGACCTAGTTGTACCTGGGGTAACCAAAGGGACCTAGTTGTATCTGGGGCAACCAATGTGACCTTGTAAATAGAGCAACCATAATGACCTAGTTGTATCTGTGGCAACCGAAATTGACGTGGTTGCATCTAGTGGTATACATACTTTTAAACTCACTTTTAAGTGTCCTGTGTAATCTGGGACTTACACTGTAATGCTGATATATCGTACAAACATTATTAGACTATAACTTCTCAAGATATGGCGAATTCTTGTATTTTGTAGATATGAAGAGGCTATTAATGCCCTACAGAGAGAATTAGAATATTATTTAGCTGCTGAAAGCTATGATAAAATGAAGAAAGTTATAATGGGACAAGTCCTGGTTCATTTAACTCATGATGATTACGTCGCAGCCGATCTCTGTTTTAAAAATAGTCTCAGGTAAGTTTCAGGAGTATATATAGAGAGAAAGAGAGAGATGGGGTTTAAAGTCCACTTGCGTAGAAAACCAGAGGACCTAGAGAAAACCTATGAGGTTGTCACTTACAATGACAGACTTTGTCACCCAACCCCCCTTTCAGGAGTATAAAGGACTTCCCTTGGACCAGTCGGTACAACAGCCTTTTTGGGGAAACTACAGGTTCTAAAACAGAGCTGTGTCTATAAGTTTATTTCTAAATGTTATGATTATATTTTTAGTTTACCCGAGTTTGGATCAAGTGAAGAAGCAGGTGCTTTAGAAGACTTATTAACAGCTTATGATGAGGGTGACGATGATAAAGGGAAGACAACTCTCAACCTACCTTTATTTAAATATCTAGATAATGCTGTAAGTACAATAAATCCACCTACCAACATAATGAAAAAATATGGTTGGTTGAAAAAAAAACCTCCCACTCCCTTCCCACCATAAATAAATATCTCCAAATATATCGATAAATTATTGCACAATATTCAAATAACAAGTCTTAACTTTGTTTCTCACACATTTATCGTCACTAAATAAAGGGTCATGTTGCATTTAACAAGATGCGAGTAAAAAAAAAAAAAAAAATAGACTGAAATCGTAAATAAAAAGCTGACACCACATCCGGTCATTTTTATGTGACCATGGTTTCAAATTAGTTGTTCTCCGGCTGATTGACAGAAAGCTAGAACAAGAAATCTATTGTGATTGTTCTTGCTTAGACCAAGATCTTCGTAGATATTCATTGTACCAAACCAAAAAATGTTGCTCCTAATGCTATAGTAAATAATAAAGCAAATTAACAAAAAAAAGGAGGTAATTTTCTAAATTACTGTATTTTTGAACAAAAGATTTTTGAGGACTTTATTAGTTGATAGGTGTGTAGACAAGTACACATGTGATGGTTATTTATAGACTAATAGAAACTACTCAGGCTTAAGCACGTCCTATGTGTCAGTCATATAAATCAATTGGGAACTCATCATTTTAGCATGAATATTGGCTGTAGTAAGTTCAGATTTTGAAAGGACAAATTTTGACAGCGTGATACACCCTACCGATAGAGATTTACAGCTATTTCCACCTAGATTGATATCGCAGACATTTCAACCCACCTCCCACCCCTCTCAACTCAATAATCAACTATACCATACTGCCCACTTGAAATAATCTCCACTTAATAAATTCACTACTTAGTATTTCACACACACATAGATGGATATAAGTTAACAACTGTACTGGGAATGCACCATGAACACATCGTTTAATGCACAGGTAGCTAAACAACCTCGGGCATAGCCAAAAAACTGGACTTTTCATACATCAGTCAGATACAGCTCTGTACACCTCTAACTGTGACTGTATAAGAATATGACACGTGTGAGTAGTGGATCTTATAATGGCAATTCGTATTCATCAGCCTTCATTGAATTCTTGGAGCAAAACAGTAGGACGTTTAACCCCATTTCATTTCATTTTCATTGAATTCTTATTGTTTTATTTCAGTTTGCTAAATTAGCGAAGGGATTGGTAATGCCAACAGGTTTAGGAGGTAAAGCAGGTGATAATAAAGGTATTGTTATAGAGGACGGAGAATTTGACGGAGATGATTTACGCTAAAAACAACGCACAAAATATATAAACTTAATTAATAATTACTCATCATGGATTTACACAGCTGTATCAATCTGTGAAGCTAGCATATAACAGCTGCCACATTCAAGTACGAAAACCATTTCCGGAAATATAATTGTTTGTTTAATTTATTTTAGTGATTTTAAAATTTAAGAAATAAAACTTTGTTTTTTGTACCAGGAACTATCACCAAGCGCTGCTTATCTTGTCGTTTTTGATCGTGGGGCGACGGCAATTCAAGTACGATTGACATGCTATTTCGTAAGCTTGTTCCATGTATTTTTGCGCATTGATTGACAGTGATTATGTCATGCTCGGTTTCTGGTCCATGATACCATTATACTTGTTTTTATATACACCCACATTTTCATGTGGACGTATATTGTTGTCGCCCCTGTCAATCCAGACGTTCGTCCACAATTTATTTGTGGACACTCTTAAGGTCACAATTCTTATCCGATTTTGGCAAAACTTGAAATACAGGTGTATCTCCCAAGGATCTTGGTTCCTTTCGAAATTGGCATGTATAGGACCGTAACTGCATGGATTTTAATGATACTTGAAATGTATGTTTATAACCGAAAGATCTTGGATCCTTTCGATATTCCACATATCGGACTGTAACTTCCTGTCCATCTCTTACAAAATGCATGGCATGGCAACCACTTGTTTTAATTCAATAAATAAATTGTCAATAATTAACATGATTGAGATTTACGCTAAATCAACGTTGTCATTTAACAATAAACAAGTGAGTTTTTCTCGGAGCTTTCTTGGGTATGTCGTTCATGTAAATAAAGAGTGAATTATAATAGACTTGTTCAACCAAACTCAGAAAGGCTGCACGAGAAACATTATGCCGATTGTTCTGTTTAAAAAGTATTTTATTTAAAAGAAGATTTTGAAAAATCGAGATGAATAGGATGCAGTAACGTGCAAAAATCCTTATATAAAACTAGTCCACAGTCCCCCATTGTGCAATCGGATTAAAATACAGATCTATATTTCATTTCGTTTTTTTTATGCTGTTGCTGGTCTACACTACATGAAGATCTGACCAGTTGTACTGGAAGGTTGCGTCAGGGGTCATACAAGCGGCATTTGACCTTTTGACGTCAGACTTTGATTTATCAATCAGCGTTGACGTTTCTAGTGGTTTACCCACAGTTTCGTGCATGGTATGCCAAGAAGTCGCCGTAACAGATGGTTTCATTGGCTAATCCCTCACACCATCCAGAACGAATTTTCCAGACCCTAGTGTAGTACAGACAAATAAAACGAAATTTTGAACTATAAAAAACGAAACGAAATAGGATCTGTGTTTTAATTATATTGCCCATTCTGATTACTAGATGATCTCGTCTAGAGCATGACGCTATTTGTGTACATTGCAGTAGATACGCTGAATATAACGGATTTTTTTACATCAGTAAAAGCATCAATAAAAAAGGGACATTTAAGCCAAGGCTATTTTATAGCCAATCACCTGTAGGCTATGGTGACGATTATGCAATGTAAACTGATGTAGTCAGTCTCGCCTCGTCTCATGCGGTTTCCTTCGTCTGGTTGAGCAAGACTATAAATCATAAGAGTACGAATCTGTGTTTGTAATTTTTTTTATAAATATTTGTTGTTCCTACTGTATAAGCAACTTTGTTAAGAATATGTCTCATTCCAATCGATGTTATTTGTTTATTTGATTCTTTTTTGTATAAATTCATTTATTTTAAAGTAGAAATGCCAGTACAGTGAGCATAAAAGTGGGTTTAAGTATGCAAAGCTAACACCAATATTTGAGGAAATAGCTTCTTTGCGTTGGCTGGAAATTTCAAATCAAAATATTGAGCCGCTTGGAAGTGATCACTAGATTTAATTTGTGTTAAGGGTTACATCACTCATTTAAGGAATTTCACTGTTCAATCGTATGAGTGAGTTGATAATTATGACTATAGATATGATTGTTCAGGCACTCATACAGGTGGAATTAGCTAATATATGGGTTTATCTGGGTGCTTGAGTTTCTCCATTACTGCTAAAAATGCCTATGCACAAGCAAATTATTGAAACAAAGCTGGCTCCATATGTTAGTCCAAAAGTAACCCAGTTCTTTTTTCCAGTGAACAATTAAACTCTCTATTCCCCCCATCACCTCTCTCTCTCTCCCTCTCTGGGTTGGGTGGTTGAGTGTTCTAATGTATGCACTTTAGATTATAAGGTCTGACATTGAGTCAAAGGACATGGTTTTGATTCCAACCTTGTACAATCTCTCTCTTTTTGTCCCCCCCCCCCTTTTGTACCCCTCTCTCTTTGTACCCCCCCCCCCTCCCTCTCTCTCTGCTCTCCCCATCTCTTTCTTTTTGTACCCCTCTCCCTCTCTCTGTGTATCCTTCTCTCTGAACACCCTCTCACAACTCTCTCTTTCTCTCTCTTTGCCCCCTCCTCTCCCTCTGTACCACCCGCTCTCTCTCTCTCTCTAACTAATGATGTGGAAGTTCTGAAACAATCTATTAAAGATGTGTTATGTGTATATTATGTGTTAAATATATTTATTTATAAGTTTATTGTTTGTAGATATGTTCTCCATTATATGCAACTTTTACAAGATGTACATTTATTTATAATATTGTAAATATTTAGCTTAGTGATAAACGTATTTACTCTGGTATATCAGTTGTTTCTCTAGGTCACAGACACTAAATATTGAAATCATTTGATGTAGAATTAGAAATAGACTTTTCTGTGGTGTATATTATGAATATAGATTATGCATAGGTAGGACAATATTAATTACGAGTATCAATTATGCATAGGTAAGACAGTATTAATTATGAGTATCAATTATGCATTAGTAGGACAATATTAATTATACATAGGTAAGACAATATTAATATTGAAATTGTTTTATCTAAAATTAGATATAGACTTTTTTTGTGGTTTATATTATGAATATTAATTATACATAGATACATAGGTAGGACAATATTAAAGTCCTGATGCACCATTTGCATTTTCGCTGAAATATCAAATTTCTCACTGCTACACGCTACTGGACAGGATTGAACCATTTTTCGACTCAATCAGATTAAAATACAGATCTATATTTTGTTTCTTTTTTTTATACTTTCGATGGCCTGACCGGCTGTAGTGAAAGGTCGGTTAAGAGTTCATATGAGCGACTTTTGACCCTATGACGTCAGACATTTGATTAACCAATCAGCTTTGCTGTTTCTAGTGGGTTACCCACAGTTCTATGCAGACCGTTTCATTGGCTAATCCCTCACATCATCCAGATCCAAGTGTAGTAAAAACAAGTAAAACAAAATTTTGAACTATAAAACACGAAATGAAATAGGATCTGTGTTTTAATCAGATTGTTTTGGACTGATATTCATATAAGACATTCATCCTTCACAATACTGCAGTTTGTACGGAATTCCTATTGCTTATAATTGCGCAATCAGACTTTAAGTATGCATAGGTATGTCCTGTCTATAGTCATTCTGAGAAAAAAACAAGAGATTTGTAATTTGATATTGTATTTTATTCTGTGCAATGAAAATTTTACCTTTTATGAAATATTATCATGCAATAGGCAAGGCTGCCGACAGAGTAGAGTGTAAGGGTGGTATTCACTGGTCTAGGTTTATCGAAAGTTTAAATTTAAGCAATCCATTTAAATTACGAAATACATTGTATTAGCCATGAAATTTGGCATTATCATATGATTAGAAATACTGAATTGAATTGAACCATTTTTGCAGGGATATGATTGTCAGAGATCCAACTTTCTCAATATGGTTGTTTGCAGAGGAATCGCCAATATATTAAAGGATTCCCTAATATTGTAATTTGCAGGGGATTCTCAAATATTGTAATTTCCAAAGGATTCCCCAATATTGTAGTTTGCAAAGGATTCCCCGATATTGCTGTTTGCAAGGGATTCCCCAATATTGTTGTTTGTTAAGGATTCCCCAAGAATGTAGTTTGCAAAGGATAACCCAATATTGTAGTTTGTAAAGAATTCCCCAATACCTCAAATCGCAATCGGCGGCTTTAAGCATTAAAATTGAGAAAGTAAAGATTATTAAAGTCTGACTTTACGTATCGCAAAAGTGGTTCCAGGTACAGGTAAGATTTCTTCAATTTTTTTTATATTAATGAGGCTTTTTGTCTTTTAAATCATGTATTATTAGTACCAATAATTTTTTTATAATCTTTGTAAGAATGCAATATGCTCATTATGAATAAACTCTGTTAAAACTACAGGCTATGGAAGTGTGTTAAAGAGAATGTTCTACAGGGGTCTGAATAAAAATGGTTACTCAGGTCTCGTAAATGATAACTGGATGAATTAGAAGAGAATACAAGTATTTTTTGTTTTTAAGTTATTTTTTTACAGAATAAATAAGAAGCAATCTGATTAGAATACAGATCTATATTTCGTTTCGTTTTTTTTTTTTTTATACTTTCGATGGCCTACACTACATGAAGATCTGACAAGTTGTACTTGAAGGTCGTGTCAGGGGTCGTACGAGTGGCGTTTGACCCTATGACATCAGACATTGATTAATCAATCAGCGTTGGTGTTTCTAGTGGTTTACCCACAGTTCCATGCATGGCACACCAAGCAAGAAGTCGCCGTAACAGACTGTTTCAATGGCTTATTCCTCACTTCAACCAAAACGCTATTAATATAACAACTCTTCCAGATCCTAGTGTAATAAAGTAAAACAAAATTTTGAACTATAAAAAAAACGAAACGAAATAGGATCTGTGTTTTAATCAGATTGAAATAGGAAGCAAAACTCGAATTGGTTTTCCCAAAGAACAGAAATTCATATTGGGGTATCCTTGTTTCTGCTTTGGAAGGCGGACTGATTGTATTTCTGGTCAGGGCATTTTTTAGTATAGTGGATAGTGGGACAAATACTTCACTGTTGAACAAAATTCAAAACCCCTTTGTAAAAATAAAGAAGCAGTGGGGTAATAATGTAATGTCTGGTGAAAACTGCAGGCTTTTGTTGCTTTTTAAGTAGCATCATATTCCCAAACTTCTAGGGTACCGTTATGCCCCAGTGCTTGAGATTTCTTACAAAATGCCTTGCTTCTGGTTATGTGAATTTGATGAGAAGAAAAGAATAAATAATAGCTTTAAACCTCAGCTAAACAAAATTAAGGAGAGGAAGGACATGGAAGTGGTTCTGTCCTACTGCCCAGATTTACGTGAAAAGTTGTGACACTTGCTCAACAGTCAACGGACCAACGAATGGAAAAAAGTGGCACTTGCTCAAAGTCTGTAAAGTTTGTAAAATCCCAATGGATCCATTGGTTAAAAAAGATTTGGAACCACTGCTCTACATGATATGATGTTTAATATGTCAAAATATCCATTAAGAACAGCATGCATACACATTCACACCGATAAAAAGTCAATCAAATCAACAATTTCATTTTTATCTAAATCAAAGAGGTCAAAGAAGTTTATAATTTTGAGAATTTTCTGATAATTCCTTCTTGTGCTACTGACATAGCTAAAACACCATCTCTAGTCCACAACCTCCCTGTAGCTAATGCAGTACCATTTCCTAGAGAAAAAAACACAAACAAAATTATGTTGGCTATGTGTACATTAAAGGACAATATTGGTGTCAGCTATTATCACATATGTGACAGAATTGGTAAAACATGTTACAAATATAATTTTAACACAGAGATCATTGCTCTGATAGATGCGTATCAAAGATTTGAAAAAAACGAAGTGACGAAAGCAAAATTAAAACAGAAGTTATCCTTCTATATAACTGACTGAAGTAACGAGAGATAACAGATACACAGGCGAATTTCTGCTCACTGATAAATTCCTTCGAAGAACAAAGGTTTACGTATCCGGATATTTTGAGCTGAAATTTTAAGACAAGGTAAATACACCATTCCTCTATATTATGGTGCTTAAATTTCATACATACACAGATTTTTATTTCTGAGGTCCCTTTAATCCTTACCTCTTTGTGGACTCTCCATTTCATAAAGTAACCAATCATTGGCATGGAATGTGTTATGAAACCAGACAGAGTGATCAAGGGAGACAACCTGTAAGCTGATATCTGTGCTACACAAAGTTGCTACATCAACAAATAAATAGTCTGTTAAAAATGCTGCAGCACATTGATGTATTATACTGTCTTCACCTACAAAATAATACACAATAGTTTGGCATTGGCATGCACATAAAAAAAAACCCTTGACAGTTGGAATTCTAAATATGAAATGAAATGAAATGAAATGGGGTTTAACGTCCTACTGTTCTGCTCCTATACTGGGCTAATGAAGACGGGCATACGCCATACAGTGTGCTATGAGGGAAATTTGCCCGGGCAGCAGCACTATCGCCTACTCTTATATCGAATTCCAACTGCCAGGGGATCTTTTACGTGCATTCCAATATATACACGGGACCTCGGTTTTTCGTCTCATCCGAAGGACTAGACAGCTGTTCTTGCCAGGCCCTCCGTTCTGCACCACTGACAAGGGGAAACCACGTCGGAAAATCTGGAGGAACTTTCTCGGCCATTGCAGGGATCGAACACCCGACCTCCAGGCTAGCGAGCCAGCGCCTTGACCACCTAGCCACCGTGGCCCCCTAAATATGAGTTGGCCATAGTGCCGCTGTCGAGCCAAAATTTCTCTCGTAGTACACTGACGTCTCATCTACACATGGGCATGCACATAAAAGAACCCTTTACAGTTGGAATTTGAAATAAGAGTATGGCACCGTCCTGGCAAAATGTACTTCATAGCACACTGCATGGCATATACTGTTCTTCGTTAGCCCCGCGGATACAGAAAAATATAACGTCAAATAACTTTTAATTTCATATCATATTCCTTAAGTGCTGAAAAATAAGTTTATAATGTCGTTTTCACAATCTGATTAAATCACAGATACTATTCCGTTGCGTTTTTTATAGTTCAAAATTTCGTTTTACTTGTCTTTACTACACTAGGATCTCGATGAGTTGTTATATAACCAATGAAACGATCTGTTGTGGCAGGTACTTGGCATGCCGTGCACTGAACTGTGGGTATCCCAGTAGAAACATCAACGCTGAGTGGTTAATCAAAAGTCGGATGTCATAGGGTCAAAAGCCGCTCGTATGACCCCTGACACAACCTCCCACTACAGCTATTCAGATCTTCATGTAGTGGAGGCCATCAAAATAATAAAAAAAAAAAAATGAAATACAGATCTGTATTTTTATCAGTTATTAGGCATACCTAAATGTCCATTAGCCTTTATCCAGTACTTTCGTTTTGGTTCCTCAATTTGAGATCCACGTTCGAGAAGGTCATATGGATGTAGAGGGCGAACATCAAAAGGGAATTCGTGATCTGTTAATGACTGTAACATCCTCCTCTCCTTTTCTGTACCATATCCATTTCTACAACCAGACAAACACACTGGTATAACAAAAATCATTTCTGCAACCAAAGAGAGAGAAATGGGGTTTAATGTCCACTTTACACAAACTAGATCATTTTGGGACTAACACATGGTTCAATAATTCGCTTACGCGTAGGGGTCTTTAGCAGTGGGAGGAAACTGGAGGACCCGGAGAAAACTCACGAGGTTGGACAAACGACCCTGCTCCTTGGCAACCAGGGAATCGAAACCACGCGAATTGACTCGATGACAGACCTTATTATGCAGCGTGCATGCACCAACCATTCGCCCCACAGCCCCCCCTCCACCCCCCAAACAAATGGTTTTGGGTTTGGGTTTGATGTCTCCTCATCAGAATAATTTGGTCATTTTGTGACTAAGATATAACCTTCATTTTGTTTACAAAATAGGATGTTACACCTTATAAATTTCTGTGTTTTTCAAGGAAAATTAATATTGGGTGCACTCACTCCACCCCAACCCTCCTATCCCCCCCCCCCCCCCTTTATATATTACAATCATACGCACTGTACAGCAAGTTGATATAATTCTTCAACATTCAGAGTTTCTTCGGGTTGTTTCTCCACAATGGGCATCGTAAATTGATGACAGAATTCGTCCGTTTCTTCACATTTAAAACTTGTCTGCATTGTTAACAATGGCTGCCCATTCTGTATGGCCTTGACATTACGACTAGAATAAGTATTACCATCTCGAGTTTTTTCTATGTGATATAAAATTGGTTTATTGGATGAGCCTGGAAAACAGAGATTATTGAAATGAAATGGGGTTTAACGTCCTACTGTTCTACTCCGACTGGGCTAATGTAGATGGGCATACACCAAGCAGTATGCTATGAGGGAAATTTTGGCTGGACAGTGGGGCTATGGTCTACTTTTATATCGAATTACAGGACCTCAGTTTTCCATACCATCCGAACAACTAGACCGCTGTCCTTGTCCGGCCCTCTGTCTGGCACCACTGACAAGGGGAAACCAAGTCGGAAATACCTGATGAACTTTCTCAGCCAACACTGGGATCGAAGCTGCGACCTCCAGGTGAGACTAATTAAGAGCAGGTAGTGTAGACTATAATGAACATGTTGTGTATTGGGTATAGTTTAACCACTACTGCCATGGTTGAATTTTACCTTTATTCATGTAGTATCAATGTAGACTATAATGAGCATATTGGGTATAGTTTTACAGCTGCTGCCATGGTTGAATTCCACGTTATTAATATAGTAGCCGTATAGACTATAATCATGTTGTGTATTGGGTATAGTTATACAGCTGCTGCCATGGCTGAATCCTACGTTTATTAATATAGTAGCAGTGTAGACTATAATATTGGGTATATTTTTACAGCTGCTGCCAGGGCTCAATTCTACGTTTATTAATATAGTAGCAGTGTAGACTATAATATTGGGTATAGTTTTACAGCTGCTGCCAGGGCTGAATTCTACCTTTATTAATATAGTAACAGTGTAGAATATAATATTGGGTATAGTTTTACAGCTGCTGCCATGGCTGAATCCTACCTTTATTAATATAGTAACAGTGTAGACTATGGGCATGTTGTGTATCTGGTATGGTTTTACTTGCTGCTGCCAGGGCTTGACCTACTAACTGTCCTCCATATACACCAGTTTCATGTGATAATAGTGATGGCCGCCATAAGCTTGTACTTCTGAAATATAAAATACCGAGAAAGATGGGTGCGCCAAGGTGGCTCAGTGAGTCAGAAGTTGGCTCGCTAACCTGGAGGTCCCATGTTCTATCGTAGTGTTGACCAAATTGAAATGAAATGAAATGGGGGTTAACGTCCTACTGTTCTGCTCCTAAACTGGGCTAATGAAGACGGGCATACACCATACAGTGTGCTATGAGGGAAATTTTGCCTGGACAGCGGCGCTACGGCCTACTCTTATATCGAATTCCAACTGCCAAGGGATCTTTTACGTGCACTCCAATGTGTACACGGAACCTCGGTTTTTCGTACCATCCGAACGACTAGACAGCTGTCCTTGTCAGGCCCTCCATCCTGCATCACTGACAAGGGAGAAGAACCACGTCGGAAAATCTGGATGAACTTTCTCGGCCAATGCAGGGATCGAACACCCGACTTCCAGGTTAGCGAGCCAGCGTCTTACCCACTTAGCCACCGTGATCCCCAAATACAGAACAAAATATAATAACAGTTTATAGTGTACTAAATGTTATATCATTCTTACAACAGCTATATCATTCTTACAACAGCTATCATTCTTACAACAGCTATGTTACATCATTCTTACAACAGCTATGTTATAGCATTCTTACAACACCTATGTTAATTATATCATTCTTACAACAGCTATGTTAAAGATCAATGTTGGAGTCAGCCAATGTAGCATGTGTGATACTACTGGTTAAACACATTCCAAATCAAATCTAACACAGAGATATTTGCTACAGTTGATCCGTAAGAAAGATCCCTTGACAGTTGGAATTCGATATAAGAGTAGGCCGTAGTGCCGCTGTGCGGGCAAAATTTCCCTCATAGCACACTGTATGGCGTATGCTCGTCTTTATTATCCCAGTTCATTTCAGAGCAGAACGGTAGGAAGTGATAACCCCATTTCATTTTGTGTAAGATGCTGGCTCGCTAGCCTGGAGGGCATGAGTGTTCGATCCCTGCTTTGGCCGAGAAAGTTCATCCCGATTTTTCGGCGTGATTCCCGCTTGTCAGTGGTGCAGGACAGAAGACCTGACAAGTACTGATGTCTAGTCGTTCGGATGGTACAAAAAAAACGAGATCCGGTGTACACATTGGCTCGCACGTAAAAGATTAAATATCCCTTGACAGTTGGAATTCGATATAAGAGTAGACCATATAGTGTCGCTGCCTGGGCAAAATTTCCCTCATAGCACACTGTATGGCGTATGCCCGTCTTCATTAGCCCAGTTCAAAGCAGAACGGTAGGAAGTTAAACCTCATTTCATTTCATTTCATTTTGTAGTTAGTAGACTCACCTATATATGTTGTTGTCTATTATCTCGAGATTCAGAAAAGATCTTTTTAAGATACTCTCTAAATCTTTACTTGCACTCATCTTGATGCTCGACTATACACAAAGTTAACTTCATATACACTCATAAAATTGCTCATGTCATTAAGGTACACATAGGCCTACATGTAAACTTGTGTTATATATTTTGAACTTTGAACTACATCATGATCAAGGGAGACAACCATTGATTTGAAATGGATGCAGACCACCAAATATTCTCTCCCAGTGACTTTAAATGTGAATTGTCGTCTCCAAATTTTCACTGGATTGAGCATCATTTGGCAATGTTTTGTTCCAAAGCATGTTATGAGGTTGTCCATGAATATACTGAGATACACAAATTTGACATAGCATTCTAGTAAACATGTAACTATCTGAAAAAATGACTCAACTTGGCACAATAACCCACGAGAATTCCTGTAAAGGCAATCTGCATGAATTCTTTGAACACAATACTTATTATTTCAGAACATTGAATTTAAAGATACATTATGGGAGATTCGATAACGAGTTGGCAGTTCTCGCTATAATAATTAAAAACTAGATAATGGATAGGGAATATTCTGAAAATTTCATTCAAATTGATCCACTATGAACCGAGAACTAAGCGTTTGAAATTTCTGCCTAGCCTCTATCATCATTACTAAAGTCAGCACGATAAACAGCATAGTCTTGATTATCCACTTAATCGTTAAATCGTGAAGGAAAGTTATGCAGTAAATCAGCTCATAATCCACTAAAGATCGCAGGCTATTGATGCCATCGAGAGTTGAATCAGTTGATTATGGTCTGGATAGGTTAATTAATGTCTAATTAATAATTTAGATAACATTTCAGGCCTAAAGAAAGACCTACAATAAGCAGATTTAGCTCTTGCATAATGTATGTTTAATGATTATTTTATCATTATTATTTCCATTTCCAACTGTTATGGGATCTTTAACGTACACATGGTGTTCAGTTTCTGTCTCGTCCGAATGACAAGACGTTTATCTTGGCTACTGACTAATAGAATGCAGCTTTAAAAATCCTGAGGAAATTTCTCCATCAACACAGGGATCGAACCTTGTACCACCTGGTTGGATGGCCAAATGGTTAACCTGTACATGTTAAATCATAAGGTCATTGAGTTAAGTGACGAGTTTCGATTCCCAGCGGGGGGTTGGATGGCCGAATGGTTAGTACGCACGCGCTGTATCATACGGTCTGTCATTGAGTCAACTGGCGGGGTTTCGATTCCCCGGTTGTACGTGACAAGGAGTAGGGTCGCCTGTCCAACCACGTGGGTTTTCTCCGGGTCCTCCGGTTTCCTCCCACTGCTAAAAACCCCTACGCGCAAGCGAATTATTGAAATAAAATTGAACCATGTGTTAGTTCCGAAATGACCTAGTTTGTGTCGAGTGGACGTTAAACCCCATTTCTCTCTCTCTTTCTCTCGATTCCCAGCTTGTATGTGACGAGTAGTGTCACCTGTCCAACCATGTGGGTTTTATCTGGGAAATTTTGCCCAGGTAGGGACACTATATGGCCTACTCTTATATCGAATTCCAATTGCCAAGGGATCTGTTACATGCACACCAATGTAAACACGGGACCTCGTTTTTTCATCCCATCCAAACGACTAGACAGCAGATTGTAAAGCTGTCAGTCCTATGAGCCACAGTGGATCCCACGCACAATCGAAATAAGTAATAGTTTTACCCACAATAATATTTTTTTGAATATTGAATATCCTTCCCCATATCTTGATATCTAATTGGGCATATTCCCTATCAGACGTTTTTATCAACTTGCATGGGACATGTACAGAAAAAAACACACATCCCATCTCCACCCCGGTACACTAAGAATGGCAACCATCTTGTTATATACTCAAAGCCATTAAAAATGCAATGTCTAATTCGTGAAATATTTCTGGTGAACGTTTTCTTGGGCTTTCCTATCTTATGGCACATGGGTCTCTTTTGTGTGCAAACGCAACAGTTGCCTTTTTCTTGATTTTAAGCAGTCCCATGTCACACGTTTTGCACGTGCATTCCCTGCACTCTGGCCCTTTAAATACAGATAAAAATTTCAACATTCATCACTTCGGAAAAATGCCACACCTTACACAAGAAAACAGGAACAGAGCTATTGGCATGCTGGATCCGGGGGCTTCACAGGTAGCCGTAGCCAGACACTTTAATGTCCACCCATCGACCATTGCTCGCCTCAGACAACGCTTCCACGCCACTGGAAGAATGGCTGATCGACCCCGACCTGGAGCACCACCTGTAACAACCGCTGCTCATGATCGCCACATCCGACTACAGCATCTGTGCAACAGGTTCCAGTCAGCTACTGCTACTGCCAGGGGAACTGTTGGACAATCATGTCCGTGTCATGCATTGGCCCGCTATGTCTCCCTACATGAACCCGATTGAACCCCTTTGGGATGAACTTGGACAACAGGTTCGAACTCAAGCCGTTCCACCACTAACTGTTGCAGAGTTGGCACAGGTACTCCAAAATCATTGGCAAACAATCCCACAGCGTGTAGTGAGACATCTGTGCCAGTCCATGCCAAGGCGACCTCAGGCATGTGTAAGAGCTCAGGGTGGACACACCTGATATTGACTTCAGCTGACCCCTGCTTTGTTTCAGTTTTGTGCATTTGTAGTGAACTCTTTCATGAAATTATCCACAGATGCTTGTTATCTCGATTTTGTCAATTGTTATGTACATTTGTTAAAAGTTGTTGCAGTAAATAAACTTTGAATTTGGCTTTGCGTTTTAAATGGCTTTGAGTGTATTACACTGTACGTCCATAAATAATCACCCCAGATGTTAATATCTTATAACTGTAATGCAACTTTTGCTTAAATTCTAAACATTGTATGCATACAGTGTGTTATAAGGAAAATTTTGTCTGGACAACAGCTGGACAGCCTACTCTTGTATCGAATTCCAACCGCCAAGGGTTCTTTTATGTGCAAGCCAATGTGTAAATGGGACCTTGTTTTTTTGTCCCATCTGAATGACTAGAATAAAATCTTATCTTATAAAAAAACTACATAACCAATTTAAAAAAACAAACAAGAATTTCATTCTACAAATTAAATACAGATACATGTACATAACCAATTTTTAAAAAAATTATACAAAATAGATACATAACCAATTTAAAAAACATACACACAAGAATTTCATTTTACAAATTTAATACAGATACATAAACATGACTAGAATAAAATCTTATCTTATAAAAAACTACATAACCATTTTAAAAAAAACATACAGATACATACATGTACATGACAAAAAATTATACAAAATAGATACATAAGAAATTTAAAAAACATACACACAAGAATTTCATTCTACAAATTAAATACATGAAATTTTACAAATTCAATATTAATTATACAAAATAAATTCAAAAAACAAACAAAACAAGAATTTCATTCCACAGATTAAATATATATACATAACAAATTTTATGTAAATAATCATTTTACAAATTAAATATTAATTATACAAAATAAATACAGTAAACTTCACATCAGTCGGATCTAAGTGGACTGACCAATTTTATCCGAGTTAAGCGAGAGAGAGAGAGAGAAATGGGGTTTAACGTCCACTCGAAACAAACTAGGTCATTTCGGGACTAACATATGGTTTAATTTTATTTCAATAATTCGCTTGCGCATGGGGGTCTTTAGCAGTGGGAGGAAACCGGAGGACCCGGAGAAAACCCACGAGGTTGGACAGGCGACCCTACTCCTTGTCACGTACAACCGGGGATTTGAAACCACGCCAGTCGACTCAATGACAGACTTTATGATACAGCGCGTTCAAGCTAACCATTCAGCCCCCCGAGTTAGCCGAAGACCGAAATTAAATCTTAGCTCGATTAGAAATAAACCGCAAGAGTCGGATAATAATTGATTCAAAGGCACATTTCAAGCTTTTGTTCGTATGTATGAGTGGATAACTTCCGTTTTGGTGCAAGTCGATAACTTCCATTTTGTCGCATCTTTGAAAAATGTCCTAAATTTTCTTGGAAAGTGTCGCGTACAGCAGACAGACAGTATTTTGGGGCTCTGTGCATGTAATACCTTACTGCGTTTTAGACCATCAGGACGAAACTGATTTAGTCAAATTCTGAACATACTGCCGATTCGACTTAGACGAAGGAAAAAAGCCGGGATTAGATCAAATGGACTGAACATTTTGATTCGAGTTGTGCAAAGATCCGACTTAGTAAATCTGACTTACATGCATAAATTTAATAAAGAAAAACGCGCAGGATCAATGGGTACAATTTTACCCGAGTTGAGAGAAGATCCGACTAATACGAAGTTTGCTGTACGTAACAAATTTAAAAAACAAAACCAATCATTTTACTAAATATCAACATCTTTTAAATGATATATTTAGTCTAGTTTTACTTCAATTTGTTTTTTGATAAAAATAATTTATCATAATTTGGCTTTTGCTGTTCGTATCACTGTTTCCTGGGCTACAGACATAACCAATTTACCATCGGGAGACCAGATTCTACCCACAATAAATCCACGACCATTAGCTGAAAGTAAACAATTGTTACATATACAAGTGGTTGCCATGGAAGATACACCCACATTTTGCAAGAGATGGACGGAGAACAGGGGAAATCAATAGGGCTCATCCTCCCATTGTCGTGATTTTTCGTACAATTAGGGGTCATATCCAGGAAGTTACAATTCAATATCGAAAGGAACCAATATCTTTGTAATATAAACATATATTTTAAACTTCATCAAAATCAGATAAAAATTGTGACCTGTGGAGTGTCCACAAACAAAATTTGAACATAATATGTCCACATGGAAATGTGGGCGTATAAAAGTTAACAGGAAAATATTGCAGCTGGTCATAAACAAAAAAAGCAATGGGGTCACTTTCTTTTCCACCAAATAAATAAATTTCTACATTTTTTTTTAACATTGGAAGTTTAGAGACTTGGGGGGAAAACCCACAAGATTTGAAAACTGTGAGAAAAACTGTGAGTTTCAAAAATGGTGAAATTTGAGAACCATGACAAAAACCAAGAGAAGATCCAGAAAACTAATGAACCAAGCAACGAATCTTTGATAATGTCTTGAACGAATCTTTGATAATGTCTTGAACCAACATTTACGAGACAGTAATCAAGAAAATTAACATTCATACCCGTACAAGGACATTCCAATTCATATAGCAACCAATCATCAGGTCTGCAGGGTTGATGGAACCACACAGAGTGATCTAGAGATATCACAAAGAATGCATGAATACCAGGAATATATGGTTTGGGGTATCTGGCTATATCTGCCATGAACAAATCCGAGTAATATGTGGCCACAGATTTGTGTATATGAAGGTCGTGACCTGGAAACAAAACACAAAGATAGATTTATTTACAAGCCTATACAATGAAAAGAGTTTTAACGTCCTACATTGCTGTACTAACTGGAGAAATGGGATTTAACGTCCACTCGACACAAACTAGGTCATTTTGGGACTAAAATATGGTTCAATTTTTATTTAATAATTCGCTTGTGCGGTGGGAGGAAACCAGAGGACCCGGAGAAAACCCACAAGGTTGGACAGGTGACCCTACAATCGAAACCACAGAACTATGATTTCATGTGCATGTGTTAAACTACTACACTCCCCCCACTAGACTGGGGTAATGAAGACAGGCATACATAGACAATATACTGTTTATTCAGTTGTAACAAATAGAAACATTAAGTTTATAAATTAAAGTTACAATTTCATATCTTTAAGTTATGTTTTTAAAATGTATTAAAATAAAGCCCTAATATAGATGGTATGTATAAACAGTCCTACCTTGTTAAAGAATAATCCTATTAATCCTATAATTCACTATTGCCAGTTGAGAAATTGGCAAAAATATAATTTTCAACTTCAAATTCAAACGTTTGAAGATAGCTATTCCATGGTGGGGAAATAGGAAAACAAGGGAGGTAATTGGGAGGTAATTGTGTTATTATTTCCGGTGTGAAGATTTTTAAGTGTGAGAAAGATAACCTATGATCGTATAATAGTGAGTTGACAACCTATTGAGCAAAATACATAGAAATAATTATGTTTTGACTTTCTTAGAAAATATGAAATTGTAACTTTAAGTTGACATGATGTGTACCTGTTGTTATTTTTGTGGTTATAACATACACTAAAATACTGCATTCTCCATAACAAATTACCAAGAATTATTTTTGTTGATGTCTAGTTATATTAAAGGGAATGGAAGCTTGTAATTAACCCATTTCCTACGGGACCTCATTTGACACAATTATGGCAGGTTCCTTTCAAAATGGATTAAGAACCCTGGGTTTAACGCACTACTGGGCGATTGAAGACAGGTATACATCTATGATAGAAATTCTACTGAGGCAGTGCCATTTTCTTCCTACTTATCTCTCAACTCCCATTGTCAAGGGTTCTATATACAGTATAAATTTTAAATTTTAGATTTTTGGGAGGCGAGTTGTAATGCATTGGCCTTCAAACAAGAATTTCCCAGGTACAGATCTAGGCGTTGGCAGAGAGGAACCTGCAGTATTTTTCAATCTTGGTACTCGTTTCACAGGCGATAAAAGGCAGTCTGATGCAAATGTAATGGAAACATTTCCATGTAACCAACGGAAACGCATACTTGGAAAACAGGCCTATCGTTTGATATAACAATGGAAAACAGGCCTATTGTTGATATAACAATGGAAAACAGGCCTATCGTTGATATAACAATGGAAAATGATCTCCATCAGAACACCAAAAATGAAAACTGACGGATCATGTTTGTTTATGGATCATGAGTTTACCCATGTTCCTGAAGCAATGATCGCGAGTTTTACAACATCTAACCGTTGCTTCAGTACTGGGCAATTCCTGAAATTTTGCGCTCGTTGTGTTTACACGTGATCAATTAGCATTATCCAATCAGGGGTCGTCGCACATAACACACTGTAAACAAATATGGCGGCCTCCATAGAAACTCTTTGTTGATCAGGTATGATTTCCAGCAACCTTGACATTGATCGAACCTTGAACTTTGCAACTCGATTGTCACATGTAGACATTTTAGCTATAAGCGCGAGACTTGATAATCGTAACGATATTTTTAACGAAGAAATCTGATAGGATCACAAGCTGGGCTTATACCCTATCAAAAAAAAGATGGAGTTTACCTAAAGGTTGTTTTGCACGAATCCACAGGCATTCCCGTGGTTTATCACCATTCTCGCGTCGGAATCTCCATGGATAAACAGGCCTTACTTCACACGTATCTGTTTCTGCTTCCCTTAAATCACTTGTTAATATACTACGTAAACTTTCATCAGACGGATCTGTTCTTTAAAATATAAAACAAAATATAATAATAGTGTATTTATGAATGAAATGAAAAGGAGAGAGAGAGAGAGAGAGAGAGAGAGAGAGGGTTTAACTTCCACTCGACACAAACTAGGTCATTTCGGGACTAACATGGTTTAATTTTATTTCAATAATTCGCTTGCGCGTAGGGGTATTTAGCAACGGGAGGAAACCATGTTAGTCCCGAAATGACCTAGTCTGTGTCGAGTGGAAGTTAAATCTCTCTCTCTCTATATAAATATATATATATAGCTCCTGTATTAAATGTTATACTCATTCTTACAACATCTATGTTAAATGTTATAATCATTCTTAGACCGGTGTGTTAAATGTTATAATCATTCTTAGAACGGTGTGTTAAATGTTATAATCATTCTTAGACAGGTGTGTTAAATGTTATAATCATTCTTAGACAGCTACTGTTAAATGTTGTATCATTCCTAGACAGCTACTGTTCTATCTATGTTATTTATTGGCTATAGGCCTACCATCATTGCCGCATGAAAAGATATAAATGGGGATTAAGTGCCAGTCAAAGATTTCTTGTTCATTGATTGAGAGGTGTGTGTGTGTGGGGGGGGGCAATAGAGAGATATTCAGGAAATATTTTCATTATTTTTTTTTTTTACATAGATATTTCATTTTTAACACAATAAGTAATGAGTGTGTGTGTGTGGGGGGGGGGCATATATCCTAGAATGTCTGAATAATCGTCCTTACTCATCAATCCAATCTTTGTACAACTGAGATCTGTCTTTTAATTCGTCTGGTTTTGGTACATCTGGCATTTTAAACTGATGTTCAAATGAATCAGATTCTTGTTTTTTAAATGAGCACTGCATGGTGAATAAAGTGAGACCATTTTGAATAGCTTTTACACTCCGACTACAATATGTTGAACCTTCTCGAGTTGCTTCAACTTGATATAATATCGGCTGATCTAATCCTGAAAATATACAAAAGTATATTACTCACGAATTTTAAGAAATAAGAAAAAGAGAGAGAAATGAAATGAAATGAAATGGAGTTTAACGTCCTACTGTTCTGCTCCTAACCTGGGCTAATGAAGACGGGCATACGCCATACAGTGTGCTATGAGGGAAATTTTGCCCGGACAGCGGCACTACGGCCTACTCTTATATCGAATTCCAACTGCCAAGGGATCTTTTACGTGCACGCCAATGTGTACACGGGACCTCGGTTTTTCGTCCCATCCGAACGACTAGACAGCTTTCCTTGTCAGTCCCTCCGTCCTGCATCACTGACAAGGGAGAACCACGATGGAAAATCTGGATGAACTTTCTCGGCCAATGCAGGGATCGAACAACCGACCTCCAGGCTAGCGAGCCAGCGCCCTACCCACTTAGCCAGTGGTCCCCGAATAAGAGAGAGAGAGAGAGAGAGAGAGAAAGAGAGAGATTCCAATAATTTGCTTGCCATTGGGGTCCCGAGAAAACCCACAAGCTTAGACAGTAAACCCCTCTCCTTGTCATGTTCAATCTGGGTACTGAAACCATGCAATTTGACTCAATGACAGAGAGAGAAAGAGAGAAATGTGGTTTAACATCCACTCGATACAAACCAGGTCATTTCGGGACTAACATATGGTTTAATTTCATTTCAATAATTCACTTGCACATAGGGGTCTTTAGCAGTGGGAGGAAAATCGGAGGACCCGGAGAAAACCCACGAGGTTGGACAGGCAAACATACTCCTTGTCACGTACAACCGGGGATTCCAAAGCACGGCAGTTGACTCATTGACAGGCCTTATGATACAGCGCGCACGCGCTAACCATTCGGCCATCCAACCCTCCCCCGACTCGATGACAGATCTTATGATCTAAAGTACACACCTTAGAGCATTCAGCCATCCATCCCCCTGGATATGATAACCTCACCATCACATCCAACACCCCCCCCCCCCCCCCCCCCCCCCCCCCCCCCCCCCCCGTGTCTTGAGCCAAAGTAATCTGATTAAAACACACGTCTTATTTCATTTCGTTTTTTCATACTTCAAAATTTTGTTTTTACCGGTACTTGTCTTTACTACACTGAGGAAGGTTGGATGGCCGAATGATTAGCACGTGAGCGATGTATCATAAGACCTGTCATTGAGTCAACTGGCGTGGTTTCAAATCCCCGGTTGTACGTGACAAGGAATAGGGGCGCCTGTCAAACCATGTGGGTTTTCTCTAGGTCCTCCCACTGCTAAAGACACCTACGTGCAAGCGAATTATTGAAATAAAATTAAACCATGTTAGTCCCGAAATGACCTAGTTTGTGTTGAGTGGACTTAAACCCCATTTCTCTCTCTCTTTACTACACTAGCATCTGGAAGAGTTGTTATCATTGAGTGTTCTGGATGATGTTTCATTTTTTTATAGTTCAAACTTTCGTTTTACTTGTCTTTACTACACTAGCATCTAGAAGAGTTGTTATCATTGACGTGTTCTGGATGATGTGAGGGATTAGCCAATGAAACGGTCTGTTACGGCGAGTTTTTGGCGTGAGGTGCGTGTGGGTAACTCACTAGAAACATCAAGGCTCTTATTACCTCTGATGCGACCTTTCACTATAACTGGTCAGCCCTTCATGGCGTGTAGTATAAACGAAAAAAAAATATAGATCTGTATTGAATTTTATTTAAAGGGACAATAACACTCTTGCTGGCTTGAAAGCTCCAGAAAATAAATAATATCTCTATCTAAGTACTAGATGTTTAAGTGTCCTATAATAGTTGTATAAATTATCCATTACATCCTATTTTACTTGTCCAGAGGGTTCGAAAATATTTTTAAATTAAAGTTTCATTTGAAAAGGTTTACGTTAGACGTTTCAAACCATTATGTTGGATTTTTCAAAAATTTTAAATAAGGTGTGTTAAGATGAAATTTGTATCATCAATTAATTGAAATATTCTAAAATAGTACAATTTGTTGACCAGAATTAAGATTGGGACATATTATTCAGTTACAACAAGAGTTGTATTGAGCCTTTAAATAATTTGTCCCTGCCTATAAGGGGTCTGTAACAGTGGAAGAAAACTAGAGAACATGGCGACCGTTATCCTCATCACATACAAGCTTGGGATTGAAACTCAATGACAGGCCTTATGACCTAAAGCGTACTACTAATGATTAAAGGGATTTGATCTTGATCCCCTAAATAATTTACCTCCTTTAAGGGTGGGGGTGACTGAGGGGGTCATGATTCATGGGCATTGATCCCTTAAATATTGTAGGCCTACCTCCTTTAAGAAAGTAACAATGTAAACTATGAAGATTATATCCAGGTTCAACCGTATCACCGGCAGCCATTAAACCCAGTCCAATCAACTGACCCCCAAAGATATACGTTTCACTTAGGTTAACTTGCTGATATGTACTTCTGAAAAATCAAATCGTGTGTTATGTTTCTTGAGGATAGCATGTATGGTACACACGTGGAACCTCGGTTTTTAGTTCCATCCGATCGACTATACACAGTCCCTTGCCAGGCCCTCGGTGCTGACCCAGTGAGAAGGGGTCCAGCACTCTGGTAGGATAATGTGTATGGTACAGGTATCAGTTTTACAAACACAGTATCATGTACATGAGAGAGAGAGAGAGAGAGAGAGAGAGAGAGAGAGAGAAATGCAGAATATTGCAGAAAAACTAATTTAGATGACAAACAAGGCTATTGACATTGATACAATGTAAACAATACTTTTTGGAGACGAATAACAGTCACCGTTTTTAATACCTTAAATCACTGTTCAAAGTTTTAGGGAATACCCAGATTAAATGAAGGGTTGTCATGTTGCTGTACTTGGGATAGATTTGATTGAACGGGAAGAATAGACACACTCAGGAAGAGAGGGATTTCTCGGGCCTTTGCTTCAGGAATATGAATGCCTAATTATTAAATCAAGACGCCTGTTTATCAGTTAACATTAATCACATACATGTAGGCACCTAATTCAAAAAGACTGATGGACAGTTAAGAATATTGACTGAAATTTATCAATATTGAATTCTAATTTGAGTTTTTTAATTTTGAATAGTTGAAGACCGAATATATGCCCTCTTCAGATTATGGGATGAGATGGGTATTTAAAATGCGAGATAATGATATAGATGTGATATCACAGTTAATGCTTTGCATCAATGAAATTGAATCACAATATGTCACTGTATTAATTCTTAAGAAAAATTGATGTAAAACAGGGTGTTGGATTTCTCTCTTTAAAAAGCTCAGTGTGTATGTACATACGCCAAGATGATGATCGAGACCATGTATTTCTCAAAAGGACAGTGTCTCAGGTACCAGGTAAACCCCCTAGGCTCCTGCAAAAATTCCTGGATCCGCCCCTATAATTGTGGACCTATCATCTTTGACATTGTGTAATTAAATGCTGCAGTAGAACTATCAATACTATCATATTTTGTTCATTCTGTCATAATGGATCTACTGAGCCCTTAATTTATGAACATAGACCCATGGCTATGCTGTTTAAATGATGAAATGGGGTTTAACATCTGAACTGGGCTTATGAAACAGCAGCACTGCGGCCTATTATTATATCGAATTCCAACTGTCAAGGGATCTTTTACGTGCACGCCAATATGTACACGGGACTGCGTTTTTTTGTCTCATACGAACGACCAGACATCACGTCCTTGTCAGGCACTCCGTCTTGCATCACTGACAAGGGTGAATCACGCCGGAAAATCTGGGTGAAATTTCTCCGCCAATGCAGGGATCGAACACCCGACCTCCAGGCTAGCGAGCCAGCGTCTTACCCTCTCAGCCACCGTGACACCGAACACAAATTGGCGACCTATTCGGCTAGCGATCTATTCGAAGGACCGATCCAGCTGGCAACCTGTTCGTTGGCAACCTATTCAGAATTATGCCAACAGACGCACAAACTCATCTATTTTAATCAACCAATAAAACCGAACGTTACGTCTATCAAATGAAAGTAGAATATATTATTTTTATCCATTCCTTTAGCTCAGAAAATAGAGGTGTAATTTTACATTATCTTACAAATCAAAATTCTGGACATCCAACTAAATATATTCCGAAAGGTAATTAAAAAGGCTTTCCAAATATTATTAGTAAAAGTTGGCACAGTCATATTAAAGGGATGCACTCTCATCCTAAACATGGCCAATTTTTTAAAAATTCTAAAGGGAAATACCGTTAATATCCCGTGTCAAAATTCGGACCATCGTACAAAATTCTGATGATCCAACTAAATATATTCTAAAAGGTAATGGAATAAGCTTTTTAAATATTATTAGTAAAAGTTGGCACAATCATATTAAAGGGGTGCGCTCTCAACCTGAACTAGCCAATTTTTCAATATTCTAAATGTAAAGATAGACCGGTATTTTTTTCGAAGTCCAAATTCGGATCATCATACAAAATTCTGAGCATCCAGTTATACATGTATATATTCTGAAAGATAATTGATTAAGCTTTCCAAATATTATTAGTAAAGGTTGGCACAATTATATTAAAGGGGTGCGCTCTCATCCTAAACGTGGCAAATTTTTTATACAAAAAAAGGAAAAGACCGTTAATATCCCGAGTCAAAATTCGGACCATCGTACAAAATTCCTAGCATCCAGCTATATATATTCGAAAAGGTGATGAAATAAGCTTTCCAATATACTTAGTAAAAGTTGGCACAATCATATTAAAGGGGTGCACTCTCATCCTAAACGTCGCCAATTTTTCAATATTTTAAAGTGAAAGAACGGTAATATTCCAAGTCAAAATTCGTACCATCGTACAAAATTCTGAGCATCCAGAAGAGACCCATCACAAGTTTCACCTATGTGCCATAAGATAGGAAAGCCCAAGAAAACGTTTACCAGAAATATTTCACGAATTAGACATTACATTTTTAATGGCTTTGAGTGTATAACAAGATGGTTGCCATTCTTAGTGTACCGGGGTTGAGATGGGATGTGTGTTTTGTCTGTATATGCCAGATATACCCCACGCAAGTTGATAAAAATAGATGAGTTTGGGCGACTGTTGGCATAATTCTGAATAGGTTGCCAGCTGGATCGGTCGAATAGGTGGCTAGCCGAATAGGTCGTCAATTTGTGTTCGGTCACCGTGAACCCTGTTAAAATTAGACTTTGGACTCATTCTAGGCTACACAAATGACTAGCAAAATGCAGTGTGCTGCACGTCAGCCACATGTATGATGTAAATTTTGCCATGCCAGCTGCATTGCAACTTATCTGATGAGATCAATTAAAGGTTCTTCTTAAGTTACACTATTCTTAGTAACAGTTACATGTGCACTGGACATTGGTTTTCGTCACATCCCAACAACTGGTCATAAATGCATGACAGGCAGGAATATTTACCTATAAAGATTGTTTTCAACTTTTTCTAAATTTAAATATTTGTTCAGTAACACATTATCACCTTCTTGATCCATTAGAAATGAGTCGATATTCACCGGATTAATCGTACTATTACTAACTCTTTCATCGCACCCTAATGTTTTTTATAGAAAGGGAGATAACTCTTATTAACGTCAATTGGATACAGACCCCCATTAATTTTTTATTGTCGTTAATGTAAATGCTGATCTCTTTGCCTGGCTCCAATTTGTTCCCAAATTTTTCATACAGACAGGGCAGAAAAAGCCATTTATTTACTTAAAGACCGCATAAGATTGACATTTTTTTTTTTTCGCTACGTGTAGCCAATAGTTACTATATCCACTTTACGGCAAGCTCACGCCAATCTGATTAAAATTAATTCGGCTATTAACGTTTGAGTATCCGACACGCAAAAACGCTTTTCAATTTTTCAATTACGATCTTAATCCGGTTGAGTGGCTGGTGACTAACTATTACAATACTACGGCCGTGGTAACTGACGTTAAATTTTGGAGCGACAATTGCATGGGATTCATGGACATGAATATAAAATACACGTGATCATCGTGACTGAAGTTCCTGATGCCGTTTGGTGAGCTATTAAAGTGTTGAGAACGTGCCCTTATTCTGTCTTGGGCGATGTGACGCAACCCTTGGGTTATTTGTCACTAGTTCTCACAATGTTACCTAATAATAAGAAGAGATTGTTAACACATAATGTCTTTAATGTCTTCAAGAGATAATAATGGAGTTTCTGGGTTTATATCCTAATTTCGGTTACCATAGATTTGATTAGCGTGCATTCTAAAGTATTTAATCCGTTTCTAATGGAGAGGATTATAACCCAGACCAAGACATGTTAACAATCTAAGTTTAACTGGACAAGAGGGATTATCGAGTTAATGGCTTAATCTTTAATTTAATTAATTGTTAGTGTACAACAAATATGTTTGTTGCACACTATGACAGTGTGAATGTAATTGTTAAATACTTTTTTTTATAAAGAAGTTAAACGATGTTAGACAATAACCTAATCTTATCACAAACGTTTATCTATGGAATAATTTATATTCAGATTTCGTATCAAGTCCATTAAATATTGTCTAAACGCCAATCAACAAATAATACGAGGCTACTTTATTACAAAAACATCGGTGAACAAATCTAATTGATTATTGGGTAAAAAATCATTATAAACAACTGATGAGTAATGTACGATTCAACGATTGCAGCAAAGTTCCCCCGTAACTTGTGTCGTTCGTTCGTGGAGTTTTAACACGTTCTACCTAGAGTGGTGTCTTTGATCTGGCGGGCTAATAATAACTTAATCAGCATTCTTAATCCAACATCTTTACTTGTAAATTAATTTATAACCCCATGTGTGTGCAACGCTAATCATTATCTACATCGATATGTAAATTAATTTATGGCCCCATGTCTGCAACTTTAGTCGGATTGATTAAGTAATAGTTATATACCTTGTTTTCAAGGTGTATGGGTTGATACACCGTCTCTTTTTTGAGTGGGGCTCCAAGGCGAAGCCGAGGAGATCTGCACTCAAAAAAGAGACGGTGTATCAACCCATACACTGAGAAAACAAGGTATATAACTGACTTATACTAAATACTTTTTCGAGAAATAGAGATTTTTTCTATTTTTCCCAATTTCAAAAGCATTTTTCATTTCACAAATTTATCAAAGTTTCCCATTTAGAGCCCCCCAAATATCTCATCGCAAACGCTTATTTCTACTCAGGTAAATGATGTCAGTACACCACACGTGCATTTCACGGTTTAAATCAGGTCAGGGAAAATGTTCATAACAGGGATATTAATTGGTTGAGAAAAGCAAACGTCATCCAATCATTTTGTACAATAGCCATTTCTTGTTGTTTTGCCAACATCCTGGCTGCGTCGATTGTAGTGGATGGCAGAAATGAATGCGGGAATTCGTCGAAGAATCCTACTTTATAATGTCACAAACATATATTTCTAAGACCGAGAATATCAGTTCTGCAAGAGATTTCAATGATCGCGAAGATTTAGAAGCCCGATCCTTCACAGAACAAGAAATTAAAGCCATGCAGACGAGTCGAATTGCATAGGAATATGGTGACACTTCGAGATCAGTACAAAAGATTGGATTTTAACTTTTTTGATAAGCAAGGTACATTTGCTAATTTCCGCACAGATCAATTCATTAACTTCGCGAGATATTGACATCCACTGACAGACAAAAACAAGAACAGCCATTAAATGAAGACGAGTTGGAATTGTAGAGTTCTCAAGTTTGTAGTGTAGAAAATGCCAAGCCCAATGGATTAATTTATACTAGTAACATATTTGGATTACGTGCTGCGGATGAGCATAAACCGCGACAAAATGTGAAAGTTTTTAGTGTTGAAAATGCCAAGACATTAATTTATAATAGTAAAATATTTGGATTATGTGCTGCGGATGAGCATAAGCCGCGACAAAATGTGAAAGTGCGACTAGATATCAAAATGTAAAGAAATGCGTGATACAAAATGTAAGAATACGACTGAGAGTGACGCACATTCGAAAAGTGCCGAGACAGTTTAAAATGATGACTCTTTTACCATAACATGTTCAAAACGGGTTGTAGATGTTCAAATAAATATGTAAATCATGATTTTCTTATTTTTGTCACTTTTCAACTGATACACGGCCACTTTTCAACTGATACACGGCCACTTTTTAAAAGTAGCCGTGAAAAGTGGCCGTGTATCGGTGTATACCCTCCCATTTTCATCAGAGTCGAGAAAAAGTATGGGTATAATGATAGATATTAACGACAGTACACTTTATCAATACACAAAGATAGTTAGATGACCGTTCTCAATCTCTTAATTCTAACGTATAATATTGAGATATTTTTTCGTATTTCATTTTTACGGTCGATTTCAGAGTAATGAAGTCAAATCCACATGCAGAAAGAAAGACGCCGTACGATGTCTACAGGAAATCGAGTTACGGATCGTCATTAAAAAATCACGTTTCAGTCATGTTTGACTTTAATGATTCATTTTGCATGACCACATCTTTTACTTCTGTACTCTTTTACTCGGGGAAATTAGACGGAAATATATTTCGAATCGTTTGGACTGCACACGATGGTAGAGTCGCTCTTATCAAAAAGTCACTTTAAAACACAGTTTTAAAATCGCTGTCGTGAGAAGAGAGGGCGGGACATTATAAAACAAATTCTAAATAGGATCTTAATTAAAATAAATTACAAAACAAATTATTCCGCAGTCAATTGTTTTATTTAATTAGGGGATTAAGGAGTCAGTCAAGCGTTAATGAATACACACGCCAGCTGTATATAGGTAATTAAGGAATAAACATGTGCTTCCTAAAACTCTTGTAAGTCAGCTACAAAAAATCCAGAATAAAGCAGCTCGAATTGTATCTCTCACCAAACCATCTGATCATATTACACCTGTTCTAAAACAGTTACATTGGCTACCGGTTATCAACGCATCATTTTCAAAATTAACACAATCACTTTCAACTATCCTTTGGCACCATCCTATTTATCCGATTTGATTAAACAATATGTACCTTCTCGTTCCTTACGTTCATCTCATAAAAACCAACTTGTATGCCCAGTACAGAAGTCAAAATTTGGTGAGAGAGCTTTTGCGTACGCAGCACCAAAAGAGTGGAACAAATTGCCTCTGGAAGTCCAAAATAGTCCAAACTTAGCTATATTTAAACGACGTTTAAAAACCCTGTTTTTTACCCAAACTTTTAAACAATAATTTAAATGCTTCACTTTCCATTTGTATATTGTAACTATTCCTTTGTATTCTTTTGTTTATTTGTATATACATGTATGCTTGTTTTTGTTTTTTTTTATATCATATCTACATTGTAAAGCGCCACAGAGCAGTCAGACTGACTGAATGTTCAGCGCTATAGAAAACGATTATTCTTATTATTATTATTATGTGTTGTGTTACGGGATCGTCAGTTATTAAATTGTGATCTTGCCTTTGACTTCTAACATGCTTTTCCTCGGTAACCAAATAAACTATGTGTATTCAATCTGATTAAAACAAATCCCCGGTTGTACGTGACAAGGAGTTGGGTCGCCTGTCCAATCTCGTGGGTTTTCTCCGGGTCCTCCGGTTTCCTCCCACTGCTAAAGACCCCTACGCGCAAGAGAATTGTTGAAATAAAATTAAAACCATGTTAGTCCCGAAATGACCTAGTTTGTGTCGAGTGGACGTTTAACCCCATTTCTCTCTCTCTCTCTGATTAAAACACAGATCCTATTTCGTTTCGTTTTTATAGTTGAACATTTTGTTTTACTTGTCTTTACTACACTAGGATCTGGAAGAGTTGTTATCATTGACATGTTCTGAATGATGTGAGGAATTAGCCAATGAAACGGTCTGTTACGGCAACTTCTTGGCCTTTTAATGCACAGAACTGTGGGTTAACCACTAGAAACGCCAACGCTGATTGATTAATCAATGTCTTACGTTTGACCCCTGACGTGAACTCCCACTATAACTTGTCAGATCTTCATGTAGTGTCGGCCGTCAAATGTATAAAAAAATAAACGAAATATAGATTTGTATTTGAATCAGATTGATGTGTATTATATTTCATGTTCAATTATGTAACTTTTATTCTTCAGACCAAGGCCACTTGTTAGTCACAAAAAGTTGCTCTCGGACTTTAATCTGGCTGGAATGACAGTCCAAATGAGCTTAATAAATCAAAGTCCCACTCCCTCTTTTAAAGAGACGAACGCACCTTATTTCCTTAACATCAGATTATGGCCAAATTTAGATAATACATTGCCAGCCACATCTGGTCATGGCAAATCAAGGATGACATCAAAACATGTTAAGCCGTACATATCATCTTAACCAAACCTTTTAACTCTGTTTAGAATATGGAGAATCACAGTGGCTAAGTGGGTAAGAAGCTGGCTCGCTAGCCTGGAGGTTGGGTGTTTGATCCCTGCATTGGCCGAGAAAGTTCATCCAGATTTTCCGGTGTGGTTCCCCCTTGTCTGTGATACAGGACAGAGGTCCCATGTACACATTGGCGTGCACGTAAAAGATCCCTTGACAGTTGGAATTCGATATAAGAGTAGGGCGTAGTGCCGCCGTCCGGGCAAAATTTCCCTCATTGCACACTGTATGGCGTATGCCCGTCTTCATTAGCCCAGCCGGAGCAGAACAGTAGGACGTTAAACCCCATTTCATTTCATTTCTGTTTAGAATACTGAGGAGTGGGGAGCCAAGGTGGTTCAATGGTGCAGGACGACCTAGCCAGGAATGGTATAAGGTTGTTCATATATTCCAATAAACTGAGGTCTTGTATATACATGTTGCTGTGCACGTAAAAGAGTCCTTGACAGTTGGAACTTGATGGAGAATAGGAAAAAATGTTTATTTACCATGCACTGTTTCCAGGTTTACTATCTAAAAAACAACTTTCAGATCTTATTTTTAAAAACATGATAATATATAAATATTTTAAATAGACTAATATCTACTTTGATGTCTTTATATATAGTAATAGTACTGTAAGGTTATATATAAATATTTTAAATAGACTAATATATATTTTGATGTCTTTATATATAGTAACAGCGTAAGGTTATAAAAACACAATAAACTATAACACATACTTATGGAAAAACAGCTACTTATTTATTTGGGCGACATTTCGAAGAGTAACATAAAAACATGTTAATATATAAATAATTATAGAACATTCTTTTTTTCCTTAATACTAATAGACACTCAAACATTAATATAAAAACATGTTAATATATAAATATCAAAATGACTATCTTCTTTGATGTCTTTATATATAGTAACAGTACTGTAAGGTTAATATATAAATATCAAAAAGACTTCGAGTCTTGATGCCTTGGGAGGTTTTAACAATATGAAAATATAAAACTTGTTCATCCATTTTAATATACCGGTAATAATGACTATACAAATATATTTACATCAAAAAGACTACTAGCCTTGATGCCATGTGAAGTTTTAACAACATGATATAAATTTATTTATCAATTTTAATGTAATCAAACTTGATGAAATATAAATATTACATCTTGGTTAACAAAACAAAACCACATTTATATCATCAATTAAATAATTATTGATTTCTTAAAGTCTCTGTGCATCATTGAGAAAGGATAAAAATTTCCACAACCAAATCCATATAAATTAAAAATTAAAACGTGTATATCTCGGCAGTTAATTGTCTAAATAGTCTCATCCCTTAAAAATTTAAAGCATCCATTTAGAAATTGATATATCACAAGATTTCCTAGAAAAATTAAAATAATTTGATCATAATTTGGCTTTAAGTGTTCGTAACACTGATTCCTGAGCCACTGACATAACTAATTTACCATCAGGAGACCAGAATCTCCCCACACCAAATCCACGACCATTAGCTGAAAGTAATCAAATATGATGAAACATGGTTTAACTTTCTGCCCCGGCCTAATGAACAAGGTGATACCCAGGCAGAGAGAGAGAGAAATGGGGTTTAACGTCCACTCAAAACCAACTAGGTCATTTCGGGACTAACATATGGTTCAATTTTATTTCAATAATTCGCTTGCGCATAGGGGTCTTTAGCAGTGGCAGGAAACCGGAGGACCCAGAGAAAACCTACGAGGTTGGACAGGCGACCCTACTCTTTGTAATGTATAACTGGGGAATCGAAACCATGCCAGTTGACTCAATGACAGACCTTACGATACACAGCGCATGCGCTAACCATTCGGCTATTTAAACACCGCCCCCCCCCCCCATAGCCAGGCAGTGAGCATTAAGGAATCTTTGGCCTGAACAACAGAGCTTCTGCCTACTTGCATGCCAATGATGACACTGGTGGACTTCGTTTTTCGTACCATCTGAACAACTAGACTGTGTTACTTGTCCTGCACAATACAAATTTTCTCCTTTACCTTTGATTCTCTATTTTTTACCCTAAATCTCATTTTAATCCTGATACCCCTTCATGCTAGTGATGCTTATATGTATATCAATTAGTCATACTACAGTAAACTTCACATCAGTCGGATCTAAGTCGACTGACTAATTTTATCCGAGTTAAGCGAAGATCCAAGTTAGCCGAAGAGCGAAATTAAATCTTAGCTCGATTAGAAATAAACTGCAAGAGTCGGATAATAACTGATTCAAAGGCACATTTCAAGCTTTTGTTCGTATGTGCGAGTAGAAAACTTCCGTTTTGGTGCGAGTAGATAACTTCCGTTTTGTTGCGAGTAGATAACTCTGGTTTGTCACCATCTTTTAAAAATGTCCTAAATTTTCCCGGAAAGTGTCTTGTACAGCAGACAGTGAGTTTCGAATTTTCCGTGAAAATTCTATTATTGCGTCGCGTCAAATAGGTTGATTTGAGTCCAAATGATAGGGGAAAGTATTTTGGAGCTCTGTGCATGGAACTGCTAAACGTGTTTTAGACCATCGAGGTGAAACTGACGTAGTCAAATTCTGAACATACTGCTGATCCAACTTAGGTGAAGGAAAAGAGCCGAAATTAGATCAAATGGACCAAACATTTTGATCCGAGTTGGGCAAAGATCCGACTTACGCACAGAAAAACGTGCAAGATCAAAGGGTCCATCTTATGCGACATTTACTGTATCACCCAAAACCTGTGGGGGTTAACCTACGCTTCTAAACCTAAAACATATCTGAATCACGAAAATATTTAAATCTGTCCATTCGGGAGCCCTTCAACTTGTCACAATCCCTTAATAATTCTTGATAAATTTAGAAATGTGTAATTTATTCTGTGGGGTGGGGAAAAAGCTGAAAATACTATGGTATTAATGATGTTTTATAGAAATTCAATATTCGCACCTGCATGTGGGCTTTCCATTTCATATAACACCCAATCGTCTATTCTGAAGGGATGATGGAACCACACTGAGTGATCTAATGATGTCACAAAGAACTGAAAAGTCCCAGGAATACGTGCTTTGGGATACGAAGAAATGCCTGCTAAATGCATGTCTGAGTAATATGCAGCTACACATTTATTTAAATGGGCGTCGTCACCTAAAATAAAGCACATTCAGATAAATTTATATACTTCCAAAAAAGACAAATTTATGTGAACTAAAGTACGTCAACATCAATGCCAAGTCCAATAAAATTGGCTTTATGACTTTTTAAACTTGAAACAAGATCCAAAGCATTACTCATCTTGTTATTCTTCTTGTTCTTGTTCTAGGTGCAAAGCTCTCCGAAAAAGCCTAAGGCCCCACCAATTTAAGTGCGATCGACATTTAACTTAGCATGCATCAATTAACGAACTCAGTATCAATTTTTGATATCATATCACAATTCCAAAATGGTAATACTCGTTATTTCTATGGTTATGTAAAAAGGAGAGACTTTGATTTACCCGTACCTAAAGGTAGTTTTGCACGAATCCACAGGCATTCTCGTGGTTCTCCACCTTTATCACGTCGGAATCTCTGTGGATCTACAGGTCTTACTTCATACGTATCTGTTTCTGCTCTCATCTTGTATCTTCTTAATAATCCATGTAAATTTTCATCAGATGGATCTGTTCTGTAAAAATACAAAACAAATGAAATGAAATAGGGTTTAACGCCCTACTGTTCTGCGGCTGCTCTGAACTGGGCTAATGAAGACGGGCATACGCCATACAGTGTGCTATGAGGGTAATTTTGCCCGGACAGCGGCACTACGGCCTACTCTTATATCGCATTCCAACTGTCAAGGGATCTTTTACGTGCACACCAATATGTACACAGGTCCTCGGTTTTTCATCCCATCAGTACGACTAGACAGCTGTTCTTGTCAAGCCCTCCATCCAGCATCACTGACAAGGGAGAACCACACCGGAAAATCTGGATGAACTTTCTTGGCCAAAGCAGGGATCGAACACCCGACCTCCTGGCTAGCAAGCCAGCGTCTTACCTACTTAGCCACCGTGATCCCTAAATACAGAACAAGTATAATAACAGTTTACAGTTATATCATTCTTACAACAGCTATGTTATATCATGAATGCTGGAGTCAGCCAATATAGCATGTGTGATACTACTGGTTAAACACATTCCAAATCAAATCTAACACAGAGATATTTGCTACAGTTGATCCGTAAAAAAGAATTGAAGAATCAGAAAGTGACGCAATAAAAGTAAAATACGAGTCATCCTTATTATAGATTGCGATATCATCCAGTTTTGTGTATTAAGACAATTCATTAGTGTTCATAACAAAACACAACACAAGGTATATATGGATATAACTACTTCTCTATTATTTAATAATGACGTTTCGTAACACATACAGGTCACGTTTTCATGTTATGATAAATATCCATCTAGGCAGCTTACTAAGTTTAGATTGGGCTGACTTGATTTCATTAATCAATAGTAGTGTTACATCTCCATAGTGATGACGTATCAATTCTGTTTATTAATCAATTTGGTGTAAGCTAAAATATTTATAAATAGGCTGCCTAGATGGGTATTTATCATAACATGAAAACATGACCTGTATGTGTTACGAAATGCCGTTATTAAATATAGAGAAGTAGTTATATCCATATATACCTTGTGTTGTGTTTTGTTATGAATAGTTAACCGTCCTTCTAGATGTCATTAAAAGAATTTAAAGAATTCATTAGTGGTCTGATTGTGTCAGGACATGTCAAGAGTTATCATATATACTAGGAGTCATTTCCTGTGGAACAGATCTGACTGCAGCTTGACTTTGTTTTTTGTAATGGAACGTTATTTCATTAAAATGTGTTAAGACAGTCTTAATTACTGAGTTATTAGTAGAGAGTGATAACATATACACATTCGATTTACAGCTCACTAATAATTCCATGTATGTTGAAAAGTTGTTATATGAGACCGTGAGAGGATATCTGTTCAAAGCTGTTCCTAAATTGACTGTCATGAAATAAAAGAATGCGAGAAATATAAAAATGCCTGTGCATTCCCTTGTTTTTATTAATTCTCTCTACGAACACATTTTAATGGATAATCTGTCGTTTGTTTAGGGGGGTTTGGATGGCTGAATGGTTAGCATGTGTGTGTTGTATAATAAGATCTGTCATTGAGTCAACTGGTGTGGTTTCAATTCCTCGGTTGTACGTGACAATAAGGAGGGTCGCCTGTCCGGGTCCTCTGGTTTCCTCCCACTGATAAAGAAACTCTACGTGCAAGCGAATTAATGAAATTAAAATAGAACCATGTTAGTCCTGAAATGACCGAGTGGATGTTTCTCTCTCTGTTTGTTTGTCTGTTCAGGGTTGGCAGCTACACTAGGCCTGTCCCGAGACTGAAATTAGGTGTACAGTGGTACCCTGGACTAGGGAACACCATAGGTTAGGTGGCGTTGGCCTACTCTTTCTGGTTTCGGAATTATACTACTTTTAACCTGTTATAGTATATTCCAGTAGCCCTATAATTAAAGGGGTGGGGGGATTGGGTTGTGACATATATCCTAGGATACTTTGATAATTCTCCTTACTCATCAATCCAATCTTTGTATAACTGAGATCTGTCTTTTAATTCGTCTGGTTTTGGTACATCTGGCATTTTAAACTGATGTTCAAATGAATCAGATTCTTGTTTTTTAAATGAGCATTGCATGGTGAATAAAGTGAGACCATTTTGAATAGCTTTTACACTCCGACTACAATATGTTGAACCTTCTCGAGTTGCTTCAACTTGATATAATATCGGCTGATCTAATCCTGAAAATATACAAACAACACAAAGTTTTATTACCGAAGAATTTAAGTGGCTCAGCAAGATGTCTCGCCAACTTGAAGATCCAGTGTGGTTCCCCTTTGTCATTGATGCAGGACTGAGGTCCTAGCAAGGGACAACATATAGTTGTTTGGATGGGACAAAAAATGGAGGTCCTGTGTACACATGAACCTGCAAGAAAAGAACCCCTGGCTGTTGGAATTCGATATAAGAGTAGGCCGTAGCACTGCTGTCCAGGCAAAGTTTCCCTCATAGCATACTGTATGGCCTATTCCTGTCTTCACTAGCCCAGTCGGAGCAGAACAATAGGACGTTTCAATCCATTTACACATTTCAGATGGGCAAGTCTTGCATTTTAGCCTTCTATTTCTGGTTGAACTATAGGATGTAGTATATAAAATCTGATTTTAATGAAGAATTTGGGTTTTTTTTTCCTGAAATCAAAGGATAGGCTATATATATATAAATGGGGATTAACATACATTCAACAAAAATTCAATGGCAGACCTTGTGATCGCCCCCCCCCCCCCTCCTCCTCTCCACCAATGAATCCCATGATTAAAGGGGTTTAATTGATTCTCTAAATATTGTAGGCCTACCTCCTCTAAGAAAGTAACAATGTAAACTATGTAGATGATATCCAGGTTCAACCGTATCACCGGCAGCTATTAACCCCAGTCCGATCACCTGACCCCCAAAGACATTTCTCCCTCCTACGTTCATTTGCTGATATGTACTTCTGAAAAATCAAATCATATGACAACTTTTACTTAAGCAAGCAATGTCTGTGGAATTTCCGTGAAAGGTTGTCAAAATAGTTGGAGAGAGATAGGGTTTAACATCCACTTGACAAAAACTAGGTCATTTTGGGACTAGCGTGGTTCAATTTTATTTCAATAATTCGCTTGCGCAAGGGAGATCCTTGGAGAAAACTCATGAGGTTGGATAGGCGACCCTTTGTCAAGTACAACTGGGGAATTGAAACCAGGTCAGTTGACTCGCTGACAGACCTTATCCAACACGCACGCGCTAACCATTCGGCCATCCAACCCCCCCCCCTACCCGCCCCCCCGTAAATGTTAACTGGAATATGCTATATATAGCTAACATGTATTAATACCATCCTATGTTGATCAAGTCTATTAACAACAAAGCAGGAGTGGAATATGAGAAGGCGCCTGCGAGTATTTTAGGTTTGAGACCTTAGTTAGTGAAGGTAATGTTCTCACACAGTTTGTCTTGATAAATTGGGATGGGGACTCCTCACATGTGTGGGGTGGGATTTTACAGTAGGCCTACTATTATATGATAATCATCATTCTAGAGTCTATATATATATTATAGGTCTAGTCTGTTGACTGGGATTGCTATATTGAGCTCTAACACCAGTCTAATCTGTTGTGAATTCTGTCATCTAAGGTCAGAATAAATCTACAGAGCTCTTAAAAATTTCTTTGTTTACAATTTATGTGCTGTTTAAATGATGAAATTAGACTTTGGACTCTTAAAAATCGCATGTCATTGTCATATTCGCATATCATATTTATGACTACCGGTATGCCAAATTATTACATAAATATTGAATTTCATAACTGACAGCTAGTCGGAATATTTACCTGTAAAGATTCTTCTCAACTTTTTCTAAATTTAAATGTTTGTTCAGCAACACATTATCACTTTCTGGGTCCATTAGAAATGATCCGATGTTCACACGGTTTGACATTCCCACTCTTTCGTCTGCTGTGCCACAAATGTAATTTACAAGCTTTTTTTTGGAAATGGGGGGTAACTCTTGTTACATTTATTGGATGCAGACCACCAATGTTTTTCCATTATTGACTACAAGATATTATATGCACAGTTAAATCAGGTATTTTCCACTAGCCGTATCCCATCCCCTCATACAACATAGCCAGTATGTTATCAGGTCATCATCAGAATACTAATCGTGTATGAGATAAAACACCAAAATGTAAATTCAATTCACTGAAATTATTAGGAGCCTGCCAGAATATCATTTCTGGGATAGTGCTGAAACAAAACAAAGCATTTTATTCTTCCACATTAAAAATGTCAATCAGACAGAACATATAAATTCAATGCCTACACTACACCAATCATTCACCAAAAGTCAATACAGATAAGAATGCAATCCAATATGGGAGGAAAGAAAGAAAAATATATCTAATTATGTCTTGGGCTATACATTCCTGGTGTAAAAAGAAAACTGGTGGTCTCGCTCCAATGCAAGAGAATTGGACAGTGTCACTGATGTGAAATCTGAATGTTGGCACAGAACAAAGGTTGACCCACGGGACACACCTGACTTGACTACCTAGGTAAGAATTTCTAATCTCACTGGAGAGAGGAATTTTTCCAGGGAAGAAATTCCAAAGGCTGGTTGGAGCAGAAAAGTAGAACAATAAACCTTATTTCATTCATTCATTCATTCATTCATTCATTCAAATCTCCAACTTAAAAGAATATCAAATGAAATACGAATCTGATTACAATACAGATCTATATTTCTTTTTTTTTATTCTTTCGATGGCCTCTATCTACTACTTGAAGATCTGACCAGTTGTAGTGGGAGGTTGTGTCAGGGGTCATACGAGCGACTTTTGACCCTAAGATGTCAGGACTTCCGTTTTCTGTTCCATCCAAACAACTAGTCACTGTTCTCAACCAACAGAAGGATCAAACCCAAGACCTCCTGATTCGTGAGCCAGCATCTTACTCACTGAGCCACCTCGGCTCCCCTTTAGTTTTCGGTTGTACGAGGCAAGGAGTAGGGTCGCCTGTCCAACCTCATGGGTTTTCTCCGGGTCCTCCGGTTTCCTCCCACTGCTAAAGACCCCTACGCGCAAGCGAATTCTTGAAATAAAATTAAACCATATGTTAGTCCCGAAATGACCTAGTTTGTGTCGAGTGGACGTTAAACCCCATTTCTCTCTCTCCCCTTTAGTTTAATAATGTTATTTGTGTATTAGTAGTCATTATATGTATCAATATTATTTGTATAGAGGTGAAATGAACATGATAATACAACTTATAAATTTAATAATTTATTTTATTTTTATTCATCCATATTAATTATGTAATAATGACTGTACAAAGAATATATATAAATATCAAAGTTACATCTTGGTTAACAGTACAATACCCGTATTTCTATTAAAATAAAACAACCACAAATTTATCTTAATTTCATAATAATTATTTCTTTAAATTTTATCATTATTTTTGTCTTTTTTCATTTTTAATTTAAAAAAAAAAGAATCTACTGTGATTTTAAAAAGATTTATGTTATCTCTCTAAATTTAATCGGGATGGGGGGGGGGGCGTCGTCTTATGTGTGCGCTTTAGATCATAAGGTCTGTCACTGAGACATTTGGTATCGTTTCGAGTGGGGTCGTCTGTCCAACCCCTTTGGGTTTTCTCTGGGGACTCTGCTTTCCTTCCACTGCTAAAGATCAATATAAACACGAGCTAATTACTGAAAATAAAATTGAACCATGAAATCATCCCAGAAATGACCAACTTCGTGGGTTTTCTCCGGGTCCTCCGGTTTCCTCCCACAGCTAAAGACCCCTACGCGCGAGCGAATTATTGAAATAAAATTAAACCATATGTTAGTCCCGAAATGACCTAGTTTGTGTCGAGTGGATGTTAATCCCCATTTGATTTCATGAATGAATCATCACTATGGTAACATCGGTAGATTAAACAAGGTTCACATGTTTGCCTTTTACTGGGACTGAGATTTAGGCTGGGTAGCTTGGATTGCCATAACCAGGGTTTCGCCAGAGTGTCTGGTGGTAATACTGATTACAAATGAACAGCAGTAAATTTAATGAAATGAAATGGGATTTAACGTCCTACTGTTCTGCTCCGACTGGGCTAATGAAGACGGACATACACCAAACAGTGTGCTATGAGTGAAATTTTGCTCAGGCAGTGGCACTATGGCCTACTCTTATATCGAATTCCAAGTGCCAAGGGATCTTTTACGTGCATGCCATTGTGTACACAGGACTTTGTTTTTTGTTCCATCCGAATAACTAGACAGTTAATCTAGGATGCGATCTCTGTTATTCCATTGTCACTCCTGATGGAACGAACGTTTTGCCAGTTTTCTGTTGGGGGAATTGGTGAAGTCCCTGTGGTGGAAACAAAGGGAAGGGGGTGCCCATAGGAGTGGGGCTGCCCTGGCTGGTACTCGATGTCTGATCTGCGGGTGCCAAGATGGTCACTGCAGAGCAGGTGGTGACAGATTATATATCTTGAAGATCTCCTATGGTGTACTCTATCAAAGAATGGAGGACATTGGGAGTCTGATGGGCTTCCGTGTTCACTAAACATGTTCCTTTGCACTTATGTTTGCGCAGATCTTCTTTTCAGCTGTAGTTTTTTTCCGCTGTCTTGACATACTTTCACCTGTAGAAAATGTCTTTCCCTAATATGCCCAAGAAAGTGGAATTTCTTAGACAGGGTTTTACCACAATGGCAACAGACAGCCATAGTTATAGAAGGGTAACTATGACGACATGCGTCAGATTGTGAGGTGACATAGATATAAAGTGCATGTGTAAGACCACTTGACGAAGTAACACCCCTTAGTTAGGTGAGGTATTCAGGTCTGGAGGTATATTCTGTCTCTGGTTTAGTTGATTTACAGTTGGCTTTCAAACATCTGTGTCCTTTATTCCAAGTTTTCACGTTTTCCAGGTCTTTCACTGAAATTTCATTTTTTTTTTTCTAACTTGGGATATTCTTGTGATGTTTGTAGAGGTTGTGTCTTCTTTTGAAAGTTTTGACAGACATTATACCTGCTTACAATCTCCATTTTTAAAAAAACATTAAACACATTGATTTGTCAAAGAATAAATTCCCTAGAAATATAAAAATAATTTGATCATAATTTGGCTTTTAGAGTTCTGATCATTCCTTCTTGAGCCACTGATATAACTAATTTACCATCTTGAGACCAGAATCTCCCCACACTAAATCCGCGACCATTAGCTGAAAATAAAAATTATTGTTTAGAATTAAAGTTGCATTATTCAGGAGCTAAATCTGCCTAATGCAGATCTTTTGTTTGGCCTCAAATGTTTTATAGATCATAAATTAGACATTTATTTACATGCCAAGCCCATAATTAAATCTCTAGATCTTTGGGTGGTTTTGAATTTTAACAGATTTAAATACCATTGGCAGTTAATGATCAAACAATGTATTTATTGTGTTTTACAGTTCAAACAATGAAACAATGTATTTATTGTGTTTTACTATTCAAACAATGTATTTATTTATTGTGTTTTAATGTTCAAACAATGTATTTATTGTGTTCAAACAATGTATTTATTGTATTTTACTGTTCAAACAACAATAATGTTTTATAGAAATTCAATATTCGCACCTGTATGTGGGCTTTCCATTTTATATAACAACCAATCGTCTATTCTGAAGGGATGATGGAACCACATTGAGTGATCTAATGACGACGTGAGGAACTGAAAAGTCCCAGGAATATGTGGTTTGGGATATGAAGAAACAATCGATATATGCATGTCTGAGTAATATGCAGCTACACATTTATTTAAATGGGCGTCGTCACCTAAAATAAAAGAGAAACAAGTGTAATAATATTATGGCTTTGACTAATTATTCCTCACTGTTATTTTACTAGCTATGGTATGAGTTTATTTTAAAATGCAAATTAGAGAGAGAGAGAGAAATGGGGTTTAACGTCCACTCGACACAAACTAGGTCATTTCGGGACTAACATATGGTTTAATTTTATTTCAATAATTCGCTTGTGCATAGGGGTCTTTAGCAGTGGGAGGAAACCGGAGGACCCGGAGAAAACCCACGAGGTTGGACATGCGCCCCTACTCCTTGTCACGTACAACCGGGGATTCGAAACCACGCCAGTCGACTCAATGACAGACTTTATGATACAGCGCGCGCACGCTAACCATTCAGCCATCCAACCCCCCAAAATTCAAATTACAATGTTTATGAAATATTGTGACAATAACAGGTCATTGGGGTCTAAGGCCAAGGAGAAATTTTATTGTCTATTTCACTCATGTGAGGAATATTCCATTGTCCATTTCACTCATGTGAGGAATATTCCATTGTCAATTTAAAGATAGTACTTATGTCATTACGCTTATTAACCAATCATCATAATTAATTAAGTAATATTTGACCAATTAAATAATAGATAGCCAAAGTCAATGCATATAAAAACACTTGAGATGTTCACGATTTTAGATAATCATGTAGATTTGAGAGGGAAAAGATCATGTTGTAGGGAGAGACTGTTGAGGTTCAAGTGGCAACATTTGGGTTGAGAGATAGAGAGAATGACTTTATTTTTTATCTATGTTTGTAACCTATGTATCCAGCTTGATATAAAACTGTAGAAACTGTACTTCTGTTCCTGTCATCTTGTTTGTTAATCATACAATATTTTTGGGACTGATAAAAAGATATACACAACGCGAGATGTTAAAGAAACATTTAAAAATACGTCCTAACCAGTTAAGGAATTACAAATATAACCAGAGACAATACCAGATGATTACAAGGATAATAAAATATGAGAGAGTATGCGTCACACATTGGATGTGGGGAGCTTTTGGGCAATTGTGGTTACCACATCAAACCAGAGGTTCATATAATCACATCATATGACATATTTGATTTGGTTGCCGAACTGCATGGTGCTATACGAGAAATAGAAATGAATGTGAACTAAAGTGGATCAACATCAATGCCTATTAAAATAACATGAGCTGATCTTCACTTGAGGAATTTTGAGAGATTCAGAAAATACTTTTCTGTACCAATCGGGCTAACTAAGATGTATGTGAGAGAGACAGAGAGAGAGAGAGAGAGAGAGAGAGAGAGAGATCCATTCAACACAAACCAGGTCATTTCGGAACTAACATGGTTCAATTTTATTTCAATAATTTGCTTGCACGTAGGGGTCTTTAGCAGTGGGAGGAAACTGGAGGACCCACCAGAGAAAACCCACTAACAACCAAGGAATCGAAACCACGCCAGTTGACTCAATGACAGACCTTATGATACAACACGCACACACTAACCATTCAGCTATCCAGCCCCCACCCACCAACTGTTCCGTTTCAGGCTATCCTTCCTACACAAATGACAAGGGGAAACCACGCTGCTAAATCGCAAAATAACTTTAGCTAGTAGAGAGATCCCACAAAAATCTGAAAACTGATCAAAGGTACCTAGGTTTCTTCCTCTCAAGATGATAAAGACACTCAATAGATAACATTATCGTCTTAATCAATCCACAATTTATTTCAAAGAGGTCAAAGGCAATAAGTCTGGACGTTAAAGTGGAAAAACAACAGATGTTTCAGTTTGTGAATGTGCAGTGCACGCCCTAGACATTCGCCAATAAAGTGATGAAACTGGCAAAAATTTTGGTGAATGAATTTTAGAGTGTGTTATTTCGTGAATCTGCTATTATAATATATCTTCTTTCAATTGACTCGATGGAGTGTCTATTTTTAGTACATTAATTACTCTATCCCAATCCTACATGTCCAAATCAGTCCATGTTACGCATTAAAATTATCAAACACAGTTACGTCCTTTTTGTGTGGCACTGCGTTGTTTACATTCGCTTCACTACAATTTTTCTTTACTCACACAGCAAATAAATAAAACGCACAATAATGACAACTAATACTAGTAAACCCAAAATAAGAAGGACAGATTCCCTTTTCCTTGCTACGACTACTGTTAGTCTAAAATCTACTTCCGAGAGTGAGAGTGTCATCTCTGACTAGGACTGTGTCGATATATATTATCGATACACCGATATGTATATCGATACGTTCCAGCGATATTTATCGATACGTAATATCGTTGAAAAAATTCTCCAGTTTAAGAAAGATCATGAAACCCACGTTTTGATTCCCTGGTTGTACGTGACAAGAAGTAGGGTCGCCTGTCCAACCTTGGGGGCTTTCTTTGGGTCTTTCGGTTTCCTCCCACTGCTAAAAACCCCTACGCGCAAGCGAATTATTGAAAAAAAATTGAACCAAGAGTTAGCCCCAAAATGATCTAGTCTGTGTCGAGCGGACGTTAAACAATATGAGGTATAAAATCAGAGACCACGGTTATCTTATTGATTAGGTTACCTAAAGGTTGTTTTGATCGAATCCATACACAATCCCAGGGTTCTAAACCTGTCTCGTGTCGGTATCTCTGGGGATAACAAGGTCTTACTTCATACGTATCTCTGTCTACCATCATCCTATAACTTCTTAATATACCACGGAAATTTTCATCAGATGGATCTGTACTGTAAAAATACATAACAAAATATAATCAAAAATGCTACCATAAAAATCCATATTCATAACACCCTGCAATATACCACAAACTGCCATATATAACACACTGTCTTATGTAACTCATTACCATATATAATGCACTACCATATATAACACACTGTCATATATAACACACTACCATATATAACACACTACCATATATAATGCTGTGACATTTATAACACACTAACATATATAACACACTACCTTATATAATACCCTGACATTTATAACACACTACCATATATAATACCCTGCCATATATAACACACTGTCATATATAACACACTACCATATATAATACCCTGCCATATATAACACACTACCATAATATAACACAATGTCATATATAACGCACTACCATATATAACACACTGCCATATATAATACCCTGTCGTATATAACACACTACCATATATAACACACTGCCATATATAATACCCTGCCGTATATAACACACTACCATAATATAACACAATGTCATATATAACGCACAACCATATATAACACACTGCCATATATAATACCCTGTCATATATAACACACTACCATATATAACACACTACCATATATAATACCCTGCCATATATAACACACTACCATAATATAACACAATGTCATATATAACGCACTACCATATATAACACACTGCCATATATAATACCCTGTCGTATATAACACACTACCATATATAACACACTACCATATATAATACCCTGCCATATATAACACACTACCATAATATAACACAATGTCATATATAATGCACTACCATATATAACACACTGCCATATATAATACCCTGTCGTATATAACACAATGTCATATATAACACAATGACATTTATAAAACAGAGGTAATAGAGAGAGAGAGAGAAATGGGGTTTACCGTCCACTCGACACAAACTAGGTCATTTCGGGACTAACATATGGTTTTTAAAAATTTTATTTCAATAATTCGCTTGCGCGTAGGGGTCTTTAGCAGTGGGAGGAAACCGGACGACACAGAGAAAACCCACGAGGTTGGACAGGCAACCCTACTCCTTGTCACGTACAACCGGGGATTCGAAACCACGCCAGTCGACACAATGACATACTTTATGATACAGCGCGCGCACGCTAACCATTCAGCCATCCAACCCCCCCACAGAGGTAATATAGGTATAGCTTGTTCTTCAGTCCTTTTCTGCGAATAAATTACTGTTTACCAGTATTATGCGAAAAAAAAAAATTGTCCTTACTCATCAATCCAATTTTGTAATAACTGAGATGTGTCTTTTAATTCTTCTGGTTTTGGTACGTCTGGCATTTTAAACTGATGCTCAAATGAATCAGATTCTGGTTTTTTGAATGAGCATTGCATGGTGAATAAAGTTAGACCATTTTGAATAGCTTTTACACTCCGACTACAATATGTTGAACCTTCTCGAGTTGCTTCAACTTGATATAATATCGGCTGATCTAATCCTGAAATTGTACGATTAAGCTATCATTAATTCGTTAAATTTTATGTGTATATAAAGCATTATCGGACTTGGTCATGTCGAGATATTGATGCAGTGTTGTCTTATGTCTGTCGGGGGGGTTGGATGGCCGAATGTTTAGCACGCACGCGCTGTATCATACGGTCTGTCATTGAATCAATTGGCGGGGTTTCGATTCCCCTGTTGTACGTGACAAGGAGTAGGGTCGCCTGTCCGAACTCGTGGGTTTTCTCCGGGTCCTCTGGTTTCCTCCCACTGCTAAAGACCCCTACGCGCAAGCGCGAATGATTGAAATGGAATTGAACCATGTGTTCATCCTGAAATGGCCTAGTTTGTGTTGAGTGGATGTTAAACCCCATCTCTCTCTCTCTTTCTCTATCTCTTATGCCTGTCTGTCACTCAGAATTATGTTTCAAAGCACTGACAAAACAAGTCACTTATCTCTGCATAGCCTCCGTGGAACATGCAGATAAAAAAAAAATCCAAGATATTTAATTGATTGCCTATATTACTTTACATCCTTTAGGTGGTGGTGAGCGGGGGGCATGATTGATTCTCTAAATATTGTAGGCCTACCTCCTTTAAGAAAGTAACAATGTAAACTATGAAGATTGTATCCAGGTTCAACTGTATCACAGGCAGCAATTAACCCCAGTCCGATCACCTGACCCCCAAAGATGTTCCTTCCTCCTGGGTTAACTTGCTGATATGTACTTCTGAAAAATCAAATCATATGACATGTTTTACTTTAGCAAGCAAAGCCTGTGGAGAATTGAGAATGATTTGGGCAATATATAAACCACAGCATTATGTCCGACAGTAGTGGGTCAAATACCAGTAAGTTAATTAGGACCACGCCTATCTCCACACCCGGATAACCAGTCTAGTACAGTATGTACATGTATGGTGACTGGGATATGTTATAGCTAACATGTATTATAACCAGTCTAGTCTGTATGGTGACTGGGATATGTTATGTACATGTATGGTGACTGGGATATGTTATAGCTAACATGTATTATAACCAGTCTAGTCTGTATGGTGACTGGGATATGTTATAGCTAACATGTATTATAACCAGTCTAGTCTGTATGGTGACTGGGATATGTTATGTACATGTATGGTGACTGGGATATGTTATAGCTAACATGTATTATAACCACTCTAGTCTGTATGTTGACTGGGATATGCTATAGTTAACATGTAATATAACCAGTTATAACCAGTCTAATCTGTATGGTGACTGGGATAATGACCAGAATATGCTCCCTTTTCAAAGTTGATATAAGGTTCCCGTGACATTTTCAGACAAAGGGTCCTAATCCAATACTTAATCCAGCCCTGTACCTATAGAATTTTTTATTCATTAGGCCTATAATCCTATAATTTACATGCTGCCCGAAAAGGGTGGGCTAATAAAATATCTAGGCCTATCTATCTTATCTATCGATCATATTTTGTTAATTCTGTCACCTAAGGTAGAATAAATTGAGCTCTTATAATTTTCTTTGTTTACAATTTATTTAACATGTGCTGTTTAAATGATGAAATTAGACTTTGGACTTATAAAAGTCGCATGTCATTTAGGCTATTTTAATTATTATATTCATATTGAATGTCATAACTTGACAGGCAGGAATATTCACCTATAAAGATACTTTTCAATTTTTTCGAGGTTTAAATGTTGGTTCAGCAAGACATTATCACTTTCTGGATCCATGGCATTAGAAATGGACCGTTGTTAACAGTTTTTGTCACCCCTTCTCTTTCCTTTGTGGTTGTGCTGCAGATTGAATTTACTGTTGTTTCATGAGAAGAGAGGTAACTCTTGTGTAAAAATAAATGTTAACGTCAATATTTTGATAAAATTATAAAACGTTTATTCCTTTCTAATTAACAGTGTACAGCAATATTATTGCGTAAATAGAAAAAATAAAACAATCCATTGAATAGTAAATCATTTGCGTCACGTGTAATTGGAAAATAGTGAAATTATTGTAATTTTAACGGTAAAAAGCCATCACGGTACAATCAGAACTCTTCAATGATTAGTGAAAGGAGGTTCAAAAGTGAAATAAAGAATGGCGGGGTCAGTGGAAACAATATTGTCCAAACTTTTGGAGCCGAATAACACTGTTATTCAAGAGGTAGATATTATAAAAATGACAAAATTCAATCTATCTGCCTTTCTAGAATGACGATCTTTTAGAATATGTAACTGTTGCATCGAGGTATTGGCTAAGACCGCCGTGACATTAGGCGGATCGATTACATATCGGTCGTCGCAGACAACACGTGGTGCAGTGTAGACTTGCCAATTTGATTGACTACTCACTGACTTGTACGAGCCATCAATATTATTCATCTTGCAAAAATCATCGGCATTGAGGAAAATTGTAATTTCTTACGTAAGCATGTATTACTAAACATGATGTCAAAAACTGATTCATGAAATAATAATAAATTCAAACATTCCAAACATTCCAATTAATTGAACAATACCAATACGTCACACTACTACTAGTACTAGGGACCAGGTATCATTCAGATTTGACAAAAAAAGGAAAGAAACTGAGCTTACTATCTAGAATCTAATACTCGTATCCAGTGAATAGATTGCCATCCAGAAAGTGTTAAATGCTGTCGTCAAGATTCATCAAAAAACGTCTAGTTTGTGCTACCGTGTAGTTTAAGAAACACTGTTTAGTTTTGACATTAGTTGTCTAGTTTATGAAACTAAATGGTCATAAACCAGATGACCAATATCAAAACTAAACTAAATGGTCATAAACTAGACAACCAATGTCAAAACTAAACAGTGTTTCTTAAACTACACGGTAGCACAAACTGGACGTTTTTTGATGAATCTTGATGACGGCATTTAATACTTTCTGGATGGCAATCTATTAACTGGATACATGTATTAGATTCTTTCCTTTTTTCATCAAATCTGAATGATACCTAGTGTCAGTTAGATAATATAATGTCATTACAATTGCAGGCCCCCCTTAATGAAAATAATATTGGATGAGGGCAGCTAGCCAAATGGGGTTTTAGGCAAAAAATTTTAAATAAAGAAAGAAATATTTGGCAAGTTAACGCCGGCCGTCCTCAGAGATCCAGACTGTCTCTCAATTGGGCTGAAAGTGCATTGCTGGCAACTTCAAACAGAACATCACACCAAACAAACAAACACAGGGATCAAAATGTTCACCTGTCTAGCTAGTGGCTACCTGTCACGGCGTCACCAACGGTTAACAGGTGGTTTTTTTTTTGGGGGGGGGGGTACGTCTAGCTAGCAGGTAGTAACCATAGTAACTAAAACGGCTACAGACAGAATATAATTTGTTTACTATAGGCACAGGCCTAGGGATATTGACAGACAGTCTAGTCATTGATAGTCCTCTTGTCAGTCTGATAGGATGAGAGCAATTGGATGGCCGAATGGCTAGCATGTGCGTGCTGTATCATAAGATCTGTCATTGAGTCAACTGGCATGGTTTTGATTCCCCGGTTATACATGACAAGGAGTAGGGTTGCCTGTCCAATCTTGTGGGTTTTCTCCGGGTGATCCGGTTTCCTCCCACTACTAAAGACCCCTACGTGCAAGCAAATTATTGAAATAAAATTGAACCATATGTTAATTGAGAAATGACCTAGTTTGTGTCTAGTGGATGTTAAATCTCTCTCTCTCTCTCTCTCTCTCTCTCTTAGAGAGAGGTCCTGTGTACAGGTTGTGCACGTAAAAGAACTTAGATTGGAATTCAACAACGAGGAGGTTAAAATAAAACTGTCTTTGCAAAATTTCCTTTTCAGCACATGCCCGTCTTCATTAGCCCAGTTTGGAGCAGAACAGTAGTTTATGTATGTTAAACCCCATTTCATTTTGTGACCCAATATTTTACCTTTTGTTTTATATATTTACAGGCTACCAAACAGCTGAAAGAAATATTTAAAGATCCAAGTATTCTGCCAGCATTATGTCAAGTCTTGGGAACCTCTACGGTACCTCAGGTTGGTTAAACTAATCTATTACATGTACATCAACACACCCACCCCACCCTCACCCCCAGACTACCAAGCCTGGATATACAGCACGTCACATTGGTGTAGAGGGTTGAGCTTTGATACATGGGGGGGAAGGGAGGGTGGATGGCCGGATGTTTAGCACATGCGCGCTGTATCATAAGGTCTGTCATTGAGTCGACTGGCATGGTTTCGATTCCCTGATTGTACGTGACAAGGAGTAGGGTCACCTGTCTAACCTCGTGCTAAAGACCCCTATGCACGAGCGAATTATTGGAATAAAATTGAACCGTATGTTAGTCCTGAAATGATCTAGTTTGTGTCGAGTGGACGTTAAACCCCATTTCTCTCTCTCTCTCTCTCTGATACCTGTATGTAATGGATACCTTGATTGCATCAACATTTGCAGACTGCTTGCCTTAGGTGTCTCATATGCTGTGTTTTTAAATTTGATTACATATATGTAGGAAATAAACTGTTCAGGTGTTCCTGAAGAACAAAATTCAAATTAGTATGGTAACAATTTCAGTTTTTAGTCAAAGTAATTATAATATATAATACCACATAGTAAAGTTTGTTATTATAACCCATATTGGTAATATTACTACCACAACAGGACACAATGAAGTCGATTTGTTTAAATAGGCCCACAGTAATATTGCCACAATAGTTGACAGGACACAATAAAGTCAAGTTGTTTAAATAGGCCTACTGGTAATATTACCACAATAGTTGACATGGAATATAATATAATGAAGTAAATTAAATTCGTATTTCAGATTCGACAATATTCTGCTGTCCTCATCAGAAGAAAAATACAGAAAAAAAACCATTGGAATTCTTTATCAGATGATATGAAAAATAGGTATGAATGTAACCGCGGTGGAAATAAACATATATAGGGGTGATGATTTTCCGTGATCGCGGAAAAAACGCGGAAATCGCGGAATTGTCCACTCAAAACGGAATTTGAAATCTCACACGGAAAAAGACGGAAAAGACGATATTTGCTGATACTAAACACAAACTCAAAATAATTTTGCAGTTATCCAAGTATTTCATCTTTTTATTCATAAAAATCGGAAATATTGAATGATATCGCGTGGTTTTGTTACTGTCTATTTTAGTATTTCGCTACTTTCATTTCATCATTTAGGAATCATAATTTTAATCGAAACGAAAACCCGTCTTTCATGTATCCCATTATAAAATTACTCTGTAGTTTAACTTGAATTAAACATTGTAATGTATATATATGTCTTTAAAAAAACTTCTGTCACTTCATAAAAGTAAAAATCGTTTCATTTACTTCTTATTTTACTGCCGGGCTCGTGACTCCGCATTAACCACGTGACATCAGAAATATACCGTAGCCTTGTGAATCCAGCCCTTATTCTCGAAGAAACGGTAGTAACTACGAAGATGTCTGGATATATCGCGACTACACCTAACAGCTGAGAAAAATGGCTTCGTCTGCTAAAAAGATGAAACGAGCTCACAAGATGTAATTTTCTGTTATTTAATTCGGGAAACGGGTTTAAAGAATAACTAGTCATTGAACATTACAAGTCATTCACAATTCAACATTTGTTATCATTGGTTTAAAATGATCCGTTTTGTAATAAAAGGCATTTTAAGATGTTTTATTCATTTATTCATAAAATAACATTTTATCTCGAAAAAACGGAATATGGTCAGCTCTGAAACGGAAAATAACGGAATTAAAAATACTTAAAACGGAATTTGCTATTTTCTGAAACGGAAAATCATCACCCCTACATATAACAGAAGTAGAAATACAGGAATTTTAATTTCAGCTGTTTAATGTTATTAAAAGGCCTTTGTTTGATTTGACAACATGTACATGTGGCGTATTTTTTTTATTGACAATCCAGACTAAGTTTATTTTATCTTTAAACTCTTAGATGGTCATGGTGTTCTGATCTACTTGAAATTTAATTTCAACTATTTAGTGTTAGTTTCTTCTGGGGGCATGGATGGCTTAATGGTTTGCACATAAGGCCTGTCATTGAGTCAACTGGCATGGTTTTGATTCCCCGGTTGTATGTGACAAGGAGTAGGGTCACCTGTCCAACCTCATGGGTATTCTCCGGGTCCTGCGGTTTCCTCCCACTGCTAAAGACTCCTATGCACAATTGAATCATGTGTTAGTCCCGAAATGACCTAGTTTGTGTCGAGTGGACTTAAACACTCTCTCTCTCTCTCTCTGTCTCTCTCTGCAAGTCATAAAGGTGTTGAGCAAACTGTGTTTTAGCCATTAGCATGATAAACATGCCCATTCGAGTAAGAGGGACATCTGGGTACAATGGATACCTGAACCCATCTAAGAACAAGAAGGGGTCATACACTTATTAACCTAATGAGGTTGTTTTGCTTTAGTTACCGTAATTTCAATGTTATGTATCGATGCAAAGCTTTTGGAAGAGATTTGTTTGATTTTTTTTTTGTGATTTGATGTTCAAGAAACAGGGTGTAAATGTAACATATACTAACTGATCATAAACAAGGGGGACCCTACTATTTTAATAAATGACACATTTCAGCTTCATGACATGAAAAATAGAAGAAAACCTGACAAGTGATGTTTTAATAACAGACTGACATTTATTTGGAGCCTGATTTTTGTAATGCTTGTTTGATCACATAAACTATGTCAGTCTTTGAATAGATACAAGAGATTTATTTTTATTTTTGTTAGTTGTTTTTTTTTTTTTACAATTCTCATATTTTGGGGTTTGAATATTTCAGTATTCGAGGAAATATTTTACAGCTACTAGTTCAAGAACCAGAGTAAGTAATCTAATTCTGATCAACATAAAATTTGAAAGGTATTGTTTAGATTAGTGGGGTGAAGAAGTCTGTCCCTTAATGATGGCTGTGATCAACTTGCACTGTAACCAGGGTATCATTTAATGCTGTGTATTTAGCCCCAATTTCTATAAATTGGATGGCAGAATGGTTGACGTGTTGAATCATAAGGTCTTTCATTGAGTCAACTGGTGTGATTTCTTTACCCAGTTGTATGTAGGGTCGTCTGTCCAACCTCGTTGGTTTTCTCTGGGTCCTCTGGTTTCCTCCTACGTGCAAGCAAATTATTAAAATAAAATTGAACCATATGTTAGTCCCAAAATGACCTAGTTGGACGTTAAACTCCAATTCTTTCTCCCTCTTTTTGACAATTCGTAAAAATCATCTAATTTAGAGCTAACTGTTTATTTTTATAATGACTGTCCAGTTTTCAGGCGTTTAATTTCAAGATCACTGTTCAAATATAAACAACCCAATTGGTTATATATGTGTGATCATTAATTGGTTCCATTCCATTCTGTATTAACAAAAATATGATGGATTGGACATTTGTCAACATTCTGCATTAGATACTGTCCGAAAAATGAAAAGATAATCTGCGAATTAAAATAATGACATCTATGTAAATGACAATCTGATTAAAACACAGATCTATATTTCATTTTGTTTTTTTTATACTTTTCGATGGCCTACACTTCATGAAGATCTGACAGGTTGTACTAGAAGGTCGTGTCGGGGGTCGTACGAGCAGTTTTTTATCCTATGACGTCAGACATTTGTTTAATCAATCAACATCGATGTTTCTAGTGGTTTACCCACAGTTCTGTGCATCACACGCCAAGAACTCGCCGTAACAGAATGTCGGTAATATAACAACTCTTCCAGATCCTAGTGTAGTAAAGACAAGTAAAACGAAATTTTGAACTATAAAAAAAACGAAACGAAATAGGATCTGTGTTTTAACCAGATTGTGTAAATGAAAAATTTCTAATAAATGTTGTTTATTATTTTAGTAAGAATGTTAGAACTGCTATAGGTACGATAGTTGGCACAGTAGCTAAACATGATCTACCTGAAAATCAATGGCCAGCTTTATTTGAATTTATCACAACTCAAGTTAAAAGTCCTGAAGTTAAACAAGTAGAGGTACGTTGGTTTGTGTACTTTAGTTTTCGGCCTTGGTTCCCCCTTGTCAGTGATGCAGGACGGAGGGCCTGACCAGGACAGCTGTCTAGTCATTCGGATGAGATAAAAAAACCAAGTCCCATGTACACATTGATGTGCACGTAAAAGATCCCTTGACAGTTCGAAGTCGATATAAGAGTAGGCCGTAGTGCCGCTGTCTGGGGAAAATTTCTCTTATAGCACACTGTATGGCGTATGTCCGTCTTCATTAGCCAAGTTCAGAGCAAAACAGTAGGACGTTAAACCCCATTTCATTTTGTGTACTTCACTAGTCTTTCATATCAGGGAGCCACAGTGGCTCCGTGCGTAAGACGTTGGTTCACTAACCTTAAGTTCCTATGTTCGATCCACGTGTTTGCCGAGAAAGTTCATCAGGATTTTCCGGCATGGTTCCCCCTTGTCAGTAGTGCATGACAAAGGGCCTGGCAAGAGACAACATATAGTTGTTCTGATGGGAAGAAAAACCAAGGTCCTGCGTACACATTGGTGTGCATGTAAAAGATCCCTTGTCAGTTGGGATTTGTTAATGAAGAAAAGTAAGACATTAAAAAAAACCTCCCATTTCATTTTAAATGTAAAGCGTGAGATAGTCATTTCTAGTCCACTGTTGTCCCTTATAACCAAACAAGCCTGTAGTTATTAAATGTAAATGTGATGTGCGATATTTGTAGTCATTTATATCCAGACAAGCCTGTATTTATTAAATGCATGTGTGATATTTGTAGTCATTTATATCAAGACAAGCCTGTATTTAAATGTATTATAATATTTCAGCTAGGAATGTTTGTATTGTACACAGTATCATCCGATGCTGGGGAGCAGTTAAAACCTCATCTTATACCAGTCATGCAAATATTAGTAGAAACGGTTAAAAATAACCAGAGTAAAGCTATTCCTTATTATTCTATTAGGTGGGTATATATATATATATAAATATATAATTTATCAATTTTCAATGAAAAGAATGGATGTGAGCTTTAGATCATGTGTCACGTCATTAAAATGAGGGTTAAAAGCATTTTCTCCCAGTCTGAGCCCTAGACCCGAGTTCAACTTTCAGTCACTATTTATGAGTAATATCTTTGATTCAGAAACACAAAACTTTGCACATTGTTTCTTAGTGATGTATTTGATACTTTAAAACAACCAAAGTTTAATAAACAGGGGGATCACGTGGCTAAGTGGGTAAGACGCTAGCTCGCTAGCCTGGAGGTCGGGTGTTCGATCCCTGCATTGGCCGAGAAAGTTCATCCAGATTTTCCGGCGTGGTTCTCCCTTGTCAGTGATGCAGGACGGAGGCGCTGACAATGAAAGCTGTCTAGTCGTTCGGATGTGACGAAAAACCGAGGTCCTGTGTACACATTGGCGTGCACGTAAAAGATCCCTTGGCAGTTGGAATTCGATATAAGAGTAGGCTGTAGTGCCGCTGTCCGGGCAAAATTTCCCTCATAGCATACTGTATGGCGTATGCCCGTCTTCATTAGCCCAGGTTAGGAGCAGAACAGTAGGACGTTAAACCCCATTTCATTTCATTTAATAAACAGTTTTGAGTAAATTCTGGGGGGTTGGGATGGCCTAGTGGTCTAGAGTGCCGCGCTTCGACCTCTGGCTGGCCGGTCACCTCTGGCTTGCGGCTGTGGTTTCGAGCCCTGGTGTGAGCGTATGTGGCATGGAGATAGGGGCGCCTTCTCAACCTCGTGGGTTTCCTCCGGGCACTCCGGTTTCCTCCCACTGCTAAAGACCTCTACGCGCAAGCGAATTATTGAAATAAAATTAAAACCATATGTTAGTCCCGAAATGACCTAGTTGTGTCGAGTGGACGTTAAACCGCATTTCTCTCTCTCTCTTGAGTAAATTCTAAACTTAAGTCTGAGAATGCTTTGTGAACCCGGGGCCTGGTCTTAATTCTCAATTAGCATGTGCACACTATATCATAAGATCTGTTATTGATTCAAGTGACATGGTTTTGACTTACAGCTTGTACATGACAAGGCGTAGGGTTTCCGGTCTAACCTCTAGTGCTGGGTATTTCCACTGCAGTCATGATTCGATGTGTATTGCGATTCAAGTACTACAAGGCGATTGGTGTCACGATTTATAACCAAGTTGATATTTACCAAGAAAACAACAGGATAAAAAAAATGATTGATATTTTTAGTCTCGTCGATGTCGTACAAATAAAACTTTTATATCAAGATATTGATGTGGATTAAAATATGGACTAGGTTACTTCCTGAAGCAACAAAAAAAAAATGTAAAAAAGAATCGTGAAAAATTGATTCAGCGTCGTGCGATTCAATACGCGAATCGTGAGAATGTGAATCACGATAAATCGATTCAATGATATATCGTTTTATCGTGTCAGCACTACCAACCTCATAGGTTTGCTTCCACTACTAAAGACCCCTACGCCCATCCAAATTATTGAAATATAATTGAATTATGTGATGGTCCCAAAATAACCTAGTTTGTGTCGAGTACATGTTAAACCCCATTTTTCTCTCCCTCTCTTTTTATCACAGTCAGATCTGGATTTGATATTGCATGTTGTATTGTGGTTCAGGTTTATCTCACGTTGACCTGAACGTTAACTTGTCCCGATCTTTAAAATCCAGGGTGGGGTGGATGGCCGAATGGTTAACACATGCGCGCTGTATCATACGGTCTGTCATTGAGACAACTGGCGGGGTTTTGATTCCCCGGTATACGTGACAAGGAGTAGGCTCTTCTGTCCAACCTCGTGGGTTTTCTCTGGGTCCTCCGCGCAAGCGATAAATTGAAATAAAATTGAAATATATGTTAGTCCTAAAATGACCTAGGTTGTGTTGAGTGGACCTTAATCCCCAACTCTCTCTCTCTCTCTCTCTTTCTCTCTCTTTTTAAAAATCCATTAGTCCTGGCGAAAATATTTGAATTTGATTAACTTTCAAATTACAATCCTGTGTTTGTGCATGACAAAATCCTTCATGATTAAATTTCTACTGATCATATTATTCCATTTATCAGTCCGTATATGAAAGAATAATTTAATTTTTTAGAACAATGAGTGAATTGGTATATTTAGTTGGAATGGATGAATACGTAAGTTTATGTTATTTTATTTTCTATGTAAATAAAATCAATTATTACTGGGAGCCATGGTGGCTAAGTGAGTAAGAGGCTGGTTCGATCCCTGCATTGGCCGCGAAAGTTTATCAGGATTTTCCGTCGTGGTTTCCCCTTGTCAGTGATGCAGCCACCCATTATTATTAATGATCACTAGTGTTGGTTTTGAGTAATAATTATGTTTAATGGACGAGAGCAAGACATTAAGTAATATATTGTAACAACAAGAGGGCCGTAGGCCTGAGTGTTTTTACAATATATTATGCAATATATTAAACGACAGTGAAATACGTCACGAGAGTCCAATATTTCACTAGTATAAATAATGTACGATTGGCAAGTTCACAGTACGATTATTTGAAATAATGGTACGCCACCATCAAAGGGTGATGTCCCATCTGTATTTTAAAATAAAAGGATTAAAGTTGGTTTGAGTCAAAAGAATTAATTCAATTATAATTTGTCGTCTGCTGTATTTCTAGCTTCAAATTGTAAAGGTAAATAAATAGTTGTCATTGGTTACATTTCTTGTTGTCTTTTAATTTGACAGTTTTAATTAAAAGATAATTATATTTGTTAATTTATTAGAATTATTCAAGTGTTTTTGAAATAGGTTTTTGTTCAAGTAATTTGTCTTTTAATATGTGAACTGTGGATATTTTGACAGGGTGTCGTCGGGTTTATTCAGTTTCGAAAAAATATTTTGATTGGTTCGTTTCGTTCAGGGATTTCTCTTCTTACCAATTCTCAGAACTATTCATCGGACTGTATATCTGACAGACATTTTGTCAAAACATCCACAGATAGTGAGGGATATGAAAGCTGGGGAATTCGATGTTGTTTTAATTTGTACTAATATCTATCATCTATTGAAAGGATAGGATATTTTACTAATCTATTCCAATATCATTTCTGGGTTATTGATTGGACTAACAAATAGAATGTTATCTGTACAAGTCATGGGTTTAATACTGGGTTTGTATGTGACAAGGAGTGGGATTGCCTGTTTAACATCACAAGTTTCCTTACCGACTGAATTACTGGCTGGTCTCTATGTCAATATAATGGATATATGAATAATTTAACTTACATGTTCATAAGACACATGTATGGCATGGTAAATAGATAACTGTTGAAATAAAATTGATATCTGTCTCCCTTTGCGGTGGTTGTGTGGCTGAATAGTATAATGCGGGTGTGTTAGGTCACAAGGTCTGTCATTGTTATCTCTCTCCCTTTGCGAGAGGTCTGTCATTGAGTCAAGTGGTGTGGTTTCGATTCCCAACTTGTACATGACAAGAAGTAGGGTCCCCTGTCCGACCATGTAGATTTTCTCTGGGTCCTCTCACTTCTGAAGAACCCTACATGCATGTGAATTATTGAAAATAAAAGATTGAAGCATATGTTAGTCCCAAAATGACTCTCTCACTATGTGATATTTCGATTTAGCCATCTATCTATGATTTGTATCTGGAATCTAATGATGAATGTAATGTAAAATTTTAACCTTATTAATCTGTATGACACAAACTTAAATTGTTTCAAAAGCCTTTAATTGTTGAATTGTATTTTACAGAAATTTATTCAAGAAAGTATTCCACAGATTTTACTGGTTATTCAAGAATTAATCAAGGTTGATGAGGTAATTTTTCAAATTTAGTAATTTTGAGAAACGTAGTTATGTCAACCAAAATAAATGTAAATTCTTGGTAAATCTGTCAAAGTTATGTGGTCACAAATGAATAAACACAGATATTTTGATACTGTCTCGACCAATAATGTAGCTGAAACACGTTCACCATGTTTGAATACGTAACAATTTTACTCAACATGCCAAATGTTGAAACATTTTCAATTCGTCAGATCTTTGTAAATACTGAACGAAATTGATATTCGTTCAACTGATGATTGAGAGACTTTAAGACAAACTGGCAGAACTGTGAAACGACTCTGTTCTGTGTCACGCGATGGTAATTCCATCAGTTTGAAACACTTACCCTGTTCGATCCCTGCATTGGCCATGAAACTTCATCCAGATTTTCTGACGTGGTTCCCCCTTGTCAGTGATGCAGAACGGAGGGTCTGACAAGGGCAGCTGTTTAGTCGTTCGGATGGGAGGAAAAAATTGGCGTGCACGTAACAGATCCCTTGACAGTTGGAATTCGAAATAAGAGTAGGCTGTAGTGCCACTGTCTGGGCAAAATTTCCCTCATAGCACATTGTATGGCGTATGCCCCATCTTCATTAGCCCTGTTCGGAGCAGAACAGTAGGACGTTAAACCCCATTTCATTTTCATTTCATTTCATTTCATTTCCATTATCAATCTGAACAACAGAACACAGTTGATAGCCATTATACATATGCCACGTGATCCAAACATTACAGGTCATACTTCTTTTTCTATCAAAAACTCAATGTATAAACAAATAAACCAAAGTAAAATGGCTTTGACATCCTAGAAAACCTACATCGCCTCAGTGTTGTCTGTGTAATGACACAGATCTAACCCATTCACTTGACACAGAAAAGTTCATGGAGGCTGTCATCTTGGAACTATTATGTGGTTAGGTCAATCTTTATTGTGTAACAAAAGGTAGAAATTTTTGAACTTGGAATTTCTTCATTATTTTACTTGAATGCATTTTAATATATTTATTTAATAATTAAGACGAATTTTCAAAATAGTCACCACATTACCGAGCTAAATAGAGGTTCATTGCATTTGCAATGTAAATACAGCTGTCATTTAGTTTTTGAAGCCCCATTTATTTGTGTAATATATATTTTCAGGATGAAGCTTGTGAATGTATGGAGTTATTTGATGAATTATTGGAATCTGAAGTGGCTGTTCTTGTACCACATGTTAAAACTGTCGTAGAATTCTGTCTACAGGTAGGCTTTTAATCTAGAATCTTCAAGTTCTCAGTAAACATACATTATTTGGTCTGCCACTCGAAAATAGTCTGTGGGAATATATGAGAATAAATGACAATGACTGAAATAGTTTGATTCCCAAATATATAGAGTAAACAATAAAGTGGGGGACGCCTCGGGACTACATCTTATCGTTAAATGCCATCCGGTGCGAATGTTCTTAAAGTGTGAATCCATTTGAATTCATTGGCTTTCCTTACGGCATCATTTTTGCCGTTATCTGGGTCAGTATTAAAAAGCTCTATAATTTTAATCATAACATTTCTACTCGTATGTCTATCTAAGTTGAAGTGTAGTGCGACCGGCTTTAGTCTGTTGTGTCTAATATCTGCATAGTGTTCCTTTATTCGTTTTGATAAGACACTTTTGCTTTCTCCTACGTACGTATTGTTTTTGGTGGAGCATGTTAATAGGTAGACTATGTAGACAATTATAGCCCGTGTGCCAGGAATATTTCTTGCCAGTTTTACCACTAATAAAGTAGTTATTTTGGTCTAATTTGTAGCAGATATCACAGTCCTTCTTGATACATTTTTCAAATAGAGTTTGAAACGTGACTCCGCTGGTTTGCGGGTCCCGTGGTGGATAGATGGACCTTTCTTTCATCAGCGTATCCTTCAGAATAGAATTCCTCCTAAATGCCATGATTGGTTATCCCAAATATGTAGAACATTTTAGTCTTGCATGGAAAAGATCCCTTAGCACATGAAAATTGATATAATAGTAAGCCGCGGCGCCACTGTCTGGACAAAATTTGCCATGTGGCACACTGCATAGTGTATGCCTGTCTTCATTAGAGCAGAACAGTAGGATGTTAAACCCCATTTCATTTCATATATATCGTACAGGTAGCTGTTTAATCGAGTCTTGTTTTATATTTTACAGGTAGCTGCTCAATCTAGTCTTGGAGACGCTGTTCGTGTTAAAGCTATGTCTTTTATTAGCTCGCTTACAAGAATGAAGAAAAACGTACGTATACTTTTAAGAATCTTGTAGAACATTATGATGCTGGAAGTAAATACATAATTTTATAAACCGGCTTGATAAACAAGTTTAAACCATTGGCGCTTTCGACCAATGAAACGATCCGTTACGTCAAGGAGGGGTTAATAGCCTATCATGACATACAAGTTTAAAATATTAGTGCTTGTCCATGTCGTAATACGCTTAAACCAGGTACTTAACTTGAGGGATAACGTAAACTTTTATTGAGATGACTGATACTGATTTCTGTGGTGCAGATTGGAGGGCCTCACAGGGAACATTGTCTAGTCATTCAAATGGGATAATAAAAAAAGGTTACGTTGGCGTTGGCTGTGCATGTAAAAGAACCCTTTGCCTTGACAGTTGGAATTCAAAAAAAAAAGACTAGACCGTAGCGCCAATGGCCAGACAAACATTTTCTCATGGCACACTGCATGGCGTGCACCTGTCTTCATTAGCCCAGTCGGTGCAGAAAAGTAGGATGTTAAACCCCATTTCATTTTATTTAACTTCCTAGATAATTTAGAAGTCACATTGGGGGCTGTAGAAACACTAACCGTACTCCATTTCTTGCACAACAACTGTCAATACTATCGTATCCATTTAGATATAGCGCCAAATCATCAAAATGCAGGAAATAACAGGGTTGTCGCTATGCCTTCGATTCTCTTGTTTGTCTTAATATTATTTAATTTTTTTTGTTTCAGGCAATACTCAAACATAAGCTGGTGGATCCAATTCTTCAAGTTATATTTCCTATTCTATGTGCTAATGAAGATGAAGATGATGATGAGGATATAGAAGAAATAGAATCTCATACACCTGTGCAATACGTACCACAGGTATAAAAACAGGGGCAAATAACTCTACTCGACTACAATCAGGAATAAGACTAGTCATTAACTCACTAATTGATAAAAGTGTTAAACCATGACGTGTCTCAGAGGTGGAAAACAAACTATAGTCATGGGTAGCAAAATCAGAAGAAACAAATACACATCTAAAAGGGATCTATTGTGGTTGATACAACCAAGTTAAACAGAATTAAGTCATATAAAGTTGATTTATATAAATATTTATATGTCATTGTTTGTAATTTTAGGTTTTAGATACCATGTCCTTACATTTACCTCCCAAGAAATTTATTCCTAATCTAGTAAGATATTTCTTTATCATATTCTCTTTTGTAATTCTAATTGTTCCCAGAATTCTGGGCACTATTGATATTTGTCTATCAGTGCAACTGCCTGTCTGTACATCATCCTTGCTGTTGACTTGTTATAGGGGATATCAGCCTTGCTGTTGACTTGTTATGGTGGGGGACATCATCCTTGCTGTTGACTTGTTAAGGTGGGGGACATCATCCTTGCTGTTGACTTGTTATGATGGGGGACATCATCCTTGCTGTTGACTTGTTATGATGGGGGACATCATCCTTGCTGTTGACTTGTTATGATGGGGGACATCATCCTTGCTGTTGACTTGTTATGATGGGGTACATCATCCTTGCTGTTGACTTATGATGGGGGACATTATCCTTGCTGTTGACTTGTTAAGGTGGGGGACATCATCCTTGCTGTTAACTTATTAAGGGGGGGGACATCAGCCTTGCTGTTGACTTGTTATGACGGGGGACATCAACCTTGCTGTTGACTTGTTAAGGTGGGGGACATCATCCTTGCTGTTGACTTGTTATGGTTGGGGACATCATCCTTGCTGTTGACTTGTTATGGTGGGGTACATTGGCCTAACTGTTGATCTGTTATAGTTATTAAATGTTATATTTGGGAAATGTGAAGGTTTTTAAGATTCAGTAGTTTTATAGAAAGTTAATTCAATGTGAAGACTGTGTGTGTTTTTTTTTTTATAAGGGGTTGGGTGGCTGGATGGTTAATGCATGTGCGTTGTATCATAAGGTCAGTCATTGAATCAAGTGGCGTGGTTTTGATCCCCTGCTTGTATGTGACAAGGAGTAGGGTCTCTATCCAATTCTGTGAGTTTTTTCCGGGTTCCCTGGTTTCCTCCCACTCCTAAGCGACTTAAAAAAATCAGTTCAGCATCTTGCGATTCAACCATATATACTAACCCCATATGTTAAAGATCCATACGCCCATGCATATTATTGAAATAAAATTGAACCATATGTTAGTCCCGAAATGACCTAGTTTGTGTCGAGTGGACGTTAAACTCTCTCTCTCTCTCTCTCTCTCTCTCTCTCTCTCTCTGTTTTAATAGATTAATTACAATATTTCTACTTTAAAAGGGGGACATTGCTTTGTGTAAAATTTATTGTTAATTGTACGTTTATTAAATTACTATAGATGCCATTAATAGAAGGAGCATTAGCCAATGAAAATCCTTGTCACAGAAAGGCTGGTTATATTGCGATGGCTGTAATTGTTGAGGGCTGTGCTGATCATATCATGAACAAGTAAGTGTTTGTGGGGAGGGGGTTTCAGTGATCGTGGTAACTAACCCACGTTAGCGGAGAAAGTTCCTCTGGATTTTTCAGCCTGGTTTAGTCTTGTATGAGGTGCTGAAATGAGGTTTAACGTCCTACTTTTCTGCACTGACTGGGCTATTGAGTTTCCGACATGGTTGCCCCTTGTCAGTGGCGCAGGACGAAGGGCCTGACAAGGACAACTGTCTAGTTGTTTGGATGAGATGGAAAACCGAGGTCCCGTGCATACATTGGTGTGCATGTTAAAAATCCCTTGGCAGTTGGAATTCGATATAAGAGCAGGCCGTAGTGCCGCTGCCTGGGCAAAAGTTCCCTAATAGCACACTGCATGGCGTATGCCCCTCTTTATTAGCCCAGTCCTAGCAGAACAAGTTGTGGATGGAACAGAAATTCAAAAGAGAGAGAGAGAGAAATGGGGTTTAACATCCACTCGACCCAAACTAGATCATTTCGGGACTAACATGATTAAATTTTATTTAAATAATTTTCTTGCGCATAGGGGTCTTTAACTGTGGGTGGAAACTGAAGGTCCCGGAGAAAAACCCAAGATGTTGGACAGGCAACAGGAGGATCAAAACTACACCACTTGAATCAATGACAGACCACCCACCCACCCATAAATTCAATTCTCATGTACACTGTCCGGGGGGGGGGGGGGCACGGTGGCTAAGTGGGTAAGAGGCTGGCTCGCTAGCCTGGAGGTCGGGTGTTCGATCCCTCCATTGGCCGAGAAAGTTCATCCAGATTTTCCGGTGTGGTTCCCCCATGTCAGTGATGCAGGACAGAGGGCCTGACAAAGACAGCTATCTAGTCGTTCGGATGGGACGATAACCGAGGTCCTGTGTACACATTAGCGTGCACATAAAAGATCCCTTGACAGATGGAATTTGATATAAGAGTAGGCCGTAGTGCCGCTGTCCGGGAAAAAATTTCCCTCGTAGCACATGTTATGACATATGCCCGTCTTCATTAACCCAGTTCGGAGCAGAACAGTAGGACGTTAAACCACATTTCATTTCATGTACACTGTTTGGGAAAACGGTTTATGCCTGTAGGGATGGGATGGCCGAATGGTTAGCATGTACGCGCTGTATCATAAGGTCTGTCATTGACTCAACTGGCATGGTTTTCGATTCCCCAGTTGTACGTGACAAGGAGTAGGGTCGCCTGTTCAACCTTGTGGGTTTTCTCCGGGTCCTCCCTTTTCCTCCCACTCCTAAAGACCCCTACGCGCAAGCGAATTGTTGAAATAAAATTAAACCATATGTTAGTCCCGAAATTACCTAGTTTGTGTCGAGTGGACATTAAACCCCATATCTCTGTCTGGTTCGTGCAGAAAAGTAGGACGTTAAACCCTATTTCATTTAATTTCATAAAGTTAGAAATGTCTGACATACTAGTTCATTTGTACCTGAGATTTTTTCAGAAACAACTAGAAGTGTTATTTCCATACCAGGTGTAAATAAATAAAACATTGATTTTCTTTCAGACATTTAAAAGCTGTATTACACTGTGTTTGTAAAGGACTCAACGATTCTGATAATACTGTTCGAAACGCTGCTCTTTTCGCTTTGGGGCAATTTTCAGAACATTTACAGGTAATTCTATAATTCATTTCATAACTTTTTATACATCCACCCACATTAAAATTTGGTAAAGACAGACATCAGTCCCAATCTGTCACAAATAGCTATCTTGTCTTAATTTTCTGGGGGGGGGGGGGTGAATGGCCGAAGGGTTAGCACTTGCGCGCTGTCTCATAAGGTCTGTCATTGAGTCAACTGGCATGGTTTCGAATCCCTGGTTGTACGTGACAAGGAGTAGGGTCGCCTGTCCAACCTCACGGGTTTTCTCCGGGTCCTCCGGTTTCCTCCCACTGCTAAAGACCCCTACGTGCAAGCGAATTATTGAAATTAAATTGAATCATGTGTTAGTCCCGAAAAAGGACCTAGTTTGTGTCAGGGGATGTTAAACTCCATTTCTTTCTCTTAATTTTCTGGGCAAAATTCCTCAAAAGAAAATGTCAGTTTGCTTCGTACATCACTACAAACATATGTATATATAGCATCGGTTATCCAATGAAGATTTTATTTCCAAATCTGGCCGTTGGAATTAGAGTCACGTTTTATTAGAATTATCTCTACCTTATATCATATTCTCAAGACACTTAATTCCTTTCATTCTTTATTCCTTAACGTTATTTATTTTCAGCCTAATATCAGTAAATTTGCATCAGAGTTACTGCCCCTATTGTTTCAATATCTGGGTCAAATTAGTCAAGAACCAGATAAGAATCCTAAAGGGCTGACAAAGATTTATTATGCACTGGAAGTTTTCTGTGAAAATTTAGGTAAGTTATGTTGGTATGTGTGACTTGATGCTTCTGTCAGGAACTGAACTATCAACCTGCTAAAGGGAATGCAACAAAGTCTCTAGATTATAATGCGTGGATCAAATATCATTGAATTAATTTATCACGATTCACCTTTCCTCTATATTGAATCACAAGATGCAAATCGGAATGCTTGACATTTTCTGCCTTATTTATGAGTTATTCTCTAAATTTTATAGATTTCGGGTACAAAAAAAAAAATCAGTCAATTGAAAAATTCTTTCTTCATTATAATAATACTGTATTTATATAGCGCCTATTATTCAGTAAACTGCTCAATGGCGCTGAGTTATCTGTCACAGGAAATGATCTAATATTGAAGTAAAGAGATGAGCCTCTTAAATCTTCGATAGTTTCTTCTTCTTTTACATACTGAGGTGGCTTGTTGATGTATATTTTATTTTAACAGAGAAAGAAATCTTGCCATATCTTCCCCCACTAATGGACCATTTACTTGCTGTGTTGAAATCCGATCATATTCGATCTAAAGAATTAGCTATTTCTGCTATTGGTGCTACAGGTAACATTATATTTTATATTTTATTTGCTGGGTAGTCGAGCGTCAATAGCATTGGACTGGCGTGGACCAATGAGATCCTGTTCAAACCTGGTTATTTCATATAAGCAGCTTTTGAACCTGTGACGTCAGACATTGATTAATCAACCAGCGTTGACGTTTCTAGTGGTTTACCTACAGTTCAGTGCATCGAACGCCAAGAAGTCACTGTCAGACATCTTCATTGGCTAATCCCTCATAATAACTCGAACGTGGCTTATGTAACAACTCTTCCAGATCCTAGTGTAGTAAAGACAAGTAAAACGAAATTTTCAACTATAAAAAAACGAAACGAAATAGCATCTGTGTTTTAACCAGATTGTTTAAATTTGATAATGAGCATTTTCTGCTCAGTTTAAACCCACTGATTGCTCGTTGCTTGATAATTTTTGAATCATTGTTGTTTTATTTTATTCTTATAATGAACTGTATCCAAATTGGGTCATTTATTACAGCTACTGCAGCTAAAGATGCCATGAAACCATATTTTAATGAGATAATTGAACAATTAAAAAGTTACTTGATTGCCAGGAATTCAGAAGAAATGAAAAAATTACAGCTTCAAACAATAGGTTAGTACTTTCTATATTTTTTTCAATAATTTGTCTTAGAAAGACCAACATATCTTTCAGCAATAGAATGATCAGGGGAGCCGCGGTGACTCAGTGGTAAGACACTGGCTCGCTAACCAAGAGGTCTTGGGTTCGCTCATCGTGGGGGACACTCATTATCAAAATTGAATGTTCAGCTTTAAACTACAAATTACATGATTACATTTTTAAACAAAGATTTCATATTAAACGAAGGATGAAAGAAATTATTGCTAGATACACATGATTAAATGATACATGGGTTACCTATGTACTATATAAATTTGTCAATAATAATAATAATTTTTGGTATTTTAGCCAGTAATTTGTTTAATGATTTCAGATACATTGGGTATTTTAGCCAGTAATTTGTTTAATAATTTCAGATACATTGGGTATTTTAGCTAGAAATTGTGGTAGTGACATATTTCAACCATTAGCTAAAGAATGTTTACAACTTGGTTTAAATTTACTAGAGGCTGCAGATGATCCTGATTTACGTAGATGTGTGTAAGTAGATACCATTCTCACTTGATTTCACACCTTGTCAGTGATGCAGGACAGGGGGCCTGACAAGGACAGCTGTCTAGTCTTTCGGATGGGAAGAAAAACAGGGGTCCTGTGTACACATTGGCCTGCACGTAAAAGATCCCTTGATAGTTGGAATTTGATATAAGAGTGGGCGTAGTGCCGCTGCCCAGGCTAAATTTCCTTCATAGCACACAATATGGCGTATGCCCGTCTTTATTAGCCCAATTGGAGCAGAACAGTAGGACGTTAAACACCATTTCATTTCATTTCGTTTATTTTTCATCTGTTGTTGTTTTTTTTCAGTTATTCTCTTTTTGCCGCTATTTCTAATCTGTTGAAGACGGAAATGAGCGAATACTTAGAAAAGATCGTAAACTACATGTTACTATCGATCAAGTCTAAAGAAGGTGTAACTGTAAGTAATAGACTAGATTACTAGAAATATTGATGGAGTTGGGGATTAGATCCCGGTATTGGAACGTTACTTGGAATTATTCATCCTTGTTCCTTTCTTCTTAGGGGGTTGGGTGGCCGAATTGTTCCCTCTTATCAAAGGGCGTCTGGCAAGGAAAAGTGTTGATGTGTACGGATAGCGCCCATTTGGTGCAAAGTTAAACCCCATTTTATTTCATTCAATTTCTTACGAAGAGACAAATCGAACGAGCTATAACCATTTTAAGATTGAGATTTTAATTAATGATTGAGTATTTTATATTGTTTGTGTTGTCTTCTCTTTTTGTGGGTGGCTTGTTTGTGAATCATACTTTCGTGAACACAACTCGTGAAAACTCTTCACAAACCAAATGGGTTGTTTTAGACAGAGTCCAACTTGTTATTTTACATATTTTATTTTTCAGACCCATTTTAAAGAAGACACTGATGCTATAGCTGTGTTTAATGAAGATGATTTAATAGATGAAGAAGATATCGGGGATGAGGATTCAGATGATGACGAGGGTCAAATAGAAGGGTGAGTTTTAGGGGTTACAAGGGGTCACTATGTAATACATATATCACGTATAGGTAAAGAGCATAGTAGGTAGTGAGTTGCATTTGTAAATTCACTGTTAAATGTTCCATTTTAACTGTAGTAACCAGGCACGAGTTTCTGGGCGGGGTCATGACACTGGCCTAGAATGGTCTGGGTTTGTATCCCAGCACGGACCAAGTAAAATCTTTCAGGTTTTTTCTCTTTCTCTCTCCCCCCTGACCGTAGAGAATGCTTATTTAGATGTGTTTTATATATTACAGTGTTACAGTAGAGAATGCTTATTTAGATGAAAAAGAAGATGCTGTCTGTTCATTGGGAGAAATAGCTGAAAATGTTGGGTAATTATTTCTTCTTTTATACTTCAAATTGTTGATAAACTTTTATGCACTATTCGTTAATTGAGGGGTTTAGAATCCCTTTGGGGGGGTGGATGGCCGAATGGTTAGCCTGTGCGCGCTGTATCATAAGGTTTGTCATTGAGTCAACTGACATGGTTTCAATTCCCCGGTTGTATGTGACAAGGAGTAGGGTCGCCTGTCCAGCCTCGTGGTTTTTCTCCCTGGGTCCTCCAGTTTCCTCCCACTGCTAAAGACCCCTACGCGCAAGCTAATTATTGAAATAAAATTAAATCATATGTTAGTCCCGAAATGACCTAGTTTGTGTTGAGTGTAAGTTAAACCCCATCTCTCTCTCTCTCTCTCTCTCTCTCTCTCTCTCTCTCTCTCTCTCTTTGAGGGGCATTTATAGCAATTGACATTCGTAATAAACACAGAAACACATCTTTTGCTTGAAAACGTTGAGGGAACCCTCAACGAAACGTCTCTTTAATTAAAGTTAAAGTTACTAGGTGGTTCTGATTTATCTGATTAAATTCCTTGGCAGTAGAACAGTATGACCATAAACCCCTTTTTATTTCATAGTTTGAACTACCTTTTGTTTTACTATGAAAAATAATTTTATTTCCAGTGCACCATTCATGCCATTCCTAGAACAGAGTTACACACAAATATTTGATTTATTAGATTATCCAGCAGAAGGCATAAAGAAAGTGACTATAGCCTCTCTCTCCCAGTTCTGTATTTGTGTCTATAGAGTCTGTATAGAAACGGGTCTAGATCAGACAGGTATGACTAATAAAATTATATTTCTTTATCTTGATTAATGATGCATTATGTAAGATTTAGATAAAGAGTTGTCCGTTCTTGCTATAATAGTTCTCAAGTCTCACTGATGTTCTAATCCAAGTAAGGGGGGTTGGATGGCCGAATGGTTAGCACGCGCACGCTGTATCATAAAGTCTGTCATTGAGTCGACTGGCGTGGTTTCGAATCCCCGGTTGTACGTGACAAGGAGTAGGGTCACCTGTCCAACCTCGTGGGTTTTCTCCGGGTCCTCTGGTTTCCTCCCATTGCTAATGACCCTATGCGCAAGCAAATTATTGAAATAAAATTAAAACCATAGGTTAGTCCCGAAATGACCTAGTTTGTGTCGAGTGGACGTTAAACCCCATTTCTCTCTCTGTCACTGATGTTCTAATCCAAGTAAATCAAGTCAATCCGATGATCTAGAGAGTTGATTATAGGCTTTGTCATGTGAATAAATGTCTAAATAATAATTTATATAACATTTGAAGCTAAAATAAAGACCTGAAATGAGCAGATTTTGCTCTTACATAATGCATCTTTAGTTTTTATACGTCCACATGAAATAAAATTTTGTTCAGGAGTTATGGCCCTTTAATTGGGGTAACTTTGCTTGTTAATATCTGAATACCCCAACGTCAAGGAAGACCTTAGTGTAATTTTGTCCACCATGAGTTTAAAATCACACGTAATTAATTAGACGTGCATGTAAATAAAACGTTATTCATTAAATGTGCTTTGAAATAAAACGTTATTCATTAAATGTGCTTTGAAATAAAGCGTTATGATACCCGGGTTACAGTGTTATGTCCAGGCTTGCTACTAAAATATCCACTAATATTAATAGAATTAAAGATACATTATGGGAGATTCGATAACGAGTTGGCAGTTCTCACTATAATAATTAAAAACTAGATAACGTTAAGGCAATTTGCTGAAAATTTCATTCAAATTGATCCACTATGAACCGAGAACTAAGCGAATAAAATTTCTGCCTAGCCTCGGTCATCATTACTAAAGTCAGTACGTTAAACAGCATAGTCTCGATTAACCAATTTAATCGCAGGCTAGCGATGACATCAAGAATTGATTATGGTCTGGATAAGTTAATTAATAGTTCAGATAACATTTCAGACCTAAAGAAAGGGGATCACGTGGCTAAGTGGGTAAGGCGCTGGCTCGCTAGACTGGAGGTTGGGTGTTCGATCCCTGCATTGGCCGAGAAAGTTCATCCAGATTTTCCGGCGTGGTTCTCCCTTGTCAGTGATGCAGGACGGAGGGCCTGACAAGGACAGCTGTCTAGTCCTTCGGATGATACGAAAAACCGAGGTCACGTGTACATATTGGAATGCACGTAAAAGATCCCCTGGCAGTTGGAATTCGATATAAGAGTAGGCGATAGTGCCGCTGCCCAGGCAAAATTTCCCTCATAGCACACTGTATGGCGTATGCCCGTCTTCATTAGCCCAGGTTAGGAGCAGAACAGTAGGACGTTAAACCCCATTTCATTTCATTTCTCAGACCTAAAGAAAGACCGGCAATAGACAGATTTAGCTCTTGCATAATGTATGTTTAATATAAATGTATTTTCAGCTTTAAAGACTATGTTAAATGCTATAATACCACGATTCTTAGAGATTATCCAATCCGATATTGATAGAACTGTGGTGATGTCAGCTGTTGATTCAATCGAGGAATTATTGACTAAAATAGGTCAACCAGTATTAGAAATGACCGGGGCAACGAATCCTATACTTACAGCCATGAAAAAAATATTTACACATAAGGTATTTATCTCATATTCAAATCTTTTACTGTGGCTCAGTGCATAAGACGATGGGTTGCTAGGCTGGAGGTCCCGGAGGTTCGCTCCCACTGTTGGCGGAGAAATACTTACTTGTATGGTGCAGGATGAAAGGCCTGACAAGGACAGCTGTCAAATAGCCCGTTCAGACGCTTATTTTTAAACCAGTTCATAATCGCTGGGGTTTTTAAGACAGCATCGTGTTGCGTTCACACATACTATAAGCCAAACCAGTTTAACTATTCTGACCTCTTCGGTCGGAGGTTAGAGTTAACTACGCATGGGCAGCTTCATATTCTTTATTCGGTTCTCGCACGCCAAACCAGTTTAACTATTCTGACCTCTTCGGTCGGAGGTTAGAGTTAACTACGCATGGGTAGCTTCATATTCTTTATTCGGTTCTCGCACGCTTTCGATAACACTGTCTAACCCCAATATTTTCACAGGAATGTAACTTGCTGTGTACTGCACATGCTCAAAGCAAGCTCGATCCACGGATTTAAAGCCAAACTGTTCAGACGGCTAAGATGAACCAGTTTAAAATAAAAAGCCTTCTCGAAGACAGGTCGCGAGCTGGGTTTTTTATACGCCCACATTGAAATGTGGTCGTATATTGTCGTCACCCCCGTCCGTCCGTTTGTCCATCCGTCGGTCCGGCGTCCACAATTGCTTGTGGGCGTATGTTTCGTTGCCTGGCAACCTATCTTTAAACTGGTTTATTTGCCCCACATTTGCGTTCAGACACTTAAGTTAAACTGGTTTAACGATCCCCAGGGTTTTTAAACCAGTTCAACTTAAGCGTCTGAACGGGCTATAGTTGTGTGGATTGCTTTAGCTCTATATTTAAGTTTTAGGTGGGGGTGGGGGAGGAGAAGGAGATAGTGGTCGAATGGTCTAACGTGTTCCCTTCGTATCATTAGTTTCTGCCATTGAGTCAAGTGGGTTGGCTTTAATCCCACACTTGTACATGCCAACCTTATTTCTTTTCTAGGGGATCACGTGGGTAAGACGCTGGCTCGCTAGCCTGGAGGTCGGGTGTTCGATCCCTGCATTGGTCGAGAAAGTTCATCCAGATTTTTCAGGGTGGTTCTCCCTTGTCAATGATGCAAGACGGGAGGGCTGACAAGGAAAGCTGTCTAGTCGTTCGGATGGTACGAAAAACCTAGGTCCCGTGTACACATTGGCGTGCACGTAAAAGATCCCTTGGCAGTTGGAATTCGATATAAGAGTATGCCACAGTGCTGCTGTCCTTCAGTTTCCCCCATTCCCCCACTGCTATCGATCCCTACGCACAAGGGAATTATTGAAATAAAACTGAATCTTATGTTTGTCCGGAAATGACCTAGTTTGTATTGAGGTCTGTTAAACCTCTATTTCTCTAACTTTTATTCTTGTATGTTTTGACTTTAAATAAATAAAAGATGACATGTATTATCTACTCACTAGGTGGCGTGTCAAGATGATGAAGATGAAGATGATGATCAACAAGCCGAGTATGATGCCATGTTGATAGAATCAGCAGGAGATGTTTTACCTACGATGGCTAAACTTGTCGGTGGTTCAGAATTCCTACCATTCTTCAGAAGTTTCCTCACAGATTTGCTCAAAAGATTGGTGAGTATAAATCGTCAAGATACATCTTATACAAGGCTGAATTATTTGTTGTTGTTAATCAGCTTTTATTCATACTTCCGTCTGCATTAGCCCAGGGTCGCGTGTTCATTCCCTAAATTGGCAGAGAAAATTCATCTGGATTTTCCAGCATGATTCCCCCTTGTCAATGGTGCAGGACAGAGGGCCTGGCAAGTGTCAAAGTATAGTCGTTCTGATGCAACGAAAAACAGAACCCTTGGCAGTAAAAATTCAATATAAGAGTAAGCGGTAGTGCCGCTGTCCATGCAAAATTTCCCTCATAGCTCACTGTATGGCATATGTCCGTCCATTCGAAGTAGAGCAGTAGGACGTTAAACAGGTAAACCCCATTTCATTTCACAGTCTTGGACAAGGTTCGCACACTACTTGAAACTCCTTGAAAATCATGGGAAAATGAAAACATGATTTCTAGTACTGGAAAATCCTGGAAAAACAATCCTTGAAACTCCTGGAAAATCAACATTTGTGGTTTCGCTATATATTTTAAGATATAATACTGAACGTAGTCATCGAATGTTTCTTCAAAAGTTCACAAGTTCATGGTAAATAATCTGGTAAATAACTCCTGAAATTTTAAATGTTCTGAGTTGTGCACACCCTGTTGGAGACAACCGATGTAATAGTTATCAATATTAAATAACTAAAGATTAAATTTTCTTTTTAACAGAAAGCTACAAGTTCCGTCCCAGAAAAATCTTTTGCTGTAGGAACATTAGCAGAGGTTGTGCAAGCATGTGGAGCTGCCTCGGCAGAATTTGTCGATACTCTTTATCCGTTATTTATGAAACATATACAAGATGAAGATGAGGAAGTGAAGAGTAACGCTGTTTTTGCTGTGGGCGTTTTAGCTCAATATGGTGGTGAAAAGCTCCATAGGTAGGCATATTGTATTAACTCCTTCGTTTGGGGTTGCTATGGTCCTATGATCATTTCTAGTCCAAAGGATTGGGTGCTCCGGTTTCCTCCCACTGCTAAAGACCCCTATGCGCAAGCAAATTATCGAGTGGACGTTAAACCCCATTTCTCTCTCTCCAAAGGATTGGAGTGACAATGCACATGCTTGATGACCATTCACAATTGGTTGAAATGGTGACCAGATTCCTGTGACAAATTCTGTTATAGTCTTAATAGAATTGGAGTGACTATGCCCCTGCAAGATGACCGTTTGCTATTGGTTGCTATGGTCATCAGATTCCTGTGTCAATTTCTATTATAGGCTAGTTATATTGGTTACTGCTGGAAATGTTAGATCATGTTCCCTTCAGAATTGCAATGGTTACTAAATTCCCTGTGATATTTAAGAAATTGTTTTGATTTCAATAAATTCCCTGTGATATTTAAACATGCATTATGCAAGAGCAAAATCTGCTTATTACAAGTCTTTCTTTAGGCCTGAAATGTTATCTAAATTATCAATTAGACATTAATTAACTTATCCAGACCATGATAAACTCTCGATGTCAAGGCTAGCCTTCGATGTAGGCTGGATTAGATTCCTATATGCCGCTAACGGCCAAAGATAATTAAATCAGAAAAAGTAGATAATCGAGACTATGCTGTTTATATTAATGATTTTAGTAATGATAACCGAGACTATGAAAAAATTTCATCGACTACTTTCTCGGCTCATAGTGGATCAATTTGACTGAAATTTGCAGCAAATTACCTTCACACTTTCTAGTTTTTAACTATTATAGCAAGAACTGCCATCTCTTTATCTTATCTCCAATAATGTATCTTTAAGAAATTGTTTTGATTTCAATAAATCAGCTGTGATATTTAAGAAATTGTTTTGATTTCAGTAAATTCCCTGTGATATTAAAGACGTTATTTGATTTGGTGTCTGGTGACGAAGATAATCCAAGAGTTTTAGATAATGTTTGTGCTGCCATCTGTCGGCTTATTTTGACCAATAGTAGTTGTATTCCATTTGACAAGGTTAGTCTCTCTCTTTCATGTGGACATATATTGTCTTCGTCCCTGTCCATCCGTCCACAAGGTTAGTCTCTTTCTTTGTTTTTCAGGTGGTCAAGTGGTCTAACATATGCAATTTAGATCAAAAGGCCTGTCATAGAGTGGTATGGTTTCGAACCCACGCTTATATATTATAAGGGGGGGGTGGGTGGATGACTGAATGGTTAACGTGCACGCGCTGTATCATAAAGTCTGTCATTGAGTCGACTGGCGTGGTTTCGAATCCCCTGTTATGCGTGACAAGGAGTGTGATCGCTTTTCCAACCTTGTGGATTTTCTCTGGGCCCTCTTGGTTTTTCTTCTTTGGCTAAAAACCGCTACACACCAGGGAACAAGTGAAATAACATCGTGCTGCATGTTCGTCTTGAAATGACCTAGTCTGTGTCAAGTGGACATTAAACCAAAGTTCTTTCTCTCTTCCTTTTGCGGGGTGATCTAGTGAAATCACATTGGCATGGTTTCAATTCCCCGTTCGTACAAAACCAGGAGTAGGGTCGTCTGTCCAATCTCTTGGGTTTTCTCCAGATCATCCCTTTTCTTCCCACTGCTAAAGATCCTTGCCTACGCGTAAGAGAATTATTGAAATAAAATTGAACCATATTTTAGTCCCGAACTGATCTAGTTTATATCAAGTGGACATTAAACCTCTCTCTCTCTCTCTCTCTCTCTCTCTCTTTCGCTTTCTTTCTCTCTCTTTCGCTCTTCTCTTTTTGATACTATCTTCCATGGTGTTAAAATGACCTAGGTATACATTCCATGGGATATTACTCCTGATTTATGACTTTGTTAAAAAAGTAAAAATACTCGAAATGAACCATTAAAGATATTGTTTGTTATATTTTCAGGTGATACCCGCCATTGTAAGTTTTCTACCATTAAAAGAAGACTATGAAGAGAATCACACAGTATATCACTGTTTAATACAGTTATATAGTAACGGTAATCAACAGGTAAGTTGTTTAATACAGGTACATAGTAACGGTAATCAACAGGTACGTTGTTTAATCAATGATGGAAAAGTAACTATGTCTTTGTGTGTAGCTGAAATGAAATGAAATAGGGTACGACTGGGCTAAAGAAGACGAGCATACGCCGCTATACAGTGTGCTATGAGGGAAATTTTGCCCGGACAGCGGTGCTACAGCCTAATGTTATATCCAATTCCAACTGCCAAGAGCAATTTTGCCCGGACAGCGGCACTACAACCTAATCTTATATCGAATTCCAACTGTCAAGGGATCTTGAACATGCACACCAATGTGTACACTGAACTTCGGTTTTTCATCCCATCTGAACAACTAGACACCTGTCCTTGTCAGGCCCTCGATCCTGCAACACTGATAAGGGGGGACTATGCTGGAAAATCTGGACAAATTTTCTCAGTCAATGCAGGGATCGAAACACCCAACCTCCAGGCTAGGGAGCCAGTGTCTTACCCACTTAGCCACCCCCCCCCCCACACACACACACACACAGTTAATGAGATCTATATCTATGTGTTATTATATGTTACAGGTGATACAATGTACACCACAGTTGTTAAGTTCTATAGCTATGGTTGTAGGTACAGACCAAATTAAACCAGGTAAATTGTTTTGTCATTACAAATTATTAATTTAAACCCAGTAACCAGCACTGTCACTGTATTGGGTTTATATATAGAACTACGGCCATGTTAATTATAGGATTTATAGAAAGAACCCACCGCCAAGTTGGTTATCATGTTTATAGAACCCACCGCCATGGTGGTTGTCATGTTTATAGAACCCACAGCCATGTTTGTTATCTGGTTTATAGAAACCACCCAGTCATGTTTAAATTAAAATTCAACGGCCATATTGATTATAAAGTTTATATTAAAAACCACAGTCATGTTTATGTTAGGAACGAACAGCCATATTGATTATTAAGTTTATATTAAGAACCTGTCAGGTTTATATTCAGACCCGACGGCCATGTTGGTTATAAGGTTTATATTAAGAACCAACCGCCATGTTGTTGATTATCAGGTTTATATTAAGAACCAGTCATGTTTATATAAAGAACCGACGGCCATGTTGGTTATCAGGTTTATATTAAGAACCAACCACCATGTTGGTTATCAGGTTTATATTAAGAATCAGTCATGGGAACCATCCCATGTTGGTTATTGGGTTTATATAAAGAACCAACAGCCATGTTGGTTATTGGGTTTATATTTTGAAGTGCAGAAAAATAAAACGTTAACCCCGTAAGCTCTTGGATCAGGTACATTTTGACTACCCCAGTTCCTTGAAAAGTGATATAGTTTATACTATTGATAACACCGAAACCGTCCGAAAGTACTTTCGTTTGAATTGCTTCAATCATCCCAGTTTTGTGAATTGTAGTACTGTATACTAGTTTTTGGGGCACCACAGTTACATGACTCATCCTTTGTAAAGAACACAAGTTTCAGGCGGTTCCAAGTTTCAAGTACTATAGGATTAAACCACATTTCGTATACTCTTTTTTTTACTCCACAGAAACCCACACTATATTGGTGCACTTCGCTAAACACATCAACGAAAAATACCCGGAAGAATTTCAGAAGGTCAAGGCAACATTACCAAACGACCTGAGCTCAAAACTCGACAATTGTGTATCCATGGTGAATGGGTCTTGAATGTCAAGTCTGTAAAAGTTTATCAGAAAGACTGGTATATTTTTCATTCCGTGACGTGAAATACAGAACTAATTTTATGCATTTTATCTTTCGCTGATGCAAGTCTTTCTGAATAACATGAATACTTATTTCTACTCCATTTAGACATTTCCAGAGTTTTGGAGACCATATTAATGTACATTTCTAAAATCTCTGATGACCAACCTGTAACCCCAAATGTTTTGTCTGGGTACTTGGGTTTCCTCCCACTTCTAAAAACATCTCCGTGTAACAGGATGATTCTTAAAATAGCCTGATACGTTTTGAGCGTGAGTTATTCACAGTAAAAAACTGCTACTAGTTATTCAGAAAGATATTAATATGCTTCATGCACAACTTTTATACATTGTTAAAAAGCTGCTGATTGATTGGTTGTTGTTTTGTATATTGTTAAAAGGCTGCTGATTGGTTGGTTGTTGTAAAACTATTTTATTTCTCGGACAGTATTATTATTATAATTAGATTAATATTCAAACTTATATATTTATTATTAAGTCTAAGATATTTTTGTAAAAATGAAACTTACATTAAGAAATGGCCAGATATTTTCGACAAAGTTGATGAATTATAAATGTTTTTTTTGTCATGCCTGTTTACTACGTGTTTCTGTTATAGGACTATACAAATCAAGACAATTAAACGCAGCCTTCCCAGAAATATTTTTCTGACTCAAAGGCTTGATGCATCATTTGCATTTTTGCTAAAATATCAATTTTTCATGACTTAATACATGCTAAATATAGACTCAGATTGATTATTTAAAGATACATTATGGGAGATTAGATAAAGATCTGGCAGTTCTCACTACAATAGTTAAAAACTAGATAATGTTAAGGGAATTTGCTGAAAATTTCAGTGAAATTGATCCACTCTGAACTGAGAATTTAGCGATTGAATTTTCGGCCTAACCTTGATCATCATTACTAAGTCAATACGATAAAAACATAGTCTCGATTATCCATTTCATGATTAAATCATGAATGAAAGTTGAGCAGCAAATCGTATCATAATCCAGTAAATATCTGGATAGGTTAATTAATGTCTAATTAATATTTTATATATAAAATTTCAGGCCTAAAGAAAGACCTGAAAATGGCAGATTTAGCTCTTGCATAATGTATGTTTAAAGCACTAGATAATGTCTCTGCTTGGATTCAATCTGATTTGAAGTAGGACCATCAGATTTCTCCGCTGCCAATAAAAGACAGCAACGTAGATCGATGAAATTTCAATTTATCAGAACTGATATTTTCCTTTCAGAGAGAATAAAAACTTTGATAATATTGTAGTTTGCATCAAGCCTTTAAACAAGAAGGGGGGTCACGTTGGCTAAGTGGGTAAGACGGTGGCTAAGTGGGTAAGACGCTGGCTCGCTAGCCTGGAGGTCGGGTGTCCGATCCCTGCATTGGCCGAGAAAGTTCATACAGATTCTCTGGCGTGGTTCCTCTCCTTGTCAGTGATGCAGGACGGAGGGCCTGACAAGGAAAGCTTTCTAGTTGTTCAGATTGGACGAAAAACAGAGGTCCTGTGTACACATTGGCGTGGCAGTTGGAATTTGATATAAGAGTAGGCTGTCTGGGCAAACTTTCTTAAAAGTTTTATCCTAGTCCTGTACAAGATAATTTTATGTGGAAGTAGTCCTTTAAAAACCTTTATTCTAGTCATGTACTACAATCAGAAACTCTGTGGTATGATAATTCTGTGTGGAAGCAGTCCCTTAAAAACCAGCCCACGATACATTCACTTGATTTGATAATACTGTTGTTGTTTGTTGCTTCCAATGTCCGTGGTTGTTGTGTGTCTTTACCTCGGTTTTTGTAGTATGAGTTTCTGTTTATGTATGTATAGTTCAGTTCTTTCTACACTTTGACCACACCAATGTCCATTTGTTGTGTGTCTTGTCCTCTGTTTTTGTAGTATGAGTTTCTGTTTTTGTACGTATAGTTCAGTTCTTTCTGCCCTTTGACCACACCAATGTCCGTTCAGTTCTTTCTGCCCTTTGACCTATTAGAATTTTTGTTCTTCGGAACACCTACTAAAAATTCTGCTAGCAGTTTCTTTAGGAAAAAAGGAGGGGAGGGCCAGGCATGGACATCTGTCTAGTCGTTCGGATGCGACGAAAAACCAAGGTCCCGTGTACACATTGGCGTGGCAGTTGGAATTTGATATAAGAGTAGGCTGTCAGATGGCATACGCCCGTCTTCATTAGCCCAGTAGGAGGTTTAAACCCATTTCATTTCATAAGCAAAAAGAAATTGGTTGCTCGCCTCAAAAACGTTTACTTCCAAATGGCCAAGTTTTGAAATTTTAAAAACTCTGCGTATAAGAATTGAGGGGGGGGGGGTATTTATTGATCAAAACTCTGCAGAACTAAAATTGAATTGGTCTGTTGAAGGGCCATTATGGGAGATTAGATAAAAGAGCTGACAGTTCTCGCTATAATAGTTAAACAATATAAAGAGAATATGCTGAAAATTTCAGTCAAATTACTTCACGCTGAGCCCAGAAAACGGAATTATAATATGTAACAGTGTAGCCTTGATTATCATTGTTACTGCTGTTATGATAATAGTTAATAAACAAAGTATCGGTTATCCATTTTTACGGTTAATCATGAACAACCTTTCCATCGCAGATTGGATTCAAATCTGGTTAACATTGTATCCATCAGATGGCTTCGAGGGTGGATTATGGTCTTTTCATGTTAATAAATGTCTAATTAGTAGTTTATATAAAGACCTGCAATAGGCAGATTTAGCTCTTGCACAATGTATGTTTAAGTAATATAAGAATTTAATGAGGTTAGTTTTCGTTTATAATGCACATAGACCAATAGAAGATTGTTTATCTTTTGTTATGCTGTTATTTTACTAGAATTAAATTGATGTATTGGATATTGTTAAGTTTTTTATGCATCTTAAGTTATTTTATTTAAATCAGAGATCAATGTTGCTATGTGCCTTTAAAACGCTCACAAATAATATGAATACATGTCGTCATTGCTAGTGTCGGTAATCATTGCCTTAGAGTTACTGCCCTTGGCACAGTCAAAATATGTCAGACATCTTGCGAACACATTTAAGTTTATGTAATTTATGTAAGTTTTTGAAGAGTGTAAACTTAAATATTCTTCAATTATTAATTATTCTTATTATTATAAAACAGTTATTTAGCGCAATCTTACACATGCATGTTCAAGGGCAGATCTAGTGGGGGTACTCTCAGTGCAGGGCCCCTCTCCTCCCCCCCTCCCCCCTTGTCGATCCAGGCAGTGTTTTAGAACCTGATTCTTGTCTCAGATCACTGGAAATGGCATTTTCGGGGCTCCAGTTTTCGAAATTGTCCGGGGGAGGCCACATGTCGGTGCCACTGTTGTGTGCATTTCCGGGGTTCCAATTTTCAAAATTGTCCAGGGGAGGCCACATGTCGGTGCCCCTTTTGCGTGCTTTGCCCCCAACCCCTGTCCATGGTCTCAGGATCAGTCCTTGCATGTTCTGGTGCACTTTACGATACATTTTGAAAACATAAATTTAAATATGTATAAAAATACGACCAGTTCTTGGATTGCTCTGAAACTAATGCTCCTTAGATCGCCTTAAACCAACACGTCAATGTTTGTGGCCTCCACAAGAACTAGTCAATGGTCCTACATTATGGAGAGCTATTCACATAACTCGGATGATCTAAGGAATTTCGAATCGTTTCAGGGCTTTCCAGGGATATACTGATATAAAATGCATCACTAGATTTTTTTCAAGAAACCTCTATGGTCAATATTTATCAAACTATTTATCATGGAATAACAATTACTGGTTTACTAAAGATATATTATGTAAGATTTAGATAAAGAGCTGACCATTCTTGCTATAATGGTCCCGTGTACACATTGGCGTGCACGTAAAAGATCCCTTGACAGTTGGAATTCGATATAAGAGTAGGCCGTAGTGCCGCTGTCCGGGCAAAATTTCCCTCATAGCACACTGTATGGCGTATGCCCGTCTTCATTAGCCCAGGTTAGGAGCAGAACAGTAGTACGTTAAACTCCATTTCATTTCATTTCATTTCTTGCTATAATAGTTCGAAAACAGAGAATGCAAAATATGAATACATTGAAACTTTCATTCAAATTACTCTATTGCGAGCAACAATATTAGCCTTTGAAGGTTTGACAAGATGTGTGCACAGATTGTAACCACCGTACTGGTTGTTCGAAGCTAAGACTCGCTTCTCCAAGTTTAAATAGGACTGAACCGTTCTAATCTATTTAATATTGGCATCAAGAGTTGATTAAGGTCTTGTCATTTTAATACATGTCTTATTAATAATTTAGATAACATTTCAGGCGTAATGAAAGACCTGCAATAGGCAGATTTAACTCTTACATAAAATATGTTGAACATGCAACGTTTCAACGATGATACTCTCCATCATTTGTTTGATAAAACGAGAGAACCATTGTAAAAACGTTGCATGTTGTTAATAAACCAGTAATTAAAAAACACAACACAATTTATATGGAAATACATAGCACAACGTTTCGACAAGTATTCTCTTATTGTTGTGCTTGATAAGAAAATACTTGTTGAAACGTCGTGTTATGCCTATAAAACAGTGATTGTATTTCCATATAAATTGTGTTGTGCTTTTTAATGTGTTCAATTGCTAAATGTGTATTACTGTTCAATTACTAAATGACACTCAAAAAAATATTTATATATACCCATTTGATACTGCTGCTAAATGGGACGACCATGACTGAAGTTAAGATTCCGATCATCCAGATCGGATCAACCTCTGATTCTTATGGAAGGCGATATTAGCTGATATAAGGCTGAAGTTACCATTCCAAATCAACCCGATCTGATTCTTATGGAAGGCGATATAAGCTAACAATTTCCCTGGCTTTTGATATTGTCATGTTGTTTGGCAACATCAACCTGGTTTCACTTTTTTGGAAAAAAATTCCTAAATAATTGTGTTTCTGTGTGCGTTGGCTTGAAAGTGATGTTTTAAGCTTAAACTGTGAAAAGACATAATTATTGAGTGCATGATATTATTATTGTATTTGGGCTCTTTGCTTGAAAAAATAGAAATATTTTAAAATTGATTTTTGACTTTTGATTTATTTCCTGATATGAAACCGATTGGATACAGCCTTGATTTTTTTTGTGATTTTATGTGAGTCATTCATTTATGTGTATTCAAATTTTGTTAGCAAGGCCTGACAGGGACAGCAGTCTAGTCGTTTGGATGGGACGGAAAACCTGAAGTACGTGTAAACATTGGCTTGCATGTAAAAGATTCCTTGGTAGTTAGTATTTGATGTAAGAGTAGGCCATAGTGCCACTATCCGGGCAAAATTTAACTTGTATCACACTGTATGGCGCATGCCCGTCTTCATTAGCCCAGTAGGAGCAGTGCAGAAGGACGTTAAACAACATTTCATGTCATTTTCAATTTCTGTTGAAAGTCAAATGATTTTGGTTTGGATTCCAAGTGAAGATTGTGTGTTTCAGAATGGACAGCTTATGTTACGAGAGAGAAGGTCACACTGCTGAACATTGTTACAAGATATGCGACAACCCTTGTCAATCGCTCGGACGATTTAGCTGCTGTGGCGTATGTTTCGTTACCTGGCAATCTATCGTCAATTTCCGTTAAAAGTCAAATGATTTTGGAGTTCTAAAAAATTCATTTGGTTTGGATTCCGAATGTTACAAGATACATGTACCATGACAAAGTTACGTAACATGAGCTAAGGCCAGAATTATGGCCCTTGATCATTTTGAAAGATTTTGTCGGGGATCTATTGGCTAAAGTTCAAATTTAAATGGTCATGAGATGAAGAACCCTATTGATTTTCCACATTTTCTGATAACTCAAAAAGGTAAATTTATCATCTGAGTAACGGTACCTTATTTGTATAATAAATGTAGTATCAAGAAGATCTAGAAGCCAATCAAATTTTAATTATTTAATGGGTTATTACCCTTGGTTAGTTTGAAGCAACATGTAAATGCTCGGTTTTCTTCCACTGCTAAAGAACCCTACACGCAAGCAAATTATTGAAATAAAATTGAACCATATGTTAGTCCGAAATGACCTAGTTAAACCCCTCCCTCCCTCCCTCCCTCTCTCCCTCTCTCTTCTATTACCTACAAAAATATGTGAGAAAGTCGCGGACAACCCTTGTGGATGGATCCCACGACTTAGTTGCTGTGGGCGTATGTTTCATTGCCGTGCAACCCATCTTTAACACTATTTTATTAATTATTCAAGTATAATAAACCAAATGAATGTACTGTAATGGGTGTCATTAACAATAATAAGATTCTATGGGATGTCTAATTTGTAAAATCTAATTTTGTTGTCTATTGTGTGAAACCTGTCGGGATATAGGTTACTAGTTCAGTACAAATTAAATGCAACAAAAGATTTTATTTTTGTCCTACGGTGAACAAACCAACAATAAAATGAAAATTTTAAACCAAGTGGAAGTATTTTGGGTGATTTTCAACCATGTTAGTTTGGGTACCCTTTTTGCTCAATAATATTCATCCTGGGAGTATTGTCAGGCAGGTGGGTGTAGGGCCGCTGTCTGGGCGTATGCCCATCCTCATTAGCCCAGTCGCAGCAGAACAGTAGGAAAAATTCAGCTATTGGGAATTCTAATAGTGACGTCTAACCCTAACCCTAAGAAGCTTGTTTTACAAGACATTCATGTGGACCAGCTACTCACATTCTAAGTGGGGGTGGGGGGGTGGATGGCCGAATGGTTAGTGCGCATGTGCCCTGTATCATACGGTCTGCCATTGAGTTAACTGGCGTGGTTTCAATTCCCCAGTTGTATATGAAAAGGCCTGTCCAACTTCATGGGTTTTCTCTGGTTTCCTCCCACTGCTAAAGACCCCTACGCGCAAGCAAATTATTGAACTAAAATTGAACCATGTGTTAGTCCCAAAATGACCTAGTTTGTGTCGAGTGGAGGTTAAACCCGATTTCTCGCTTTCTCCCACGTTCTAAGTATTAAATACGCTAAAGACTCCTACACGCAAGCAAATTTTTAAAATAAAATTAAAGCATGTTGGTCCCAAATCGACCTACTTTTTGTGTGGATGTTAAAGTTACAATTTCATATTTTTAAGTTATATTTTTAAATTTATTAAAATAAAGCCTTAAAATAGATGGTATCTATAAACAGTCCTACCTTGTTGAAGAATAATCCTATTAATCCTATAATTCACTATTGCCAGTTGAGAAATTGTCAAAAATATCATTTTCAACTTCAAATTCCAACGTTTGAAGGACGCTAATGCATGGAGGCAATAGGAAAGCAAGGGAGGTAATTGTGTTATTATTTCCGGTGTCAATGATTTTTAAGGGTGGGAAATAATGCCCATGGTCGTATAATAGTGAGTTGATAACCTATTGAGCAAAAGACATAGAAATAATTATGTTTTGACTTTCTTAGAAAATTTGAAATTTCCGCTTTAACACGCTCTCCCTCTCTGTCAGCAGTAAACTAAGCATCTGTTGGAGGTTGGGTAGGTAGCCCAGTGACCTAATGTGTGCACCTTAGATCATAAATGTCTGAACATTGGTCTGCATGTAACAGATCCATTGGCAGTTAAAATTTGATGAGTAGGCTGTAGCACTGCTGACCGGGAAACATTTCCCTCATAGCACACTGTATGGTATATGCTCGTCTTCATTAGCCCAGTCAAAGTAGAACAGTAGGACATTAAACCCCATTTTATTTTATTTCCATGTAAATTATTGAAATAAAATGACCATGTTTATGTTGAGTGGACTTTAAACCCTCTATCTCTCTCAGCAGTAAATATAAAGATCACATAATTTATTTTAAGAGTTGGATGTTCGAATGTTTCCTCCCACGGCTAAAAGACCTCTATGCCTAACTGTGTTATTGGAATAAAATTATACCATAAGATAGTACTTAAATGACCGTGTTTGTGTTGAGTGGACTTTAAACCCCAACTCTCTCTCTCTCTCGAATGTTTCCTCCCACTGCTAAAGACCCCTATGCCTAAGCGTGTTATTGAAATAAAATTGTAACATATAGTACTTAAATGACCATGTTTGTGTTGAGTGGACTTTTTAAACACCATCTCTCTCTCCCCCCTCTCTCTCTCTCCCTCATAATATCTTGAAATAGTGAGGATGATTATGAAATACCAAACCCATCTGTTCAACACATTTATTTGCGTCATAAAAAAATGACCAACCCTTGAATGACATGTTCACCGAGCAACAAGACTATTTGACCAACCTTCCGTCTGATTAACCGTCACCTATATCTGTTGAATTACGATGTGTCATTGAGGAACTTTAAATAAACTTTATTTACTTCTGATAAGAAACCCAATCATCTGACATTGTATAAAAATATAACAAGAGCACTAATGGGCTTGTATAATATATATATATATATATATATATATATATATATGTAGAGAGAGAGAGAAATGGGGTTTAACGTCCACTTGACACAAACTAGGTCATTTTTGCGAGCAAGATTTGGTTTAATTTCATTTCAACCATTTAGCAGTGGGAGGACCCGGAGAAAACCCACGAGGTTGGACAGGCAACCCTACTCCTTGTCACGTACAACCTGGGAATCAAAACTACGCCAGTGAACTTAATGACAGATCTTATGATACAGCGCACACACGCTAACCATTCAGCCATCCAACCCCCTGTGTATAATATAACAAGAGCACTAATGGGCTTAGATGACCATCAATATTTTTGGACTATCAATCTGTGTGTGTGTGGGTGTGTATGTGTTTGTCTTTAATTATGGAGGACACACATTTAACACTGTATAATATAACTAAAGCACTAATGACCATCAACGTTTTTGGATTATCAGTCTAGTGTGTTTGCACATATTATATAAAATTAAGTTGAAAAAAGAAATAAACACATGTTTTTTTGGCTAACGTTTTCTGTTCTCTTGAACCTCTTCAGCCTATATAAATTTTGAACCACAGAATTTATCATTGTATCACATTTATTATATTAATATAATTTAACATATATAACAATTTAAGACTTAAAACAAAAGACTACCTGTAGTCCTAATCACTGGGTACTATTTCTGGTTACCTGTACTTTGAAACAGGAAAACCAACAAACTTAATTAAAGATTAGACATCATTGATAGTGTAGATTAGTAAAATTTGGCTGTGTTGATTTGTTTCTGTCTCGTGTCTACATTTAAAATTTTAGGTCCACAGTAAAAGCCAATACTGATATTTATCTGATTTTATGTTCAACACGAGACCCTCTCTAAGCCAAAAACGCATCAAATCAAGTTAATCTTTTGTAACAAAAATTTAATCATTTAGAACTTAATCCATTACTAATGGAAATAATACGTCAGAAAAATCAGATTCAAAACTCTGTTCTGGCCTTAATGAAAAATTATGCTCTAACTTAAAAAGATAAAACAGATTAGATCAACCAGACTCAACACATTTTCTGGCCTAAATCAAAGATATTACAAAACCAATTCAACACTTTATTTTGACATAAATAAAATAGGTTTAGGTCCCTTATATATATATAGTGTTAGTAGGGGCCCACAAACATTTTCCCAGTGGGGGTGAGCCATAAAAAAATCGGCCCACTCCACATAAGAAAATCAATTGTCGTAGTTAGTAAGTATAGCATTATGTCATTTTAAAATGACTCAGTTGAATATTGATTTATAGAGACTGGCATACTGGCCAATTTTCACAAACAACAAAAAAAACGTCCCACACAGCGAAAAAATTGGCCGTTGTTGTGTGCCCCTGAGTGTTAGTGTATATTATTAAATAGATATTTCTAAAACTAATTTATAATATATATAAATAATGCCCATACTCATGATGCACATAGATCTATTCTAATATTTATCTGATTGGTGCAGTAAAGTAACACTGTAACCCAGGTATCATTTAATCTTGTGTATCTAGAACTAATTTCTTTCACATTCGTTTAATATCAAATTTTTGTTTAAAAATTCGTAAAAAAAACATTTAAAATCACCATAAATCATCGAATTTGTACTTGTGTCCAGTTTAAAGATTTTGATAATGA